GACACTTCTCAGGTCAGCAAAGGACAGTACGTTAGATTACTCAGCCTATCGCCCAACTTCAACTTCCATCATTGCAGCATCCATATCCTCATCAACATCCATCTCATCTTCCATTTCTCTCGCCTGAGCCAACACCCTCTGTCCATACGATATCTCCTCACCATCCTCATCCATTCTGGGCTTCTCGGCCTCCATCTTCTTCTGATGCTTCCTCAGATCCTCATAACTCCACGTCGAAATACCCTCCTGCATCTTCGCAGGAAAAGGCTTACTCATGGTCTTCAGGAACTTCTTCGCCGACGCCACGGCTTGATCGACACTCATCTGCGAGTCGGACTCGAGCAGGGCTGAGGATATCCATTTTGGAAGCTGGGATCGCTTCTTGGCGAAACGCTTATCGGCCATGACCATTATCCCATAGTCGTCTTTGCCTCGAAGGACTCGGCCTAAGCACTGAGCACAATGTCGCATGGCGTCGAAGGACAAGAAATCGTTTTCCCGAATGCGGTATGTCTCTCTCAAGAACTCTAGGCGGGCTTTCAGAATCCGAGACTCAGTGTACTGAAACGGTACACCTATACACAGCACCGTCCGGCCGTAGTGGTGGTCGAAATCGATACCTTCGGAAACCTTGCCACGTGCCACACACAGCAGCATCGCACCTCTACCGTTACTGCAGGCTGTACGGTATGTTTCAAGAGCAAGGGATGTTTCTTGGCTATCAGGCGTTTCAACCAGAATCAGCTTGCTCTTCCATACCGAGTCAAGGATCCCCATCGATTGCCAGGCCGAGATCACTCGTTCCATGTACAAGTATGACGGGAAGAAGACCACGATACCATCTGGTGTAAGCTTGGAGAACTCGATCAGGAGATTGCCATAATTCCGCACGACCTGCGGATCATCACGAGTCTGGAAGCCCGTGGACATCTGACTTTGATCCGAACCTCTTGTGACGATCATGGGCATGAACGAGCGGCGAGCAAGCGTCATAGCATATGACTCCTGTACAACGCAGTTGAAGCCTAGCATCTTGGGATACATTTCCAGCGGTGAGATCGTGCCAGAAGTGATGATGACGGAGCTGAAGCGGTCGAACACAGGCTTGATCGCGATCGCGGCGTCGAGACATGTGAAATGTAGCACCGGGTTTGCAACACTCGCAGTGTCAGACTCGAAGGGCTCGAGAATGAGGAGGAAGCCAGTCTCGTAGGTTGCCACTAACGTTGCAAAAGATGCTACTTCTTGAAGTGGTTGGTAGTCCTCAATATTTGTCAACTCCAGCGTGCGCACGAGCGATGTTAGTCGCTCAGCGCAGAATCTTAGTGGCTTCTTTTCAATAAAGGTAAGCTCTTTCAGATGCGCCAAGAAGGATGGCGGTGTCTCTGAAATGACATGCAGGACTTTCATCCTAGTCTTTAGATATTCGATAAATCGTTTCAGGAATGCCGTGAAGTGCTCTGCCCGTCGAATGTTGCCAGGAATTGCTTCTTTCAGCAGATCATCAGGCAGGGCGGGATTTGACATGAACGCTTCCTCGTCTCTCGCTTGATCGGCATCTCGCAGGCCCTCCACAAGTTTGGCGTACTCGTTCTGTAGCTTCTGAGCATCGGTGTCTTTCATCTCGGTGATCTTGCGCTCGAGGTTTGCAGCTCCACGACCAGCTCGCCGCAACGACTCTTCTGTAAGGTCAATACTTAACGATTCGATGCAAACGTTATCAATGTTGTGCGCCTCATCGAACACGACGATGCAGTCTTTCGACAGCTCCCTTGACACCCGTTCGGCAATCTTTGGATCGAGCAGATAATGGTAAGAGTAGATAATGACGTTGCAAAAGGGCATCATCCTTCTCGCGGTAAAGTACGGACACTGTTTCTGCTGCTCTCCATATCGTAGCATGCCATCCAGCGTCCATACACCAGGTGGTATCAAATTGTGAGGCTCAAGCAGATCAAGGTTGTCGTGGTAGATGCAAAGATCAACGTCTTCGCCTCGATCTTTCTGCTCCTTGACGAAGCCAGCAGTGAGACTCCGACATCTCGCATCGACCACGGAACCACTCTTCTCCCGCTTCACAGACGGATGCAAGCACAAGTTCTTCCGACTCGTCAGACCTAGACCCCGGAAGTCCTCGACCTCGCCTAGCTGATCGGCACGATATTTCATCAATGCTTTCAGTTCAGCCAACGCTTTCTCGATCTCAGACATGGTACGAGAGCAGTAGATGAGTTTCCGGTGCTCAGGGTAGAATTGCTGGTACGCAACGATGAGTGAGAGTAGTGACACAGTCTTGCCGGTCCCTGAAGGCATCTCCAGTACGCAGTGGCCGCCTGCGTCCAGAGTGCGTTTGAGATCGCACATGTAGGCATACTGCTCGGGATAGATCCTGGGATACGGAAAGAGGACTGGCAGATCCTCAATCATGAACTTCATCTTGCTGATACTCTGTGTTGACCACCTCCACTGGCTCAATTAACTGTTTCCCATATGATTGTCTTATGTGGTGGCAAGAAGTGCAGACTGGTCGTCAGGCGGCGTGACTCATGCTGGTTGCCTTCTATATTCGCACTCCAACTCTCAAGGGAGAAGTACACCAACACCACAGTTGTCCGGTCCCGGATCAATGACCTTGTGCTGAGGTGAAGTTTCGAAAATGATGGTAGTACATCACTTGAGCCAGAGGGGATCGATATGTTTGACTAGCGTGGCGTTGGCGCGTTCGAGTGACTAAGCAGCGACACGTCTTTCACGCGTTCCACTTTAGCTTCTCGAGACGATACATGTAGAGAACAAGCTATACCACTCGAAGACGATGGCGACATTGCAGCGGCCACTGGACGAGATCGCTGCTCTGTCCTCATCACCAGCCTTTGGCACACCTGTCCATCCTATTCTACCAACCGAGCAGGGACGGCCACTCGTACAGCCAGCGTTCAAGCCTGTGGTGCACGCAGTAATCGCAGTAAAGCTAGAGCCACCGCAGATTCGACCCCTCGCCTTCCGGACGTTCACTAAGAAGCACAATCTCACGCTCAGCGCGTCGTCACTCCAAGCCTTGGCATCGTTCATTGGCAAGCATTGTGGAACAGGATGGCGGGAGGAAGGAACTGGAGAGAAGGTGCTCGAGGAGGTTGCCAGGCTGTGGAAAGCAGAGAGTGGTGGCGTGATCGTTGAGGACGGTACGCGGCTGAAGACTATACTCAGAACACTCGAATCCTGCATGAGTGGAGGAAGGCTCGGGCAGGCGAAGAGTGGCAGCAAGCTGAGCAGGGAGAGCAGCTTTGCCTTTGGCAACGATAGTGCGGTCGACCTATCAGAGGATACATCGAGACGACCAAGCCTGGACAGCCACAGGAATAGCAGTTTTGGCATGAGCAAGCTGCAGGTTGACGAGGATGAAGACCACGATGAAGCGAGCAAAGATCCGAGAGCCTGGATCAAAGTCCATTCGGCATACGAACAGCCTCGATTCACCTATGACATGGACAAGAAGCACTTTGTTCAGCCCAGCAACGCGCCATCTCTGTTTCCTTCCCCTGCTCACAAGACAGCATTATTTCGAGAACGGTACAACATAATCTACCAGCGACTATTGCGAAACGAAGCATTCCAAGCTCCGTCATTCTCCTCGAATCGGGCAACGCTCGCTCGGACAGATAGTACGACAACCGCTCAACAGTTCTACAAGATCACACCCGTGGCGAATCTACTAGGTCGCGGAGGCACTTCGCATCTTTTGCTTGGCATGCTAGTGATCGCACCGACCGGCACTTTGGCACTCAACGACCTGTCTGGCGGCATCAGCCTGAATCTCCAGCACGCACAACCTTTGCAAGGCAAAGACTCAGCTTACTTTTGTCCCGGCATGATCGTCCTCGTCGATGGAGTGTATGAAGAGGACTGGGCAGGTGCAGGTAGTGCCGGATTGGGCAACACTGGTGGTGTTGGCGGCACAATCGGTGGTAGATTCCTTGGCTTCAGCATCGGCGGCCCACCAGTAGAAAAGCGAAGCGTCAGTCTTGGTCTGAGCACGAACGCGACTGAAGTCGGAGGCGGCTTCGGGTGGACAGACTTCCTTGGTCTAGGATCCGAACGAGCGATCGGCGACAGAATGCGAAGGCTCGAGCAGAGATTTCTTGGACTGGAGAATGAATTTGCGAGCGAGCAGCGAAGGAAGATGGTAGTTATGTCAAAGGTGACGCTTGATCATCCTTCGACTCTTTCAGCTCTTCGAAAAGTGCTTGAACAGTACGCAGCCAACATTGAGCAACCTCTGGCATTTCTGATTATGGGCGATTTTTGCTCTCAAGCGGCATTGGCAAGTGCAGGTGTTGGATCTGTCGAGTACAAGGAGATATTCAACGAGCTTGCTGCTGTGCTTCGAGACTTTCCTACACTTCTCAAGAACAGCACTTGGGTCTTCGTGCCTGGCGACAACGATCCCTGGCCAGCAGCCTTTGGTGCTGGCGCCAGCACAGCGGTGCCTAGAGATAATGTTCCTGATGTCTTCACAAGCAGAGTTCAGCGCACGTTTACAGAAGCAGGGTTGAGCAAAGAAGAAGTCAGTAGACAGGTCTTCTGGACTAGCAACCCCACTAAGCTCAGCTTCTTTGGTCCGGCTCATGAGGTGATGATAATGAGAGACGATATCTCTGGTCGACTGAGGAGGAATGCTGTTCGTATAGGGCAGGCCACGAAAGAAACGGAGAGCCAGCGAGCGGAAGTGGAAGTAGAGACTGGAATGGATGATATCGTCATGTCTGGCGCACTACCCACCGCCGAGGATGTGGACGACACCCGTCCGGGTACGGAGCCGCAGAGCAGCAATGTGGCAGCCTCGTCCGAAGACTATATAACTCAGGAAGCCAAGAAGCTCATTCTCTCTCTTTTACCACAGTCAACACTTTCGCCGTTCCCGCTGAGTACGCGACCTGTACATTGGGACTATGCTGGCTCACTGTCACTTTACCCGCTTCCGCATACGCTCATATTAGCTGACGCCGAGAGTGAGCCTTTCGCAATGACTTTTGAGGGTTGCCATGTGATGAATCCTGGCCGACTCGTGACTGGAAGTGGCAGGCGGAAGAAGGTGCAATGGATCGAGTACGATTTGCTTTCGAAACGAGGGACGATGATGGACAGTTGGGTTGGATGACACCAACATAGCTCCTAGGGTGGTAATACATTTCTACGAATAAGGATACGATACACTGTTGCATAACGACGAGGAAGTCCATCAAGCGCCATAGACGACCTCGGGATGTGACGCATCCTCCAGCCTATCTTTTTCTCGACCACCCACGGCAACTTCCTCACTGGTCTTTGTTGCTGCCATCACCATATCAACATAATTTTCGGCCGATGCTCCACTACTCTTTCGTCTGGCTGCTTCAAGCCCTGCCTTATCTTCCGACTTGACGAAAGGACATAGCAGCAGACAAATCCCAATCAGCGCTCCACAGAAGATGAAAACGGCCTTGATGCCTTCTCTTTGTGCCACATCCAACGCAAGCACATCCGCCTTAGCGAAGCCGAAAGTATCAACGCGGCTGATTGCCTGGCTGGCGTAGTGCTTCAAAGGATCTGGCAGAGCACGGGCGCACACGAGGGTCACGATCGTGGAGGACAGAGCTGTGCCCACGGAGCCACCAGTCAGTAGGATAAGGTTCCGGGAGCCTATCGTAACTGCTCTGTCAGTGGTGTCTACTTGGGTGGCAAGCGCATGAATCGAGTTCTGGAATATGACGCCTGTGCCTGCCCCGGCGAGGATTGCGAGCAGCTCAACTACGCCAACATGAACTTGTTCAGGAATGCAGCCAAGTAGGATCAAGCTTGTCGTCCAGAATGTAAAGCCTATAGTAGCGATAAATCTGTAACTGGCAGGACTCGACGCCCTTTCCTTGTACGACATCTTTAGTAGTATGGGCGACAACGATGAAGTGACGCTGTGAGTGGCGTAGTACGGGATCATCAGAGTCGCACTCTCGAGTAAGCTCTTGTCCTCGACGATCAGCCAATAGATGGGCATGAAGACCTGGAAGCTGTAGTATGCCATGCCGAAACAGAGACTCTGAGCAAAGATGACCCAGATATTGCGCCTCGAGAACATTCGGAACGGCACGATAGGCCTGATGCCACGCAGCTCGTGGCGTTGATATACACCCCAGCAGCAGAAAGCAAGGAGCGAAAGCACAGCGAGCACGATCAGAGCAATCTTCCTTGGGCTGCATCCGCTGGTGTCGTCTCGTGCCGAAGCAACGCAAATGAAGACTACCATTGCGATAAGGAGACCCATGCCAATGCGGTCGATTGTTTTCAGGCGTGCCCAGATGGCCTCCTTTCCGGCTTCATCAGGGGCGCCAGGGAGCTCGAAATAGTGCCAGATGCCAATGAGCAGTGCGAGAATAGCGACAATGTAGTAGAACATCGGCCAACCTGTATGGGAGTCTGGGTACCTCTGGTCTTTCATGGCCAACGTAGCTCCTATCAACACGCCGATTATGCTCCACAGGCCCACGCCAATACCTTGAAGGCCTTGGAACTGCTCCCTCAGCCTCGGTGCCATAAAGTCATTTTGTGCAACGTTGATTAGATTGACCATGGTACCGTCTCCGAACCCGCTGAGAACACGGCCAAAGATAAATACTGCCTGGCTGGTGGCGTAGGTGGAAACACCAGAAACCAGAGAGCCAGCCACAAGCACTCCGAGCGCTATGACCAGCATATTGCGACGACCGAAGAGGTCACTCAAATAGCCAAGCAATGCTTGCCCGACGACTGCGCCGATGAGTTGTGCTGTCACGGCCCAGATTACGGTGTCGCCGGCGTTGAAGTGGATGCCGATGGTTGAAAGGAGGAAGGCGTTGGCCGCCAAATCCATGAAGGCTATATTGTTGGCGGAGTGGATGGGCATAAGAACCCGAAAGAGTCGCCATCCCTCCTTAAAGTTGTCATGAGACGATATGGCAGAGGCGCGGCGCAAGGCTTCAGCTGCCGCGGCTGCATCTCGCGGCTCGAACGCAGGTGTCAGTTCCATTGCTATTGCAAGTGTTCGACAAGCAGGGCTGATTTCGTGTAGAAGCTCCCGTGTGCATATGTAGAGAGCATGTGACTGGAGGCGTGCAGTGCTACAAGTCAGCGAGCGAAAGTGAAGGGACGTCAAGGACGAGGGATTCATCAGACGATGTTTAATGCGAAAGACATATTTGAACGGTGCGGTGAGCTATAGGTTCGTTGGGGAGGGGTGGAGAGATGAAGGAGTAGCTGTCCAATGCTTGAGAGGACAATCTATATAGCGTGTGGAGTTCCTGGAGGTAAGCACGGTATCCGTGGCTGGCGTACCACGATAGTCTCAACCCTCAAATCAACCTATGGCTGTGGAGCAAATGGTCAGGAGTTAGATAAGCAGGTGTAGATGGCTCTATGTACTGTTCTACAGCCTCAACACGCTCGACTTATGTACAGAAGCAAGACATGAGAAAGCAAGGTAATCTTTAGGTGTCTTGTGAAGTGTACAGTGCGTTATGCTACATAAAAATCCCAAGATGCGATCCCGGAACCCCTTTGCTATGCGTACGCTACTGATACAATGACCGCTCTCACTCTATCTTTCTCCGTAGATTCGTCGATGCCTAGGCATCCTCGACCGCCTTCTGCATCGCCGCCGCAAACTCCGCACGACCGAATGTCAGCTCCCCGATGCCCACCAAAGCGTTTGAGGTTGGCGAACTCGAGACGCTGATACGCTGTGGCCATTGTACGCATCGCCTCGTTACAATTGACTGGTGTCTCACGTACAGGAGCGGGAGCAGGACCGGAAAGAAGTGTGTCGAGGCGAGTGGTGATCGAGTCGACGGCGTTTGGCGCCACTGTTGCCGGGCTGTTGACCGGTGGTGGCGGTGGTGCGTTCTCAGGCGACGAGCCCAAGGATGGTGCCATGCCGGTTTGTGTGTCAACTGATGGCGCGGACGATGCTGTCGGGAATGAAGCAGCGGGTGGGATGCTTGTGCCGTTGGTGGATGCGGCGGACGAGGCGATGGTAGTGCCGTTTGTGTGCGGCATCGCGGAAATGGTGGACGCCGTTGGCGCCATGGAGGCCTGTAAACCACCCGCTACAGGTGCAGCGGTGGTGAGAGCGGCGGCTGAGACGTGTGTGTCGTTGGCACCGTTCGTGTGTGCGCCGTTTGGTTGTGCCTGTGATAAGTGTTAGCAATCTATATCATATCTATCATATCACACCACGTCAATAGGAGATACTGCTTACCATCTTTGACACTAACCAAAAGACCAAGATGATTGTAGTTGTATATATCTCAAACCGCTGGCGAAGGAAAACCTTTATACCTGCGTTCGATGAATGGTGACGAAAAGGGCTTAGTGTGAAAAGCGTACCTTCCGCATAACAGCGCGTGGATCGCCAAGGAGACCACTAGCGCGGTCGGGTGGAGGAGGATAGATGTACCAGTACGATTCAAGTGGAGGGGGCGGGCTTATGTTGAGATTCCATGCGCTGGGTGAGTGGGTCTAGCATTCTCGAGCGAACAGTACGTCTTGTTAGGTTCAGGCTGCGGCATCTGGTCCTTTGTCGTCTGGTCCTTTCTAATGTGAGTTTCCACAAAGCAGTAGCGAGGTTGAGCAAGCATGTGCTCCACCAGATGGTCGCATTAACCTGCCGTGCACACAAGGTTTTGAAGATCTGCGACCCAATGGTAATAGGAAGCTCACAAAGCATTTCCGGTTGCAAGCAAGTACATTGGCCACTGGCTAGTCTTTCGCTCTCCTTGTGTACGCAATATGTAGCAAACTCCTGCCGTCTGTTCAGGGCCGGGAGCACGATCTCGAAAAGGACTTTCAGTATCGAGCCAGTGTACCTCCAATTAATCAATCAGTCAGCGTTTCTGCATGTACAGTGTCTTGAGCGCGGACGCATCCCAACGGCTCTCGGATCAGAGTAACAGGCGCCTCCAGTCCAGCCCTTTATGAGGCTTGATGTCCCTCAAAATATCAACAGTAAAGCAAACATATTTCCCACCGACCGCCTGACTGCTTCCGATCAAATCCCAAAGCCGGCGGCATCCATAAATCACGCATTCCTCTCATAAGCCCTCCACCACAACCCAACATTAGCCGCCACCAGCAAATCCAGCATCGCCAGTCCCTCCGACTCAATAATCAGCTTCCCCAACTTGACCTGCTTACCCCCAAACCCACCCCCCGCCTTCTCCTGCCCAAGCGTCAGATCCACTTTCCCATCATCATTCAGCACAAAACCCGGTGACACCCCGCCATCCCAGCTATCGTGGCGTGTATGTCTTGAGAAGTACGATGCCCGCTTTTCCGCGAGCGGAGTAGACGTAGTTTTACTCGAGTTGGGAAGGTTGAAGCGGAGTTCGCTGACCTCAGTCGTATTGCCGGAGTGGGTGTGGCGGCATTTGAGACTCTTGCCTGTGGCGCCGGTGTTGAACTCGCATCTACCATCCCAGGGGCTGGTGAAGGTGTAGCTTTTGTGCCGTTTGTCCATTGTTGTTAGGCTCGTGCTACTTATATCGACTGAGAGGCGATTACGTAACAAACTTTTCACATCACCATGGATAGGAGTGTACTCCGTCGACTTCGCCCTGCCATGGCCGTATGCATGTTCGCCGAAACGTGAACCTGGCATATGGAGACGCCTTCGGAAGACACCTTCTGGTGGAGGCTCGCTGTCGGAGGATTGCGTGGATGTGCTTATGCGAGATTCGGGACGATCTTTGTCGATGAACTGGGCGTAGCCTGGGTTGCTGATGTCCAGGTATACAGGAGCGCCACCTCGCTTGATACGTTTGGCTGCTCCTGGTACAAGCAATGTAGGCGAGCAGACCTCGTACACCGATGGGTCATGAATAGAAGCGACATTCCATTGCTCACCCAAAGCAGGATCTCGTCTGATCAGTGTCAAAGAGCCAGGAGTGATATCAGGAGTGTCGGAGTCTGCTTTGACTTCTGGCTCGTACTGTCTAAAATACGGATTGTTGTCTTCACTATGATCCGCATGGCGCAGTAGTCGCTTGTTCTCATCGTGGAGCGATGGCCGCCGTACTTGATCAGCTCGTGGTCTGGGCAACGGCCGTGATGGGATGATAGGAAGATTCACATGCGGAGGCACAGGCGGTGGTCTATCGTCGTAGCTAGTGACGTTGACGAATTTTCGGGAGATGCGCTGTGATGGCTGCGAGGATAGGCGCTGAGTGGCAGCTCCAGGCATTTGATCATTGACTGGAAATGGCAGAGCTGAGCCGGGTACTTTGCGTCTCGGAGGTAATACTGGTGGCTGATTTCTTACTGGTTGCTCGGCAATCGGAGCAAGCTGTGATGCATCGACGTCTGCAGATGTCCGTCTCGGCTGTTCCAGTATCTCATGGTCGGCCTCGTTGTGGATATGGACGTAGTACAACGAGCTTTCCACGTCCTCAGCGGAAACGACCTTCTCGCGTGGCTTCAGTGGCGTCAGGAACACATCTCTGCTTCCTGGTACTCGGGCGATATACAAGACAAGAGGTTGTCGAAGATCTTGATTCGACGTGCTCGGCTGTTGCGGTGGATTTGATGCGATTGCCGTAATGGCCGACAGCGATGTGGCCTCTACTATCGAATCTGTACTGTATGCCATGGCTGCTTCACCGAGTTATTGCCTGAGCCCGTGTTATGTATTCGTTGTGGCTGAGCGTTGACTTTCATCCAGGCAGACGCATTTTGCTGGTCGAGGCCGCAGTTTTCTTCTACGCAATATCAGCATACAAGCCTCTTGGCCACATCCTAATCCGCTCATAGCGATCGTGTATCATCAGAGGCTGTACAACTGTGATGCTGGAGGAGCAAACATAGATTACGTGCAGACTGTGGCTGTACCTGGTCATTGCCATTTATCCTTGTCGCCACTACGCTGTCCGTGCACAGCAGATATTTGGCGGCAAGGCAATGAAGAAGCTTGCCTCACGAAACGCTAACTCTTACCTCGTCTACACCAGGGAGTCAAGCAGTATGGTAGATATGTGTTGTAGCGAAGAAACAGAAAAAGAAGACAAAGTGCTTCACTTTCACACATCTCATCATTCATGTACAGTGCGGGCGCTAGACCCCGCTAAGTCTAGAGTTTCGGCAGAAGCGCCAAGATTTCGCATTTCCTCTGCTGCGAGTCTGTTTCGCCGATGCAGAAGTTATCCACCGCATGTCGCTCTCCTTCCTCCCTTCTATACCATCCTTACCGGCCGGCAACATGACGGAAGAGATAGAAGTACCCGAGACGATCGAGGTACGATAGTTGACGATCAAAACATCTACATCTACATCTACATGACTGACCATCTCGACAGCAACGCCTCCAGAAACATGCCAAGGCCTTCGAATCGTTGATGGCTCTGGCGCCCGCACGTGAGTACTTTGGAAGCCAGATAGACGATGGACTGGAGCCGAGCGAGCAATGGAACCGCAAGAAGCAGACCAAGGAGCAGAAGCGAGCGGCGAAGAAGGCCAAGCTCGATCCGGCAAATCAGAAGAGCGCTCTGGATGTCATGAAGGAGCACGAGCGGAAGCGGAAGCGCGAGCTTGGCGAGGAAGGCGGAGAGGAAGGCGGGGTGGGTGGCGAGGATGCGGAAGAGAAGACGGTGAAGAAGCCTAAAGTGGAGCACGACGAGGGGGCGAGGAGGCGGCAGAAGGCAGAGCGGCGGAAGGAGAAGCGGCAGGTGAAGAAGGAGAAGATGGAGCGGAAGAAGGTGAAAGCGGATGCTAAGAAGGCCGCCAAGCAAGATCAAGACCTGGATGAAGCACTTGCAGAAAAGCGAGAGGCGGAAGCAAAGCTCGACGAGGACGATGATCAGTATGATGAAGATGATACAGTGGTTGCGCACAACAATGGCGGCGAGCTGGACGGCTTTGATGCCTCAGGTCTTGCTGAGGACGACACAAATCTTGGAGAGGATACACTCATGGACGACGCGCATAGTGTTGTGGGGTCCGAGGCTTCGTCAGCTCCCTCAACAGCAGCCGTCGACAGCCCAGCTTTTGACGTCGCCACCAACCACTCTGCAGCATCTTCATCATCCTCGATAGTACCGCCATCACTTCCAGAACAGACGAAGCAGTCTGCGACAACGAAACCAGCAAAGCCTACAGTAGACACAACTGCCGCACAGGCTGCAATAAAGAAGAGCGACCCCACATCTGGCACATCATCACCGAAGATCCAACTACCAAACATCGACCAGGCACAACTCCAAGAGCGTCTACGACAGCGAATAGAAGAGCTGCGGGCACGACGAAAAGCGGACGGACCAGAAGGCAAGCCAGCCAAGAGCCGACAAGACCTTCTCGAGCAACGGCGGAAGAAGGAGGAGCAGCGCAAAGCAGCCAAGAAAGAGCAAAGACGACAAGCGAAAGATGATGAGCAGTGGAAACGAGAGGAGCAGCTACGAGGCTCAGGCAGCCCAATGTCCATGGACATGTTCAGCCCACGAACTCAAGAAAACAACTTCTCCTTCTCCCGCCTTGCCTTCGAAGACGGTACTTCCGCAGATCCCACAATGAGCACCCTCGCTGACCCGCGAAAGAAGAAAGGACCCCAAGACCCCCGTACAGCCCTCGAAGCCGCCCAAAAGAAACAAGCCCGCATTTCCGGGCTCGACGCGGAGAAACGCGCAGACATCGCCGACAAAGACATGTGGCTCAACGCCAAGAAACGCGCTCACGGCGAGAGAGTCCGAGACGACACGAGTCTGCTCAAGAAGGCGTTGAAGAGGAAGGAGAAGGGCAAGTCGAAAAGCGAGAAGGCTTGGCAGGAGCGGGAGGAGAATGTTGTTAAGGGAAGGGAGATGAAGCAGAAGAAGCGAGAGGCGAATTTGGCGAAGCGGAAGGAGGACAAGGGTGGGAATAAAGGAGGAAAGAAGGGGCCCCAGAAAGGCGGGGCGAAGAAGGGCGGGAAGAGGCCAGGGTTTGAGGGGAGGTTCAAGGCGTAGTGTTATTTACTGCTATAAATCGAGCGTACCGAGCCTTTATCATGCCCAGTGCTTATGGGGTTTGTCTCGTGCGCTAGTGCAAAGCCTTGAGGTCTATCTGGCGCCCTTCATTCTTTTGCTCGTACCGGTGAGTGTTGATGTAAAGCGAGTTGGGGCACAGAGGGAGGGCGAGCCAAGAAAGTACACGTGCTAGGTCGAGGCGTCCAGTGAGACGCACTGACTTGGTCCACCAAGGTACAGGACAGGTTGATACACTGAAGTCGTCATTCATACATCTATGCATTACAGCCAAGAGGGTATTTTGTCCTTCGAAACCCTGCCCACTGACTACTCCATGCGCCAGCCCCGCTCTCCTACCCAACCCCACCAACATTCTGTCGTGATCGATCCAAGCATCATCATCTCGAAAGCGTAGGCTTACTCGCAGTATTCACCGGTGGTGGCGGACCCTCCGCATCTGGATACGGTAGTCGTCTACCCAGATCACCCATGTTCATGAAAGTCCTCGGTCCTCCGCCACCGTTGTAGTTCTGATACTGTAGTGTCTGTGGCGATGTGGGGGACTGCATCTGCTGGTCCGGATATGGCAGAGGTGTCTTTGGTGGTAGTGGTGGTGCTGGGGCCGAGTATGGCGGTTGACCTGATGGTGGTGATCGTCGATCGCCATTGTCGTGGCTATGGCGTGGTGAGGGGCCGTTGTTTGGGAAGTGTGGTGAGAGTGGTGACGGCTGCGCACCATAAGGTTGGGCGGCCCGTTGTGATGGTGTGCGAGGTAGGTCGTACGATTGTGGTTGTGAGTAGCCGTCGTCTGGCGTGACCACATATTTCTGATCGGTCACGCTCGGGCGATGCTCTGTCGAGCCTCGTGCATCTGGCGGGACATAGTATTTCTGATCGGCTATACTCGGTCGGTGCTCATACTGTCCTGATCCAGGTCGGAATGCCTGAGTCTGGTAGTAGCCGTCGTCGGCCGGTAGCTCGACTGCCATAGGATTCGATACTGCTGGAGCAGTCGGCAGTGGTCGATCCCATGGATTCTGCCAGCTCTCGCGGTCTGCTGCAGGGTTTCCACCGGCCGCCTTTCGTGCTTCAGCACGTTCGTGTCGCACTTTTGCGAAGTGTATCTTAGCCATCTTCGCTGCAATACTTTGGTTCATCCCTTCCACGTCACGCTTCGAGAGGTAGCTTCGGGTGTTCGTACTAACTTCTGACAATCGTGCCCATTCGTTCATACCAAATTCGCCGACGCCAACTTCGACATTGAGGCGGTAGTAGTTGTCCACGTTCACTTGTCGAGAAGAGAGATACTCTCTGACCATGTGCTGATGTGTCTCTTCACATCCTTGTAGCTTCCTGATCAATCTTCTCCGAGCTTCCGCAAAGTCACTCATACTGCCACCAAGCAGGCCTTCCCACCACTCATGCGAATCTTGTGATGCTGGCGCTTTGCCCGTGCCAATGCTTACAAACACACCGATTTCACGACCAGGCCATTCGTTCAACGCTGCCTCATCCAATACCATAGGTGAAGGATTGTATTTACCCGGACCTTCGTCTAGATACACCGACTGGCCTATCTGGATCGGCTTGAACGCCATGGCTATCGCGGAAGTGGCTCGTCCAGCTTCCCAGATTGTGCACTTGACGTCTGGTGCTGGTTCCTTTCGCGAGTCGTACGACCGCAACATCGTCGTCTGATTTGTGCCTTTCAGTACTGCAGTCACTCCAGTCTTCGTACGGTTCTCTCGGATGTCGTACAGCTGAGTGTTAGGGTTGCCAGACTTCAGCGAGCCAAAGCCAGGCCCTACACGCGAGCTGATTGGACTCATGCCAATCTGACTGTATCGACTGTTCTGACTGAGTGTTCGTTGCGGCAATCCGTTCGTATCTGTGCTGCTCCTACCTGCCAGATCCGACATGGGCACTGCGTTCGCAAGACTATCATTCCCTTCGTCCTCGAATATTGTATGCTCCCGTACGCACTGCTTGATCGCCTCTTCCAGCATACTAGCCTTGAACATCGTGCTCTTATATGGGATGCCTGCGAATGTCTTGTCCGTCTCGAACACTCTCCTCGTCATCCTCACGTACACTTCCTTGCAGGTGTCTAGATCCAGCCGCAGCCTCCCAAGCATTATGGCTATGAGACCACCCGTTCCAGTCCCCGCAATCAGGTCGAAGTAGTCGCATGGCTTCGGGATCTCGTGTCGCTTGGGCGCTCTTCCTTCAATCTCCACGAAAGTCCTGTGCATGAGCTCTTGTAAGATGATGAGCATCGAGTAGCCTCGGATTCCGCCGCCATCCAGTGATAGTATGCGCAAAGGAGCGCCTTTCGTGGTGTCCTTTCGGCGTAGTCGACTCTGCTCGTCCATGATGGTAATCTGCTGAGCGGCGCAAAGGCCGCGGTACGGGTTGACTCAGTAGTTGCGAAGGTGCGATGTTTGAGCTCGAGTTGTCCTGCAGTATTTCTACAACAGCTTCCGCCAAGTGGATCGCGGTGGGAGAAATAGTCTTGCGCCTGACTGGAGACCCGGCCGCAATCACCCACGGCTCATATAGGGCTGACGTAGCTGGTCAGGGTATGGGCGTGGTGCTGAGGAGGCAAACAGTTTCGTATCGGTGACACAAGCAGGAAATGTCGACGGTGATAGAGTCTGCGATCAAGTTTTCATTCACTATATCTTCAACCACCGTCTCTTAGTAGTCAAACCTCTTCTCGGAGCACTTCACTGCCGCCCAAGACATGTGCTGTGGGGCGCCACTACGTAGCTGCAGGGATGTTCAGCGGCCTGTTTGTGGCTGTGCAGCTGTTTGCAGGCCAGCGGTTCGCAGCAAGTCATACGACAGTTTCATGCTACTGCACGGTTGATAGTAAGCTTGCCTGATAGCTTGACCGACATGGGAACGGTGTCGATGGAGTGACCCAGGCCATCATCTGTAGGCCGCCGGCAGCAAGCACTTGCGAAATACATGGCAACGACCTTCCAGCGTACACAAGTACTGCAGACCGGTCATGACGAGCGAGGCAGCGGTAGCTTCGTGCCGAGTCTGTGACAGTAACCACCATGCCTCAGCCGCGGCACCATGCTGTGACGGTAGGCTCATTATGCGAGAGGCCTATGTGGCCGCTCTGCTGATACTCAGCCCACAGCGAGCTGTCTCCAGGTCATCGCCGAACGCGACTGCATCTCGGAGTGCGGCGCAGAGAAGCCTGGATGCAGCAGCGAGGATGCGACCTCATCATCATCTTTTGGTAAGCGTAAACGCGGCGCCTGTAGCGAGCACGCCACAAAGACCCAGAGGACCTTCGCGCACATCTTGAATAGCGTTGGTTGCATTTGCAGGGAGCTCACGTCCCGTAACCTCGAACCCTGCTGCAAGAAACCTACCGTGACGGGCGCGAAGTCCTCCTCCCCCGTCATGCCTGGGAAACAAGAAAGGCCCGAGAAGACGATGTCGTCTCCAAATTTTGATGAAGGTAAGCGCAATGACAGAACGACAGACGACAAGTTAGAGCGGTTTCAGACGACTAGTCGAGATGTCCGCACTGAGAAGAAACTTGGGACGTGTGAGAAGCGAGCTCTGTGCGACGAAGACGTACGGACCACTATCCCAGATACATGTGGCTCTCCATATGATCCAGCAGTCACGTCGCCTCACAAGACAAGCTGGCGTGAGCCCGACGGACGCAGTACAACCAAACCCAAGGCTTGTTATGCCAAATCCAGGAGCGCCATCGTTGAAGAGCCTTCAGGCGACGATTGTTGCCGGAAGTCGGACAGCTCCACCTCAAGACCGAAGAGAGGAAGCGATGTCGGTCCTGATGTTGAGAAAGGTCCCTCATTCAGGGAACATGTGTCTCTATCTGTTCAAGGCTTGACATGTACCGGCTGCGAAACAAAGCTTTAAAAAGCCTTGCATGAAATCCGCGGCGTCGGCAACCTTCACACCAGCTTGGTATTGTCGCAGGCGCAATTTGATCTCGATGAGCAAGCCTGCCAGGTTGATGAACTTGTCAAAGCCGTCGAAAGGGCGACCGGGTTCTCTTGCCAGCGCTCGAGCAGTACCGGGCAGTCTCTGGACGTGATGGTCGATGGCGATGCAAAGGCCTTTGTTGAGCACAAGTATCCAGTCGGGATTACCTTGATCAGCGTCCTCGGTCCTCACGAAATCCGCGTGACTTTTGATCCGAATGTCATCGGAGCACGAGCGATTCTTGAGACTGCCTTTGGAAGCGTACTAGAGCTTTCTGCACATCGGGCAAGTTCTAACCTTGAGACGGGACAGAAACACATTCGCCGTACGGCTTGGGTTACACTGCTCTCCGTAGTCCTTACAATACCTGTTCTTGTGTTAGCCTGGGCTCCTTTACACCCCCGTCCGGTCGTTTACGGTGCTGTATCGCTGGCCCTTGCTACGGCTGTACAATTTCTAGTTGCCGGCCAATTATACGTCAGCGATCTGAAAGCGCTGGTGTTTACAAGAGTAATGGAGATGGATCTCCTCCTTGTGCTCAGCACCACGACCGCCTACCTTTGCTCGGTCCTCTCTTTCGTGTTCGAGGCTGGCGGCCGCCCGTTCCCTGTGGGAGACTTCTTCGAGACGAGCACATTGCTGGTCACGTTGATCATGCTTGGCCGATTAGTCAGCGCTTTCGCCAGGCAAAGAGCAGTGGAAACTGTTTCTGTCCGATCACTCCAACACCACAGGGCGGTAATGTGCGATCGAGACGGTGGCAACCCACGGGAAATAGATGCGCGCCTCCTGCAATATGGCGATCTTCTTAGTGTGGGACCTGACTCGCGAATCACGACTGACGGCGCCGTTGTCACGGGCGTAACCGAAGTGGATGAAAGTATGGTGACGGGAGAGGCCCTGCCTGTCGAGAAGCGTCCCGGCGCACCAGTTATCGCCGGCTCTATCAATGGATCTGGCGTCATAATCATTCGCCTCACGAGGCTACCCGGAGACAATACTATCAGCACGATCGCAGCGATGGTAGACGAGGCCAAGTTCGTAAAGGCAAGAACGCAGGAACTAGTTGATCTCGTTGCGAGCTGGTTCGTGCCCATCATCCTCATCCTTGTCGCGGTGACTTTCTTGGTCTGGATCGCCATAGGAATCGCCATTCACCACCAAGGCGCGGGCACTTCGATCGTCCACGCGATCACTTACGGCATATCCGTGCTTATCGTTTCCTGCCCGTGTGCCATTGGCCTCTGCGTCCCAATGGTCATTCTGGTTGGCGGCGGCGTGGCTGCGAAGCACGGAATCATCGTCAAGTCGGCTACTGCTTTCGAGAAAGGCCGCAGAGTCTCACATGTGGTCTTCGACAAGACCGGCACTCTTACGGAAGGCAAACTCCAGGTCGTGAATGAGGCCATCCTGGCGCCGGAGGAACAAATCGCCTGGTCTGTCACACTTGGCCTGGTGAGTATCAGCAAGCACCCTGTCTCGGCGGCTATCAAGTCTCACCTAGAAGCCAAAGTCGTTCGAGCCGCGGTTCTGAAAGACGTGCGATCGATTGCTGGCAAAGGGATCGAAGGCACTTACAGCGGCACTCAAGTGCGCTGTGGCAAGTCTCGCTTTCTATCTCTTGAAGAGGTGTCGGAAGTCCAACGTCTTCTCCGAAAAGGCTTGACGGTCTTCTGCGTCACCATTAAGCACAACCCTATGTGCATCTTCGGCCTGTCAGACCGTGTGCGTCCCGAGACCAATCTCGTCCTAGCGGAGCTTAAGAATCGCCAGATCGCCATCTCGATCCTCAGCGGTGACGACGCAGCCTGCTCGCCGCCCAACTTGGTATTCCTCCAAGCAATGTGCGGTCCCGCTGCTCGCCTGCGGACAAACAGAGCTACCTTAAGGATCTCGCAAGGGGAAAGCGTGACCGCATTGTTTTCTGCGGCGATGGCACGAACGACGCCGTCGCGCTTGCTCTGGCCGACATTGGCGTTCACATGAGCAATGGCAGTGAAATCGCGCAGACGGCTGCGGATGTTGTGCTCCTGCGACCTTCCCTCATTGGCTTGCTTGTGCTGCTAGACCTCTCGCATGCGGCGATGCGCCGCGTGTACCTCAACTTCGCATGGTCGTTCGTTTACAATCTGTTTGCGATACTACTGGCTGGGGGAGCTTTCATACACGCACGTATCGCGCCGCAGTATGCTGGGCTTGGGGAGATTGTCAGTGTGCTACCTGTCATTCTAGTGGCGTTGCAGTTGAGGTTCTTCACGAAACGATATAGCTTAGGGCTGGACTGACAAGGCCTGCGTGGTGAGGAAAGTCACACGACGATATTGCGCTACTGCACAGTCGATAGTGAGTCTGCTTATGGCTTGATTGAAAAGAGAACGGTGGTGATAGGGTGACACTCGGGAGTGGCGATAGCTGGTCAACGAAAGGAACATGTGCCGGCGATAGGAACTGGTCACTGGCATCGTCTCAGGGACCATGGCAAAGGCGATGAGGTAAAGTGTCAGGTCAAGAACACACTCTAAGAAAATCTAGCACACACGCCGTTCTAGGAATCCAAACACCTCTGATAATATCAATCGCTTGAGCTACTATCGCGATGGCCCTCCTCCAGCGACTGCTTCTCGATATCTGTGCCAAGGCTTGTACCTGAGGATGAAGTCCTTGAACACGTCGTTTTTGACGATACTTCCAGTACCTGCGTCTTTGCTCTCGGCTTGATGAGAAGGAAGCACAACACCGTCGCGATCGTAATGGCGACTGCAGACAGCAGAAAGACTCTCTGGAAAGCACAGCGAAACCCTTCTGTCACCTCTGTGCTCTGTGCTGTGGTCAGATGCTTTTTGTCCGGACGATCGAACGGGTGCTCGGCGAAGGTGGCCAGGCTGCCTTTCAAGGTAGCCTTGACACACTTCTCCAATACACTGGAGTTCACAGCTGTACCAAGTGCGCCACCAAAGTATCGCAGGACGTTCCGGGCACCTAGTGCTGTAGCATTCTCACTGGCATGGACCTCATTTCGGATAGCATTGACGGCGTTCTGAAAGACTTTACCAGTCCCCACGGCGGTGAGCGCCAGCAAGAAGCAGATGACCGGATCACTCAGTCCAAAGACGAATGCAAAGATGACAAGAGCTACCATCCAGCAGCTGAAGCCGACAAAGGCCACCACAGTGTATCCAGGGATACCTTTCCTTTCCAGAAGGACGACCAGCCGAGCCGATGTGGTCGAGCATGCGCCATGCGTGCAGACGTAAGACAGCATGAAGAGTGCTGTGCACATCATCGTGAGCTGGCGAACAAACGTCAAGTACATGGGCATGTACGTGATCAGTGTGTTGTACGCAAAGCCGAGCAAGATGTTCTGCATATAGATGGCGGGGATGGTCCGATTCCTGAAGAACTTGAATGGCATGATCGGACGTGCGCCACGAACGGGGCCATAGTAGCCGTTGAGCCAGAAGACCACCGTGCCAACAACGAGCAGCACGACGCAGGTCGACAAGATTGCCGAGTCTTTCTTCATGTCGCGGCCTTGCGTAGCAAGTATGAGCACAGGCACGATCGCGAGGATGCCGAAGATGATACCGATCCAATCAATCAGTCTGACCAGACCTCTCCAGCCACCTGCCTCCATCCAGCAGTGTTGGACACGATGTTTGGCAGGCACGCAAGATAACGCCAGGACGAATGCGATGGCGTTCAGACCGACCTGGGTGTAGTAGAAGTACTGCCACATACCACGGCCAGCAACCAGTTCAGAGAATACCGCGGCCATGATCATCCCGAGAGCGCTCCCTGCGGCAACACTGACACCCTGGAAGCCTTGGTAAATCTGTCGACGCTCTTTGTCCAGGTAATCACTCTGCAGAATATTCACCAGACCAGAAATGCTCCCGAAACCTAACCCGGCGAAACCACGGAAGACGACCAGCATACCCAGATTATGTTCGAAGTTGCAGAAAGCAGTCCCCAAAGCGCCGACACCAAGGAACGCTGTGGCCAGGACGAGAGGAATCTTACGACCCAAGAAGTCGCTGAAGTAGTTGAAGATACACTGCCCGACTACAGCCATGACAAGGGCAGCGGTGGTAGCATACGAGATGTCCCTGCCTAGGCCTGTGTCCTGGGCTAGAGTCGGTGTTAGCGATGGTGAGCCCATGATGTCGAAGAAGGCAACGCCGTTGATGACGTTCAGGGCTGCGACGGCCTTCATAAGCGCCCATCCCTGTAGACGGTTATCATGGTCGATCGTGGTCGTCGTTGCTGAGGAGGGAGTGTCGGGAATCGAGTCGCTAGGTGAGCTTGAGCCAATAGAGAGGTCTTTGGGAGCCATGGTAAAAGTCTGCATAATCGAGAAATAGTAAGGGGTTGTTCTTTCGCTGAACCAAGAGTTCTCACCTTGTCTACTGTATCTAAGGGAGGCATCTACGACCTCATATATACATCTTCCGGCGCTGCTGAGGACAACGCAGACTGCAGAATATACTCTTGAGGGTTGGCATGTTGCTGACCATCTCTAGATCCAGCTGATCTTGAGGACAACAATATCTTAAGATCACTTTCAACGGTTGATAGTACCTATGAAGCGGCTGGTGATTCTATATCGACGCGCAGGAGGTGTGAGAATCCCATTTGCTCTCTCTTGCAAGATAGTAGCTGGGCACTGTGCAAAAGGCATGTATGTGCAATACCGACCACGTCGATATGAAGCTTGTGCTCCACTCTACAACCTTGATTTCGAGATCGATGATGGGGTCGTGAAATTGACGCGAAAACTCTTGCTACGGAGGACTCGTTATATATATGACGAAGTCATCCTCTTCCGCACATTCGTCATGAGCGTACCCAGCTGCTCATGGTACAGGCATGCCACTGCAATCTCCTCGCAGCTGCATGCAATGCAGTAAATTCAGCCATGTTCCAAGCGCCGAACTCCTCATGCTAGATATGTTCGACAGCCATGGAGGAAGCCTTCAAACGAAGAGGCTGCTCTCGTTATCACTGTACATCTTGATGATATCCGCCATCTTCTTCGACTCCTGGATGAAGTTGAGCGGGTTGGCATACTGCACTTGATAACGCACCCTATGATGGCAAAGTCAGCACAAACCTCTGTTGACGTGAAATACCGAGCCAAACATACCTCTGCTGATCCTGATAAGTATCCATCTTTGCCTTACACCTGAACGCAAAAGTCTTGCAGTTCGCATCAGCGAACGAGTCAGTGACCCGCCTCTCATCGCCCTCATCCCTCATCTGCATCAACTCGTTGGCCGTGATACCCATTACCTGCACGCCTACATCATTGAAACATTGCAGCCAGATCTGTCCGGTGTGATCCGACACGTTCACGGACATGATATACCGGTACTCAGGCCGATCCCACGTCTTCTCGCACTTCTCGCATCGCCACACGCCGGGATCAGTCTCAACAACTTTCTTGTTGCAATTATCCGTCTGGCAAGCAGGGTATGACACACTGTCTTGCTTGATGTAGATTACCGTCGCTTTGACTGAGAACCAGTCTGTGTCGTCACCCATGCCAAGATTCTCGTCGCGAACTTGGGCGATGGATTTGTAGGCATTGCGGTCCGAACTTCCGGCTGCTGTGGCAGTAGACATGGTGTTGGCGTGAGATTGGAATTGATCATTACGTCCACCTCCGACGTACCATCCTTTTAGTTTATGCGCCTCGTCGATGTCAGGATCGACGTTCATGGTGCCGGAGGAAAGGAGGGAAAGTGAACGGCCGCCAAAATCGGAGACCTTGACACCCTTGAACGCAATGACAGACTCTGGCTGAGCCTCGAAGTTCTCTGCTGTCTTGCCCCAAATTGTGAGTCGTGCGTTGTAGCCAGTGTCATCCACAAGAGTGAGCTCGCGTTTACTGTACGGCTTCGCGCTCGTTTTGCCCACAATCTCAGAGACCTCTCCAGCTTCTGACAGCACGCCGATACAATCGATTGTATTGTCCTTCTCCACCGTCTGCAAGTCCGCGAGCGACGTGAAGTTGTAGCGGACTTGTGGCACACCCTCCATATCTTCCGCCTTCTCAATTTGCGTGTCTCGCTCGAAGGTAAGTTCGTAGTCATTGTTAAGGTTCGAGAACTGCTTCTTCGCGAGTTGTACTTTGCAAGGGCTAGAGACATAGTAGACGCCGCCTTCTTGCAGCAGCTCGTAGAAGGAGTCTACCGCGTCGTTGAAGCCTGTCGCACGGATCTCGCCGGAGTCGTCTAGGAAGTTGACGCTGAAGAGCTTGCCCTCGCCGTTCTTGTTGTGCCACGTCTTGATGTCTCCCTTGTGTGTACACCGTGCCTTGATCGTCCATCGATGTGCATAAGGTGAGAGAGCTTCGATCGGGTGGATGTTGCCGTGTGAGCCACCGTTCGATGCGCCGTTGGTGCGCGAAGGTAGCGATTGTTGCTGCTGCTGCTGTGGCTGTTTATTGCCATACATACTGTTGCCCGAGATATTGCCAGGCTGTGGCTTGACATCCTGCTCTACCTTGCCACCTGCCTCCATAGCTACTGGCTGCCCAAGCTTTTCCGGCTCACCATACTCTTGCAGGATGTCGAGGTCGAGGATGATCATGATATTCTTGTCCTTGACGAAGTTGATCTGGTATTGCTTGATGCGGCAAATGCTGCCTTTCTTCAGCAGGTCGTCATGCATGACCGAGTTCATTTCTATCGTCAGATCACATTAGCACATAACCATGCCCTAGCAGCAAGATTTGTACTTACGCTGCGCCAGCATGCATTGTATGAAATTGACACTGTCGTTCATCACCACCCGATACCTCTCCTGATTCTGCTGGCTGGCCATGGGCTTGATCTGCACGCATTGCAAGACTGGGTTGTCGACTTGTATGCCTTCATTGATCTGTGCCAGAGCTCCCGCGCTCACAGCGCCTTGTGCGTCCGCCATTGTCATGTCTTCGTATTCGTCCGACGTGGGTGTCAGTATCTTCTCGCCTTCACTGCTAAAGGAAGTGTTGTGTGGCGGAATATTCTTTGACGCCTTCAAGGCAAACGCGTTGATAGAATCCCCGCGACGCGCCAGAACGTCCGAGCTCGCGATAAAGTGCTTTGTCATGTTGGTGGCCAACGATAACGGAGTGAAATGAACAGGAAAGCTATATGCTGCGAGTGCATGAAAATATGATCAGACTCCGGCCGTATGCTACATAGTAGACTGCTATATACGTTCACATCAATCATCAAAAACAACCCCGCCATCATTTTTCGAACATGTATGAGATCTGCCGCTCGTCCTTCCTCTGCAGAAACTTCATTGGACTGAAGCTGTCCTGCTGCCTGTCCGCCCTCACACCACGGAGCCACGGAATAAGAAAGACCCTTTTTCCCAGGCCATATCCGGGGGCTGGACCGGTCATGCGCCATCGTATGTGTTCACAACCATAAGGTACACCCAATGCCAATGAATTTCCTATTGCCTATCATTTGTGTTCAAGCCGAGTCGTGATTCGAGCGAGCTGTGTTTGTGCTTGTGCTTTGGAGCGCTCAGCACATCTGCCTCTTGATCAGGATCTGCCGCCTCTGCTCCGCTTCTCTGATGATCTCTGCGCATAATCTGAGACTAGGCGCCAAGTGTGCCAACCTCTCTGCTTCAGCGACGACCTCTGTGAAGATAGCGTCCATCTGGTGCTCCGGAGGCAGCAAAGCACTCAACGGTGGGCATAGTGTTGCTGCCATGAGAAGTAGTGCCTGACTCATGATACTGAGAGCGCCTTGCCACAGGTATGGCAGATGTCCTTCATGATGAGCCGAAAGCTGCTCCAGCTGTCTGATACAGGCTTCGAGACACTTGCGGCATGCGTCTTGCACGCCCGGCTCGTTGGCCAGTGATTCATCCCCAAGTACTGCTTGGATGTACGGTCGATAGATGATGGTTCGGCAAGCAAAGTACCGCAGTCTGAGCACCGTCTGCACAGAGTCACGAGCTTGAAGCCGCTCACGTGGGAACTTGACCGGTGCTGGCAAGTTCTCATACCATTGCTTGAGCTGGAAATCGAGCTCCGTCACAACAGGATCCAGTGATGCCAATGAGAAGGAGGCTGACATCTTATTCGTGTGCAGCAGATGTGATACACCGTAGATGAGGTGAGAGACACGATTCAGGAGTCGTCTTAGCGCGATCTCGGCCAGGAAGTACCACAAGTCATCGCTTCCCGGCGGCTCTTCTCCTGATGGATCGGCATCGAACGGAAAGCTTCGTGGCAATCGCATGCCATCCTCATGTTGTGCGATGCCGGAATGAGGTAGGTCGAGCTCTGCCAGCAAGTCCGACTCGATCATGATGGTGTTCCAGAATACCCTATCACTAAGCTCACGCAAGTGCTGCGGTATGCCATGAGGTGATTGTAGAAGTAGTTGCTGCTTCATCGAGGAGTTGCACAACATGTTCCATGCCTCCAGTGGTCGGACGATGTACATCAGATATGCTGCTGCCAGGATGTGGCATTGGGCACTGATCACATCGTTACGTATCATGAGTCCAGGCAGGATGTTCCAAGCCGCAGCAAAGAAACTCATGCCTGGAGGATTCTGTCCGTGGGGCAGTTGTGAGATGCTGAGGCCAGAGAAGGCAGCCTCTCCCAGTGCAAGCACCAGAAGCACAATACAACTCTCCACGCCTCCTCGAAAGCGCTGAGACGTTGCGCAGCGATAGTAGTGTGACCACTGGTATGGGTCAACGACTGCATACCATACATTTGCGCGCTCGAAGAACGCAATGGCGTAGGAGTTGATGTTGCTGAAATCGAGCGAGAAGGAGCGACCGAAGTTCAGCGGTTCTCGTGACATCTCGAGCTGGACAAGTACAGATGGATCGCACTGCTGTGACACCAGATTCTTGATGACTGGCCATTGCAGCAGATGCAATGCTGGCGTCGTGTGTTGTTTTGGAATGGTTGAGATGTTAGCTGACCATGTCCCCACGCCATTGAGTGCAACGCCTTGGCTCGTGGGTCCACCTGTCTTCTTGGCGAGGAAGTCGTCCGAGGCAGTGTTGCTAGTCGCTGGAGAGATCGGGACCATTGCGTTCGCGCTGCTTGGAGACAACGATCCATTTAAGCCTGTGTGTAGCAGGCCTTCAATCCGTGCAAGTTGTTCCAGTATCAGCTTGTCGCCAGCGTCAAGCTTGATACCAGGCTCTCGGTAGACACAGTCGGCGCCTAGCTCGGTGCAGAGTCGACATTTCGGTTTGTTGCCATCACAGCGAGATTTCCTGCTTCGACAGATCTCGCATGCGATTGTTGCACGACGCCGTGGATAGTCCAGGGTATCCTGGGTGAAGCGCTTGAGGTGAGCCAGCTCGGGCGGATCCATTGCGTCCGCAGAGTCGCTGCAATTTTCGCCGTTCGGGTCTCCACTCTGGCTGAGTGAGGCTTTCCTGTCGTAACTACTGCGTGCTCTCTTAGCCACAGGTCTCTCTTGCCTGTGAGTAGTAGAAGTTTCCGACATTGCGCTGCGATCAGTGGCAAGTTTAGGGAGGGCCATCATGGGCTTTTTGCTGCTCTCGTCAGATGCTGAACGAGGTGCCTCAGGGTTGATTGGCGCTGAGACTGCCGCCATCGACGCGCTCGCGGTCATCAGCGATCCGTCAATATTGTGTTGAGTGGGCCTGTGCAGACGACGCAGCCTTCGCCAATGAACCTGGAGGCTTTATCAGACCAGGGTGAGCAGGGCATAGTCCAGGAACCCTTCGATTGCGCGATTTCTAGAAGCTGCACGGAAGGGTGTCAAGCTCGGCGTGGATCGCTTGACACCTGCAGCAGCGCAGTCGCCTGAGCTAGGACTCCAGGTGGTTTAATATGCGCCATGAGAGGTCGAGGGCAGCATCATGGGATTCGTGTCAGCAGCCACGGACACTGGTGGCCCACCTACATTTTACCAAGCCAACCACGATACGGAAGCGGTTAATGTCGAAGGCTGATCGAGGTGCTTGCTATGCACGCAATCTGCCCGTACGCTACGGACCTGGGGTGAGCGGGGGATGCAGGGCACTGTACAAATAGCCTGCCGTCCTCGAGATGTTCCGTCTCTACCCGTGCGTGCCTTGCTCTGCCAGATCTGCTTTTCACATCACCTCACATGCACGTGGTGTAAAGGGAAATGCCGAGAGCTTCGCAAGAATGTTGCGTATGTGGCACTCTAGGCAGTGTGCTTGCTCTGAGGCTGCTGGCAAGAAATACAGGAGCAGACGGTGAAATCTTCGCTAAGAGGTGGATGGCCCATGTAATATTTGCACGAATCTCGGGCATTCGGAAGCCTGCTAGAGGACGATTTTGTCGTGTCCCGGACTGGCTCCAAGCGCAGCGGCAGTAACCGACTCCCGCTGCGGCGGATCCTGCATCGATCGAGGTGCTTGGCATCATCTTTTTTTTTTTGAGAAGGTGAAGAACCGAAAGTCTGATTGTCGCCCAGAGTCTGCAGCGACTGCTCCATCGATCTATTGCCGCTGAAATGTCAAAACGATCGCTCGAGGACAGTGAGGCAGTAGATGTCAGCAAGGAGGCCAGGAGGGAGGCGAAGAGACTGAAGAAGGGGGGCAAGATCAAGTCGGGCGAAACTTCTGCGAGAGCGCAACCAGATCTTGTCGCCACCACCGACTCCGGGCCACTGTCGAAGGAGGAGCGAAGGGCATCGAAGAAGGCTAAGAAGGAGGCTGCCAAAGCTGATTTGGCCGAATCTGCTGCCACCTCGACTGCCGCAGCCAGCGAGGACACCGAAGCAGACGCCAAGGCAGCGCGGAAGGCAGCTCGGAAAGCTGCGAAGGTCGAGCAGGCGAGCGAAGCAACATCAACGAGCAATGGACATTCGTCGGAGGCAAGCAACGGTCTTGCTTACAACCAGGACCCTGCACTGAGTGCATTACCACAAGCAGAAATTGATACATTCGTCGCCGAGAAGCAGCTTGCGATCGAAGACCCCAAGAAGCAACTTTACCGTCCAATCACCAACTTTAAATATCTACCTGTGGACGAAGCACAACGAGCACCTTTTGCGAAGTTCGAATCTCCGACGCCCATTCAAGCTGCTTGCTGGCCGTATCTTTTGGCAGGTCGAGATGTTGTCGGTGTTGCAGAGACAGGTTCTGGCAAGACGCTTGCATTTGGTGTGCCATGCATTCGCTTCATAGCAAGCCTACCTAAATCGCAGCGCAACGGCATCAAGGCATGCATTGTCAGTCCAACAAGAGAATTAGCCATGCAGATTTACGAGCAATTGGTCAAGCAAGGCGAGTCTGCAGGTGTCAAGGTGACGTGCGTTTACGGCGGCACGGTCAAGGATGAACAGCGAAAGACGCTCAAGGGTACACATGTGATTGTCGCAACTCCTGGTCGGTTGAACGATTTCGTACAAGAAGGCTCGATAGATCTGTCTGGTGCACGCTATGTCGTGTTGGACGAGGCAGACCGTATGCTTGACAAGGGCTTTGAAGACGAAGTGCGCAAAATCATCTCGGCTACTGCTCCATCTGGACGACAAACGCTCATGTTCACTGCTACTTGGCCGCCATCCGTGCGAGAGCTGGCCGATACTTTCATGTCCGAGCCAGTCAAGGTCACTATTGGCGACAACGCATCTGGCGAGCTGCGCGCGAACACGCGAATTGTGCAAGAAGTCGAAGTGATGACGCAGTTCGACAAGCAGAACCGCCTCCTCGAGTTGCTCAAGCAATACCAATCTGGCAAGAACAAGAACGATCGTATCCTTGTTTTCTGCTTATACAAGAAGGAAGCTACACGAGTGGAGGAGACTATACGGCGTCGAGGGTTCAATGTAGCTGGCATTCACGGCGACTTGAACCAGCAGAAACGCACAGAGAGCTTGGCAGCATTCAAAGCTGGTAGTGTGCCAGTACTGGTCGCCACAGATGTCGCAGCCCGTGGCCTCGATATCCCTGCTGTGAAGCATGTGATCAACGTCACATTCCCACTTACCGTTGAAGACTATGTGCATCGTATTGGAAGGACGGGCAGAGCCGGACAAGATGGACATGCGTACACGATGTTCACCGACGCCGAGAAAGGTCTGGCTGGCGCACTGATCAACGTACTGAAGAGTGCGAACCAGTCGGTACCCGAGGAGCTGATGAAATTTGGTACCACGGTCAAAAAGAAGGGCCACGATGCATACGGCGCGTTCTACAAGGACACGGGAGACATGAAGAAGGCAACGAAGATCACTTTCGACTAGTTGACATGTATACTTTATAGAGGTAGACTGTGCACTGCATTTCTCGGGCACGAATTTGATCTGTAATGCGCAGCATCCCCGAGCGGTGCCTTATAGACGGCGATCGTTCCTGCTCGGCGCCCACTTTATCGTGTACACTCTTCTTCCCTTTTGCATCAAGTTCCCTCCAAGTTTCATCTCTACGACCTTTCAGACGCAAACACCCACAACGATCTGGCCAAAAGTGACACGGACCCTACCTCCACAATATGTGTCACCGAGTGACTTGCGGGACGTGTCGTAAGTGTACCTGTCAATCCGGCCCACTACTCCGTAACACATGAGTACTTGCGATCTCGTACACTGGGCTGACGTCGATCATCTGTACCTAGACGGAGCGACTTGGACCGGATGTGGGGCTCACGTACCTGGCGTACTTGACAACATACCCTCGAATGAATGGTGTACATGCGAGGCTAGAGTAGTCAAAGATGGCAAAGAGTACCCTGCTGCAGGTAGGCTTCGAGATCTGACTTGCTGTACATCGGCTTCCCCTATCTCGCACGGCTGATAAAATGCGTCTCAGGGTCGATTTTCGGGTCAATCAAGGCGGCATTTGGCTTTGGAGGACCTGCTGCTGCCAAGGGGAAGGAGGAGTTGTGAGCACTGCATTCGTGTGTATCGCTTCTGAATTGGCCTGGTGTTCTTCGCCATTCCATGATCGACCACGTTCGAGTCTATACTTTGAGTGTCTAATGATATGAACTCTTGTCGTGTCAGGCTTGTGCACTCCTGTAACACTTCGCGGTCATAGTGCAGTATGCACTCATCAATCGATGGCGCAACGGGGCCGAAAGAGCTGCAGAGCGAAAATCATCTGACAGACCTCGACCACTCCACCCATTGTTCTACTGTCTTCCAGCCGAGAACATCACTTTCTTGCATGAGGAAGGGAAAATCTCGCCTCGAGTAATGCTCTGACATAGCGGTGTATAGTAAGGTCTGGAGAGCTTCGTGCTTGTGGACGGTCTAATAATCAGCACTGCGCCACGATGCCATGAATAGCTGACATGTCGAGCACAGCTTACGATGCGGCCACATTTTCGCTGCTGCCCTTAGGAGCCGCGTATGTCCGAAGCATCTCACGCCACGGATCTGAAGAATGAGGTGAAGTGATTGCAGGGTAATGTTACTGCAGCCATCCAGCCATGCGGCAGCCACGAGCAACTCTGCGGTGAGGTGAGACGACGTAAGATCGGAATGCTTTAACATGTCTTGCGTCCTTCAGATCGTGACAGTTTACCACCCAAAGCGTTCCTTTCAAGACCAATACCCAGCCTTCTTTCATTTTGAGCCTCTGGGAGATTCCGCCGCGCCGGACGACTACAGGACCCTATCGACCATGGAACAATCACCCGCTGTGTGTATCACGCTGCTGACAGATCTGGAATCGACGGTGAAGAGACACTGCTCCTTGTGTTCGTTCTTCCATGAGGACGGTACTACAGCTTGTAGCCACACAACGAGGAAGGCTACGGCACTATGGGCGCCATCTGTGCTATCTGATTCATCTTTCTACACCGCTCGGAGCTCAGAAACAACGCTATACGCAAGTAGATATCGAACTTCTGATTTCGCCATTACCTCACGGACTGCGATCCCAACTCGACCCAGCCTACGTAGAAAGATGTCACCGACAGAAGTCTCCCTACGGGAACTCAGAGCCAAGCATGAGCGGCAGTCTTATATGCGGACGAAGCAGAGCGATGAGCAGTTGCAGCAGCTCTATGAGTCTCAAATCATGACATACCTCAACCGATCCGTCCTCGACCTGGACAGAATTGTGGAGTGATTTGAGATGCAATCGGAACGCCATATCAAGATCTGCCGGCCATAGGCGGCATCGCATGCAAGGAGGGCACATGAAGTCCGATCAGTCACCAAAGGTAGCGCACTGCTCTGGGTTCGGCGAGGAGTTTCTGCTCTCAGCTAAGGCATCATGGTGGTCATGAAGTCACAGGCGCGCCGAGTCGTCGTTGCGGTGCGTCACCATCAGTCATCATGATTCGACGATACTCAAACACGATATGATACCCAGAAATGTACATATACATTACAACTGCAGACCCATCCCACTCAGCCATAGACAAATGTAGGCGGGTCTGTACCCACGAATATGACCAGCGCTGCAGCGTACGCTGCCGTAACCAGACATATTCGATCTGGCGCAAGGTCGCTAACTAGTGCGATGCCTAACGCAAACACAAGCGCAAATGCACATGTTGATACTATGCGTACCAGTGCTCCGGCGATGAGTTTCATGATGAGATATGGAGCGAGCAGAGCCAGACACCCAAGGAAGGACATGAGGAGTCGCTTCGTCTTCTGCATGGATGGTGATGCTCGTTTCGTAAACCCAAGTCTGTTTGCTTCCACTCGTGGCGACCGCTTCTTGGGGTCACTCCATGCCAGGCCAACCTCCTCGAGTAGTCTGCGGTCCATGGGCTTGGTTGTTGACATTAGGAATGGATCGGCCGCGCGACCCTTCAGCGCAGATGATTCCATGTACTCTAGGTCTCGGATAATTTCACCTACGTATAAGGTCAGTCTGTTGCTCGCAAATTTGTACCCTCAAAAGCCTACAGTATTCATGCAGCGTCTCTCGAATGCCTATCTCCATCCATGCCCCCTTTTCTCCTATTGCCTTGACCTGCTCGACAAGCTTCTGCTGGATGACATGCTGGCTCATGCGTTGCAAAGTCGTCAGGTCCAGTACACCATCGGTAGAGTCCTTGAATCGATGCGACGACTTCAGGTCGTATAATAGGTCTGGTTTCCCAGCCTCGAAAACACGCTCTGCGAAGGTCGAAGACTGTAGTTTGTTCTTGTGTTGGATCAGAGACGTCAGGGATCTCATGCCGTCCACTGGGCTCTGTGGGTATGGCATATTTCTTGCGGCGTCCAGTATGTCCGTCGATCTTTGCATGGATGGTCGGTATGTCGGCGCTGGGGATGGCAGTTCTGCGTAGCTCGGTTCGTTCAGCATCTTGGGCTCCACGGCCTTTTGCGCGAAGATAGGTATGTGTGCGCTGGATCGACGTCTTGATGTGTATGCAGCAGAGCGGTCTTCTGGCGAAACAACACTTGACCGATTTCCGGATACTAAAACACTTGTCCGACTGATAGGTAGGTGGGCACTTGTCCGACTACCAGGCCTGTGTATACTGTTCCGACTTGCAGATCTGTGGGTACTCAAGCGGCTGCCAGGAGAACCTTCGTTCCAATAATTAGACCGATGAAATTGAGCCAACTCGGAAAGGTCGTCACTGGATCTCCGCCGGCCGATGTTTCGGTCTGTGGAGTCGATGCTGTCGGACTGCGAGGGGCGCGAGAAGTTGCGGCTGTGAGTTCTGGTTCTTGACATCTGTCGCGAAAGACGTTTGCCAGAAATGCCGAAATTGTCCACGCTGCGACTTTGTCGACATCGTGGCCTGCCGTCCTTGTCTAGATCGGGCTCGAGACTGCTGCTGGGCGAGGTCGACATCGTGGGGTCGAAATGGCCACAAGGAGACTGGAGCCAGAAGTAAGACAGGTGACTCAAAGGTAATCCGCAACAAAGTCTGATCGCCAGAGAGCAGATACTATACAATGCAGCATCTGGTACGCTTGCATCCCTCACAATAGAGCCCTGCTAACCAGACCTTCTCGTTCTGTCGCAAATCATCCCTGATTTACGACTACTGTGGTTGGCTGCTTGCCGCTCCCTGCAAGCCCTGTACCAGGAGACGATGGAGCATAGGTGCTTGATCCGGAGATAGTTTCGTACAATTCCAAAGATGGCGTTTTGCATCCGGTTAGTGGTGTACATTCCTGTCTCAAATCACACCCACTTGGCCCTTTCACCCTCACGCCGCGACACAACGGCGTCTGAGCTTCGGAGCAATTTGTCGCGGCTTCGCTAGCATGAAGTCAAAAGACTCGTACACGATCTTCCAAGATGTCTCATTTCGCCAATGTGCCAAGTATCTTGATGAGAGGATCGTTGGTCGGTTGGCGTTCGTTATGCAAAGCCTTAGCTGAACAAAATACATTTGTGTGCTTCTGCGCTTGTAGTTCGAATTCAAGGCCCAAGAAGGTGGTTGATTCTGTCAGGGTCTGCGGCAGCGTACCGCTTTTCGCGAGACCCGGGGCGGCTCCTCCACACGATGCTAAAATAGGTGGTTGCATGGCCTACGAGACTCGTTCGCGATTATTAGTAGTGCTCGTAGCATCTGTGTTTCGTCTTGGTTGCACTTCTGACAATTGGCAGCCTAGACCTAGCACCACTCTATCTGCCGAAGTCGCTATAGACCACATCTCCAGGTCGGATGACCGGTATTGATATGTCATGTGACCTTCGACAATCACTTATTCATACCACGGCGTTTGGAGAGATATACCGCGACTCCGGGAGCCCACCTGCGCACATGATATGTCTCTCGTGCGTGATATGTAACTCATAGAAACCGGCCAGCCAGGCGATGATCAGAACTGGCTCATTATCAGACTGAAATCCCAGCCATTGCCGACTCTCGTATACGATTGGAAATCGTTTTGGCCTCGATCTTCAACCCATCACGTAAGGCTCATAGTTACGGACGATCAAACAGATGCTCGGAAGAGGAATGATATCGTCAGCAGCATTGAAGCAGCCTAGGATATGGTACATATGATCTTGCCCTTGGTCTGAAGGAGAGGTCAGTTTTGTTCTCTACTTGTGAAAAGAGCCATTCTTGACGGCGTACCTTATTGGACTCCATCAGTCGATGTGCGTCCTGGATCTGCTCCCACGGGAAGACCTTCTCGATCAGAATCTTGAACGAACCATCCACGAATTTTGGTAACGCATGATCATGCAGAGAGTCACGGAGCTTGCCTTGGTATGTCTCGTCCCTGCTTCGTAGCCCACTGCCTTCGATCCTCAAACGCTTACGGAAGAAATTGCCGAAGTCAGGCTGTGCCATTTCCGGTGTCAACTTCATGCCGCTCAGCGATGCCCTAAACACGCCGGTCAGATCCCTTCCGATGTTGCCTGCGTCACAACTCACAAATTGACGATTCTGCCATCCCTCGCAATACACTCCAGATTGCCGGCGAAAGTCGCAGGTCCTATGAAGTCCACGATGATATCGACACCCTTTCCATCTGTTGCCTTCAGCACTTCCTGTGACCAGTTTGTGGTTTCAGTGTTGTAAGCCGCGGTTGCACCCAGTTCCTTGACACAGAAATCGACCTTATCATCACTCCGAGCAGTGGCGAACACCCTGGATGCATCGTTCCCTTTGCTCAACTGCTGCCCAGATATGCTGACTGCGGAGGCTCCTGCATGCCATAACACAGACTTACCAGGCTCGAATTCACCGATGAGGAAGAGTGCTTGCGTGGCTGTGATCCAAGTCTCCGGAATACCAGCACATTGTTCATGGGTCAAGTTTTCAGGCTTATGCATGAGCATGTGCGTGCTTACGGCGATGTATTCAGCATAAGCGCCTCCGTATGCGAGGCCGAAAACAGCGTCGCCTTTCTTGAAGCCCGTTTCTCCTTCACTAGCAATATCTTCGATGGTACCAGAGAATTCTACTCCCATAGTTGCTGGAGCTTGCGGTGGTAAAGGATAAAGGCCTTCCCTTTGCATTAGATCCATTCTGTTCAGACCAAAAGCCTTAACCTTGACCAGAGCTTTCGCATGGTCAATTTTTGGTAGTGCTATGTCGTTCATGAACATGCTCTCGATCGGGCCTTTGCCATTCTTGATATCTATGGGCAGTCAGCAACTCTCTTTCTGACATGCCAACTCGATCTTTGCATACCGATTGCACGCATGGTTGCCATGATCGCTGCACGTCTTCACCCCTCAAATAGTCCGTTACTTTGACGTTAAGGGAGAGTGTCGATGCCAGATGTGCGGGCAAAGCGAATTTCTCGCCAGTGCAAGCAATGTCATGAAGGTCGTCGACTACCAAGCATGATGCTTTGCAATCGGTTTTCTAATTCATTAGTAAGTGGGGTTTTATGACGAAAGGCAGAGGAAGTGGGGCTATTAATGCGGGCACAATTTACATTATCGCTCATTCAGTATTTGTGCAGTCCCTGTTTGATTTCGAGAGTTATTTGGTGGGTAGCAATATGCATGGTAGCACACAAGTTCGATCCATGACCGAGACACAGACATACTCAGGCACGCCACATGTCTCCCTTCACAAGATCGCTTCTTGAGACATATCCACTGGCACGTTTGACGAGCCTCACTTTCTCAATGCATACCAGGAAGTACAATAGCAGTGCGAGCAGGCGACTGCACTAGATTGAGCATGTTGATTACGATAGCCATGACGTCGAGTCGAGCGAGCCGCACCGTTGCCACAGCTTGCACTATGCATCCCTCTACCTGTCGACGCTCCATGAGGATAGCTCAATCGCCATGGGGGCCGTCGGTGAGCACCTGCCACTGTCGGCTCTAACGCGAAGCTCGTCAGCTGGCGTGGCGACCATTTGTGACCAGCTTGCGCTGCGAGAGGGCTCAAAGCGGATGTACAGTACAAGGAGCGCGGTCATTGTCGTAAGTGAGCTCCAAGGAGTCAAGTCGTTCTACGATCCCATCTCGTGATAAGCGTGATGAAGCGCAGATGGATAGAACCTGTGCGCCGGCCGATATGCTAGCTCCCAATTATCGGGTGTGAATCGAATCGAGCATCCCAACAAGCTCTCGGTATTACATTACTGTCAGTGCGGATGCCGTCAGTCTAGCCAGTATAAATTGATCTCCCGTGGTGGGCTGATGGTTTGCGTACGTAGCACGTGTTCGCTCGCGGCCGTATATAGCAGTCTCACCAACCATGGTGAATAAGTATTGTCGACATGCGTTGCCCGAAGACAGGCGCTGTGGCTCACCAGCACCATGGCAAACGAACTCATCAAGATGCGGTCTGATAGGTCAGATTTCACCTCAAGCTCGTCTCTGCTTGTCAGGTACGGCAATATCAACAGCTGATATTCCTTGCTTCCACATTTGTCTGAGGCGCACACATTGTGTCACCCTGTCCACGCAGTCCCGAATGGCGGTGAGCTTGTCCACGAGGTGATGAACTCTGGCAGCTGGTTCTTAAAGGTGATTGGCAAGTATTTTGCGAATCGCGCGATGATTGTAGCAGAAGCTCTCCGTCTCCGTTGGGTAGGCGACCTCCCAAGGACGATGTTGATGCTCGTATTGACGCGTAGCCGATGCCGTGCAACAGATGACGGCAGCAGTCGTAGCTTATTTCATGCATTTTTCAAGTCTGACGACAGGACAATAATGTTCATGACGATGATGCCAGCGTACCTCAAAAGTCGTAGGCGGTCAAGGATCGACCATAAGGCGCAGTGAAGTGAAGCATATCTAGGTCGCGGTCGCTACTGCGCTGCATGTCTCGGCGCGCTAGTCATCGAGAACAAGGTTTGCTTGGCGACGAGAAGATCTGCCCCTGTCGTCACGTCTTTTCCCAAGCGTGGTAGTACATCGTTTCCACCGCATCAGCCAAAGCGCACAGCGATTGCGATGTTTGTCGTGCTCGCTCACGCACATTGACGTCGCCGCCTACGTACTGCAAGTGCTCAAGGGTCCTCCATGCACAAACCCGCCCACTCTACCTTACGCATCTCGGATCGCGGCATACGGGTGTCAGGATGGACCTCAATATAGCCAGGCAGATATGCACAAATGGCAGTATCGTTGTACCCATTGGAGGTGTTGGGCGTGTGCGATGGTTCCTAGACTGCATTGCAATCCTGCCACTTCGCTGTTCCCGCATGCTCTGCACACGATCATTTGCAGCGTTGAGGCAAGGCGAAGGTGAACTCTTCTACATAGTAACATCATCGCCGTCTGCAAGACTGGTCCACAACGTGCTTCACTTGCTTCTACTGCGTTTGCCCTCCCGCCGTCAACACCAGCACCAGACCCACGGGAACGGGTTGCCGACATCAATTGGTAGCACGTGGCGGTGACGATCCAGAGCTTTTGGAAATCCCGACATTCTTTACGCGCCATCTTCTCTGCCACTACACCTTGGCACCAAGAGGACTACCTGCACCTATGCTGAACCAGGCGATCACCGAGTTGTGGTCTGAAGAATAAACGCCTGCAAAATGTGGTTCGCCACACAAGCTCCCTCCAAGCTTCTTCTGGGCATCGTTCTTTCCATCGCTATCGTTCATATTGCGCCTTTGGCCACACACCAGGTCGAAGAAATTTCTGCTTCACCAGCGTTGGTGCATGTACGTCGTCAGAGCTCGTTCGAGGTCGTCACTGGCATTCAGCAATTCGGTATACAGCCTCGTCTGGAGATCCGGCAGCTCGAAAAGAACGTCGATCAATTCAACATCTACCTGCTTGGACTTGTGAAGTTCCAGGCCACGAACCAGTCCGATGAGCTCTCATACTACGACATCGCAGGCTAGTTCATACAATGTCATACGAGAACAAGTCACTGATCATGTACAGGTATCCATGGACGACCATATCAACCATGGGATGGCGTAGGACCTGGCGACGGTCCAGGTAATCCGGGCTTCTGTACGCATGTCTCCAACATATTTCTACCATGGCATCGCCCGTATCTAGCTCTGTATGAGGTATGAGCAGTGGACGAACTATCGATTCCGGCCAATACTGATCAAATGCAGCAAATTCTGTATCAACACATCGTCGAGGCCGTCAACGAATTTCCTGCAGGGGCCATCCGCCAACGCTATGCTTCTGCTGCCCTCTCCTGGCGTCATCCATACTGGGACTGGGCTGCCGAGCCACCAGCTGGAGAAAGTGTACTTCCAACCAGCATCACCTCGCAGACTATCACTGTCACAATGCCCAACGGGACCGCGACTATAGCAAATCCACTGTACTCTTACCACTTCCAGTGGGTCGATGTGGCGGATTTCTATTACAGCCCTGTAAGTCGAACACAATTCTGTGATTCGTGCTCAGAACTGATGAGCCAGTTCGCCGAGTGGAATTACACGATGCGTGCGCCTTCGGACTGGAGTTCATCGGCATACAGCGAAGACAATTTAGTTGCTCAAGCCCTGGACAACGGCAGAATCTCATTTCGAGATCGCCTGTACAATCTGTTCACCAGCTACAACAACTTCACTCAATTTGGCAACGAAGCCTGGATGAGTACTTCTGACGTGTCCAACACCGACAGTCTCGAGGCTCTTCACGATGTCATCCATAGTATCACTGGCTCACGAGGCCACATGACATATCTCGACTATTCCGCTTTTGACCCGCTGTTCTGGCTGCATCATACAATGATTGATCGATCTTTTGCATTGTGGCAGACGATATATAATGATAGTTATGTCGAACCCATGGCCGCACTTGATCCGACTTTCACGGTTAAGGTAGGGACCGTGCTGGACGTCGATACTCGTAAGTTCAATGACATGGCGCGTCAGGCGTAGCGACTGTACTGACTCCTGCAGCATTGGTGCCGTTCCACTCGAACGCAAATGGCGACTTCTGGACGTCGACAAAAGTACGTTCGGTACGTTCGCTGGGATACACATACACAGATCTCGGCAACGATAGTATTGATGCGGTCAAAGCCAACGTCAACAAGTTGTACGGCACCAGCGCTGGAATTGGCGGACTATCCAGACTGAAGCGAGAAACGACTGGCGAAGCCGATCCAGATATCGACGCGCCAAAGGAGGTCGTGAACGGCAAGCACCAGCAGTATCTCGCGAACATTGTCTCGCAGAAACTCGCACTGAATGGTTCTTACGCCATCTACGTATTTCTGGGATCATTCGACGACACACCTGCGGCTTGGCCGCTGTCGCCCAATCTGGTTGGGACGCATGGTGTCTTTGCTGGTCTGTCTACATCAAGCAGTGCCAGGGTGAGAAATAAGGAAGGCCCCGGAATCACTGTGACTGGTTCCGTGCCGCTCACCTCGTCACTGTTGGCAAAGGTGCAGAGTGGTGAGCTGCCGTGCATGGATGTGCCTACAGTCACAGCTTACCTGAACCAGAGCTTGCACTGGCGTGTTGGCATGGTGAGCACTTCATCGCCGATTGTGACCAAGCATACACTGACCTGAAGCAGTACGATGGCACCACCGTCTCGCCGGAAGACCTCGAAGATCTCATGATTACCGTCGTGAGCGCAGAAATCGAGCCTGCAGACTCGGTGCATCAGTTCCCGAAATGGGGTGATTTTACGGTTCTCACGAATGTTACTGAAGGCAAGCCTGGAGGGTGCTGATCTGCAAGTCATGCTCATGAATGGCATGATGGCGTTGTGGACGAGTTGATGGTAACGGCATACTGTGTTCATGCAATTGTAAGCATGGCCAGCACATAATATCATAGCGCGCGTAATATGTGTATAGTAATAAACTGTACACACGATTGCGGAACTGAGGATCGATTCGACAATGATGTGTTGAAGGCTATGCTTTTACAGTCTCGATAATGGGTATCATACTCGTACATTCGTACTATGTGTGGCTCAAGCATCTTCGACGCGAGCTCTCTTACTACTCCCAGCTGCCTCACCGTCGACAACTTCCTCACTCTTGCGCTTCCCTTTGCCGTCGGCAGTAGCACCATTCGTGGCATCACTCACTGCCAGTTCAGCCCTCGGCTTTTTCTTGTGCTTGACAAGACCCGACAGATCATTCGCTTGGGCTGTGGCATCCGCAATACGCTTCTCCTGCTCGGGTCTACTCTCACCCAGCATAGCGCCTAGCACGCCTCGGAGTGGATCGCCGCCGTCTGGTGCTCCTGCAGGTCCTCCGGCGCCACTCAGAGACACGGCTGGGTTGCGAAGATCCACGAGTCGTTGCTCCATATCTGCCACCATTTCCTTGACGTCTGCTACGCCTCGTCTGCGCTCTTCTGTTTTGGTGTCCTCTGAGCTCGCGAGTAAAGTCTCTTCTTTGGAGATGCGGAGTTTGCAGGAAGCGATTGCCTTCTCCATCTCGTCCGCAGCTTCTGTACGCATCTTCTCATCGACTTGAGCCACCTTTGACTCTTGTCTGCCATCCTCATCGTCTGCTGTTGACGTCACCGACGAGAACTCGAGCGCTAGCGAAAGCTTGAAATGCGCTTCGGCGATCAAGCTGCTCTCCTGCGGGTACAGCTGTAGCTTGAGAGCAAGTGAATCTCGCGTGTCACCGATGGCATCCTGGAAGCGTTCATTCTCTAGAGAGATCTCGGCCTGCAGGTCATGCGTGTCCGCGAGCCGCTCCTGTAACTGTCTGACTTCGGGGTGCTCTGTGCTCACTTTTCCAGCTGCCTGTTGCGCTGCCTCAAGCCTTCTACGAAGCAACACTCGAGCAGTGTCCAGAATCTCGAAGGCAGTCGCGAAATCGTCCTCTTCCTCCTCGGCCTCGGCATCTGCCTGTTCCTCTTCATCTTCCGAGTCAGTCCAGTTCTCGTCCCCAGTGATTTGGAAGAACGGCTTTGAGGCGATGTCTGCCTCGTCCTTCATACCGTCCTTCTCCTCCACCACAGCCTCCACGACGTCTTCTGCTAATTGCTGCTCGCCATCACCCTTCGCTGCCCTGCTAGCACTGCTCTCTGCGATCTTGCGCTTCTTGCGTTTCGGCTCCTCGGTGCTTGCTACCTTGCCGCCAAGCACGTCACTTCTACTAACGGCGACGTGGTACAAGCAGCGGCCGTATTGGTAAAGCAGATCGGCGTTGTCCAGTGACATCTCGCCATTGATCTGGTCCTGGACTTCGGCTGCTTCACTGTACAACTCGGCGGCGGCGTCATAATTCTTGAGTGAGTATTGTTGCGTCGCGTTTGCTTTGAGCTTGTCCAGCTGGGATACAAGCTCGGCTGGTGTAAGTTGGTGCTCTTGAATTGTTTCGTCGGCCATAGTGAGAGACAAGGCTCTATGTCGAGCAGGCGAAGGAGTGAGATGTTATCAAGGTGAAAGAGTGGTGAAAGGAAACGCGATTGAGTCGCGTTGAAGCACGAGTGCACGGCCACTTCTGCACGCACTAGCGCCTCCATAACAATTCGCATGCACGTCACCGTCGAGACATTTCTAGACAAATTTGGAGATCATATGTTGGCTTGGATATCTGGAATGGAGAAGAAACCGTTCAAAGTAACGACAGAAAACGTGCTGTAAAGATTGCGTACAGAACGTGTCGGCCAGCTTGCCTCAGAGTTGCCACTTCTTGTAAAGAAACGATAGGGCAATGATCGCATGAACTATCGAACATGGCTTCCAAGAAGGTCTTCAAATCTCAGGCCAACAGCGGACGAGCCAGTGGTGGTCTCGGTGCTTTTGGCAACTCTGCTTTTGGCTCTTCTCACTCCTCGGCCTTGTCATATATTCAAGAGCCACTGGACTTCTCTACGATTAGCGACGTAAATGTCGTTGTATCGCTGAAGAACCTGTCCAAGAAGGACAGTGTGACGAAAGCAAGAGCCTTGGAAGAGATTCAGACGTATGTCGCGAAGCCAGATACCGATGTCGAGGAAGGACTAGTTGAAGCATGGGTAAGCATCCACGCTCCTCAGGCAATATAGCAAAGCTGACTGGGGACTTAGGTCAGGTTATATCCTCGCTTGTCAATCGATAATGCTCGGCGAGTTCGTCACCTCGCTCATACTGTCAGTGGCAACATCTTCGCCAAATGTGGCAAGAGAGCTGCCAGGCACCTACCGAAAGTCGCTGGACCATGGTTAGCAGGACGTCACGATAATGATCGTGCCGCTGGGAAGGCTGCACAGGACGCTTTGAGCCTTGTGTTCGCCAACCCGGAAAAGATCATGGGACTGAAGAAGACGTTCCAAGGTCCTATTCTGGAGTACTGTCGGGATGCTGCTCTTCACGAGACGGCACAAACGCTCAGCGACGAACGGGCCGTCAGTGTAGACGATGCAGCAGCTACTTACGCTCGCGTTCTTGCTGCCAGTCTTGCCGTGGTCACGGAGATGCTCAACGATCTCCCGCGGGAGGAGGGTTCCAAGCAGGAATCTGTCTATGAAGAGCTGCTTGGCGAGACGAAGCTATGGGAGCTCGCCTGCTATACAGAGACCGGCGTCCGAAGATCTACTCATCGGCTGGTCCAGGCTGCACTACAGAAGCAGCCAATACTCGTTGAGACGAATCGGAAGGTTATCAGCACGATATACATCTACAAAGGCCTCCCATCAGATCAGACAGGATCCTCCATCGACTATCTTGCAGCTCTTGATGCTCTGACGGTCCAAATGCCAGCGATTTGGACAGACGACTACAGTGGCAAGAAGTCGGCTGCATCACGATTCAAGCAATTTTGGAAACATGGCTCTCGCTCAGGATCTGGCGAGTTCTGGGCGGTTACCTCAAACCTGCTAGCCAAGGTTCCAGCTGAGGTGTGGCCTGCTGAGTACAAAGAGGCACAAGACCTGCTCTTGGCGGCGCGAGATGGCGTGACGAGGAAAGAAGAGCGCTTCAATGCTTCGACGGCATGGGGTGCGTACTTCTCTCTCCTGACCGTTCTGTCAAGACGACTATCGCACGAGGATCAGGCCAAGGTAGCCGCGGAATGCGCCATGCCTATCATCCAAGAGTACCTCAAGCCTTCACAGGACACTGCAGACTGGGCGATCCATGGAGCCAAGACAGCACACATGGTTGCAGGGGTGACTAAAGTACCGTCAATCCTTCCATTGCTAGAGCAAGCGCTGCCAGAGCTTGCAGAGCACATTACAGAGACCGCGAGACTCTCACAACCACAACAGTCCAAGGACTTTGACAAATCGCAGCTACATGTTGCTTCGACTGGCGAGCGCTGGGCCACCATGCAAAGAGAGCTATTCACCAAAGACTTGCCGGAAACACTACTAGCTACGCTCGTTGCTTCGAACATTAAGCTCGTGCAGGACTGCCATCAAATCCTCGTCAATCGGGATGGCAAGCCGTTTGGTGCCGCTGCAGTCATCGAGGAGCTCGTACGTACCTGCGGCCAACGATTGCTGAAGGACCTCGACTTTAGGAATGCGATAAAAGATATACTAGAAGCCGACGACTGCAAGTGGGTGCTTTGGCCTTCGAGCCGTCAACTCATACGATGTCTGCACGGCCTCGCGCAAGACAGCATCTTCGTCGAACCTTTTGAGACGGCACTACAGGTCGCATTGACCAAAGCTGAGTCGCTAGAAGACTCAAGTCGGCTGGTTCGTGAGCTTCTACCGCGTAACGCACCCGACGAGGCCGTTGAGCTTGCTCGGAACAATGAGGCGCTCCAGGCCTTTATACTGCAGAATGTGAAGCCAGGCTTGAGCGCTACCTCCGGCACAATGCTGCTTGAGCTATACAGTATTAAAGCGCTATCAACGCAGACGATACAGCAGGCATTCTCAAGTCTTGTCGCTGGCCTTGCGGACACGTATGATGAGACAGAGCTGACTTCCACTCTAGACTTTCTAGCAAGCTCGAACAATTCCATCCTGAAGGACGTCTCAGCATTGCCTGGTTGTGAGCAGCTCGTTTCACACCTGCTTCGGCTAGAACATCACCGCAATGACGAGATCGCTCAAAAGGCAGCAAGCTTGTCATCACGGCTGTCGTCTTCGGGCACAAAGATACAGGGGGGTGCCAAGTTCAGCGTAGTTCTGCAGAACCTGGACCACGTGTCCGAGCAGTCGCTTCCCATGGACTCCTTATCAGAGCTTCTGGATCGGGTACTGGGCGAGGACAAGCATGTGCAGGATCTCAAAACTGCTATGCCAGATCTGACGGCGTGGCGAACCTCTTTGTTGGCTGCGGTACGGCCGCCTAAGCTCTCGCTTTCTATCCTGAGTCCGCTGGGTGCTGCTGTGAACTTTGCTCAAGATGTGATGTCGCAGACTACAGCACCAGTCAACGTGGACTCTGAAGGACTATGTCAGGCTTTACGGACTGCCATATACATCACACGGCTACTGTCAATCACGGACGCTAGGACTGGGCTCGTCGAGCTAGAAGAGCAGTGGCACGTACTCGCCATGCTATACCTAGTCGTGCAACTTGCCGAGGACAACCTGAGTGTGGTGGGCACAAATGCTCTGTGGCATCCTAATGCCGGAGCAGTCGCTGAGGCCATCGTACTTGACTTCGTCAGTGATGCTCATCGCTTACTTGGCAGCTATTGGGAGTCTATGCAGCCTACAGATGTGTCAGAGGAGAGTGTCAAGACAGGGTGCGCTGCTATGGTTGCTGCCATGGAGCAGCTCGGACACGACGAGTCACATCAGTCGCCCCTGGCATACTACGTTGCGCTTTCCTACTCCAAGATTACTTCGAACCTGTATGAGCTACATGGCCATAATGCTGACAACACGGCATCAAGCGAAGCTGGTCTGAGGGCGGCAAAGGCGAAGAAAGACTCGCTCCGAACCGTGGCATACTTGGTGGCAAACCAATTACCGCTTGCGAGCTCTCCAAGCCTGACGCGGTTCTGCAACGAATTAGTGGCAGACCTCACTACCCTGGACGTGACGATGCCGGAAAAGGGGCTCAAAGCACAGGAGCAACTTATCATGCTCAACACCATACTGCAGACCCAAGAAGACGCTGTCGACACCATTGCGAAACAGCGTCTGATTTTCCTAGTCAAGGGGCTCATCGATAAGCTATCTCACATCGAAAGCTCCACGATCAAAAGCGAAGGCTACAAAGCTTTGGGCTATCTCCTGCCGGCGATGTCGGACATGTACGGCGAGCATTGGTCTCAGGTTCTGGAGCGTCTTGAGGGCACGTGGGATTGGCTAGCTAACGAGAAGATCGACGATGTCTTGAAGGAAGAACACATTGTTCTTGAACACACTAGCTTGAAACTTTTGGGCATTCTCCGACGGCTGGCGAATTCGGACGATCCAAATGACGATCTTGTTGATGCGTTGAAAAACAAGGAGTCGTCCGTACACAGCCACCTGATGTCGCTATTGGAGCATGCCAATGGTGACTCGGATGAGCAGCATCAAGCCCTGCTGGTCACCCACGAACAGCTAGCTCGACAGCTAGCACAGGCCCCATACAAGCAGCTGCCAGAGGCCAACGAGTTATTTCCTCTACTGTATACGCCCTCTCGTGCGATACAACAAGGTGCTTTTGATCTCCTACACAAGCAGATCCCGGCTGTGCAAGAGCAGATCTCGTTCGATGCAGCTCTCGACAATAAGTCGGTGCACCTGCCTGACGAGCTCTTATCGCTTATCCTCGAAGCACCGACTCTGGATTCTTTAGTAGACGCCTCGTTCGATCGGACGATGCCATTGTCTCTGCAAGGATACCTGTATAGCTGGCGACTGCTTTTCGACCACTTCAGTGGCTCCAGCTATCGAGTGAAGACCGACTACATTGAGCAACTGAAGGATGGAGCATACCTTTCTGGATTACTCAGCTTCACGTTCGACTTCCTAGGCCATTCTCGTGGCAAGCCGATAGATGCATCAAGATTCGACATTGAGACATACACCGCCGATAGCGAGCCAAACCCGGAACGCGACGTGCAGTGGCTGCTCACCCATCTCTACTACCTCACCATGACACATCTGCCAAGCCTAGCAAAGAGCTACTATCTAGACATCCGCTCCCGCCAGACCTCACTAGCTGTCGAGAGTTGGACAGGAAAGTACATCAGCCCTCTCGTTATTAACGCTGCTTTGCAAGATGTGGCGGAGTGGGCGGAGACTAGTGTCAAGGAGGAACCTGAGTATGAGAAGATGCATGTTCGGGTGGGCATGCGCAGTAAGGAGATCAATGTCAGCTATGAGATCGATGAGCAGACGATGGCGATTAAGGTCATCTTGCCTGAAGCCTATCCGCTTGCTGCAGCGCAGGTGGTGGGCGTGAGCAGAGTCGCCGTCAAAGAGGATAAGTGGCAGTCGTGGTTGAGGAACTGTCAGGGTGTGATCACTTTCTCGGTAAGTCTTACTGCCTCCCACAATTCTGATACTATGGTTGCTGACATGGTTATCTACCAGAATGGCTCGATCACGGATGGACTTTCTGCATGGCGTAAGAACGTCGTTGGTGCTCTGAAGGGCCAGACAGAGTGTAAGTCCAACTCTCTCGCGAATAAAGATGACATACTAAAGACTGGTCAGGCGCCATCTGTTACTCGATCATCGACTCCACCAAGCAATTGCCAACCAAGAAGTGCCCTACTTGCAAGAACCTGTTCCACGGCAACTGCTTGTATAAGTGGTTCAAGACGAGCAACGCCAGTACTTGCCCGCTATGCCGGAATGCGTTCTCTTTTGCCTAGATCTAGCGAAGGTCTCGTCTGGGCACGATTTGGTCTGTTACTGCAGGAAACGTAGGATAGAACCAGATGGCAGTCAGAACTCCGGGTTTCGTAGTGATGAGCACGTTTGAGTATTGGCTGGGCATCGCAGGCTAAGATTCGGAAAGCCTAGAGCGAGCGGTCTATATCATCAAGAGAACGTAGGTGGACGGAGATCGATTGCTCCTGCCAAAGAGACATGTAGTCAATACCGAGGTCCTGTCAATGTGCGCACTGGGTCACGTGACAACGGCTGTAAATCCTTCGGCCCGAAGTCGCTCGGCCGAGCTTCGATGCCAATGACGCGCAGTCTAGATTCAACATTCAGAGCTTTGATGAAGCATTTCCCCTACATCCCACATCAGCTCACCACTGTCGACCACAAATCAACAAACATTTCACACGGCAACACCTACGACCGCCCAAAATGTTCAGAAGAGTTCTCGCCACCGCGCCTGCGCAGGCCAGCAGAGCTCTCCAGACTGCCACTCGCCCCACCACCACCTCCTTCGCCAGAACCATCACACCAGTCGCGCAAGCAAGCCGACGAAACTATCACGAGAAGGTGCTTGATCATTACAACAACCCGCGAAATGTTGGAAGCATGAAGAAGGGAGAGCAGGACGTGGGCACAGGTCTTGTTGGTGCACCGGCATGTGGCGACGTGATGAAGATCCAGATCAAGGTCGACCCGAACAGCGACACCATCACTGATGTGAAGTTCAAGACGTTCGGCTGCGGTTCTGCCATTGCGTCAAGCTCATACTTGACTGAGCTGGTGAAAGGCATGACTTTGGAGCAGGCGGGCAGGATCAAGAACACTGAGATTGCCAAGGAGTTGTGTTTGCCACCTGTGAAGCGTAGGTCATTTCCACAATTGATAAAGAGGCATCAGCGCTGATTAGGATTATAGTTCACTGCTCCATGCTTGCAGAAGATGGCATCAAGTCCGCCATCTCCAACTACTACAGCAAGAACCCGAAGGCCAAGGCTACTGATCTTGGTGGCACTGGCGCGTCTATGCCCAGGATTGAGGTCGAGAAGCTGCCAGCTGATGCACCTGCGACTGCCACTGCTTAAAGCAGGGTTCGAGGCAGCATGTCCTGGGAACGTGCAGGTCCTTCTGTGAAATTTAGCGATTCTTTCGAGGAGGCACAAACTCGGCGTTCTGGGATATCATACCACTGCTAGAAAGAGCAGCAGCAGATTGTGGACATTATGTACGAATTTAGCTGATTGGAGACAGACCCCCGACTTCGCTGTCCGCTGTAGAAGCAATTATCTCATCTCTTCGTATCGATGCCCTCGCTTTCTGGCTGCACCCCTACCTATTCGCCTCCGCAGCAACAATGTATAGTCGCTCACAATCAAGTCTGCCGTTCGATCGATAAAGCACCGGAAAATCTGGAGTGGACCCTTCAGATGCGGAGTCCGGAGTTTAATTATGAGCGGTAACCCCGAATGTCTAGGCTGCACTACATATGGCTACTAATGTACGACGTACGCTTTTACGCTGTATGCACCAAGTAAGGCAATGACGAATGCCGAAGTATAGAAGCGCATATAACTGACCGCCGCTACTGACGATTTATCACACAGCATCCACCATCACTTCTTACAGCTAGCCCTTAATATGACCACTCTAGACAAGCTTCAAGAGATCATTACAATCGACACTCTTCGCAACGACGGCGTTCCTTCTGCCTCAGTAGCAATACTGCAGGATGGCAAGATCACAGCACGCGTAGTGACGAACCACAGGGACGATACAGATACGGTGTACCAAGCATGTAGCATATCCAAAGCCATCACTGCAGTAGCAGTGGCGAAAATGGTTGACGTTGGCCACTTCACATACGACACACTCGTTGCTCAGCATCTTCCAGAGAGCACCTTGGCTCACCTCGCGGGCCCAGGATCTGCGAACTGGATTGAGCAGGTGACTGTTCGTATGCTGGTGTCACACACATCTGGTCTGTCGCAAGGTGGCTTTCATGGATACGTTCACCACCCACCGACGGCCGAGTGTATCGTGTCTGGCAAAGCACCGTCCAATACACCAAGGATTCGATTTGATACGTTCCCTGGTGCTCAATTCAATTACTCTGGAGGCGGATTTACTGTGTTACAAATATTCCTGGAGACGATCATGGAGAAAGACTTCGCCACCTTGATGAGTGAGACTGTGCTCGATCCTTTGGATATGTCGCGTAGTATCTATGGAGACTTGCCACGTCATGAAGCAAAACTATGCTATCGCGTACAAGACGGCGGATGTTGTGGCGAACGCACCCTATCACAAGTTTGCAGAGTTGGCTGCTGGAGGCTTGTGGACAACGCCTAGCGACCTTTTGAAAGCGATCTCGGCTGTACAGCAGTCACTACCATGCACCTCAGGGTTCTTGAAACAAGATACCGCGAAGGAGATGCTCACGAGTATATCACAACCTGGTTCTGACGGAGCAAGGAGGATGGCACTTGGCTGGGGATCGGATGATAACGTGTTTGCTCACAGAGGCATGAACTTTCCAGGATATCATTGCTATGCCTTCGGGTCGCATGGTGGTGTTGTCAATAGTGACGGATCGAACCCGGTGAAGGTTCCTGCGGGAAATGGTATTGCTGTCATGACGAACGGGGAGCTGGGCTGGGACGTCGCGACCAAGATCGTGAGCGCGATATACCATCTCAAGGGTTGGCAAAGGTTTCGATCTTTGCCGAGCATGTATGGAGAAGATGACTATATCCCAGCGATGGCTCTATCGAGCATCTCGTTGGACTCAGACTGGAAAGACTGGTGTGGTGACTGGGAAGGGATGTGGGCGTTGCTTAATGCAGAGGGACCAGCTATCTCGTTCAAGGGATCTGAGCCTGTGCCGCTGAGGCTTGCAGCAGCGCCAGTCAGTTTGCTCAGCAACGGAATGGCCGAGCACATGTTTGTCGCTGAGCATGTCAGGGTGGCTGTTCGACTGACTTGGGACGAAGAAGACCGGGTTCTCGAGATTATACAGGCGAACTCGAAGACTGAACATAGAAACCAGCAGAAGAAGTAGTGGAGGGTAGACCAGTGAAGAGATACTGTGCGAAGGTCTGTCGCTCTATCAGTCACTGCGGTTGGCGGCGAATCGGTCGATATGGTATGTCAGCGACACCAGCTAGCATGTCACATATTAGTAGATTGATTGGAGTGGAATTCCTAGCCATTTGATCCCGTCGTGTCTCTCATGTCAGTCCTGGTAATATGCCACGGAGTATGCTTCAATATTTACTCGATCAACACCTTGGTTTTGTATACCTACACGAATGCCAATCCTCTGACTCCGGTTACATAGACATGTGAATGCGGCTCTGCGGCCACTACCGATCCCTGCCGAGTTCCGTTCAATAGCTCGTTTGCAGCACTTCTACCACTTGAGCTCGTTCACCCACTATCTAACCACCCACGTTCTGCCGTCGACATGAGCCGTGGTGGAAGCACAACACTGTATGTCTCAGGCTTCGGCCAGGGCACACGCGCACGCGACCTCGCCTTCGAATTCGAGCGGTACGTCAGCTAGCGAACGAACGATCGAACGCCCTTCGAACGTCCCACCCACCCACCCACACCACTTCCTCCACCTTCTCCCACCAATGCGGCCGACATAACCTCCCCACGAGCAAGCGAGCGAACGACCGACCTCCTCGATGCCTCCCCCGTCCCTACCTTTCCTTCGATCGAACCCCTCCCACAGCGCCTTCCGCGTCCTCCTCGAACCCAATCGCGTCGATTGGTACACATATTAACGAATGGCAAAGGTATGGACGACTTGTCCGCTGTGACATTCCAGCCCCTCGCACTGCCACTAGCAGACTGTAAGTGGAGAACCCCAAGAACACCAAGCAAGCTCAAAACTGATTCGACTTCAGCTTCGCCTTCGTGGAGTACGAGAGCCGCCGCGACGCTGATGATGCGTACCATGAGATGCATAACATGCGCATCGGTCGTGATGACGTGCTGAAGATTGAGGTGAGATTACAGCTTCATGAGAGGGAACGTAAATGGTGCTAACTCACCATGCAGTGGGCCCGCACACCTCCATCAGCCAGCTGGCGCTTCGATGCCGGCCGCGACCGCCCAAGCAGCGATCGCCGCAGCGATCGTGGTAGTGAGCGCCGTGAGCGCTCGCCTCGTCGGTCTAGGACTCCACCGCGTCGCGAGCGCCGTGATGACGATGACCGCCGTGATCGTGATCGTGATCGCGATCGTGACCCCGATAGGCGCGATCGCGAAAGGCGTGATCGGACTCGCAGCCCAGAGGACCGTGATCGCGACCGCGACATGAAGGATAGGGACCATGAAGATGACCGCGACCGTGTGCGCGATCGTGATGGTGACCACGAGCGTGAAAACGGCGCAAATGGGGATGATCGCAAGGGTACGTTTGTCCTATGCTCCAGGCCCAGACCCGGAACTGATTTTTGATCAGAAGAGCGCGAGGAGCGTCCTGAGGCCCATGATGATCTGGATACTGCCGAGTAGGATGCGGTGCTCTAGATTGTGGTTCGACTTACAGTGTGCCTGCGGTAAGTAGATGCTGTCGGTATCAGGCGAGCAATTCGGAGGCTAGGTAGGTTGGCTGAGACACGAAACCATGGCTTCGGATAGATAGCCCCCTCCTACTTCGACGATATACGTGGCTGATCAAGGCATGCCATTCTGCCTGTCAAGTCGTCTTCACACTAGTCCTCCTCCTGCAAGCATCGACCCGAACCTTCTAATAATCCTTTTGATACCGTATCACAAACGAATGAACAACAATAACCTTCTTGAGATCATGATAGGGTCAACGAGCATTGTGGTGGTCTGCCACGAAACAGACATTGATATTCAAGGTCCTTTATGTATACCTCCATCCTGGTCACCATTTACTATAGTCCTCCCATCACTGCCTTGCGCATACTCATCCGTGTCTGCGACTAGGCTTAAGCTGTCACGCATCAAAACATCGGTACTCTCGCGTGCGCCATTGACCTCGTCATGCTGCTCCTGCGAATTCCGTAGCGGGACCTCGTCGTCTGCAAGAGCCTCGTGAACCTCCTTCCTGGCTTTCTTGGCCATATTGCTGTACTTGAGGTAGTTGTACGCTGCGATCGATGCTATCGTAACCACCAGACCAGAAATATTGATCGGGGACAGGCTGTCGCCGAATACCGCGGATGCTGCACTAATGGTCAGGACCTCTTTGAAGATCCCGCATACAGATAGCGTTACCACGCTCGTGCGTTTGAGCAATGTGAACTCCGCTGCGACCATCAAGAATGCCAGACAGCCTGGAAACAGCATGATAAGCGTCCCCATAAGCCAGCCTTTGGCTTCGCCCAGTTGTCGCATGCCCTCAATGATGCCAGCCGGCCCTTCTATGGGCAATGCAAGCACAAAGAGCACCACGAACATGACCGGGCTGACGAAGAAAATACTGCTGAAAGGATTGCTCGTGGCTCGATTTCTCAGCAGCAGAATCTGAGTCATGCTCCACCGAAACCCACTGCAGAAACTTGCACTCATCACCAACGCAAAGCCCGCTACGTTGAACGCGGTCTCGCCAGCTACCATCATGACCACTCCGGCTGTCATAACGAGAATGATGGCACAGAGCTTCCAGGTTGGGGTCTCGAGCCGGAAGAGGAAGGCGAAGACGAGCACGAACGCCAGGACGCTCGACTTGCACATCGTATAGAAGGTTAGGGAAATGAATCGTAGGCTGAAGTTTCCAAGACCAATGTCTAGAGCCGTAGCTGTGCCGCATGGACCAATGCGGGAGAAGTAGAACCATTTCGTCATTAAAGGTTGTGGTTTAGGTTGTGAAGGATCTGGTCGTTTGAGCCCATCGCTCCCATCTTCGCGCCTTGGTCGGAAGGCTGGGACGAAGAAGAGTACTGCTGCGGCGAGGACGAATTGCACTATCATATGGAGGCTGGTGGTGAAAAGTGGATAGTGGAAGTCCAAGTTCTCTTTCGAGAACATCCATTTGTTGTAAACTGATATTGATATGCTGAAAGAGTACCAGAGAGCGATTAGAAGGCTGTTGATTACTGTGGTGCGCAGCATGCTAGACATGACTACCTTGTCTTCGGCTTGCTGCGTGCCTCCATCCCTAGCGATTCGATGGTCGAGGTGAGTGTTTCTCCTCTTCCTTCTTCGCCGACTCTTGCGTTCTGTACGTGTCAAGCCAGTCTCCTCATCGTCATCCAGGTCATCGTCCAGTTCAAGCTCGTCCAAACTCAAGTCATCTGACGAGGGTCCAGCGTCCATTTCTTCCGATATTCGCTCGTCTGTACCGTCATGATATTGTGTAGATTGCCTTAATTGGATCGCGGAAGCCATCAACAGCAAACTGCCCCGCCTGCGATGTGTGGGCGTGTCAGCATCGTCCATAGATGGTCGTACAATCAGCAACTGAATCACGCGACCTCCTTAATACTGCTAATCCGATCGGACGATAGTCAATTTTCCTAAGGACGCAGTATTCAACTGTTCGGTCGAGTAGAAGGCCCAGCGAATATGACTTCTGAATGCTGCACATGGACTAGCTCTCTTCGCCTCGTTCTCGATGCTCTGATAGTGTTCAGCTCTGAAATGTAGGTCAGAGGGATCCAGAACTGGGGCATGTGAATGCAGGGATCCTTCGGCTACGGGACGCGGCAACACGCCGAGGACCCACTTGCCACCAGCCTTGCATGATGAACACCGGGAGCACATCAACTACACCCCATCGTGCGGGCTCTGCTCGTCATGGCTGCGACCTATATTCCAGACGGAATAGCTTCGCCTATCGACAGTGCAAAATCGGTGCTGTCCCCACTATCTCTAGGGGTCCCAGCACCCAGATCAAATGCGTTGCAGAACAGAGTGACAAGTGTGCTCTCTGCTTCCTATGCAGATCTAGAAATTAGGGATGCACTATCTGGACTGGACGAGCGAGACCTGCGTAACACGGCAACCACGCGTCGGCATATTCGACTGGACGTTCAAGGAGAACTGATCCAGTGCAATGGCGAAATCGTCCAGGACTTTGGCAAGGTTGCTCAGCAGCTTAAACGAATCGGTGCTGCAATCGAGAATCTCAACGCAAGTTGTGCCGAGATGAGGAAGCACATCGGTGCCGCTCATCAGGAAACTGGACCAATGTTGGACGAAGCCAAGTCAATACTCAGTGACAGGCAGCAAGTCGAGAAGAAGCAGCTCATGCTGAATGCTTTCACTTCACACTTTGTTGTCTCCGATGCCGACCTTTCTCTCTTGACATCGACTGCCGAGCCTGTGGACGACGGCTTCTTCCGTGTCATGACCAGGGTGAAGAAGATTCACAACGACAGTCAAGTACTGCTAGGATCGGAGAATCAGAGACTTGGACTGGAGATCCTTGAGCAGAGTTCGCGACAACTGAATGCTGCTTTCCAGAAGCTGTATCGATGGGTTCAGCGTGAGTTCAAAACATTGGATCTTGAAAATCCGCAAATCAGTTCTGCTATACGGCGAGCTTTACGTGTACTAGCCGAGCGACCAACATTATTTCAGAACTGCCTGGACTTCTTCGCTGAAGCAAGGGAGAATATCATGTCTAATAACTTCTATGCGGCTCTTACTGGCGCACCTGTGGACCAAGACCATCCTGTTCTTGGCAAGGCGATCGAGCTCTCCGCACATGATCCACTACGCTACATAAGCGATATGCTTGCATGGGCGCACTCAGCAACCGTGTCTGAGCGAGAAGCACTCGAAGTGCTTTTCATCTCAGAAGGCGACGAGATTGCCAAAAGCATACAAGCCGGCATTGAAAGCGAGCCGTGGTCTCGAGAGGACGACGAGACCACTACCGCAGTGTTTGACGGCAAGGAGGCACTGAGCCAACTCGTGGACAGAGATCTCACAGGTGTCTTCCGACAACTCAAGCAGAGGACAGAACAGGTCGTCCAGAGCCATGAGGTAGCCGCGTTGGCGTACAAGATCTCGAATCTCCTTTCGTTCTACAGCAGCATATTCGCCAATCTCCTTGGACGAGATTCTGCTCTGCTGGAGACACTTCGGTCATCATCAGAGACAGCACTCCGGAGCTTCCGTTCCATCATGCGCGATAATGTCATCAACTTGCATACCGGCCTTGCGATATCTCCGACAGATCTAGCGCCTCCTGAGTTCTTGACAGAAGCTTTGGAGACGTTGAGCGTGCTGATGAAGAGCTACGGCACGTCTATCGTCACGGCAGATCGAAATCAGCGAATCGAAGGCTTCCAACCTGTCTTACAGGAAGCGCTCGATCCGTTCCTGGCTGGATGCGAGAACATCACAAAACGGTTACAGAATCCCAACAATCACATCTTCGCACTGAATTGTTTGCTCAAGACAAGAGAAAGTTTACGCCAGTACGCATTCGCTGACAAAAGTGAAGACCTGCAACCAAGACTTGATGATCACGAACGGGAACTTACAGAAACTGTCCACACCCGGTTCTTGCATGAATCTGGTCTCGCAACTCTCGTAGACAATATCACAAGCGCACAAGATCTGGCCGCTTCGTACAAGGATCCCAAGCAGCTTTCGTCTGTTGCACAACAATTGGACGCCTTCTTGCCTGCTGCCACTGAGGATGCGAGAGCTTTCCTGGGCCAGCTCGAGGACAAAGTATTGGTACGCCGCATTATTGAGCATGCTGCCGAAGGCTTCTGCGAGGACTTTGAGGAGATAGAAGATCTGATTATGCAAGCAGATGAGACGAGAGAGGCACAGGTCAATGGTGAGATGACAGATGATATGTGGTTGCGGGATGTGTTTCCAAGAACCGGTAACGAGATCAGGGTGCTTCTGAGTTAGACATGGGCTGATGTCACCGGCACCAAATTTCGTAGCCCTCTGCGGCTCTACTCGCTGACCCTACAATCGGAGCTTCCACGAAGCTCACTCCGAATGCCGCGACTCGGCTCAGGCAAGGCTGCTCTGATCATCTCCCTGTCCTTGGCATCCACCCTCATATCTTCCAGTCATTTATCCAGACCGATTATTATTGTTCAAGCCGGTTTCTTCTTCTCCCATTCTTCAGGCGTGAAGCACTTGGGCGTCCAAGCATGTATCGTGGCGATCTCTTCCTTCAATGTGCTGTTGACCAGACGATGTCGTGCCAACGTGGTTTTCTTGGTGAATTGCGGTGACACGATCACCGCCTCGAACATCTGGCCGCAACCACCTGTGCCGTCATGTCAGGTACGTCTTCCGGGCATGTAAATTAGGAAGCTCACCAGATAAGTCTTGTATGTCGACATGTGATGCGCCAAGCTTGTCCTTCAATGTGGTGCTCAGCGTGTCTGGCGTGATGCCAGTGGTCGCCTGGGTCGCATCCGCCTCGGTGTCTGTTCGTGCACTCATATCGACCTTCTGTACCGCAGCCACACAACGCTCTTGAGACGTCCATTATCCAAGCTGATGGTGGACGGGATGCAAGTGATATGCGCTTCGATCTAATCAGATCACGAACATCAAGAGTGACGCACCGCAATACTATTAAAGTTGCGCCACAAGCCGCCACACCTTTTGATGGCGGCAAGGATATTCCTTGCTTTCTGTTTGTATATCCTTTGTATTTTATACATGTTCGCTGCTACAGCACGAAGAGCGTACGGAAGGATGAGTTCGCCTGCGACTTCAGCACCGTATACTCGCGCTGTCGTCAATGCCATGCGGAAACTGTAGGTTTGATGGGTCTGAATGGAGACAATGCGTTGGCTGATCATGTCTCAAGCTATCCCGAGTCGCTAGCTGACAAGAGCTTCGACAACACTGGCCGTACGTAACGAATACTTGGAGGTACTGTTTTATATACCAACTGACCAATGGATCAAGTGCTACTCGAAGCGCCATTTGACCCTTTACGCCGCCAGATGAATTCAGTCCTCCTGACCATCGACCTGACCAAAGCTGTCGCCGACGAGGCCATTGAGCGAAACGACTCCATCGTCGTTGCGTACCGTACGTCGCTTTCTGTCCACTCCACAGCACGCTTCTGACTGAAAGTGAAGCGTAGATCCGATCATCTTCAGAGGTCTGAAGAGCTTAACGTTGAAAGATACTCAACAGCAAAGTCTGCTGAGATTAGCATCTGAAGGCATTAGTGTATGAATCATCAAACCCCCGAGTAATGCCTACTTCACGACTAACAAAGCTGCTAGGTCTACAGTCCACACACCGCTGTTGACTGTGCCAGAGGAGGTCTAGGAGATTGGCTTGCCGACATTGTCACGGGGACACCAGCTGATCCGGACGATCTCGAAGAAGCACCTACAGATGGAGATGTCTCACCCGTCAAAACGCCTCTCGAGGGCCAGAGCATCCACGAGACCGCTGCGGATGGCCAGACCACATTGGACGTCAAACGACCAACCTACATGCTACAGCACCACCCGTCTCAATTATTACTCAAGGAGAAAGCTCTCAAGCTCGCCAGCAAGCAGCATAAACGCTACCCCATCCAGGCGACCAAAGTCGAGGGCTACCCAGGCGCAGGAATGGGACGAATAGTCCGCTTCTCACAACCAGTACCCCTACCCGACATCATCGACAGGATAGGTCTAGGCCTAGGCAACCCTAGAGGCTTCCCGATAGCCATCCCACAAGGCAAGCAGGCGAGTGACATGATGATCAGCAGTATCGGCATTTGTGCGGGTAGTGGTGGCCATATGTTCAGCGAGATGGACAAAGCTGGCGAGGAGGTCGATCTGCTGTTCACTGGTGAGCTGTCGCATCATGAGGCTCTCGCTGCCATTGAACAGGGAAAGTGTGTGATATGTTTGTTCCATAGCAATACTGAGCGTGGCTTCTTGCACAGCGTGCTTAAGCCGCAGCTTGAGAACACTATTGCTGCCGAGGTATGTTGAGAAGCAGGACGAATTCTGAACATCCAGCTGACGAGACTGTAGTGGGACCGTATACGTAGCGAAGAGCGGGCGAAGGAGGGACTGAGCGATGAGTTCTTGGAGGCGTTGAACGATGACCACTTTGATGTGCAAGTCAGTGAGATTGATCGGGATCCTTACGGGGTCATGATCAGCAAGTCTGAGCTGGGATGATGGCGAGTATCAATCGCTGCTATTGAATCCACTGGTGGTGGACTAGCTTCTGCTCGAAGTGAGATATGTAATACTTAATACTGGGCTACCTGAGCTGGGTTTGGCTATATTATATCGGCCAACAAATCGGAGTGCTTGCTCGAATGCGTACGGTCTATCCTGGACCTGTCTTCGTTATTTTCCATCTGTCTAAGTCTTCCAGGGATGTACTTCCGTTAGCATACTGTAGATGGAAGCTCAAATATGTTGTTACGGATATAGACGATGGCGATGGAAATCGAGAAGGTCCGTGCTTCCACGGCTCTCTTCCGGGCCTGCGAGGAGCTTCAATCATCGCCATTGCCCAAACAGCCATATCACTACGCACGACATCCTCCTCGCATACCTCTATCACGATGTTCCGAACAAGTCTCGTTCGCGCAACACGCGCTGCCGTCCAAGCCACCTCTCGCGTTCAGCGCCCTGCCTTCCAACGAGCCATCCAGACTCCCTTTGTCCAATCCAGAATATCCACACCGGCAACCTCGATCTCGGCCATAAGATGCTACGCCTCCTCATCAGGGCTCGGACAGGATGAGGTAACCGGACGTATTATGGATCTACTCAAGAACTTTGACAAGGTACGACGCAGTCTGGAAGGGCGGGAATGTATAGTGGATGCTAATTTTATTGCACAGGTTCAGGACCCATCCAAGGTACGAACAATGAGCCGGAAATAGACATAAGAAAACCAGTCTAACCATTGGATAACAGCTTTCCGCCTCGTCACACTTCACAAACGATCTTGGTCTGGACAGCTTGGACACTGTCGAGGTGGTTATGGCTATTGAGGAGGTTGGTCGCAACAAGGTCATGAGAGCAGGAGGACAATTCTGACAACGTGAGCAGGAGTTTAGCATTGAGATCCCAGACAAGGAGGCCGACGCTATCCACAGTGGTAAGTTCATGTCTGAGAACAGCACAATGAGCAGGGACTAATAGTGCTGTAGTGAACCAAGCCGTGGATTACATCATGGCACAACCTGATGGTAAGACTGCTGCGCCGATGTCTCATTTGGCCGAAGAGTATACTGACATCCAACAGCGCACTGAGCAATATCCAGCAGAGATGGGGCGGAGGGAGTTACTGCAGTGACATGTGCAACGTCAGCGCGTGACCCACTACTGGAGTGTCTGGAGGGAGGATTTGTACATGCTATGTCTCGAGATGAGGCGGTCGATACTTTTGTACTATTTATGCACCTCATGCTTGGCGACCATCGCCCTTCTTGTGATTGTTCTGTGTCATCTTGTTCCTCGTTAAGGTACCTATACATCACATCTCTTTGGGCATTATTCTCCAGAAATCTTGCGGCTTGCGCGTTGTGCAACATGACAAAAGCCAATAAGCGCCTGGTAGCTCAACATGACACTCCAACACACATTCACGTGCTAGAACATTTCAGATCCTAACGTACCGTGAAGGGCCAGCTCCCAGAATACACACCAGTAGGGTTACCCGCATATCCGTCAAACTATCAACGCAGACTATCGCAAAGCAAGGCTGCAATCTGAACCACAACCCACTGCTCGGCCACAAAGCTTAGCCTGAACGGTCGCAAAACCCGAGACGAACGACATACGACCACATCTCACACCTTCACACGCACCGCCATGGCCACGGCGTCAGGCTCAGGCCTGACCCGTCGCCGCGGCGCAGGAGGAGCAGCAAGTGGGGATGGAGAGAACGACGGCAGCCGAGTCTCCTCCCCGGCACCCGCCAAAAAGAACGACGACCTCAGATCCCCCGACACGCAATACGAGAGCGGTGAGAATGGCCACAAGATCGCCTTCGACCCGCGCGACATCTCGGAAAGTGAAGAGCGGTCCAAACAGCCCAAACTCACGCTCATGGAGGAAGTGCTCCTCATGGGCCTGAAAGACAAACAGGGCTACTTGAGTTTCTGGAATGATAACATCAGTTATGCGTTACGAGGGTGTATAGTCATTGAGTTGGCTTTCCGGGGCAGGATCTCTATGCAGAAGGATAGTGCGAGGAGGAGGTTTCCGCTTGCCGACAGGGTGATCGAGGTGGTAGATGAGACGTTGACGGGGGAGGTGTTGTTGGATGAGGCGTTGAAAATGATGAAGAGCTCGGAGAAGATGAGTGTTAGTGCTTGGATTGATCTGATGTCCGGTGAGTTTGGCTTGGAGATGTGTTGGTGAATCTTAGGGGAAGTGGAGAGCTAATATTTTCTGTGCCTTGCAGGTGAGACGTGGAATCTCATGAAGATTGGATATCAGCTCAAGCAAGTACGGGAAAGGCTTGCCAAGGGGCTTGTCGACAAGGGCATCCTGCGGACAGAAAAGCGGAATTTCTTGCTGTTCGATATGGCGACTCACCCTGTGGCGGACGGCGGAGCCAAAGACGAGATCAAGCGGCGGGTACGAGCAGTGCTCACCAACAGGACGGTCGTACTACCTGGATCACAGTTCCTACCGGAAGGCATCGAGTTCAGGTATCTGCGGACAATAGCCATGCTCTGTGCAGCTTATGCCGCAAATGTGCTGGAGAATGCTCTGGTGACGCTCGGGCATGAAGCACGAGAGAGAGCGTTTGCTCAAGTGGACGAATTACTGGCAGAGTACTCGCAATGGCCGTTCGGGAAACGTGCAGGTGGCAATGCTGCGATCGGCGCGAATCTTGACCAGGTCATTCGAGACGAGGTCAACAATGCTAAGGATAAGGAGCTACAGCTTGAGGTATGTCTACTTTCGCTTTGTGGTCTGGCGTTACTGACGAATGGTTGTCTTACAGGTCGTTGCTGCTTGCCTCAGTGTCTTCACTCGACTTGACTCGCTATTATAAGCACATATCGGTGCATTTCTCAAGGAGCCCTGCCAGCCATTGCATTGGTCAGCCTATGGTGCCATCACAGAGCTTGCCCATACCGTAGCATGCCGCTTGACTCACACACAGCAAGAAGACGAGTGACGTGTAGCAAACGGGGGACGAAGGAGGCTGCATGCTCACTCGAGCTATGTGAAGGCAGACTTTGAAAGTGAGCTGTCCATCTGAGCGAGGCGCACATGGCGTTGTGACGTGGGTGAGGTTAGCCGAATCGATTATGCGATCCACGAGGATGTATGATCAGAGGTATTCCTAATAGCAGGAAGCTCACTTGTCGCCGCCTTCTCATGGCTCATTCAGTGTCAACAACCTTGTCACGGCCATGCTGTCCTTATCGTACTGCCACTGTCACGTGCTCGTTACATTGAGACTGCTTGTGCTTATGAAGTGGAGACGGGCGGGATCGCCCGTTCGGCTGATGCGACCTCGCGTCGTCTTGCCCCTCTGGCTGTCTGGCGCGACTATGGGCATTGGTGTTTTCTGGTGAGGTATTGCGCATCTACTCTGTATCACTGTCTTGTGATTGAAGGCATCGACCTGATGGTCGCACGCGACTAGCCGGGCGATTTTGACTCTCACCTCCTTCATCACTACCACCTCGGCCCATACACTCAGCCACAATCATGACCGAGACACAGCATGTGGAGGGTGGTACGGGTGCAGTCCAACCCCCAGCTGATGGCGGTAACTACGATGATGGACACGTCGACACGAGCATGAACGTGGAGAGTCGCGACGCGATACGGGAAGGCAAGCAGAAGGCCAAGGAGATCATGGCCGCTGCCGGCGCAAGTCCGGCCACTTCACAACCACGATCCCTGCCTGGCGATATGTCCAACGGTACACCTCAGGCAAACGGCAAGGCTCAGTTGAGCAGAAAGCGATCGCGAGATGGCACTCAACTTCCCACAAATCAGACGAAAGTCATGGTGCTGGATCAGGATGGGACGGAACACACGCATGATGAGGTGCTGTTGGATCGCTATATCCAGCGCGACCTCGTCTACGGCGCCGCCATGAACGACCACGAGGAGCGGTCGCGAGACCTCATCAAGCTCAAGGAGAGGGAGAAGGAGTTCTACCTGCATGAGGTCAAGCAAGCCCGGCAGATAGCCCCTGGTTCTGTCTTTGGGTACGGATTCATGGGGTATGGTAATCGTCTGACTGAAGGCAAGAGCCAGATCGTGTACAATAAATTGCGTGGTCCGCCAAAAGGTCGAAGATGTCCGGAGGTCTATAGCACGCGGAAGGACAATGCGCAGCAGTCAGAGCACCACGAGGAGCTCGTGCCTGTACGGCTGGACATTGAGCTAGACAAGCTGCGGTTACGCGACACCTTCACCTGGAACCTTCATGAGAAGCTCATCTCTCCGGATATGTATGCTGATTATCTGATCGAGGATCTTAAGATACCACCTGAAGCAATACGAGAGGTGTCACAGCAAGTCAAGGCAGAAATGCATGAGCAGATCCACAATTATTATCCTCATATCATCGTAGAAGATGGTCCGCTGGAAACAGGCCGGCCATACAATGATCATAAGGACGACGAGATGAGGGTCCAGATCAAGCTGAATATCACGATTGGTCGCATTACGCTCGTTGACCAGTTTGAGTGGGACATCAACAACCCACTCAACTCGCCAGAAGAGTTCGCGCGACAGATGGCGTGGGAGAATGCGCTGAGTGGCGAGTTCACCACGGCCATAGCGCACACGATTCGAGAGCAAAGTCAGCTCTACACGAAGAGTCTATACTTGACGGACCACTGTTTCGATGGCCGACCTATTCTGGATTCAGATCTGAGAGACGCTTTCCTGACAACGCCAATACACGGCGCTTTCCGACCCGTCGCTGCACAAAAGGACTGGACTCCGTATATGTACGAGATGAGTGAGGCTGAGCTGGAGCGAACCGAAACGAGCATGATGCGCGAGCACAGAGCTCAGAAACGACAACTGAACCGACGAGGCGGACCAGCCTTGCCTGATCTGAAGGACCGGCAAAGAACTGTGCGATCTTTGATTGTGCATTCCGTGATACCTGGTGCAGTCGACAAGTTCGAAACGACGGGCATACCGAAGGCGAGACGTGGTGGCAGAGGCGCCAGGCGGGGAGCACGTGGCGAAGCTGACTCTGATTCCGAGGAGCTGGAAGGCGAGGAATCTGCTCCAGAGTCACCAGCACCGTCGGCTCTCAATCCTGGTACTGCTAGAACGAGAGGTATGCGAGGTGCAGCGACCGCGGCACAAGCTGCTATGAGGGCTGGCTATGGTGCTAGGAGCGCAACACCAGACTCGCAAATGCATACACCACACGAGCCGCGAACAGCTCCACGAAGGAGCATGCTTCGGGAAGGGAGCGTAATGGACGATGGCGATACTCTGATCGTCAAGCTCAAGATTGGCAAAGCTAAGCTCAGAGTATGGTGGGAGGAATATCGGGCGAAGAAGCGAGCCAGCGAGTACCCATTGTCCGGCTATGCATCCCAACCCCCACCACCGAACAGCGGTCTACGAGTCGGGACACCGCAACGGGGCGCCGTAACAACCCCATCCATAACCCCACGCACCCTCCCCCAGCCTCGAAGCACACCCCAACCAAATGGCACCACCCGCTCAACATCCACAGCCCGAAACGTAAACTACGACCCACAAGGCCGAGCCGACACAGACCACTGGCCAACCGCAGACGAAACAGCCGTAAGCGCAACCACAGCATCACCATAACAGTGATGAAACCCCCTGTATTACTGCCTGTATTATTATTCTAACCCTCCATCCTCATATCTAGCCCCCACCCCCAACCTGGCTAGACGAAGCCATGCTCACCCTCCGCTCTCGCCACCCCGAGTCCGACTTCGAACCGATCATGCGTCCCTACGCCGTCGACACCACGAACGGTAAGACCGTCAAAGTTGCCACGGAACCCGGCGCCCTACCACCTGCAGGAGTCAAGTTTCAATTTTTGCCGAGGATAAGATGTAACGATTGTCCTGGGAAGCTGTATACGGCCCAGCCTGGGAAGGTGGTGGAGGACTTTGAGGTGCATTTGAGGAATAGGAATCATCGGTTGGCTGTGCAGGAGAGGCAAGTGAGGTGATTATGATCTTGGGAGGGAAGCGATTCTGTATATCACTTGCACTTTGGATGGAGAGACAGGAAACTTTTGCTGTGATAAAGTATGCAGACAGTCTTGTACAACAATGTGACATACTTGGTGTGACACAAGACCGGCATAGAATGCGCATCGGTCGTCTGTTTCAGAATTTGACCCAAAGTCCTGATGGGAACGGTCGTCCTTGACCAAAGGCGTGTGTACGCTATGCTACTCAAGCGGATGACGAGAACACGCCTCGGGCGACACTTCCCCCAAGCAGCGACATTCCACTCGGCACGAAACGGACGAATTGGCAGGGCGAAGGCAGAGGTGCAGACGTGCACGCGTGTCATGCCAATAAGAGTGACCGCTGAGACGGGCTTAGCGCGAGATGGCGTGGCGTTTCATGGCGCGTGCTCCCGAATACCAGTCCTGAATCCTGGTGGCTGGCTCGCAATTTCGATGGTGGCAATATCGTATTGCTTTTATCGACGGCAACATGTCGAGTATGACAGTACGGCAGAACCCGTTCATGTCTTACTGCTCTCAAGCTTGCGACGGATGAGCTCTTGCAATTCCAGCAGCTGCTTCCGTTGCTCCGCAGACAATTGATCGGTCTGTTCCGAGGTCGGTGGCGACAGTGGCACGGCTGGGACGTCAATCTTGCCCTCGACAGCGACTGTGACAGCCGTGTAATCATCGACGATTTCCGTGGGAGCCTCAGCCTGCGACACGAATAGTTAGCATACTGACGTCATGGTACACGACCTAGCGTAAGGGATGACGGGTGCAACTCACGATAAGAGTGCCGATGAGGTTTTCCACCTGGTCACTACCAAGGTCGAGATCTTGGTTGGCAGAAGCAAACTGTGCTAGGTTCAGCGCCAGTTGCTGCTCAGCGAAAGGTCGTCGAGCAAAATTGGCCTGCTGTAGAGCAGAAGGCGGGTGATGTGTGCTGAGGCGTGCACGCTTGTCGGGATGATCTTGCAATGCATGATCGCGAGTTGCCTGGTAGCGAGAACTGTATCATGGTCAGCAACTGTGGAAGATATGCCTGGGTGGATGTACGTACTTCTTGATCTTGTCAATGAAGTCTAGCTTGATGCCGTGCGCTGGCATGCGATAGACCACGCCCTCTTCTTGCGTCTCATCGTCGTAGAATTCCGAGTCGGTCTCATCACTGTCATCCTCAATAACGTCGACGACGCCATTATTCTTGAAGCCACGGTTCAAGGAGACATCAATGACCCTAGCGTTTCGTGGTCTCCGCACGTGCAATCTTCGACGTGGAACTAGCATACTAGCATCCACTGTTCGCAATTCCTGGTCAGCGTGTAGTGGACACATCCAGTCATGTATCTTCTTGCCGTCCCAGCTGCGTGCAGGTGGGTTGGCGAGTGGTGGGTCAAGGCAGTCTAGATGCCAGTTTTCGCCACAGTAGTCGCACTGGACGATAGACCGCGCCGGTTGGCCCTGTGATGGTTGTGACGACTGATTACATTGATAACAGAGCACCGTATTGCCTTTACTATCTTTCAGCTTATAGTAGTCGGGCAGCTCATCATATCCAGCACGATTACTGTCATGATGTTAGCTTGATGATGAAGCGAGCGCCGTGATAGTGGCAGCCTAACCGAGTTTTGCCGTTGACAGCTTCGATGAAATGACCATGCCGATCCGTCTGCACGCCTTCGAAATAGTCGCGCACCTCTTGTGGCAGCGTGAAGGTGGCCGGATTCAGCTTACGCAGACTCGTCAGCAGCGGAGCAAATAGCCCGCGCTGAGGCTTGTCTGTTGGCTCAGTGGTGACCGGCCGTTTGGCCACACAAATGAAACAATACCATGGCTCGTTGAGCTCGCTGGCATCCTCATTCAACGGCGGATCCAGGCAGGCGAAGTGAAAAGAGCGGTCGCAGCCATCACAGCATAGTAGGAATCCACTGCCGCCACACGCCGAGCAAAAGTCGTTGTTTTCTGATAGCTGCTCACCGTACTCTGTCAGATCGTGTTCAACAAGTTGTCTAAGCTTTGATGGGTACGTAGGCAGTGTTTGACGATCCGGTGAGATATGCATGGGTGGTTGACGCGGATGTGCAGTGAGGATGTTTTGGGAAAGTTGTGTGGAAGCGGAAAGCGAGACTTAGCGCGTAAGGTGGTCGTCGCGCGCTGTCTTACCTCTTCATTGTCATCATCCCCGATTGGGCTTTCCCTCCCTGCGCCACCTGCGCCTGACAACCCGCCGTAGCCTGCCAGGTGTTTCTTCTCGGGCCTATCAATGAGCATGTCTGTTAGTGGCCGCCGGAACATTTGTACAGAGTTTGGGGGTGCACAAGTAGCCCCGCACGACCAAAGAAAAAGTACGACACAATCGAACACATTCCATCGAGCAAACCTGTGACACACTGAGAGTTTCTTGTGCGGATCTGTGAATGACCCGTAGGCTGGCGCTTTGCCCAGAACTTGCTAGATTTGGGGAAGATAGGGAAGAGACTTACGATGTCTTCGTTTTCGCCCTCTTGCTTGGTGGCAGGCGTGGCATCTTCAGCACTCTCGGTGTGCTCATCCTAGAAGATGCTGGTGATAGTTCAGACAGTGGTGAATCCAGATCCATTGATGGATCTCTACTGCCTCTCAAACCCGCCGGCCGGCTACCGTTTGGATTCAGGCGTAACGATGGTGGCGCCAGACGTGATTCCTTCGTTGCTCCTGCTCGCCGTTGAGTAGATGCAGCTGCACGTGGGGTTTCTCGCATGTCGCTCTCCTCGTGTGGTACTTCGCGCGTCACAGTCTGACTCAATTTCTGCTTCTTAGCTGTGATGGCCTCCTGCTCAGCGTCCTCAAAATCGGCCTCTGCAGAAGACCTCTTGAGTTTACGGTCTGGAGCTACAAGACTGCCACGCTCCGCAGCATGGTCCTTGCCTCTGAGGCCATTGGTAGATGCTGACATTGGCGGTGGGCCCTCGCCGAGATCATCCTGGTCGTCCGCGTCTACAGCATCTCCGCCTTCCGAGGTTAGATCAGTGAGCTCAGAAGACTCACTACCAGCACGCGTTCGAGACTTGGCTGGGGAGTCCATCATAGTGCTACCTTGGCCAGTTTTGTGGCGGCCGTTGATACTCTTGGCTGGTGACTTTAACTTGATGGTAGGCTTCGGTCTTGTAGTGTCCAAGGGCTCAGTTGATGGCAAGGCTGATGTGAGAGGTTGTGCGGAAGGTGTTGGTAGGAGCTTTGTTGCAGAAGGTGAACGCAGAGGCAAGGCTTGAGCGCCATTTGTGCTGGCTGCCGAACCGCTCCGAGCTTTTTCCTTGGCTTCTTTGAGGCGTCTCTTAGCACGCTTCACGTAGCCTTGAAATTCATGTGTTTGTGATGTAGATGCTTTCTGCATTAGGATAGACTCCAGCAGATCAGTAAGACGTGAATTGTTTAGTGACTCGAGCCAGATTTCGTGCACTGCTGCTGCCAGATCGGGCTTGCCCACCTCAATCGCGCGACTTTTAGCAGCCTCTACCACACGCTTCATCTTGGGTGGATCGTAGATTCTGCCCTTGACCTTACCAGTCGCAGGTTGACCTTTGCCTCGACTGCTGGAGCCGGCTTCTACGCGTCCAGGGGCCGGTGCTGCTGCGTCACTTCGCCGTTGTGTTGTTCGTAGTGTCTTTGCTGGACCTTTCTTCTTGGGTACAGGCGCATAGTCATCATCCCGCTCATCATCCACGACCGGTGGTGCAGGTGGTGCCGGCTCACTTGGCTGTAGTGTGGGAGCAGCTTGTGGTGTGGGTGTACCTTCAGGAGTCTCCTGAGCTTCTAAACCAGCCGCGGCAGAGCTTCGCCCCATTACAGACTTCCGCGGTGCATCCGATCTTACTCTACTCTTCACCTTGGCATTCGGCGCTTCGCCTAAGGGCTGCATATGCTCCAATACTCCATAGGGGGCTCCGTGATGATCCTGATAAGAAGGCTGCGAAGCCAGCGAGGGCTCCACCCACTGATCCATGAAGGTCCTCTCCTTCTTCGCGACAGCTACCTTCCCTCCATTCGCCTGTTCAGGCTCCTTTTGTGGTGTACCGCGGCGGTCTCGAAGCCGTGAAGTGTCTCGGGAGGGCATGTTCAAGCAAACGCCACTGCCCGACTCGGTCAGTTATGGTCCTGCGCGTCTGACGGAATTTTATATCTACCCAGGGCGATGCTGATCAGGCAGCCGGTTCCGAGATGAGGTGCGTAGAGGCGCGGAGGAATCTAAGCGCGTTTGGATGTTTAGACTGTCGAGGTTGAAAGGCGGGAACACGGGCTTCGAAAACACGGAGTCGGGCACCACCACACTCACTCCAAACCAACACAAAACCGATATGTACATAACCTCACCATGTCTTGCCATACATTACTGACTCATCTCGGCGCATTGTTACCTCAGTCCTGTATACTATATGAGACTTCACAATAGTGGCAAGCAGGCAACCATCATCTTGCCCCTATTGTGAGACACGAACTGGAACGGCAGCAGCATATAAATTAATGCTTCTTTGTTCTCAGGTATGCCGTGCGACTTGCTGCTATCTCATGCTATGCTGTGGCTTATGGAACTCATGGCGTACCTCGTGCTAAGGCGACTAGGAGACGAGGTGAAGCCGTCTTCGAGTACGCGACAAGCTGGACCAGACATGCGTGGTGGCGGGTTCATCACAGTCGCGGAAATCGCGCTGCAACGGTAACGAGCATTTTACTCATCGTCATCGTCCTCATCATCCTCATCATCCTCATCATCATCATCGTCTTCCTCCTCGGCAGCCTTTGGTGCGGCCTTGGTCTTCTTGGACTTCTTCTTCTTCTTGGACTTCTTCTTGTCGCTCTTCGGCAGACCTAATGGCAGCTCCAAAATCTTGAGAACCTCCTCATCCGTGATCTTCTTATCCGACTTGTACTGCTCGATATTGAGTGTGGGGGGAGCTGACAGTCGTTGCAGACCATGTTTGGTTAGGGCAACGGTGTTGAACAGCCTGCTGACTGGCTCGCCGTCGGTCGACCCTATCACCTCGTATTGACGAACCACGCCACCACGTACGCACTCGACGATACCGACCTTGCCAGCACGCTCATCCTCAAGCTGTCGTAAGCTGAATGGGAAGGTGCCGAACCTCTTCTGGATCTCGGAAAGCGTGGCCCTTGAACTTGGTCGCTTCAGGCCGTACGTTGTGGTCGTCCTTCGGTGCAAAGTTGGACGGTTGGGAAGTGTCTTGACCTTGCCGTTACCGGTGCTTACACCCATCTCCACACCCCACACCTCACCAATCTCAGGCAGACCCTCACCCTTGACACCCTCACCTGGAGCCAGGATAATCTTCTTCTTGTCCTCGATCTCGTTACGGCCGAACAACCAGCAAGTCGTGTTCTCAACAAGATTGCACTCGTAGCTCTTCACGACCTTCTCTAGCAGCTGTGTGATCTTAGACTGGCTGTACGGCTTCTGTGCTTGTGCCTTCTTCTTCTCCTCATCTGTCCCTTGCGCGATCAAACCAGGAGGCATCATCATGCGGAGAAGCAGCTCGTTGGCGTAGTGTGTTGCGAGCATGAGGTCTGCCGGGCGACCTGTGACCTCAGACTTCGCACCGACCAGAATAGTATCGCAGACAATGGCACCAAACCCGTCAATTTGGGCTCCCAATTGAATTTTGACGGCCTCGCCAGCCTTCAGGGCCGCACCTGCCTCTTCCGCATCAGATACGAGTGGCGTATAGGGAGTCACATATGTGCTTGGCGAAACTGTGCATGGGTGTGAGATGCCTTTGGCGACCTTCTTGCCCTTGAATACCTTTGCGACCTCTTCGTCTAGAATCTTGTCGCCTTTCTGGCAGATCTCGAGGATTTTGGCGCCTTCAGTGCACAACTTCTTGACATCCTCCAGGACTTTGTGCGAGATTTGGGCAGCGGTCCTGTACTTGGTCAAAGTATCTGGGTTGGCCAGGCTGTAGTCTGTCGTTCATTGTCAACCAAGGGAACATATTCAAGTATTGGCATACTGCTTACCGGTGGGAGCCTCTTCCGCCATGTTTGCAGATGACTGTAGAGGAAACGTTCCTCTGTTCAAATGCGAAACTCTGATTAGTTGTTTCTGACAGAGCTCAGAACTCTGGTGTTGACTTGATTTGATCTTGCAGGCACAATTTCAAGAGGTGCGCCGACGTGGGGCAGGGCACAGCGGGGCAACTTGAACATTGGAGGAATATGGTCTCGTGAGTTGTGCATGAACGACTCGGCAGATACCGCTATATGCGTGGCAGACTTTCAGAGGATGAGTGTTGGGCATCGTCGTATCGTATTGGCGATTGACAATGTAGACCGCCGCCAATGTCTCGTGCCGGGACATCGTACCCAGCTCGTGAACGGATCCATGTTGCTCCTCTTTTTGGGGGCTTGACATCGTCATGTCACGGCTCATCAATGTTGTAACGCATCGATTATGTGGGCTAAACGGCCTGAGCCAACGTTGCAGTCTCGATGCGACCAATTTTTATCGCCATGCTCAACAGTGTTGTTGTTGTTATTGCTCTTCACATGTGAGGGTCATCTTGGGCGGCGGAGGAAGGGCCCGTGCGCTTCCGGACCTGGGCCTTCGAGGTGCCATTGAGTGGATCAATCCGTCACTTTTTGGTAACCAGCGAGACTCCTTCGCTGCGTCGCCGATGCCCTCTGTGAGCGCACGAGGCGACGTGAGAATCGATTTACACCCTGGCTCCCAAGGAAGTCCCTACAGCGAAGTCTGCAGCCGGCTCTCGTGACCGTTCCTGCAAGTGCGCGGCAAGCACTCAAGGCACGCTACAGGTATATACCGTTTCGAAGGAGGACAACACAGCTGTGAGTAGCACACGAGCTGGATGCACGCGCGCACGGACATTCGTCCGATTACAGAAGCCAGAAATTTCACGCCCTCCGCTCCTGCTCAACTAATCCCTCGACCATCGGCGGATGCTGATCAGTACTTTCTAGAACAAGTGTGGCGGCCTTGTCCCGAATCTGCAAACGAATGGCCAACAGCAACACGAATGGCGAGCACCGACCATCTCCATTCGATATGACGACCCTAGACGACGAGGTGAACGACGAGCATTCGTTTCCTCCAGTAACACCTGGCCTTTCCAACTCCGAGTTCTCTGGTCGCAACCCCTTTTCTCAGCATTTCAGCAACGGTTCAGCTGACAATCCTGGCTCCTCGAGGCCGCAGCACAATACGAGTGGCAGTCACACGAATAGAGAATCTCGACCCGGCTCGCCCACAGATGCTGTGGATGGTGCCTCTGGCGAGGAGCTTTTGCGTCGTCTTAGTCTGACGGGGCAGGGGCCAGCACACGCCGATCTTACAGATGTTGACCCTAGAGCAGCTCACCCGAACTTGGCCTTGGGAGGGCATATTATTAGCGCCACCTTCACTGTACCTTATAAGGTAGGGTACAGACCGAATGCGGACTGGGTATGTTTGACGTTTCACCAACACAACGCGATCCAGCTAATTGTAAGTAGGACTTGAAATCGAGGAGAGGCACATCTGCGTTGTATGATTCACTCGCATATCTGGCTTCCACGGAGTCACCTTGGAACCACACTCTCGTAGGCTGGACAGGAGAGATAGACCACGCTGAGCCAAAGAATAGGACGGGTGCAAATGGTGAGCTCAACTCATCACTGCACGCACGTCCTCTCAACAAGTCTTCTGCACCTATACCAACGGATGCACGCTATCAGAAGCATGATCAGTCGCACGAGCCTACAGAAGTACATGTGAAATTGGAGCAGCGTGCAAGGTTAGAGAAGCAACTTGAGCAGGTGCAAGGGGGCCGCGTGGTCCCGGTCTGGCTTCCCGATGCTATTGACGATCATGATAGCTTCATGCTCAAAGATCAGCACCGATGGAGACGGTACGGTGAGCACGAACTCTTTACGCTGTTCCACTACAAGACGAACGAGCCCTCCGATGGTCGAAACTTGCGGAAAACATGGGCCGACTACTACCGCATGAATCGCGCTTTCGCGGATACGATCATGTCCATCTACAAACCTGGCGATGTCATCATCGTTCACGACTACCAGCTTCTACTATTGCCAAGCCTCCTTCGTCAACGAATCTCGACCATCTATGTCGGGTTCTTCCTGCACATACCGTTCCCTAGTAGCGAATACTACCGGTGCCTGACAAGGAGAAAGGAGATCTTAGAAGGTGTACTCGGCGCGAACATGATTGGATTCCAGGCTTTTAGCTACTCGAGACACTTTGCTTCGTGCTGCACAAGAATACTCGGCTTCCAGTCCACGTCAGCAGGCGTTGAAGCTTTCGGCAGCCATGTCGCCGTCGATGTCTTCCCTATTGGCATCAATGCAGTTCAGACTGCCAAGTCGGCATTTGAGGATGAAAATGTGGATCGATGTATCGCCAAGCTACGCCACAAGTACGAAGGCAAGAAGATCATCGTCGGTCGTGACCGTCTGGACTCAGTACGTGGTGTAGCGCAAAAGTTGCAAGCTTACGAGCTCTTCCTGGAACGGCATCCTGAGTGGCACGATCAAGTCGTGCTCATTCAAGTCACAAGCCCGACATCTATCGAAGAGGCTGGAGACAAGGCTGATAAAACCGCCAACAAAATCTCGGATCTGGTGGCGAGGATTAATGGCACGTACGGCTCGCTCGAGTTCACGCCTGTCATGTATTACCCACAATACCTTGATCAAGATGAGTACTTTGCTCTGCTCCGGGTTGCCGATCTTGGCCTCATCACTAGCGTACGAGATGGTATGAACACGACTGCGCTGGAGTACGTCATTGCTCAGCGAGATCATCATGGCCCTCTCATCATATCTGAGTTCTCTGGCACCGCAGGTAGCCTAGGAAATGCCTTACACATCAATCCTTGGGATCTGAGTGGCACAGCAGATGCGATCCATATTGCTCTGACAATGTCTGATGCCGAGAAGAAGTCTACACACGCACAACTCTACCGGCATGTCACACGCAATACTGTCCAAGCCTGGACGAATAACTATGTCAAACGGCTTCTGACCAATCTGTCCTCCTTCGATCAATCTGGCGCGACACCCGCTCTCGACCGTACGAAACTACTAACCCAATACCGTTCTGCTCAGCGCCGGCTATTCATGTTCGACTACGACGGTACTCTCACGCCAATCGTGAAAGATCCACAAGCCGCCATTCCCTCCGACCGTGTCATCCGCACACTGAAGACTCTCGCCTCTGATCCCGCAAATGCCGTCTGGATCATCTCTGGCCGAGATCAGGGCTTCCTCGACGAGTGGATGGGCCACATCTCCGAACTAGGCCTGAGTGCTGAACATGGCAGCTTCATGCGCCATCCCCACTCCAGCACGTGGGTCAACTTGACAGAGACCTTCGACATGTCCTGGCAGTCTCACGTCATGGAGAGTTTCGAGTACTTCACCGCCAAGACCCCTGGATCTTTCATCGAGCGCAAGAAGATTGCCTTGACATGGCACTATCGTCGTGCGGATGCTGAGTTTGGACCTTATATGGCTAGGGAGTGTCAAAGGCATCTGGAGCAGACAGTAGCGAAGAATTTCGATGTCGAGGTCATGACGGGCAAAGCAAATCTGGAGGTGCGGCCGAAGTTTGTGAACAAGGGCGAGATTGCGAAGAAGTTGGTCAAGGAGTTTGGCGAAGATATCGGGAGTCCTGCGCCTCCAGAATTTGTGCTATGCCTGGGCGACGACTTTACTGATGAAGGTGAGCAGTAGATATTCTTGACCTGCTGCCCGATCAATTGCTGACCTCCCCTTCCACAGACATGTTCCGCGCGCTCAACTCGTCGAATCTGCCATCCGAGCACGTCTTCGCCGTCACGGTCGGCGCATCATCGAAGCAGACCCTCGCACAATGGCATCTCCTCGAACCTTCGGACGTCGTTTCTGCCATTGCGCTGCTCAATGGGCAGTCTGATCAAGGGAATGTAGGTGCTGTGGCGGTGGTTGAAGGATCTGTACCAGAGACCAGGCTGTGACATGTCGGCTGAGCTAAAAGGGGTTGATGCGGTTGATTGGGCGGCTTTCGTCTTCTACCAAGGCCAAAAGTAATGGTGACTGAGCTCGCGTTCTTCATTGCTTTGATTTATCCTGAAAGCGACAGTATAGCATAGCGTTAGTGGCATATATGGTGTTCTACCTATGTCTGAGTGGACGATATCCCGGCATCATTAGAGAGGAAGTCTAACAGAGCAAGTAATGCAACATAAGCATTTCATGCATAAGTTCGACTTAGGTCGACTTCGTCTCGACGAACTTCACCTCATCCTGACTGCATCTCACCTTCGTGTCATCTTAATTAATTTGATCTCAGGTTGACATGAAGCTTGTTCCTTTGCTGAAACCGCCATTCCGTAGGCCACATATGTACAAATGCATACAACTGGTACACACAAGGAAAACCACCCCCCGTCATCACCAGCACAACACTTTTACCTGTATGGTGCATCGGCCCTCGCCACTGCCGCCAACTCAGGCTCCCACTTGTCACCATTTGCCAAAAGCTTCTCCTTGTTGTACAGCAACTCCTCCCTGGTCTCGGTGGCATATTCCGCATTCGGACCTTCCACAATCGCATCCACGGGACATGACTCCTGGCAGAAACCGCAGTAGATGCACTTGGTCATGTCAATGTCGTAGCGGGTGGTCCGGCGGCTGCCGTCCTGACGCTCTTCTGCTTCGATTGTGATGGCTTGAGCGGGACAGATGGCTTCGCAGAGCTTGCAGGCGATGCAGCGTTCCTCGCCTGTAGGGTATCGGCGAAGGGCGTGCTCGCCACGGAAGCGAGGAGAGATGGGACCCTTTTCGAAAGGATAATAGATGGTATATCTGATGGTCCTGTCAGTCCTGCCCTGGGTACTCTTCAATCTGGTGTACTCACGGCGGTCGGAAATATTGCTCCAGCACGACGTACATGCCCCGCATCATCTCGGTCATGAGAAAGTAGTTGCCCGCCAAGTCCATCACGCTCTCCTTCTTCTCTGGCTTCGCATAACGAAAGCCTTGGGGTGGTGGGCCCTCAGTAGTAGCTCGTCGTTGGATGGTGGTGGAAAAGTTGTGTGATTGCGCCGCGAAAGCTGGTCGGACGGCGTTGGAGATTGCAGGCCGGCTGCGAGCGGCTGTTACCAGCGCGCGAGAGGCGGACATGGCGGCGTTGGAGGGCAAGAGTAGGGTGGTGTGAAGAAGTGGCAATAATACTGGTCGTCGGCGGATGTGGACAATGAGGTGCAGGGCGATGGTGGCCAATGAGCGTCGATTTGATGGTCATAGCTTGAAAGTGTATGTTGCGGCTCAGCGGAAACAACGCGCGAAAGTCCCGGCTCCCGTACCTCTAATGGTTTGCGAAGCTCCAAGCAAAAGACAGAGTTCTTGGTTTGGTTCCTCATTTCTGTCTTGTCGATGCAAAACACTGCCCGGATCGTGCGTCAGACCTGTCGAGCTACCCATGCCTACAATGTCTCTGCGGCGCTCTGCTCTGCCTTCAGCACCACAGCTACACATGCAGCGGCCTCAGGCTCCTTCGCTAGCTACGACACCATTCTAGATCAGCTTAGCAGCCCCAAGCATGTCAAGGAAAGCAAGACGATAGGCTCCAGCAAGCAGCAACGGATTACCAAAGTCGTTGATCAGGGCCCTTCGCAATCCCGAGGGCTACAGGCTCGACAGGATGCGGTGGAGAGGCAGTTGAAGCAGTCTCCACCGTCAAAGGAGGAGCCGTTGCCAAAAGACGAGCCGTCGCCAATAGAGGAGACCAGGAATGATCAGAAGGCGCACGTTTCCATTCGGAAAGTGGGCAAGCTTAGGCGGAACCACTCCAAAGAGAACCGAGTAGTGGGCCGGCAGGATGGAAGTGATGAGCAGAATGCCCTGTCCTCCAACCGATCCACCAAACCTGTTCACGTAGATGATGAAGCAAGACAAAGATGTGTGAGCCGGCTGAAGAACGAGCAGCCAAAGGCCGTTTCCGCTGCAGAGCAGACGGCTGGTGGTTGGATATCTGCCATGCATTGGATAGCGAAGACGGTCGTGTCCATTACGAAGGACAAAGGTTTTAACTGGAGAGATCGCCAACTCGTTCGACAGGTTCGTCACCTGCTTGACTATGACGCTATCTCACTACCTCCGACCTCGACTCCAGTCCAGCAGGCAATGCCTCTACCGTGGGCATTGAGCGCGGAACAGATATCCAAAATGCAACCCATGGAGGTTCTTGACGAAGAGATCAAACGATTTGCCGTCTGGGCGCAGCCTTCGCCAGCCGAACAACTTGCTCGACAGGCCGTCGTTGACCAGACGCTGCAATTCATCAACCAGAAGCTCGATCAGCGTGAAATCAAGCTTCAGACCGAGATTTTCGGCTCTGAAAGCACAGGTCTGGCTTTAGCAGCATCGGACATTGACATTCGGATCTTCGACGCCTCGAGCAGCGACGACGAAGGCCGGTACAGCAGTCTCAACGGTCCAATGAGGCAGCTTTTGGTCGACATGCGTAACAGCGGCGAGTACATTTGTACTACTTTTCGTTTCGCGAAATTCCCCATCATCAATGCTCAGCATCGTGCCACCGGCATCGATATACAGATCGTCTCAGCTCCTAGCACAGCCAGGCAAAAAGGTGTGACAGATCGGTACTTGGCCGAAATGCCGCGCCTCAAGGACTTGTACCTTGTCACCCGCACGATGCTAGGCCAGCGGAACCTTGTCGACGTCTTCAACGGCGGTATAGGATCATATGGCCTCTTCGTAATGCTCGCTGGCGCTTTGAAACGACGACAATCACATCCACCAACCTCAGCTGGAGAACAACTTCTCCAGTTCATGGAGATGTATGGCCAAAAGCTCGACTATGCTCGTTACGGTCTCACGGTCAACACTACACAGCCCTCTAAAACTTTCTTAAAACACCACCCTAAGCATTTGCACTTGTCGCATCAGCAGGCACATATCCGCGCCACCCATCGTCGAGGTGATGATATCCGAGCCGGGCAGTGGGCGATATGCACTACGCGACAGCTACAGCATTACCTTCTGTGTTTGCAGGATCCGGCCGATCCGACGAACGATTTGGGAAGGAAGTCTAATGGCATCAAATTCATCCAAGGAACGTGTGGTGCGCTGGGAGAGAAGTTAAGGAGTGGGTTGGCTAGTATCGAGAAGGGCAGTGATTTCGGAGGCAGTCTATTAGAGCCCGTGGTGGGGAGATGTCACGAGGGCTTGGCTGCGCAGAGGGAGAGACTTAGTGAATTCGGTCGTGAAGTGGGTGGCGAGAAGGCTGGTCGACAATTTGATGAGAGTGGAGTCGCCGACGAGGATAGTGGAAGCACGAATGGGGTGACGAGGGGTACGCACGATCGCAAAGATTCAATTCCGCAGATGGCGATGACCTCTTGAAGAAATTGCGTGCTGCTCAAAGGCAGAAGGAAGCAATGTACATCTACTGTATATCGAACCGATCATCTACATTGCGATAAATTATACCCATCTTGTAAACATTACAAGCTTCCATCGCCCACGCCACGAATCTAACTGTCAGGTTCCACAAACGCCAACCCAAGCTGCAGTGCGATACCTTACATCCCACATCCTGCGCCGATCAAATGCCGTCCAATGTTGCCATTTGCCATCATCACCAACCCATGATCGAAGCCGAGACAGTCCAGCTGCTCGTCCCCGTCGACCGCTCAGCTTTGCTACATGGCATTGAGCTCCGCGGCGAGCGGATCGGTGGCCGCGAGGTTCTGTAAGACTAAAGCTGAACGCACTGGCCGCGTGCCTGTAGCAAAAGGATCATCGCTTCTCCCAAGCCAGGTGTCAGTTGGCAAGGTAGGCTGGCCGACTCCTGGTGTGTTTGGAATGGCGGCTGCTTGGGCGAGATTGGCAGCGGTCAGTGGGATGCCTCCTGAGTGGTTGAGCTGTCGACGGGTGGTGTTGGTTCCCATGCGGGAGTTGGAGCTCGTGCTACCTTTGGTGGCATTGGCTCTGGTGTGGGTGTTAGCTTTGAGCTCAACATCGATGTCGTGGAGGATCAGAGACTTACGTGGAGGTGGAGTGTGGCATGGTGTTGCGAGCGAATGGTTCGGATTGGTTATGCTGTTGGATGGTGGTTGAGTCGCCGCTAGCAAAGCCAGGCAAAATCGTGTATGAGCAGACGCCGATTGAGCTTCCGACTGCGAGTGGCAAGGGTGATTGGGCTATGTGCCGTTTTGTATGAATGGTCTATGTGCTGTTGTGTATGAATAAAATGCGATAGATTGCTGCTCAAGGGACTGCTGACTGGAGGAAATTGGTGTACTCCGCTCTCTGCGACCTACCTTGCCGTCCTTTCTTTATATCCCATGTACTGTGCTCTCCGCGCCTCTTTGCGCGCACGAGCTGCCCATTATTTTCTGTATAAAGCGGCGAAGCGCCAGGAGGGCGGCCAAAGCGAATTCATCTTACTATGGCGAATAGGCAACCTTGTCAGCAAACCGGTGAAGTTAAGATGCCACCTTGAAACACACCCTTCTGATCCACGCGCGGCATCAGCGCGATTTTGGTCAGCGAAATGGATAAGGATATATAGAAAATCGATCGTGGGTGACGTTTGTACCTATTTGCAGATCATGGAGATATGCGGGGCCCAGGTACGTGGTATCGATAAAGGCCAGTGCGCAACGACACCGCGTAACTTGTGCTGTAGACATGACTCCAGTTGGCATCTTTCCATCAAGAGAAAGGATTGGAAGAAACGAGCCTTGACACTGGATCCTCCACCCATATATTATCTTCCAGACGAGACAGCTGAAGCAATAAACATCCGCTACTGCTGCTGCGCCTCGTGGAGCGTGGAGAAGACCTTCGCGCCCCTGGATGATGATGTCTCACTCTCGATGATATTAGCGCCCAGGCTAGAAAGTACCTATGTCGATTTTATGTATATTCTGGACTCGATGAGGCGGCGAGACCGCCTTTTGCTGCATCAACACACCAATTGCGAAGGTCCATAGGCGCGTGGCGTCCACACCTCATGCAGAGATCAGGGAGACTCGCTACAATGGATTCTAGGGGGCCCGGCACGTTCGCGCTGCGTGCACCACGCGTTGAGGGCCTCCCAAGCCGACACAGCTCCCACTGCAAGGTTATTGTTTGCATGCACTTTACACCTTTCGTCGCTTGACACCTTCAACGGGTCCTACGAGTGTTGGGCGTCAGCGAACGCCACTACGGGGCCTGATGGCCTTTCATGGTGTCTTCTCCCGTCCATGTCAGTATGCCACGAGCGCTGCACGAAAGGAAGCCGTGTCTGTGACAGGTCAACTTCCCATCCCTCCGCACACATCTTCGACATTGGTTGTACACAATGAATCACCAATCCTCCACGCAACCGCGAACACCAAGCTGGTACCGACAGATACTAGCGCTGTAACCCGTGTCAAACCTGGTAAGGCCTCGTACAAATGGTCAGCCAGCATCCAGCGCAAGATCCTGCGAGTGCGCCGCTTCCTACCAATTCCGCCTGGGCTAATAGCTAAGGATCTGGAGAATGCTGGAGGCCCGTCGACGCAGACGACCAACAAAGCAATTGTAGCCATCACTGGCGTCGCGAAACCCTGCGACGATCTGCTCAAGGATGCCCAGTCTAGGGGTACCAAAGCAGAGTTGTTTCAAGAAGATGACACCGACCCCAGCGTACAGTCGGCCTTTCAGCTCAGAGGCAAGCTCGATGATGACAAGAGTCAGGCAAGTACATACACACCAATGGGAGCGGTAGTAGGGTTTGACGACCACCCCTTAAGCGCCTTGTCAAGCGAAGACATGCTCGACTCCGTTGGCAGTCGTCAAGTTCCGGACAAGGAGACGGACATTATTCAAAGCAGAAAGCAATCGAAATGACCCCGTAGCATCGAGACTCGAGTTGAAGATGAGAATGGCGGTCGTAAGCAGCAACGTAATCGTTCGATGCGAACTTCGGCTTCTCAAATCAGCATCGACTACTGGATCAGACTCCTAGCAGATCGAGGGGTGCCCGAGAAAAAGGTCAAACGCATTGTCTACGGGCTGTCCATCTGTGCATCATCCAACGGTACTCAGGGCACCGAAGAAGTCGACGCTAAAGGTTACTGGAACGATGCTACATCGCTGATCCCGGCTGCGAATGGATCAGGAGCTTGTGCCTGGCTGCTCTCGTCGGCACTCCAGCTCAACGATCATGATGCCAAGACAGCCGAAGGGATAAACCAGCAGCTGGATCAGCACGCAGAAACACTGTCCGCAGACTTCCAAAAGCTCCTGGAGTGTGGTGTTAGTGCCACAGAGATAGCGGTTGATGGTCAGTCGGCATTGTACATCGCTGTGCGACTCGGCTACCGAGCCATCTGCGCCATGCTACTCTGGCTAGGTGCTGACCAGCCCTTCGTTGGACTCGACCACAATGATCGATTACTCGAGAGGCTACTGCGAGGTACAGACAGGACTAGTAAAGATAATAAAAGTGCCCTTGCTGTGGTCCAATATTCGCGGATGGTCACGTGTCTGGACTACACCATCTGCAGCCTCAAGGAGGCCGACAGAGACAAGCGCATGTCATCCAAGCTGCTCTTGGACCGTTGCCGGGAATTAGATCCTCATAAGAAACGTTGTCTCGAGCGAGAAAAAGAGCATGAGGACCGAAAGCGACGGACCCAGCTATGGCGCACGTCTCCTACGAAGACTGCTCTCGGCAGCTTCACTCTGTCTGCTGTCTCGCCGGATTCTGGATATGTTGGCACGCCGGGAGATCAAGTGGCCTCTACACTCTACGACCCACCGCTCGTGCCGCTTCCGCACCCGCAATCTTGCGGGATGGTGCAGCATAGCTCTGGCATATCCGACGCAACCGCTCAGCCGTCCTCTCGTCAAGCTCCGCAGGCCAAAACTTCTCATCCAGAAGCCTCTGTATGCTTGCCATCCAGCGGTCAGCCGACCTTGAGCTCATCAAGTCAAGCTACGCCGAAGTGGTCGTGGAATCAAGAAATCGTGCCTTCGTGTGGCTACCAACCCCATCACATTGGTACAACTCTCGCAGACGATCTGGCCCTACCTCTTGTGCACGACGCAATCCCACAAAACCCTGGAACTGCCATGGCTGAGGCCCAGACCGGGACACTATCCCACGATCGGAGACATGGTCGACAGGACTGGTCGCAAGACTACTACAGCTCTCAATTCAGCTGCATGGAGAGTTTTGCTACTGGCCAGATACCTGGTGCGACTGGCCCTCAGCTTGCCATGAGGACAGACGACGATATTAATCAGCAACTACCAGTCACATCCAACTTCCTAGAGGCGGACTATGGTATAGGCGTGGTAGATATGAATCCGTACATGGTGCCAAGTGCCTATTCGGCCAGCATGCTCGGTATGAAAAATGCAACCGACATGCAGGCAGGAGTCTTAGCAAGACAACACATATCCTCGCAAAGCTCACGATCAAGTGCCAATGTTCGGTCTCAGATACAGCATTGGGAGAACATCCAGCGGCAAGCGACACTGGATTCTTCACGACTCGAAATCGAGGCTGTGCGCAAAAGGACAGAAGCTGCCGAAGCACAGCGGGTCCTGTCGCGTCTGCGTGGTCGGGCCTCACAAGTCAGGAGTACGCAACCTAAGCCTACAAGTCCATGGCCGAATGTGACGAGCACACCCGCTGAACTAGTGCCATGGCCCGAACTTCCTTCCTTCCTTTTCTGAGTGACGACATGCACTCCCTTAAGCTCCAGGCTCCGGCAGCGCACTGCTTCCCTACCTGACAGCTTCCTTCTACCTTCGATTGCACTAGGGTATTACAGACCCGAAGAATGTGCGGTCTGCAACTTCACTTGATCCTCTTCTGCAGACTGGCCGCAACTTACTGGCATATTGCCACGTATTACGATACTATGTACTTTCCTACGCTGGGCGGCTTGCGATGATACCCCTTTCTTTTCCCAGCGCGAGCTTTTTGGTTGCCCGCGCTATACTCAGGTGCGAAGGCGGGCGAGTAAAGTAATGACACTGTAGATGAGCGTTATGTCACATGAGTGGACTTTTCGCATAGCATTGGTGGCATTGGGAGCACACTGGCATTATCGAGGCGAAATCGAGGACCTCCGCCTCATATTGGGTTTGGACATAGAATGTACATCTGGCTGTACAGAATGAAGTCTAAGACGCTTGAATAAGAATACAAAAGCATGACAATCATTGAGCCCGGTACCGGTTTACCCTGACTCCCATTATGCAGCGAGAGGAAAATGATCGGCCGTTCCACCAGGTCAATTGAAAGGTTCTTCCACGGCTGGCTTTCACTTCTCCACCGACATGATCGCGTTTGGTCCATGTTTCCGATGGACCCAGTCTCTACTTCCACAACCGACATGTCTGACGTGTCTCCTCCAAGCGCTTCCCAAAGGCGACAACGACATGCCTCCAACAGCTTTCCTCTAGCTGCGCATCCATCCAAATCAGAACAAGCCAGGTCACCGCCTCACCACACCTTACTCTGCCTCTTGATGGTGAAGACTTCTGCTACCTTAACACTCGGTAGTCGTTTGCTCAAGCTCCCGCTCCCAAAGCTGCTGCTAGACTTCTCGCTCGTAGGCGATGATGTGTAGACGTATTCGCCATCGACGTACTGTGCGCCTGAAATGAACGTTGTGCGCTTTTCCCGGCGGGTGTAGCGTTGCTCGAGACGGTAGAGATCGTATTTCGAGCGGAGAGAGTCGAAGAGGCCCATATTGACTGATAGTACCTAGATCTGTTCCCGATAACCTTTCCTTGTGTTTGAGAGCAGTGACCCTGGCCGATGGGCTGGTTTAATTGTGTATAGTTCTATGGTCTCGCAAAGCTGATTCGTGTGTCCCAATGCTATGCAGATCCCGTATCTAAGTCGTCGTGTATTGGGTCGAAAACGGTGTGTTATTCTCCAAAAGCAGCGAGTGTATAAGAAATGAATGAAAAAGAGCGATAGTATGCTGTGTATGCAATGGCAGGACGAAGAGCGAAAGGTCGGGGCTGAGAGATAGGCGAAGAGGAGCAACGTGAAAAGCGTTGCATTGGGCCATCCATGTGGAGGCGAGATGTAATAATGCACACTTGCACAGTAGCCGTTTCGCTAGTGCCCATCTTTGCCCAAAGCTAGATGGCGTGAGTAGCTTCCAATGCAGATCGTCCGTGTCGCTGGATTCGTTTCGATCTTGTCATCCCCACCCACAACATGACACATAGGCACAAAGGCCGGATGAGCGGTGGGATGCTAGCATATGAATCTTCCGAGCACACCTGAACAAGCCGTCGCCGTTGCCATTGATATTGAGCGTGCCAGAAAGCGCAACGACCAACACGAGTCAGGACAAGGTTTGTGCTGCAGGAGAGGCACGCTACGGTCGCGTGGGAAAAAGCTAGCGGCACGGAAGCAGGAACGGGCTCGTGTTCTGGAAGGTCTCAAAGATGAATCTCGCTGCAGTCTGTTCGCCCTGGAACGTCGCCGTGCGATAAGGATATATCTGGCATATACGATCTGGCTATCTGTATTCTCTGGACTATATGGCATAACAATTCTGTAGTATAGTGAGTATCGGAGGAGTATATATTGCCAAGCACAGCTCTGTTCGTGTGCGGCAACCTCAAGTTGTGACATCGTCAGTAGCTGCAGCAGCCTATCTACACCCGTGCTGTGCCACATGGAAGCAGGTGCCGTGACTACACTCACGAGGATGTCTTTGCAGTAGTCCATCCGTCAAGGATCTTCGCCTCGAAATCCCGAAAGGCCGTAGAAGCCAGACACGACCTCAAAGCTGTCAAAGCTGTATTGCAACGGTCGTAGTGAGCCGAGTCGAAGTAGACGTCTAGAGTATTCGAGCAATCCTCGGCTTCGTGGATGATATTCGCCAGCAACCGAACAATCCCGTTGGCACGCTCACTCGCCGCGACTCGGTCGTAGAATCCACTCGCTGGGATCACTTCGTCTTGCAGTTTGCAGAGGAGAGTGTGATGTGATGAAGTCTTGCGCGTCAGTGCTCGTGAGTCCTCCAGACTTGTCGTCACCTTAACCGGTACACACTCGAAAGTCAAGCGTGCGCCTGTGCTATGCGCCAGTTGTGTGACTGGATGGAGGATGGATTCTAGCAATTCGTCACTCACATGCTCAGGGCACTTCTTCACCACGATGTGGAGGTTCTTCAGCATGGGCAGCGCCATCAGAGAGTACAAGATGTGGTTGAGCTGTTGGTAGCTATCAGGAGCAACATCTTCCTCGTCCTCATCACCAGCTATAGCGTCTTCGATCCGAGGTTCTTCCTCTTCTTCAACTCCAATCTCATCAGCATCCGCGTCTGCTTCGTCGTGGTCTGATGAATTCGCTTCATCGTCGTCGCCATCATCCTCTTCTGTCTCGAAGTCTTTGTCTGGGTCTCGATCGACTGCCTCCTGCTCATGCTCAGTAGCCTCGTCGTCATCATCTTGCTTGATCACGCCTTGCACCAGCCGTAGAACTAGTGTAATGGATGTGATTTTGGAGAACATTTCGGGCCACAGCTCATCAATATCCTCCATAGGAGCATCCTCGAGTGTCTCTACGGGGTGGTCGAGTTTGCTGAACTCGATCGTACTAATGTTGGTGGGGTGATTGGCCTATGCAAGATATGCTGTAGACTTGATCTTAAGCTCAAAAGTGTTCGTAGTATACAGCATAGGCTGCGCCACCTTGTGAATGCCAGACGATGTCTGCAGGATATTGGGATAGCAGGTCAGTAAACCGCTTGTCTTCGATGGTTGTAGCTCCAGACATTTGGCGTAGATGGCGAAGCGCAGCTCCTTTGGTAGTTCCCAGAATCGGTGGAAAGTCCATTCTTGATCAAGTTCGACGAGTCGGCGCACATAGCATGGTCGCTCCAGCGGCCCGGGGTCTTTGCCCGTGCGTTGCGTGATTGCTTCGTTCAGTCGCTTGGTTGACCAAAGATCGTACCAGATGTCGACGGTCCGGCCTATGGGGGTCAATGGCTCGGAAGGCTCCTCTGCCCTGCGTCTGGACCGCGTAGTGGTAGCTGTTGAGTTATCGGGTGTGACAGCCCGCTCTCGCGAGAGTGTGCTGATACGAGCTGAGCGACGCATACTGGACGCTGGCTTGCGGTTTTGCTATTTGCTATGATGTTTCCGTTCAAGATGATAAATGTACAAAGGTGCGACAATTGACGAAGTCGTACTTGCTTCCAAGAAGCCACTACTAGAGCCAACAATAGCAAATGAATGGCCCACAAACCTACAAGTGACCTATTAAAGGCATTCCTATTGACCTTTCAGCGCTCGATGAATGGTCGAAATGAGGCGATCATCATGGAAAGGCTGATGAGCCCGAACAACCACCACTTCTCGGACATCAAAGTGGTGAATGGCCTTTGTACCTGCCTCGAGTGAGGTCAGGCAGGCACGGTGAGAGGTCATGAGATAGGAGATCCTGGTCGCCATTCAGGACCAACTTGACATCATCGCAGGACGCGTGGGAGATGCCGGCAGTACCACAGTCGACGAGGTGGTCAGCACGATACCAAAGTGTCATGTAGCTGACACGTGATAGAGGGTCGGCATGAAGGAGGTGAATATTGAAGAAGGAGGATGAGGCTCTGCCAAGGGCCATTGATCCGATGCACGATGACATTTTAGGTTGAGCCGAGGCTTTCATCAGCCGCTGAAATAATGACCAGAGCTCCAGCCTCCGATCTCTGCCGCATGACAGTGTCCTTTTGTTGTTACAGGCATTGGTTGTGGTTCTAGTCTCGACGGAGCATCACAGAATTACACAGATTACAATCGGACGACTTCATAGGAAGCAGCCCGAGGAATCCTTGCTCTCTACTGGATACCCACCTAGAGCTCCGCTGGCATAGCCCAGCATGTCGTCCTCCTCGTCAACTACTACGACAGACAAGATAATAGAAAAGCTCCCGTCAGCCAAGGACTTGGAGCAAGATGTCGCTGTCGCCGCGAAGAAGTCGTTTTCGAGCTTACGAGACTTCGCGGCTGGTGGTGTGGGAGGTATCTTCGCCGTCGTAGTGGGACATCCGTTCGATCTGGTCAAGGTGCGGTTACAAACGGCGGAAAAGGGTGTGTACACTGGTGCTATGGATGTGGTGCGGAAGACAATTGCACGAGAAGGTGCAATGAGAGTAAGTATCGTGATTCGTACAGTCAGACGACGATAGTGGTGTTGACTTGCGATAGGGATTGTATGCTGGTGTTTCTGCGCCATTGGTTGGTGTAACACCAATGTGTAAGTCGCACGTGATCTATCAAACCATGCCGAGTATTGAGCTAAGACGAAGTAGTCGCCGTGAGCTTTTGGGTATGTCGAGGAACCTGACGACGATCTCGACATAAAACTGACGACTCGCTAGGGCTACGGTGTAGGCAAACAACTCGTCGAATCGTTCAGCATTGTCAAAGATGGCCAGTACTCGGTCGGCCAAGTCTCAGCAGCCGGATTCTTCTCCGCCATACCCATGACAGTCATCACAGCACCTTTCGAACGAGTAAAGATCATTCTGCAAATACAGGGGCAGAAGCAACTAGCTCCGGGTGAGAAGCCAAAGTACAGTGGCGGTACTGATGTCGTCCGACAACTTTACAAGGAAGGTGGCATCCGATCAGTATACCGTGGATCTCTCATGACACTCGCACGCGATGGACCTGGGTCAGCAGCATACTTTGCGACATATGAAGTGATCAAGCGACGGCTAACGCCCAAGGATGCAGATGGAAAGCCAGGAAAGCTGAGCCTGACTGCAGTATGTGCGGCCGGCGGTGCGGCTGGTGTAGCGATGTGGATCCCTGTCTTCCCCGTCGACACCATCAAGAGCCGGCTGCAGTCAGCAGAGGGAAATGCGAGCATAATGGGCACCGTAAGACAGCTGTACGGCAATGGTGGCTTCAAGGCTTTTTTCCCCGGGATGGGACCGGCGATGGCGAGAGCTGTCCCCGCCAACGCGGCTTGCTTCCTTGGCGTCGAATTGGCCCATCAAGCCATGAATAAGACCTTTGGATAGATGGGAAGTTGGTGAAGGGTCAGCGCTGCACAGGAAAGCTTTATGCACAGACCAATTTTTATGCATATGCACGGATTCCCGTAACTATTGCTGCATAACTTTCAAGTTCTCCGAGACCGTGAATGGCGCCTCAGTTTTCGCTTTGATGTCGTCGACAGTGACACCCTCAGCATGCTCAATTAATGTTAGCCCATTTGTGAAGTCGACCTCGAACACAGCGAGCTCCGTAATAATCAACGAGACGCACGATCGTCCAGTCAAGGGGAACTGGCACTGGTTGAGAATCTTCGGTCGACCCTTCTTATCAGTGTGCTCCATCGTCACCACGACCTTCGTCTTATCAGGTTGAGAGACAAGATCCATAGCACCGCCCATGCCCTTTATTCTGCTAGGAAGAGCCCAATTTGCCAAGTCACCTTTGGCAGAAACCTGCATAGCACCAAGGATGGTGAGGTCGATACGACCAGATCTGATCATGCCGAAGCTCTCATCGCTGCCGAAGCAAGCGGCGCCAGGTCGTAGTGTGACTGTCTCTTTGCCGGCGTTGATAAGATCAGGGTCCTCGTGGCCTTTCTGTGGGTATGGACCAAGACCGAGGATACCGTTCTCGCTCTGCAGCTGCACGTCGACAGACGGGTCAACGAAGGTGGGTGCCAACATAGGCATTCCAATACCTAGGTTGGCATACATTCCATTCTTGAACTCTTTCGCCGCACGTCTGACAATGCGTTCGCGCTTGTTTGCAGTCTCGCCGGATCCCAATGCACCAGCCTTCTGCTCTTCTGGACTTTTCGCATTGACGACCTTCTCGATACCCTTCTCTGCCGTGCTCTGGATGACTTTTGTGACGTAGATGCCTGGGAGATGAACAGCTGCGGGATCGATCTCGCCAGGCTCAACAATGTGCTCGGCCTCGACGATGGTGGTCTTGGCGTTGCGACCCATAGCACCGTTGAAGTTGGCAGCAGCGAACCGAAACATGGCATTGCCGAGCTTATCTGCCTTCCAGGCCTTCACGAAGGCATAGTCTCCATCGATAGCCACCTCCATAACATAGCTCTTGCCCTTGAAGACCTTGACATCTCGAGGTTGCGAGTACTGCTTCACCGAGCCATCGCTGTTGTGAAGTAGAGGAAGCTCACCAGTCTGCACAACCGTCCCAAAAGCGGCAGGAGTGTAGAAAGCTGGTACGCCTGCGCCGCCAGCTCTGCATCGTTCAGCCAGTGTACCCTGCGGTGTGAGCTCCAGCTCGATCTCGCCATTGAGGTACATCTGCTCGAAGACTTTATTCTCGCCCACATAACTCGCTATCATCTTCTTGATCTGCTTCGATGCCAGTAGCTTGCCGAGACCTAATCCTGGGACGCCTGCGTTGTTCGACACAGCTGTCAAGCCGGTGAGGTGTGGCATCTTCTCTACCGTGTTGATGAGAGTGTCTGGTACACCGCAGAGTCCAAACCCGCCGCACAACAATGTGCTGTCGGACTTCATGTCCCTGCATGCCTCTTCCGGCGAAGCGACGACCTTGTTGATCTCATTGCGTCGACTACTGGAAGCGAATGTGCGGGCGAAAAGTCTGGCCTGGTGGGTTTGTTAGCTGTAGTCGATCCCTAGCGATGCTCTAGCTTACCCTGGGCGACGTCTTGTTGATGTTGATCGCCGTCCGCACACATAATGTTACAGACGAAGGCATGGTTCACGATTGCAGTAGGATATACGTTATGTCTAAGTCACGGTTTGCGTCGCAGTCGTTGGTCAAGTCGGGAACAGAATACTATACAAGACAGCACGGCCACAAGATGGGGGTCCGGCGGAAGAAGACATTGACGGTACCTATACTCGACTTTGGAGTCCCCGTCAAGACACACGACTTCGGTATGAGAGCACGGGAGGCCGAACATTTCCGAGCTCGACCGCGTAGCTCCGCATTATTTGCCCGTGCATCTCGTAGAGACGTCGTGAGCCGCCCACCTCTATCCGCGAATCCGTAAAACAACCGGAGGTGTTCGTGGTACAGACATGAACGTTTAGACGACGGATGGGGTAGAATTCTCGTTGCACTCGTACATATTGCATAGCTCAGGGCACTCCAGTGCATCAAAATGCTGCGGAGATGACAGTCTGATGTCGATTCACAAGCGCCAATCACGGACAATCGTCTGTTATAACATTGCCTGCTAGATGTACTCCGACAAGCCATGTTTGCACAGTCTTCGCCCTTACGCGGTCTCACAGGATCGGTACCTCTGGGTATTGATTAAGATCCGCAGACCCCCCTGGACAGTATATCAGCCATGCACAACGTGATGGTCAGCAACGAACTTACAGAGGATTGTGTTCAGCACAGAGTAAGGCGAGTGATCTTCGCCCTGCACACTGTTGCTTTCCGATTGACTCGGAGTGAATAAAGCTCCATTGTCGATCCTAATGGAACCCTCGCTACTCACGGATGCACCGTCCCCAGACCCGTTGTGTACTCCGCCAGGGCCATACCCATCACCGTGCTCCTGTATCTTTAGCTTGGCCAGTGCAGCCAGGCCTCTTCGTACCGGTGCAGAGATCTCCTGCGGATCCATGGCGTTGGTCATATCGCCCATGACCACAATGAACCGACTCATCAGCCTTCTGGCTCGCTCGTTACGGATATGTTCACCCAGGATCCCGAGGAGAAGGGCTGAGCTGAGGGCACGATGAACCGCTGCCCAGGACTGTTTTGCAAACGTGGTGATGTTGTTCAGACCGAGGTAAGCATCCAGGGTATTTGTGAGGTTCTCAATACAAGGCAGCTTGAATAATCTCGCTAGCTCTGATGTGCCTTTGCTTGGACTGATGGCGGGTCTGTACAACTCCGATAGAGCGTAAGAAGTGTGCAAGTAGAATGCCCAATGCTCTAGAGTTTCCCGACTAGTCGTGCACATCCTCGAGTCTCGCAGGTACTCCACAGAATCTCGCATGATCGTGGAGATTGATTCGCGATGCTCCAGAATCCGGCTTCGATGCGTATCCTCAGTCATGGTCGTGGCCCGATCACGGACAATATCCAGATTGGTCTTCGACAGCTGATACATTGTGGCGTGATATGGTGCTATAGCCTCAAAGTGCTGCGGCATTGGCATGGTGTTGTTGTCCATAGCTGATGTTGTGCTTGCTCTGTCATACGTGATCGAGAGAAGACTATCCTGCCATATAATTGCCCACCAGACTTTACTGCGAGGCAGCACTATACTTGTGGCAACATGTGGAGGACATGTGCGATGGATGCCCAGGCCTTGCGCAAGGCGAATCGTCAGGCCGAGTAGACTCCATGCTGTGCCAGCATTCATATTGTTGGTCATGACGTTACCGATAAGGGCGCTATCATGAGGTGTGGTCAGCTACGAGACGTGTGCGCGAGGTAATGCATCGTCGCTACTTACAGAGCCTGTATACTATCAAGATGCGGCTGAGAAAGGAAGTTCGTGTACCGTAGACACTCGAAACTGCAGCAGACTACATATCATTAGCAGAGACACATCGATGGACGATTGGGCACCTACTATAGACCTGTGAGGTGAGCTCTCGCTCCTTGCGAGGTGTGGCACTGCATTGTGCTCCACTGCCAAGTACTGCGAACAGCACCGCAAGCCAGGGGTAGGACTTGCCATATATGCTCTGCTCGGTGATGCCGTCTTGAGAATCCACATCAGCTGCTCGAGCGACTAGGAACTCATCCAACTCTTGCTCCAGAGCCCTCAGATCGGCCACGCCTGGATATATGACATAACCGAGATCACGATAGCAGCGGAACAAGTGAAGACACTGTGCGTCATTCGGTAAAGCTCGAGCCAGTTCTTGTGCTCTCTGTATCGAGCCGTGCGGAAGGCCCCAGAGATCAACAAACGGGTAGGTCGCTGATTCGTTGTCGAGGCCGAAAAGTGGTAAGATGGATCGACCGAGCAGTTCTTGCAACTTCATCTTCTCCTCCGGACTTTGACCTTGGCCCTGACCAAGTGCATACAGCATTGCGGGGATCGAGCCGCCCCCAAGATGGACAATCTCTCCAGCTTCGTTGCGGGTGTGGATGCCGTGAACATCTGTGTGAGTTGGAGCATTCTCCTTGCGGTGGTGCCCATTCGGCTTGGCAGCGCCTGCCGCAGCGTGGCTCTCGTGCCTAGTGATGTTCGGGTCGACAGCTGAATTGCGGCTGATCTCATGCCGAAGCTCAGCAATGGAATTCTCGAGTCCATTGAGCTTGCTGCATAGCATCTCGAATTCGCCGCGCCCAAGCGTGACGAAGCTGTTCCCATTGACACCTTCCTCGGCCTTGATCATGGGGTGGTCCATGTCAATATTCTGCCGCTTGTTTGGTGGATGGTATGAGCATAGTTCCGGGTGGTCTCGGTCCCGACAGGTCTGGCAGGGCCGCGAAAGATCACATCTGCATGGTCCGGTCAGTACATGCTGGCTAATATTCAGCCCAAGGCCGAAATCCGCCCTCGCAAAACGTACTTCACTTTACGCTGTCGGCACGGATACTGCAAGATGTTAGTATGGATCAACGGGGTGTCTCAAAGATGGATTCAGCCTATCGCACTTACGCATGCCTTGTGTTCACGGGCCTTTCGTTTCTTGCGCAGGAAGTCGTCGACGTCTGATTGATGTGGGATGGCCTCCGGGTATGGCGAGCTGGTTACACCAGTGATCTGCGGATCCACTTCAGGCAGTGGGTAGGAGGTCATGGTGCGTACTGTGTCGCGATCGAGACTGGATACGAACAGTCTATGTGAATGAAGTCCCTGGTGGCGACGCGGCTACCATATTTGTTTGGCTTGATATCCGGTTGGCGTAGACGGGATGATCTCCGGCGTGCGCCACGGAAGCTTACGGCAGTGGCGTCGCCAGGTCTCGTCTGGTGCTCTCTCCAAATCGTTCGGCACGTAAAGTATTGCTATGCGGATACACAATGGTGATTGGAATCATTGACGTTGGTGAGAGGCAAGCATCACAACCCTCGATGCACGACAATCGCGGAATTGCATGCCTAGCGCCCGCTCAAGGTTTCGCAATACCAGGTTGATGCTCACGCAGATCACTCATACCCGAAGTTGTCGCGAATGGAAGAAGTGGTAAGGTTACCGATCTGGTACTGCAATCACAAGACAGACGGTATGGTACGTAGATGGAGAGGGAATTTGTATGTCTCAAGGCTTGCTTGAAGGCGCCTCTACACAGATGTCTACTACTGTCGCATGCCAAATATTGCCTCGTTACCCTCTGTTGCTCTTTGCAAAGCGGCTGCCGTTGCGACTGCCCTGACCTCCTGCTTTCCGCGTCTATACTCAGCACGCTCGACACCATCAGCAGGTGATGCAAAACCACTTCCACCGCCAGCAGTCGCCGCGCTACTGCCAGCAGGAATCTCCTCCGCCAAATGTTCCGCCACCTGTAGGTCGTACTCTCTTTCCTTGGCCCGGATACTATCTGGATCCATTTGGCGAGCTTGGGCAAGAAAATCCACAGATGTGTCGGACTCCATGTCGCTGTCATCGTCTTCGTCAGCCTCCTCGTCGCTCTCGCCTAGATACATGTCGAGAGGCTGTGGCGCCGGCGATCGCGGCTCGGCATGTGGTGAGTCTGGCGACACTGATGTCTCATTGTCATCGGTGTCTGAATCGTCGTCATCGTGATAATCGTTCGCGAAAGGCATATAACCTAGAGCTGGTGGCAACTCAGTAGGAGGCAGGACCTTTGTGCTCGACGATATCACCTGGTGCTGAACAGCTACGCGCTTTGGTCGATCACCACGCAGCAGACCGGCCAACTTTGGAGGCAATGCTGGAGTATACCTTGTCATAGGCTGTGTCGGGCGGACATGGTGGGCCTGCACATCAACCTGGAAATGGTCTGCGGGCCAGACACCGCCCATGCCAGTGACCTCAAGATGAAGATCCTTGATTGGAGTACGCTGCTTTCCAAGACCTGTACTGGCTGATGGCGAGGACTCTGCAAAGTTGATCTCCATGTTCTCCGGGATGGGATCGTCGTCAAGATCCACAGGCTCTGGAAGCTTAGATGTGGTGTGCAGTGGGCCACGCCTCTCGGCGAAGATCGTCGGACTGTTCTGCAGCCCTCCTAATGGATGTGCTGAAAACGCCACATATGCTGGCGCGTTGCGAATGTCGCCTGGGTTTCTCTCCGAACTCAAGTCGGTGCAGAAGCGAGTGTCATTGTAGAATGTGATGGGTCCATCGTCCTTGATCGTCTTTGCTCTTGTCGTGGTCGTGCGGATTCCAGACCTGGTCATCATGGATGAGTCGCCGGCGTTCGCGGTTGGGAAGGGCGAGGAGTTGTCGTCTTGGTCGGTCGAGGAGTCGCAGCTACCGTCACTACCCTCGCGATGTGAAAAGAGAGGTGTGTATGTGTGTCGGTTGCTCTCGTTGGCCGATCGAGATGTAGCGGCACCCGACAAATGACGTGGAGCCCAGGTGGTGCCATGGCCTCCTGTGCGATGAGAGAGCTTAGCGCGCTTTCTTGGACTTTGGTCTTCCGAAGCATTGTTTGTCTGCTCTGCGGATTCACCGGAGCCATCGTTACCATGCCTCTTATTCTTTCGCTGGTGTCCCTTCCAGCGGACCTTGCGCCCGTCTTGTGGGATCTCAAAGCGGTCGCTGTACTCACTGATGGCGTTTTGCACGTACTCCATGGTCACGTTGATAGTATGCAGCTGCGCGAGATTGATAAGCAGGTTGAGGTAGAGCCAACCATGGCCTTCCTCTGGTGTCCTTCGTGAATCAGGCTCGGGTGGCGAGAAACCGAGATTACGGAAGTAGGCGACGTTATCCGCCGGTATCTGCGCGCGTTGCGGATCGAGGTCCAGGGGCCGCGTCGGTCTTTGCTCAGTTGCAGTGTGGGCTGGTGATTCTCCTGCAGAGTCCTGCTCTCTGATGGTGGCGGCCTGAGACTTCATCGCAGCCAAGAGCTCGGTGGGAGACTCTTGCTTAGCGTCCTCGTGATCCTGAGACATGATGTGTGCCTCTCGGACGCCTTCCTGGCGTGCGCGACCACCAGACGCTTCCAATGCGGAGCGGTCCGCACGAGCAGCCATATGAGACACCTCTTGCTGTTGCATAGGCTGCTGGTGTCCTGTGACGGGGGCGCCCTTTCCTGCGAAGATCTGTTCCAGGCGCCGGACCACGAGCTTCTTCTTGGCGCGCTCGGTCATGGTAGCAGGATTTGGAGGAGGAAGTAGACCTCCCGGAATGTGATGCAAGTAGCTATGAATGTTCTGATGACGTGAAGCAGCAGACGTCTTGATCCTCTTGTACATAGTGTCACTCGACGGACCTGAGGAGCCGCCCTGACCAGATGCTGACATGGACGCATACGCAGAATCATTAAGCAGGGACGCTTGCGACGAGGTGGTCTTCTGCGCCGCAGGCATGGGCAACAAACCTTCGTAGCCGTTCGCGGGAAACTGTCCTTGTTGTCCAAGACCAGTAGCGAACTTCCGTAGCGTCTCTTCCAGCTCGCGCTTCTTGTGTGGTGGCAGCCCGTGTATCCTGACCTCGAATAGCTTCTCATCTTTCAGATGCGAATCATGCAGCTTCTCATACCGCCTCAGCCGCTTCTTGAGTCTCTTGTTCTCGATGGTGAGGTCGTCAATGACACCGCGGAAATCGTCGGTGCTGCTCCCCTCTGTGCCGAGATGCATCAGCGCAGCTGGAAACGGTGGTGACGGGGCCCCATCGTTGTCGTCGACATATCGCAGAGCCGGGGACGCGGGCTCATGCGACGACTCTGATTGGCGCATGAAGAAAGGCGACTCATCCTTGAAAGGGGCGGCCTGGTCGCAGACGGCGTTGTTGGACTTCTCGAACCACTCCTGCACATTGCTGCTCTCGCCCGAACTTACCTGCCCAAAAGGCTGTAGGCTTGATGGTAAACTGCTATTGGAGGTGCCGACCGAGGCAAGATTGAGAGGATTGCCTCCGCTCGACCATTCGCTCGACTCATTCCTTGCTGGCTGTTTTAAATTGCCGTGGAGGAGTGACACTGAATGTTGTGCTGCTACACGACGTGGATTGACAGCTGGTCCTGTCTCAGACGTCATGGCGATGGCTGGACGGCCAAACAATTGTGTGACTTCGGATTGAGTTGGTCAAGTGACGGATTCCATTGGAGTGATGGCTGTTCAATTCCCCCGCGGACTGTCGAGTCTAGTGTGGTGGTGACTGCTGTAATGGTATGGTATACTATTGCTACGATCAAAGGGATGGGAAGCAGGTCGCAGGGAAAGGCGTGGATCCATGCTACGCGGCAAGCAATAGCAATGGAGAGATGAGTTACGAGTTGTTCCACATACGAGATCACACATCGCAGCGGCCATCGGCCATCGGCCATTCTGTGTCGAAGTGGCACTGTGGCAGACTGCACAGTGCCGTAGCAGGAATTGGCCAGCATCAGCCCATCCAATAATGCGCGCTTGTGGCCGCGTATGGAGCACAGCGATCGCGCGATCCAGAAGCGATTATTACGATTATTACGATTCCAACTCTGCGTGCGTGCGATCGTGACAAAGGGGAGTCTACAGTACTAGTCTCTAGCGCTCGAGGCTGTGATCGAAGCCGCTATGACCATCTCCTGCATTCATCTACCTCTGTACACTTTGCACTTTGCCTGGGGCTCGCAACACTATTCCGATGTATGGCCGTCGCGCAGATGTCGGGAGATCTCAATTATTTTATCGCCAGAGCGCAGATGAAAGTCCATAGCAGCAATGACAGTAGCAAGCTGTGCAATGGCCGTCTTGCTTGTGTTCCATAATTTCTAAATGTCCTTCACACCTCCGTCTGACGGGGTAGTTGGTGGACGATAGATGCGTCTGATGCAGTGGTCGATGAGAGCACATTTTCGCGATGCTCGACAGGCCGGTCTGGAACACTAACGGCAATCAGCCGGGCCGTCTGCACCCATTCGTCATTTCCCGAACTCATCGGCTGCCCTGATCGGTGATCCGAAACCGTGGCGTTGCACAGTCAGCTCGTTTCTACTGTATATGTGGGCACATACCACATTCAGCTACTCAATCGATTCGCAAAAATGGCAATCGTCATGTACTAATCACGTTGCTCATCTTCGATCTGACAGCAACAGACTTGCTGATTGGTTTCATGCTAGCACTCTCGGCATGTACCTGTCTGGGGATTATTGAGGAGCATCCTCGATCTGAATTCGCGGTTGCTCAACACGCGCGCAACCAAACAGCCAACACACACGAGGACCAGAAGGCACGAGTCGAATGCAACTGCAAACAGAGATACTCCTCGCTCGATTTAGCATGTATGGAGACTAACAACTCCTCCCTGCGTTTGATTTCTAGGACGAAATTTGTCTAACCATGACCACCACTTACTCACACAGCAACTCAAAACTGCACTTGAGCCAAGAATTTCCTACACAATTCCGCTATCTCCCACCGCTTCGTCTCCAGCGCAAAGTGCCCGGCCTCCAGAAGATGCACTTGAGCACGAGGCAGATCCTTCTTATACGCCTCTGCACCTGCAGGAATGAAAGCAGGATCTCCTTTTCCCCAGACAGCCAACAGCGGGACCTGGCTATGCCTCATATACTCATGCCACTTGGGATACATCTCAGGGTTCGTCCGGTAATCGTAGAACAGATCGAGCTGATGCTCTTGATTTGCCTCGCCTGCTAGATTCTGCAGGTAGTCGCGGACGGGCTGCTCTGGGTCTACGAGAGCGCGGTCTTGTTCCGGAACACCTTGATAATATTGATAGTTGGTCGTCGCTTGCGTCAGAATGTTTTCCCGGAGAACCTCGCGGACTTCTTGGCTATTGCTCGTGTTCCAGAGATCGAAGATTGGCTTCCAGAAGTCTTGCCCAAACCCTGCGTCGTATGCATTGCCGTTTTGGGTTATGATAGCTTTGACAGCAGCCGGGTTTTCTAGTGCCAGACGGAAGCCCACTGGAGCGCCGTAGTCGAAAAGGTAAGGTGCGTAGCTGGTCACTCCGAGCGCCATGAGCCACGCTGAGATTACCGTGGTGATGTTGTCGAAGGTGTACTGGAAATTGCTTGGGACCTTCGTCAGACCGAAACCGGGGAGGTCGGGTGCCAGGATGTGGTATTTATCTGCCATCAGGGGGATGAAATCTCGGTATTGCGTACTGGAGCTGGGGAATCCGTGGAGCAACACTAGAGTTGGCTCGGACTTGTTGCCGGCTTCTGCGTAGTGGACTGTAGCGTTGCCCAAGCTGGTGCTCACTTCGAGGTCGTGGTAAGTGGCTGCTAGATCGCTGGTGGCCATCTTTGTTAATCAGAGACGGGTGTGCTAAGAAGTGGTATTGTCAATATCTCCTTGGTCTGTGGATGCTTGATTATGATCGAGGACTGCCATGGATGGCGATACGACAGTATTTATTATACGCTCTTGGCTGCGTTGTCTTGCCTGTCGCCCTTCGACACGATGCATACACATGGATTATGAAAGCATCGTCGTTACGACACCGTCTGTCATTGCTGACAACGCTGTAGTTTGAGCAAACGGTAAGTCTCGAAAGGGGTCCAAGATTCCATATCTATTTTCGCTTAACAATCACACTAGCCAGATTAGGATCAGAGGCAGCGTGCTCTTCCAACCTCCTACTACGCCGGTCAGGTTCATCCTAATGCGACGCCCATTGGCCCGCAATAAGCGTTACGTCTCCGCGCGAGAGTGATGATAGAGCGAGCACGACATAAACCATTTTGTGGTCTAGTCTTACACAGCTAAGTAGGAAGCGTGACAAGAGCATCCGTGTCTATCGATGACCATCTACCTGCGGAAATGGGTCTATACATCACAATTTCGCATTGGCTCCTCTATTATCACACCTCAGCCACTCGTCGTCTAATCTCGGCGTAGATGCAACTCACGCAGCTATGTCTCGCTTGCCTTTTACAAACTCGTCAAACCACTGTACATGCTGCAAGAAAGCCGCCTCCTTGGCAAACTTGGCCTCTCTCTTGCTCATGTCAGCGCGAACAGCGAAGCCGTGCTCGACATCGCTGTACAGGACCATTTGGTAAGGAATGCTCATCTCCTTCAGCATGGCCTCGGTCTCATGCCTCTTCTCGACTGGGAAGATCTGGTCCGTTTCGGCGGCAGCAATAGTCAAAGGACCAGTCATGGCCTTGATCTCCTCCGCATCCACAAAGGAAGGATGTGCCATAGCACCGACATCGATACCCTTGCCCTTAGCAAGGAAACGAGCCACGTACTTGGCGCCGAAGCAGTACCCGACGGAGCCGACCCTCTTCACGCCGAGGTTGTCGCGCATCTCCTTGATTACGGCCTCGACGATTGGGTCGACCTGGTCTTTGCCGTGGCCCTTGCCTTTGCGACCTTTCTGGAGCCAGGCCATGATGTCGAAGCCTTCCGGGCGGTTGAGAGGGATTGGGTCGCCCTCGAAGAGATCGGGCATGACGACGAAGTAGCCATTGGCTGCGAATTGGTCGGCGATGCTGCGGAATGATTTAGTTGTGATTGTAGTCGTGCCTCTCCACTCGGCACGGCTTACAGTTGGGCATTGATGAATTCATGGCCGATGACATCTGGTAGGATCAGGACGGCATTGTCCGTCTTCTTGTCCTCAGGGTAGGCGAAGTAGGTAGAGACTTCCTCTCAAGTCAGTATACACTCGATAGATGTCTTGTGTTCTTGATGCCTGAGCATACTGTTGCCGATGTTCTTGAGCTCGCCTTTGGCCTCGCCTTCATGCTTGACACCAATAGTGCAGCAGCGTCCTCCAGGGTTGGATGCCATTATGTCGAATTTAAGATAGTGGAAGGGTCGGAGTTGGTCATTGAGGAAGCTTGGCTGTGAACAAGAGTCGTGCAATGGTTATGGTCTAGATACATGTTTTAATTATTTGGCAATTTTGCCCCACCACTTGCCCCTCCAAACATCGTCATCGGCCCATTCGCCTTCGTAAGCGCTTGAAGCGATATCGCACTACACACGTTAAAGCTCGACGCGTCTCCATGGGATAGTCAGTCTTTAAGAGCGTGGTGGCGAACGCGACAACGACCTTAACACCGAAGCGCTGTCCGAGACCAAGACCGAAAGAGTGTTCGTTAAAGCATTCATCTATCGAAAGTTCGGCCTCTTTCGGCCCGCGTGTCTTGGTTTGTACATTCGGCATTTGTGCCTGCCTAGCAAAAGCCTTTGTCCCTTCACCGCATACCCATGTCCTTGAGCATCTCTCCACACTGACCCCGATCGCGGACACGACACGTACGGGGCATACCACAGCGATGGCTTGCAAGCACGCCGCCAGCCTCGATCTTCGCCCCCCACCTCTCTCCGAAGCCGTATATCGCGAAGACTGCACATTGTGCTTCGACAACGTCGACCAACCCGCAGGCATCGATGTCTGCCTCCAGTGCTATAACGGTGGGTGCGCGGCAGATCGACAGCACGGCCATCAACACGCTCAGCAAGCCCAGCATCCACTAGCTGTCAACATCAAACGCACGAGGAAGAGGACGAAGCGGGACGACAACGAGCCTCCGGAGAAGATCTCCCGTCTGGCGATCAAGGCAGAGACTGATGCAGAACGCTATGACGTCCAGACCGACGTGCACTGCTTCCAGTGCCGCGTCCACGACATTGGCAGGGATGTGGGCAAGGTCGGCCAAACAGTAGACGGCATCCTCAAGGCAAACACTTTTGCCAGGCAAGAGGAGGTCAAGGCGTGGGAGCTGGAGATGACAGCCTGTGAGCACACACTCTGTCTCGAGCAAGCACAAGGCCGTCAAATATCGAGTGGAGATCTCGGCCACTGTGCTCAATGCGACCTGAAGGAGAATTTGTGGCTGTGCTTGACATGCGGGAATTTGGGCTGTGGACGTCAACAGCATGGTGGCTTACCAGGCAACAGTCACGGCAAAGAGCATACCCAGACATCGCAGCACCCTGTAGCAGTCAAGCTTGGCTCGCTCACTGCGGACGGCAACGCAGACATCTATTGCTATGCTTGCGACGAGGAGAGAATCGATCCAGAACTTCCACAGCATCTGAAGCACTGGGGTATTGATATCACAGGGCGTGTGAAGACCGAGCAGAGTTTGACGGAAATGCAAATCGACCAGAACATGAGTTGGGAATTCCGCATGGAGGATGAGAAAGGTCAACGACTGAAACCACTATTCGGTGCTGGCTTCACTGGCCTCAAGAACCTGGGCAATAGCTGCTATCTCAACTCTGTGCTGCAATCACTCTTCGCTATGCCAGAGTTCGCGGAGAGATACTACAGACCAGAAGACAGCACCCCACCAATCACGAAACCAGCAGAAGACCTGGAAGTGCAGCTGCGGAAGCTAGGCGACGGCTTGCTGTCCGGCAGGTATGGCCAGCCTGGCTCGTCGGACGTACAAGCATCAGAAGAGACGAATGAGACACCTTGGCAGGCAGGTCTTGCACCAGCCATGCTCAAGCATCTGGTCGGTCGAGGTCATGCAGAATTCAGCACCATGCGCCAGCAGGACTCATTCGAGCTTCTGCTTCATCTGCTGAAACTCATCACACGATCACAGTCCTGGGCTCGTGGGCAGTACAAGAACGTCTCAGACCCAGTCGAGTCGTTCAGGTTCTTGATGGAACAGAAGTTGCAGTGTCTGAGCTGCAAGCGTGTACGATACCGGCAAGACGAGATGGAGAATCTGTCTGTGGCAGTGCCTATTAAGCGCTTACCGAAATCAGAGGACGTCAACATGGATGAGAAGAAGGAGGAGTTCGAGCCCGTAACACTAAGGCAATGCTTAGAGGACTTCACCGCCATGGAGAAAGTCGAATTCACGTGCTCCTCATGCAAGCAGACTGGATTCACCAAGCAGACACTCTTCAAGACTTTCCCGACCATACTCGCTGTCAACGCGCGCAGATTCGAGATTGTCAATTGGGTCCCTACGAAGCAGGACGTGCCGGTCATAGTAGACGGTTCGATCGATCTAGAAGCTTTCCGCAGCCATGGCAAGCAAGAAAGCGAAGAGGAGCTGCCGGAGGATCAGGATGCAGGCAAGAATTCAGCAGGCGGTGCCAACGTGTTCCAGGCCAATGAAGCCGCGCTCGAGATGCTGATGTCGATGGGGTTCCCCAAAGTCCGGTGCGAGAAAGCGCTGCATGCTACTGGTAACCAGGATGCCGAAGTGGCCACTGCGTGGTTGTTTGAGCATATGGAAGATCCTGACATCGACACACCGCTCGATCCTGGTTTGGGCGGTGCAGGCGGCTCAGCTAGTGGTACTGTGAATCCGGAGCAGATCGAGAACCTGCAGAACATGGGCTTCAGTGCGCCACAGGCTCGTCAAGCGCTGAAGGAGACAGGCGGCGACATGGAGCGAGCGGTCGACTGGCTGTTCTCGCATCCAGACGCTACCGGCGACTTCGGCGATGATGCACCCACAGCGAATTCTTTAGCAGAGGCCGAAGCCACGATTTCTGGACAGCCTACCGAGATCGACACGAAACCTGCGCACTTCTCGCTCAAGTCAATTGTGTGTCACAAGGGTACTAGCATTCATGCTGGTCACTATGTGGCTTTCATCAAGAAGGAGATCGAGGGCAGGGATAGCTGGGCATTGTTCAATGATGAGAAGGTTGCTATGGGCTCAGATGCGGTGGAGATGAGTAAGTTTGCTTACGTCTACTTCTTTCGTAGGGAGGGAGTGTAAGATGGACAGCAGGAGGGCATGTGGCGATGGTCGGGCAGGACGAGGCCGCGCAAGACTTCGGTGGTAAGAAGCCCTTGCACCTGTGCTCAGCCCTAGTCCTCGCTCCAGAATAGAGTATCTGACAACGAGTGAACCACGTTGGCTCGAAAAGCCGTTCCATTAAGTGTCACTATTCTCTCACCTGGTACATTCTCATGTAGAGCCATTGAGTTTGTGTTGTGTCCGACGTCGGCCACTCTCGTTCGTCCCCTCAGTCGTCGATCGATCAAACAACATCCCGGATTGACATAAACAATCTCATATTCCTTCCATAGTGAGACGACGCCCTGTGTAGAAACCGATCTTCTTGTCAACCTATTGGTCGTGAACAGGATCTGGTTAGCCCTCAAAGCAAGCAGACCGCAAGCGAGCGGGCTTGGACATTACTACAACTTGGACATAGTTCTACGGCCCTTGACGAATGTCACGATTGCGGATGGTATCAAATCATCTCAACCACGCCGTCAACATGGTCAAGACAACTCGCCATCCACTCTCGCCACCTAGCCTAGACGAGGTAGTCAAGGCTGTGCTACCAACACTCGAGAAGAACTATCAACAAGCAGCGGCGGAAGTTGTGGAATGTCCTGATCTGTCGAAAGCTCCTTTCAGTCTCGCTGCTTCTGGCCTGTCAGGCGCCGAAGCCGTCGCAGATATCGGTGGTCAACCACATCTGTTCCCCAGGCCTTTACTGGACAAGAAGTACTCACTGGTCGAATGTGCTCAGAGTATGGATTTGCCGGCAGAGAGGGGTATGCTGCTCGGCGCTGGCGCTGGACCTTTTCATGTCATCGGCAAGAACAATGAGCTTGCTCCTAATCTTGCATGGCAAGGTGGCTACTCGAAAGTCAACAACAAGACGCATTACGCCAAGATCGAAAGCATAGTCGATGGGAAAGCTCAGCCAGTGTGTCAGCTGAGTCCGAGCACCGACTGTGCACTCATGATGAACCTCTACGGCTCTCAAGGCGATCAAGGTCCAGTCCTGAAAATCACAGCTCGAGCGCGAAAGGGTTCTCAGAGAAGCTTCACAGACTGTATCCGGCACGCTCTCCACGACGTTTACGGTGACGAGAGGCAGATAAGTCTCGGCGGCGTCTTTGTCATGCGAAAGGGGAAAGCACTATACCACATCATGCCCGACTTCCCATCCCCAGACAAACTGCCCTTTACGGATCGCCACGAACTGAATCGATGGTTGACATACCACAACTTCGCCGCTCCCATGGTGTGTCTGACAGTCTTCCATTCCGCGGATCCGGAGAAATTGGGCTTGAGGATGGAGCATACGCATTGTTTTTCTGCTATTGAGGGTAAGGATGAGGGAGGCCATTATCATCATGATTTCCTCGAAGGGGAGCAGGGCAGTGAAACTGTAGAGTATGAGGGATACTTTAACGTGGCGAAAACGCTTTATAGGATCGACAGGCCGGAGGTGACGTTGAAGGAGGATTTGCATGATTAGTTGACAGGTGGTCGTACGCGGGGACAAGGTGTTGATGGCTCAGACGGGTCCAGCTAGGATGTAGAGGGTTTGCAACGCGCACCTACATTTCCTCGATTCCCATTCGTAAGACGTTGTGTCGTGTATATGACATTATCGTGAACCATTTCTGCGTGCCTTCTTGCCCAAGCCCGTGCTTTCTCCAGAAAGTGGAGACCAACGCCTCTTCGTGGAGAAAGCGCGAGGCTTGTCCGAGGTGATTGGTGAACTTTGCTGCATCGAGCGTGTGGCAGATCGTCGTCCGTTGATCCGACTACTCACACCCGAGCTTCATGTTCGTGCTCAAGTAGTAGCTGGTAGCCTCGATTAGGTAGGTCGATCTCTGTCATTCCCTCTTCACACATCGTTCAGACTACACCAATGGCTCCACATCCCCAAGATGACGCCTACGCAGCTTCGATTAAAGACCCAGCCAAGTTCTGGTCACGGCAAGCAAAGCATCTCATCTGGCATAAAGAACCCACGTCTGCGTTCCAGCGCACGACGCGGAAGTTGAAGTCTGGAGTGTCGCATGATAGCTGGACATGGTTCCCAGGTGGCGAGATCAGCACAACGTACAATTGTATCGATCGTCATGTCGAGGCTGGCCATGGTAATAATAGGGCCATCATCTGGGACAGTCCCGTTACAAAAAGCAAGGAGAAGATCAGCTACGCCCAGCTACAAGAGGATGTCGCTACGCTGGCGGGGATACTTAGAGAAGAGGGCGTGAAAAAGGGCGATACTGTTCTCGTATACATGCCCATGATACCGGCAGCATTGATAGGCATACTAGCAACAGCACGAATTGGCGCTATACACGCCGTAGTGTTCGGAGGTTTCAGCGCTGCTTCGTTGGCACAGAGAATCGAAGCTAGTGGTGCCAAGGTGATCTTGACCGCTAGTTGTGGTATTGAGGGTGCGAAAGGTCCGTTGCCATATCAGCCGATGGTTCGAGGGTCAGTCGAGAAGTCATCTGTGAAGCCTAGTAAGGTACTTGTATGGCAGCGGGAGGAGAGTAGATGGGACGACATACAGGAAGAGAAGGGAGAGCGGCATTGGCAGGGGCTGATGAAGGCGGCGAAGAGTAAAGGATTGAAGGCTGAGAACGTACCGGTGAAAAGTAGTGATGGACTGTATATCATATACACAAGTGGTGAGTCGGCAGGAGTCGTTGCGAATGGATTGATGCTGACTGTGAAACTTGTAGGAACTACTGGTCTCCCAAAAGGCGTCTTACGAGAAGCTGGTGGCCATGCAGTAGGACTGAATTTATCCGTAAGGTATCTCTTTGGCATCCGCGGACCAGGTGATGTTCTGTTCACGGCCAGTGACATCGGCTGGGTTGTCGGTCACAGCTACATCATCTACGCACCACTGCTGGCTGGTGGCACTACTGTTCTGTTCGAAGGTAAGCCTGTGGGCACACCGGACGCGGACACCTTCTGGCGAATACTGGAAGAGCATAAAGTGAACTCGCTCTTCACAGCGCCAACAGCACTAAGGGCGGTGCGCAAAGAAGATCCCGAGAACAAGTTCTTCGAAAAGCGTGGCAGAAATGGGGGACTGAAAAATCTCCGTGCTCTATACCTCGCAGGCGAACGCTCGGAGCCGAGCATAGTCACCATGTATCAAGAGCTGTTATCGAAGCACTGCGCGAAGAACGCAACAGTCATCGACAACTGGTGGTCTTCTGAGTCCGGATCGCCTATGACCGGTCTTGCGGTCCTTCCCAGTACAGCGCTGGACTTCACCGATCACACCTTCCACCCACCTCTCCCCATCAAGCCAGGCTCAGCCGGCAAGCCCTCTCCCGGCTTTGATGTCCGCGTCGTCGATGATGACGGCAAAGAGATCCAAAAGGGCAGTATGGGAAACATCGTCCTTGGCATCCCCTTCGCACCCACAGGTTTCACGACCCTCTGGCAAGACGAAGAGCGCTTCTACCGCAGCTACCTCAAACGCTTCGACGGGAAATGGATAGACACAGGCGATGCAGGAATGATCGACGAGGACGGATACGTGCACATCATGTCCCGCGCCGACGATATCATCAACGTGGCTGCGCATCGTCTGAGTACTGGCGCAATCGAGCAGGCGATCACGACACATCCCGCTATTACGGAAGCGGCGTGTGTTGGCATACCGGATCCGATGAAAGGGCATGTGCCGTTTGCTTTCATCGCTATCGCTGACGCTCCTAAGGACCTGCTCAAGGACCTCAATGCGAGGATCAGAGAGAGTATAGGGCCTATAGCGAGTCTAGGTGGTTTTATCGCATCGCCCGGTATCATCCCAAAGACGCGGTCAGGGAAAACCTTACGAAGGACTTTGAGGGAGATTTTGGAGAATGGAAGTCAAGGAGAATTTGAAAAGGACCCATCGTATCCGTCTACGATTGAGGATGTGGCTGTGGTCGGCAAGGCGAAGGAAGCGGTCAAAGCCTACTTTGAGACTGGAGAGGGTAAGAAGATCAAGGCAAAGTTGTGAGGGAGATGAATGGATCAGGTGTACGATACGCGATACGTAATGAAGTGTACAAAGAGACATGTGCTACGCCATCCGCCAAACACCAATACCAATTCCCTAAAGGAGCAAAGACAATCGTAGCGCTGGAAAGCTGCTCTGTCCAACGAACGCCGTATTATTCGCCCTGCGCCCACCAATATGTACCTGCGCCGTTCACCACCCCCAATTTCTCGTGCGACTCTATCACTACTCTGCAATACTCTCCACACCTCGGAAGTATTCACTATCTGTCAGATTCGCCGTCGGCAAGTCCGTCCCAAGTCCACTATCACTGGGCGGAGCGAATCGGCGCTTGATTTCATCCTCGTGCTCCATCGTAATCGCAGCCGGAGCCTCGATCCGCAAAGGTGCCGCCTCGCCTCCCTCCTCCGCACCAAGAGCCGCATCCTCCTCGTGCTCTCGTGGCTGATGCATACCGACCACGCCGTTAGCTGAGCTTGCGAGGCTATCGCGGCGGTCGAGTTCGGAGCCTGTCATGTAGCTTCCAGTGCCGTAGGAAAGATCACTGGTACCATAACTTGTGCGACGACCATCGTCGGTGCTGGGTGTGATGCCATCATCGACAAAGCTGCCTTCGCCACCATAAGTCAAGCGACCCTCGGTTCCACTGCGAAAGCTGTGCCTGCGCTCCGTAGCAGTATCACTGCCCTGCTCCTCGCCAGCACGAGTATATTCGCTTCTCGCCAATTCGTCTTCGCTCTCCTCGGACAAGGTCTCGTTCTCCTTATTCTGGGTACCGTGGCTGGCTATACTAAAATTCCTCTTGCCACCGGCCCAGGACGATTTGCGAGGGGCGGCAGTCGCCTGCGTCTTGACCGAGTGACTGCGCTGGAGACGTTGCGAGCCGTTGGAGGAGATCAGAGAGGGTGTTGTTGAGGGGAAGGCATGAGCACCTGTAGGAACATTGTGGTTGATCTGGTTGAGCGACATGATGCGGCGCTCTGCTGTATTGGAAGCGGGACCATTGCGCTGCATACCAGGTCGAGACCTGAGTGCCAGAGCGTGGTTGGGTTTGAGCGATGGTACGGTCGAGGTGACTGTCTGAGCTGAAACGGCCGAGGCGTTGCTTGGAGCACGCAGATCACGGCCTTGTGGCTTCTTCTTGGGTGGCGACTTCGCGCTCTTCGCCATGAGAAGCATTCGAGACTGATTCATCACGCCCTCAAGCATGCGGCGCTCGATGATCCCAGCCTTGCGATCCATCTCGTGCAGCTCCTCGCGTCGGATGCGGAGTGCGGTCTCCAATGAAGATACATTGGCATTGAGTCTCGACTTCTGAGAAGCCAAAGCCTCCTGCTCCGCCCTCAAAGCATCGACAGCTTGGCGCAGCGAATCCTTCTCCTCGTTCAGAACAGTAATGTCAGCTTCGATCTCATCTTTCTGCACTTGGCGACGCTCAAGCAGGAGAGCAAGTTCCTCAGCTTCTCTCTCCTTGCTCTCGTGGTCTTCGGTGATCTGCTTCGCCTGCGAAGCGACGAAAGCAGAAACCTCAGCGGCAGTAGCCATGACCTTCTCGTGGATCTGATCCAGACGCTCGAGCTGGGTGGAAGGATCCGCAGCAGACTCAGCATGTCCCATAAGCTTGTCTAGCTTCTCGTGCAGCATAGTGTCGTCGTACGTTTCCACTTCTCGCGCCGCGGCTGGCACATCGGTAGGAGCAGGCAGGAGAGCAGGAAGGGCCGTCTTGAGGTCTTCGGTAGCTGAAGCATGCCTTGTCTTCGCATCCTCAAAACCGGACTTCAGCTGCTCCTGTAAGTCACGAACAGCTTGATGATGCTGCTCAGCAGTGTCGACAGCCTTCTGCGAGTGCTCGTAGTGCTGCCCGATCAGTGCCTTGACTTCGTTGAGGGTCATGAGGAAGCGTGGGTTGTGCTCGATCATCTCGCCGTGTACGCCACCAACAGCAGCCATGACTTTGATGACCTCCTCGCGTGTCAAGTTGTGCTCGTTCATCAGGCCCAGCTGCGTCTCATCTAGCTTGTTGAAGGTGTCATCAACCTTGTTGAACACAGTCTTCGACTCCTCTGTCAACTTCTCGATTTGCTCCGGGAAAGTCGCAGTAAATGTCGTGAGCGCGGTGCCGAGTGTATCGATGGATAATCTCAAGTCATCTGCCATAGACTTGGTGCCTTCCAAGAGCTCAGCCTGGGAAGCAGCTTGGTCCTCCAGCGTCTTGACCTTCTCTTCCGCTGCACGTTGAGCGTCATCGTATTTACTCATCAGTCCATCGAAGAGACCGTCCAGCTTCTCACCGAGCTCGGCAACTAGCAAGTCCTTGTGCTCAGCTTGCTTCTCGAGACTGGTCTCCGCTGAAGCCTGATGATCGACCTTCATTGACTCGAGAGAGCCATGAGCACGCTCGAACTCTCGGTTCAACGCCTCCATAACCTCCTTCACCTCAGCGATGACTGGCTCATGATTTCCAGAACGCTCTTCAAGACCTTTGAGCGTTTCGCCAAGAGTATTGATGCCTGACTCGCCATCACCAAGCTTGATCAAAAGTTCGTCCTTGATCTCTGCCAGACTATCTTTGATACTACCGATCTCGAGGACCGTGTTCTCAAACTCCTGCTTCCGATCGTCGAACGCCTTGGCTGTGACTGCAATGTCCGTCTCGTAGCTCTCCTTGAGCTTATCATGACTGTCACGGAAGTCGATGATCAAACCTTGCAGCTGCTCGACATCCGACTTGGTAGGCAGATCCTCAGGATCGGGCATGGTCATCTCGTGAACGCGAGTCTTGATCTCGGTGCAGATAACACCCAGAACATCCAGATCGGCTTTGGTCATCAGCTCCGGCTTCTCTTCGTCCGATTCGACCGCAGGCATCCTCTCCTTCAGCTCCTCCAAAGCCATCTTGACATCTTGCGCAAGGACTTCTACTACGGCGACATCGGCTTTGCTTGCGGTTGTGTTCTCGAACTTGTCTGCCAGTCCCTCGATGGCCTCGTTTGTGACACGTACCACAGCTTCGACCGCATCCAAATGCTCCTTTGAGACCATTGTCGCTGGATCAGGCAAGGCGATCTCTTCGATCTGCGCCTTCGTGTTGCGGAGTAGCGTCTCAATGGCATCCGTGTCTTCCTTGCGAGCTACACCCTCTGGAGCGGCTTCTGCTGAAGACTCACGCGCTGCGAGCGAGATAACATTCTCTTGCACATCCTTGATCATGGTCTCGATAGTCGCGAGGTCATCTCGCATTGCCATACCCTCTGGCATCATTGCAGTAGGGGCAGACATCGGCAACTCTTGGATTGTGGATTCCATAGCTTCGATCTTGATCTGCAGCTGTGCAAGCAGGACCTCCATTCTCTCCAGATCGTTATTGTTGACTCCACCGGTCGTAGTCGCAGCTGCAACAGCCTCGTCAACAACCTCGCGTGTCTCCCCAGCTTCAGCGATATTGGGATCAGCCAACACCATCTCGTCTCCAGTTGCGCCACCTGCAGTCCTGGGCCTAGCCGCTTTCAAGGAGTCCATGTCGGCACGCAGACCTGCAAGGCCTTCCTTGAGTGTATCCAGGATCTCGTAGTTGACAGTTTGATCCAATGGCTTGTCCAGTGTCTTGATCACATCAGCGCGCAGGGTGTCAAGACCTTCGCTCATGGCGTCCAGCATTTCGCCCTGTTGCACTTGGTTGCGGTCAGGGCTATCGAGCTTGCGCTCAACATGGCCTCGGAGATCGTCCAAGCCAAGACGAACGGCGTCTAGGACTTCCTCATTGTTGCCACCGTGGATCACACTGGTGGCGATGGAATTGCGCAGGTTCTCGAACTCGCCTCGCATAGACTCGAGTAGCTCGGTAGGCACGCCGCCCTCGGATACGCTGCGGGCTGAAGTCGTCTCCTTCAGATCATCGAGGCAGCCTCGAATGTGCTCAAGTGTCTCAGTGTGGTCGAGGCCTGCAGCGCCGGCGCCAGCAGCTCCACCTAGCACTACAGAGGTGGCCATTGTCTCCTTGAACCTCTCCAACTCCTCCTTGACCGCCCCCAGTACCTCAGCAGAAGTCTCGCTGTTATCTGCCAAAAGCTGAATCCGCAGGTCATCGATCGCCTGCTTGACACCATCGACCACAGCATCCTTCTCGGCTTCACTGACAATAGCATGCAAGCTCTCTTTGAGGATATCGAATTCGGCATGTAGCTCGTTGATGAAGTCTTCTCCGGGTGCACCGCCTGCCACAGAACCAAGACTGCTATCCCCAAGCTTCGAGTGCAGAGCACCCATGCTATCCTGGATAGTCTCGATGAGCTCACCCTTGTCGGCTGCATTGGCATTGAGGATGCTAGCTTTGAGCTGCTCGAATTCCAATTTCATCGCGTCGTTGATCTCGTCGGTTGGGAAGTCGATCTCCATGTCGTGGTCTTTCTCCTCGATCTGTGTTCGGAGCGAGTCCATGCCATCCTTGATGGTTTGCATGACCTCTGCGAGCTGGCCAGAAGGCGCAATGGAGCTCTCGTCGCCCAGATCGCGACTGCTACCAACCGCCTCATGCAGATGCTCGAACTCCTTACGAATATAGTCCAGCATCTCCGCCTTGCCTCCATCGTGGTTCGGACCTGCCACAACATAACCTTGCACATCGCCACGAAGCTGCTCCAGACCGCCTTTGACAGTATCAAGGATCTCGTCCTTTCCTGTGACATCTTGAGCACGGTCGACATATTGCTCGATCTCGGCGCGCAGAGACTCCAGACCATCTTTTACAGCATCGAGGACTTGCTCGGTGTCCCGACCGTTGGCTGCAGAGTATTGCTGGAACTCAGTATGCATATTATCCACAAGCTCACGCATTTGCTGCAAGACCTGCTCGCCGAAGCTGCCAAATGGGATTGCGGAACCGTCGAGGCTGGCCTTAACGGCATCGAAAAGGTCGTCACGGCTGATTTCAATTTCACGAGGCGCATTCGGTCCATGGTTTGCAAGGCCTTCTTTGACTGCTTCAGATACCGTAGCTCGTACAAGCTCATCGTCCATCGGAGGTGCCGATATTGCAGGTTGATGTTGTGCTAGCATTTCACTGACGTTGCTGAGGATGTCGCTTTTCATCTGCTCCAAAGCCTCTGCAGGGAGGGGCGCCTGGAAGTCCTTCATAGCCTCTTGCATGGTCTCGAAGATCTCGCCCCGATCTATAGTGGCTGTGATCTCGGGCTTGCTGTCCTGGTATTCCGCTAAGCCTTCCTTGAGTACGGCTAGAATCTCATCACGCTCCAGACCGAATTGTTGCAGCTCGATGTTGGGCTCGAAATCCTTCAGACCTTCCTTCACAGCGTCCAGTACAACTTCGCGGTTCTGGTCCGGTGTATCGACCGCTTCGTCCGTATCGCGCTTGACGAGGTGGTTGCCATGCTCTGCCAACGCATGCTGTACTACAGCGAACATCTCCTCCCCAGTAGGAGCAGCGCGTGCGGTTGCCAATTGTCTGAAGCTGTCGTCGTCTTGCTCGGTACGTTGCTTGAGTAACCCAGCTAGATGCTCCTTCAGCTCAGTCATGCCCTCCTCGACAATACGCTGCACCTCTTCGTTATGCTGCTGGCTGTTGCCGTCGTCGATTGATCGGTCCAGAGTGGTGTTAAGTTGAGCCTCGCTGACCTGATCAAGCTTACGACCGAGCTCTCTGCCCATACCAAGCACTTCACCACGAAGGTCACGCACAATGCCCTTGACTTCGTTTGTCGAACCGCCAGCATGCGCCACGGACTCCTTGATTCTCTTTAGAAGACTCATAAGCTCGACGTGGCCTGCAGAAGTCGTCTGCTCTGTCGCACCTTCTCGAGTGATTTTGTTCAGGTGTCCAGGCGAGTCAAAGTTGAGCTCCAGCTTAGGAGGCCCTTCCTTCGGCATATGTACTAGCGCCTGTGACTGCGATTTCTCCTTGATGAACTGTGACAGCTCTTCCACCTTCTTTGCCGCCTCGGTGTTGTCCTGCTGGCTCTTCTCCATGAGCTCGGATAGAGTTGAAAGTAGTCGCTCCTGGCCTTCTTTCGTTACCATCTCACGAATGATCTTCTCGAGCATTGCAACGCTAGCTGCGCCTTCGACGGAATATGGGGATGGAGATCCGATACGACCATCATCCAGGAAGCTGTGCGCACTCGCGGCTCTGGGCACACTCCAAGATGACTTCGTGGCGGATGGTGGTGAATTGAAAGACTTGCCGTCCAGAAGACTGTAACTGCTAGTCGCCCTGTTCAGATTGCTCATGCTGGGAGGAGGTGGAAGCAGACCTTGCTGTGAGCTCCCGACTGAAGTAGCCAGATCTCTTAGAGTCTTCCGAATGTCCTCATCACGAGTATGCGTGGCCTCCTTCAGACTGACCAAGTCTGTCGCATTGTCCTTACTCCGTCGGCTCAACGATGACATCTCCTTTTGAAGATTTGTGGCGATGGTGGTCAAATTCAATAGCTGACTCGAGAAGTCATACTGTGTGTGAACTCGTACGGGTGAGGGCGTACTGGGCGCATTTGTGATTTCATGCAAAGAGTCCTCTGGGACTTGCATCGTCTGTAGAGCAAGCATCGTCGCTGATGGCGGTGTGTTCTCGCTGAAGATGGCCTTTGGCGGTGCACGAGCAGACGGGCGAAGTATGGGCATATCCTTCATCGAGTCCTTTGGCGCAGGCGTAGGTGTGGAAGATCGCTCAGCCGAGAGTGAAATGTCCTCTCCGCTGCCCTGTCTGCTGAAGTACGAGCCGCCTCTCGATTGGGGTCGTTCAGGTGACCTCTCTGGCGAACGGTTGCCATCTAGGTAGCTTCGCAGGTCCTTGACGCTGCCCGTCTGGAGCGACTGTAAGCGCTTGTGATGTGCGCCTTTGACTAGCGATCGTTCTGGAGATCCCGATGGGGTGGCGTTGTTGGATGTGTATGAAGAGATTGGTGCACCATCGCGAGCCCGCTCAACGATGGCCTTGGCAGCTGCGGCAATACCAGCAGATGTGTTTGGCTTGGTGGTCGGACTGTTTGCGCCTGGCGGGAAGGGAAGTGGTGGAGGTGCGCGCTCAGGGTCTGAAGAGTCCCACCTACGTTTGATGCTGGTCAGCAATTGCATGGTGTGTGTGTGCGCCCATGGCCTCAGGTGCGAGACTGGCTGGTTGATTGATTGCTAGATGGTTGCACAAGACGAACAGGCGATTGTACTCACATTGGCACGCTCACTCTCCCATGCTCGGAGAAGGAATGCGCATGGCCTCGATCTCGGGATGCGTCCCGCGATGCGCCGGACATCGTGGGCGTGTATGTGTGGATGTGGGTGTGGGTGTGCTGGAGATGGACTGGAATGCTGCTCGGCCTTATTAGGTCGCGTGTTGCGCCTTCAGCACAATCGCATTGTCTTTCCTCAGTCCTCCACAATTGTATCGTCAGTCGCAGAAGTAGAGTTCGTTATAGCGATGGGGACTCGGAGTAAGACAAATGTCTAGCGATGATGTCCTGCCTTCTATCCTAAGGTACCTTCTATCTTACGCTGCGACAGCCTAACGCGTTTTCCCAAACATAGCTTCGCTGCTACAGCAACCGGGGACGCTAGCAGAACGTGGAAGCTTCGGACTTTCCTCGGAACATCGATCTGCCAAGCCCACACCCTCCGACCTACCGATTTGGACATCGAAATCTTGCGACAAGGCTGGATTGAACAGCGAGACTACTAACACATCACCACACAGGGACATCAGACACCATGAAGTGTATGTATGAATGCTGCTGGAATGTAATGATCATACTGACAATGCCACCAGTCCTAAAGACAGGCAGGGTCTGCATAATCAGCAGAGGGCGGTTCGCCGGCAAGAAGGTGGTTATAATCATGCCGCAGGTACGCAGGATCGACTACGAGGACCAGGCCGAGAACTAACAAACAGCAAAGGACAACGGCAGCAAGAAACACCCCTTCCCCCACGCCATTGTCGCCGGCATCGAGCGCTACCCATCCCAAGTCACCCGCCGCATGTCGAAAGCCCGCGCAACCAAGCGCAGCAAGGTGAAGCCCTTCATCAAGGTCGTCAACTACAACCACATCATGCCCACACGATACACACTCGAGCTGGAGGGTCTGAAGGGCGCGGTCACGAGCGAGACGTTTACAGAGGTGTCACAGAGGGAGGACGCGAAGAAGAATGTGAAGAAGGCGCTGGAGGAGAGGTACTCGAGCGGGAAGAACAGGTGGTTCTTCACGCCTCTTAGTGAGTACTTGTGGAACAGTGGTGGGTGGTGACAATACTAACACTGGTATTAGGATTTTGAGCGCGCATGGTCACGTGCCGAAGGACAATGGGTGCGACTTTGCTGAGTGTGAGGCAACGGCGTTGAGATTATGCATGAAGAGGCTCGGAGCAGCTGTAAATGCGGCATTCTTCCATTGATCGTTCTACAGTCTACGAGTCACCAGTGCACGTCATGTCCAAGGCACCTTCTCGATCTCCGTCCAGTCGTGCACTTTCCACAATCCGGTCAGCCCCGAAGACAGCTCAGCTTCGTACACCTAAACCTCATGTCTTACTAACCTTCATCATAACCACAATCAACGGACTTCTCCCTTTCGCATCGCACGACAACTCAGAAACACTTCCGCATTTCCCGAAGTAGATCTACTGGTACTCTCCCGTGGCGTGCGAGCGAACACTTCGATCTCGGCGATATCTAGGGCGTCAAGCGCGCTCTGCACAAGGTCAATGCAGCGGATCATGTCCCTCTCCCACTGGCCGTCATAAATGATGCTACATTCTACAAGCCGCTCGACTTCGCTGTTCCACAGTTGAGCACTCTGCACATCAGACATGAGCCGCTCTCTCTCGGCATCTCCTCTGGTCGTCAGTCCGACCCACGGAGTTTCGTCTGAATAAGCCCTTCGCCACTTGATGCTCGTTTTCACCGAGCCGCTGAAACGCGAGTATGCCAGTGCTTCCTCAGTGACTGTTTTAGCAAGGCCGAGATGTACTCCGAGAAGAGGACTGGCGCCCACCCAACCTGTCAATGTTGTCGTTACATGTCCATTATTTTCGAACGTCAAATGTCCAACATTGCCAAGCAGCTGCAACGAGGCGAATACTAACTGTGTCCTGCCAGCATCGAAGGCCGCTGAATTCTAGTCTAGGACGATCCTCATCGACTTCAACTCATGCCGGTCCCGGATGTACGAGCAGAGGCTATAGAGCACATCCGCGACAGGAACATGATGGTCAGACATATACCACCACCGACAGAATGCAATCCTATCATAATCGCCTATATCGATGGTGAACTTGAGATGATGACAAGCATGCAAGCACGTCGACCATTGAAGCGCCAATATGTTCTTCTGTCGCTCATCCCGGTCGGCGTCCGGGCTGCTGAGGCAAGTGAAGTCGCTTTAATTCCTTCCAGCCAAAGTCACATCCTTAGGAGAGAGCTTGATTTCGATCTCGGCCTAGTTGTACAGCATATCTTTGGCCTCTCTGTAGATCTCCTTGAGACACGAAGAATGGCTGGCCAGCCGCGTTTGGCTGGTGGGTCGAAGCAGAGGAGTTGCTCGTAGATCTGTAAGCGGACTTCTGGTGGGAAGCTCGTCATGAAATCTATCTTGGAGGTGCTGTACATGTCGTTGTAGCTCATCAGGGCGCGCATGTAGTCGTCTCGTTTGGGCTGGTTCGGCTTGTTTGCTCTAGAGGAGGTGATGGTCAATTTGCGGCTACGGGCTAGCACTGCTAGGGAGGCTATGGTCCAGCCTTCGTAAGGTACGTCGTGTGTCTGTGTGGACATCGTGACTGCTTGGTGAGATGGAGCGGCGTTAAGAAGGATGTAAAGAAGAAGAGTGGCATGGTTTTATCACTTTTACTTTGTAGTGATAATTGTGCGGTAGCCTACACGCCTTTGTATGATGTGGTTTGCTCGACTGTAGCGAGAGACAGCAACAGCAAGCTCTTCACCAGCCGCACCAGAATGCAACGAGCGACGATAACGAGTCTTGTCTAGACCAAACACAAAGGATTTGTCCACGCCATCTTCACATCCTGACTCCGCTAGCCTTTGCGCGCCTTGCGACACTCCTCGAACTTCTTGAACAAATTCTGGACTTTCTTGCCCTTGCCCTTACCCTTAGCCCGGTCCTGGATCTCAACGACATCCAGCTCATCCAGGCATCGCTGCAAGCCAATGACTAATCTAATAGCAGAGTGCTCCTAGTCTCTGTTGCGGTATTTGGTGGCGAGCATACTGTCCCGCGCCTGCATGAGGAGATTGACTCTCTCCCGCAACAACAATGCCCTCATGCGAGACCTCTTCGCCGCATCCGCGCCCCTGTATCCCAAGCAAACTCTGTGCCGGCCTCTGAAGACATGCCATCCGTGCACGTACGTTCCGTAGGCTGCACCTTCCAAATCGGCATATGCAAGGGCCTCGTCAATGATTGGGTGAGGAAGGCGAGGAATCGTGCCAGACAGTGGCGAGACGCCAGGCCAAGCGGTGTTCGAGCAGTGCTGCATGGCCGAACCTTCACTCTCCACCGTGATCTTCTCCAATGGCCCGAGTGATTGTAGAGGGTTCAGGACGTCATTCCGTGTGGCAACGTCCCACGGTGAGCCTGGAATATCCAGCCCGACTGTGAAGGAGCGCAGGGCGTTATCGTTCATTAGAAAGGCGCATAGGCTGTAGAGTACCTATTGACGATGTGAAGATAATCAGACGTCCTTTCATTAAGATCGAAGTTTGGAATGCGAATCGTTTCATCCAAGGCAAGCAAGTCGTTCCAAGCGACGGTGAATTGTATCCTCCGGCATTGATGCAGATAGCTCGGCCATGCGATTGTCGACATGTCCTTTCCGCCATCTTTGCCGTCAGCTGCGGGTGTGTATCTGCCGCAGGCTTTGTCTTGAACTAGCACACCAGTGGGACCGAGGTTGATGTGTATGATGCTGTCGCAGAGAAAGGACTTCGTGACTTCCTTCGCGATCTCGTTGTCCGCTCGACTGCCAGACGAGGCACTGGGGATCCGCTCGTAGATCTTACTGTATTGCGAATTTCGGGCGGGATGGAGAGGAGATCAAAAGTCTGGTCGATACTCTTCGACAGTCCATCGATTTCTTCCAGGACATGGCCGTCGGCGTGTCGTATTGGAGCATTGACTGGTTTGCCGGGCGATGATTGAGCTCTGGTGGAGCGTACTCGAGCTTGTTTGGCTGGGCTCCTGTAGACAGTGCGCGGGTAGTCTCTGCTGCGAACCATGGTCGTTTGAACGATGTTGGACGAGGTGATGGTGAAGTGACTGTAAGGTTGAGATTGTGTGTATGTTGATCTCTAGAGTTGGATATCCTTGATTGCCGTGTTGTGAATGTATGCACTGATAAATGCTAAACTCTCGATTTGCTCTACTGGCCTAAAAACACTGCCGGTCACTGTGAAGGTGTAGCGGACGCGACACGCGCTGGGGAAAGGATGTACGTGGGTGGTGGGCTTGCCAAACATTGCTGGTAGGCTCCTTACTCAGACCTACTCTGATTGACGTTCGATGCCGCTGCCTCGCGATATGTGAAGGGGAGATCGCAGCAACGTCCTTACCAGGTTCATGTCAATGACAGGTTTTCCCGCCAGGCAGTGGCAATCTACTCCAGTGACCGTGGAACACAGGCAAGCCAGCCATCTACCTCTGCTTGAATACTCCTCTAAAGGATGCGAGATCATACATCGTGACTTGGGTTGAGGTGATGATAAGAATCATGATATGTTCTCGTAGATTGAATGTGTGTAGCAAAGCAGTTTCGCTCTTGCTTAGATCTGAAATGCTAGTGGAATGCCCGTAGGACTTCGAAGGCTTGTTCGCATCGTCTCACACCAGACAGACCGAAGTCGCGTTCTATGTTGTGATCGGTCCTTAGGAACTTGACAGTAGGCGTTGCAGTAACGATCAACCACCAGAAAAGCTGTGGAGATTTGGAATGAAGTGAATTGTTCCGGTCTCGTTCCCTGCAATCGCTCTTCCGCGTACGCTTCTCTTTCGCCCTCTCGTATGTTTTCCTTCCTTCTTTTCATCGGGATGTATTGACTGAAGCTCCACTTTTCCCCGCCCAATTGTCTGAGAGGACGAGTGCCGATAGAGGTTGGAAATGTAGGAGTACACAACTTTTCCCGAGGCGATTGTGTAGGTCCAGCCAGTCGCTAGAACGCAACGGTGGTCTGACAAGTGTTGGATGTAAATAATGATGGTTGTGCCGCCCAGTATCGTTTCGTCTCCCAGGTATCTGCTCTCTGTTCGACGCCAAGCTGTCCCTAATAATGATGCGCTTCCTGCGGTTCCTTCCCTCCCTCGACCCTCACCATCACCACGCCCAAGACCATAGCTACGATGTTGGCCGCCGGGAGCTCAAGGGCGAGGTCTTTGGCACGAGAGTACCAGCCTACATAATATTCCATGCAGTGTTCGGCTATGTCACTCTCGGTATAGGTCTCGTTGCAATATGCTTGCGCATCCCATGGAGGCCAATCGCGCGCTGGAAGTGGCTGCATTCGTACTGTGGCATTGCATGGATCATAACAACGACCTGGTTAGCTACTACTGCCATTTGGTGTGTGTATCTGTGGCCCGGGTGGGATGTCGTGGCGTTCTTTATCTTCTCAATGTATGGGTAAGTTAGCGGCTCTCTTTTCCTTTGCTTTCTTGTCTCCAATGCAAGGTACATGTAGACATGTAGGAAGGAAGCGCTCAACACGCAATTCCTCTAGGGCTATTGACCTGGCATGGATCAGCATCCGCATTTGGAAGAACTCGACTGAGAAAGCCACGCTGCCTCAATCAGAGGGTGGAAGGAGTGGGAGGCGGTGGTCCATCCTGTGGAAAGTCGCCCATGGGGTGCTTATGGCGTACTCTTGGGTCATGCTGCTTGGCGCAGGCGTGTCGTTTCCTCTGCGGTATGTACCTTCAACACTGTGAAGGTCCAATCATTGACGATGAGTTCAGGGCTTTCAGTGCATTCAGCAAACAGTATGAGGTATATTATGGTTTACCGGATTACATTCGGCATCCGAAAGGTTAGCGGACATGAAGACATGCTGGCCAGATCCAGGAAGAAACTTTGGTGTTGGCTGCTTGTTGGACGAGTCTGAAGCTTATTAGGTAGCCACGATGCAATGTTAGAAGTCTCATGCCAAGACAGATCGCTCCCAAACTACCTTCGCCTTGATTAGACTTGCTGTTGCGCTCTGGCAGTGCAGCCATTGCCGCCTATGGTAGCATGCCACACAGCACTTCATAGATTTCAATGACTTCTGTCACCCGACCAAGCACAATCTCTATACACTTGTATGCTTTTACTGCAATGTTTGAAGATGTAAATAATGGCCCTCACATACAACCAGCCAGCGGTCCGCCTACGGCACGCCCCCGCTTTGAACGCCTCTGCCAGGGTGATATTCACATTTGGCATCATCGATCCATTATGCTCTGCCAATGGCTGCTTGGCATGCTGTCTTCGGCTCCGGACAAGAAGATCGGACTGACGTCGTCAATCATGCTTATGCCCGTATGATGAAAGGTCAAGTATTGTGCCTTCCACACATTACTAGTCTTCCCTCGCGCCATCATACTACTGATTCTGTCCAATACGACAACCATGCATGCCGCCACGCTACTCACCATCGCGGGCCTAGGACTGCTGAGCTCCGCGCAAAATCTCATACGCGACCCGTCAGTCTATGGCCCTGCTCTCGAAGTCGTACATCTGTACTACGACGAGTTCCCTACAGGTTCGTGGCCGGGCATGAGAAAAAGATATCAGACCCCAGCATTGCTAACAGCATCTAGGCATCGCCGTGTCGTCGAAAGGTCGTCTTTTCTCCAACTATCCCGGAGGGCTGAACGCGAACGACACCAACAATGTAAGGCTGATGAGGACTGCCAGATCGTTCTCAGCTGTACTGACTCCAATGATCATAGGGTAGCAATGGCCGGTACACCATCGCTGAGCTCGTCAGCAATACAACTGAACGTGCGTTCCCGAGTACACAGATCAATTCGCCACCGGGCGGCGCCATAAACTATACTACCTACCCACCGAGTGGAGCAAATTATGCCAATTACTTCATTGGTTCCCAGAGTATCGTGGTCGACTCTGCTGACCGGGCTTGGGTTCTGGACACCGGCCGAGTGCTGACACCGAATGGCACTCTCGTTGGAGCATCCTACGGCGGACCTAAGCTGGTCGGTATCGACCTCACCAATAACACCGTCATCAAAACCATTGTGTTTCCAACAACTGTAGCCTTCTCGGACTCCTACCTGAACGATGTTCGCTTCGATCTCAGAGCCAATCTGACCAAGAGTGGTCAAGGTGTGGCTTACATCACCGACAGCTCGGTCGAAGGCCGCAATGGACTGATCACCGTTGATCTTGGCACTGGAGAGTCTTGGAGACATCTGGACGGCCATCCTTCTGTTCGACCTGTTCAGCAATGGCTGGGATATGTCTGGGGTGTGGCTCTTTATGCTTTCAATCCCGGACGACCATTCGGCTTCAACTCATTCGGAAGTGATGGTATTGCGCTCTCGGCGGACGGCGCCACCATATATTACAAGGCCGTGGGCTCGAGGTACTTGTACAGCATTCCTACTGTGAGTATAATGTGAAGTATAAATCGGCGACTGCCATACTGAGGTGTCAACCAGGTTCGTCTCCGCGACAACAGCGCCACATCCGAAGTCATGGCTCAGGCAGCGATCAGCAACCACGGCGAGACCGGCATCACTGACGGCATGGAGACTGACACCAACGGGTTCATCTACCATGGCAATATGGAGCAGAACTCTATCAGCTTCTTCAACCCAGCGAACGGCACAGATACGTTGTTCGTCCGCGACCCTCGTATCAACTGGGTTGATACCATGTCTGTCGGGACTGACGGGTATGCGAAACCATCGAATGTCATGTACGAGCGCAAGCTGACTTGTCTTCCTAGCTACCTATACTTCACTGTGAACCAACTGTGCTTCGGCGCTGGTTTCTACCCTGGAACTGATAGGACTGTGAGGCCTTACATTGTCTTCAGGGTCAAGCTGCCAAACAACGGCACGAAGGTGATCCTGAAGTAGAGAACGACTATTCATGGATACAATCTGTAGTAATAATGGTCGGAGCATTGTAAATAGCTTGTTGACACGACGAAATCATGGAGATCATCCAAGACATCTTTGCCGTTGACATCCATGGCTTAATGCTTAAGACTCGAGAAGGCTGCTAGTCTTTCACCACAAAGCACGACCAGCCTCTCGCAGAACGGCAGACCCACCCATCACAAAAACTTGAAACGTCTCGTCCTCATGGCCCTCCTACCAAAAGGTTCGGTCGCAACGTGCCGGCCCTGTCCAGCGCTTGTCCCTGAACCATGAAACACAAGGGACAGGCACGAAAGCTACTTTTAGCACCCAGCGGCAGTCAATTGCGAAGGAGCTGAAAATGCCTAGGGAGACGTTGAAATTGTGTAATTCATATGCCAGGCGAATCAGATTGCTGAAGTGGCGAGAGACCGGCTTTTGGGCCCCTCGTTCACCGTCGGGGCGGCTGTTTGTGAGACGCGACCCCACCACTAGACCTACCCTGCTGCTGCTGCTGCTGCGACAAACGCCTGAGCTATTAGAGTTGTGTCAGTGTGTACATGATATAGCACAATACTTCCGCTTTGGTTGCTCTGCTTCCTCTGGCAAGTAGTATCGCAAGTCACGTCGTAAGACATATCTTTCCAGCCAACTTTACGGCCACGAGCCGAGCTATTGGTCTAGAAGCGCAGGCTAGAGAAGAGGTATGTGATGGGTCTGCAGGCAGCGCAGATGTGACTGATCAGCTGCTTGGTGCTAAGTCATGGCCTTGACAGCTCTGCTAACCATCTCCAGGGTATCCCATAGCGCACACACCGAGCCACAACATACACTGCCCACCCCCGCCCGTGAACCTTGCTCCGCCTGTCCATCAACAAGGCGTTGCCTTCTCGCGCATAGCTCGCGAACCAAACTAGTCTGAGAGGTGAGTACCAAGTGGAACATGGCAGCATACAGCATACAGTATAGAATGGTTGCTCGCGAGCCGGAGTGGTGAAGCCGCAACAACCACGTGGGAGCTGCAGCCGCATTCCAGACCACGGACGGATTCGGACACTCGAGCACTTGCTGACGTTTGCAAAGAGAGCAGGTCGGACACTCGATCGCACATCATCAGCAGCCGCCTCAAGCTTTTCTTCACTCCCCACGAACCTTCGGCATATTTCGAGACACCATGTCTCGCGCAGCGCAGCCAGGCGGCTCCAGAAAGATCTCCTTTAACGTCTCGGAGCAGTACGAGATCCAAGACGTGGTTGGTGAGGGCGCGTACGGTGTAGTGTGCTCGGCATTGCACAAGCCATCAGGGCAGAAGGTGGCCATCAAGAAAATCACACCCTTCGAGTAGGTGGACTTGACACAATATAGTAGGAGGCAGCTACTAACAATACATACAGCCACTCCATGTTTTGCTTGCGGACACTCCGAGAGATGAAGCTGCTGCGATACTTCAACCACGAGAACATCATCTCCATCCTCGACATCCAGAAACCACGCACCTACGAAAGCTTCTCGGAAGTCTACCTCATCCAGGAGCTCATGGAGACCGACATGCACAGAGTCATTCGCACGCAAGAGCTCTCCGACGATCACTGCCAATACTTCATCTACCAGACGCTTCGAGCACTCAAAGCCATGCATTCAGCCAATGTCCTTCACCGCGATCTCAAGCCATCCAATCTTCTGCTCAATGCCAACTGCGACCTCAAAGTCTGCGACTTCGGTCTTGCACGTTCAGCAGCCAGCACGGAAGACAATCAGGGCTTCATGACTGAATATGTGGCCACCCGTTGGTACCGTGCGCCAGAGATCATGCTGACGTTCAAGGAGTACACCAAAGCCATCGACGTGTGGTCAGTCGGCTGTATTCTGGCGGAGATGCTGAGTGGCAAGCCGCTCTTCCCAGGCAAAGATTACCACCACCAACTCACACTCATCCTCGATGTTCTCGGCACGCCGACCATGGAGGACTACTACGGCATCAAGTCGAGACGTGCTCGGGAATACATTCGATCTCTGCCCTTCAAGAAGAAGATCCCGTGGAAGGTCATGTTCCCGAAGACTTCAGACCTGGCTCTGGATCTGCTCGAGCGTCTACTTGCGTTCAATCCGGCGAAGCGCATTACTGTGGAGGAGGCCCTGAAGCATCCGTACTTGGAGCCCTACCACGACCCAGAGGACGAGCCAAACGCCGATGCTATTCCAGAGGAGTTCTTCGACTTTGATAAGAACAAGGATAATTTGAGCAAGGAGCAGCTGCGAAGTGAGTTAGAAACGCCCCTGTCTTTCGACCTGGCTGACACTATTGGACAGCCCTCATCTACGACGAGATCATGCGGTAATCGAGCCTATGACTGGTAGCAAGGAGCTATTCGGTGACATATGTAGGTCGCATCGTATCTATGCTACTCTTCCCAGATGCTAACCAGAGCAGCTGTGAGATTTTCTGGATGCACTGCCAGCTCTGCCACGAAAATGACGGCATCCTCACGCACGAAATGACGAAAAAGAAAGCATAATCTACCAACCTGCAATTGCTCACCAGGCTCGCGGCGACGAGCCCGCACGGTGGAATGTTTCGCTGAGTGCTACACACTAGACTTGGCTGCATGCATGGAATGGCGCAAATGTTCGCTTATGGCGGTTGACAGGTAGCTCGCCACCAGCAAAGTAACTCTGTAGCTGTCTGAAGCGACACTCTAGCTGTCAAAGCACTAGCTTCCAATTCTGAGCCCCTGCCTGACCCGGTTGCATGATTCGAGTCACTTCATGCGCATGGCCTCCATGAACTCCTCTCTCCTTGCTTCTCCAACATCCACAACCAGATCCTTCATCGCTTCCACCTCCTTGACTCCAGTTCCGTGCTCGAAGATCCATTCTTCGTCCGTCTCAAACCTAACCTGGAAAGCTGCCCAATTCAGCTGCTTAAGTTCATTGACATGCTCATGTACGCCTGAGGAGGGCCCGGAGTACACGAGCACACCGGGATAGCCAGGCTTGGACAATCCCGATACTGCAGAGGATGGTGGCGAGAGAGCTTGCTTCCGCTTGTTTGTGTTGAGTAAGTGATGGAGCCAGATTACTACCGTGGCTTTTGGCTCTGGTGCTTGTGTAGTCTCATATTTGTGAGCTTGAGCAGAAGTATTGGAAGCTGCTTGGCGTTCGACTTCTTCGCAGAGCTCATCAAAGATCGCAATGATAGAGTCCAGTACCTCCTCACCGATAGCGAGATCTGTGATGCGCTTCTTCAGATCTGACCGCAGGTCTCTTCTGCCAGCACCGGCGGCGAGAATGTCAGGCGGTGAATCATGCAAATATCCCGCTGGAAGCCTCACTTGGAGACTACCACTGGCTGATTTATAGCTCACCTCTTGTGCCCTTGGGTCGAAGTGAAGCTGCTCGGGGTACATGCTCTCGAGCAACGCCACTTCTGCACTCAGACGATCGTCTTGATCGTTCATGGTGCGGGATCGTCTCTGTCCGGAGGTTTATTTGAGTACTCGGGGCTCACGGCTAGCATGTTGGCATTTGCTGTCTCAATTCCAGGCTTGATATGATCTGTCGCCCTCAGCTTTCTTCATCTCGCTGGGATCCACTGGCCAGATCCTATAACTTGATGGATCTGAGTAAAGACGGTGACTTCACTTTCACTTTCCAGATTGAGTTTGAGATTAGGTTTTGCGTCAGCACGCGACTGAGGCGCGTGACGTCAACAGTCATCCAGGATCCAGGTACGCGAAATGTCGACGGTCGAGGGCGTCACTTCATCCGCGCCCTCATCTTCCAACAGACTCCTCATTCTCTCTCTACATCCTTCACAGGTCGTCTACGCAATCCAACTTCATCACCCAAGACCGTTCCCAGATCGCTTCGGCAGTATTTGCTCACCAAGAGACTCTTAGTAAGTTGAAAGTGGCGATTATCAACAGCCAATGGCTCATGCATGTATAGCTCAAAGAAGGACACAATACGACCTTATCGACACAATGGCCGGCCCACGTCGCTCGGCACGCACTTCTGCACAAACACAAACAAGCTCTAGTCCAGCAGCATCGGCCAAGAGCAATGGCACCAAGCGCAAGGCTGAGGATGACTCCATTCCCACCGACACCACGACTCAGAAGAAGCGCGGTCGCCCTTCCGAGGCTTCCAAAGAACAGAAGACGCTCGAGGAGACGATGCCCACTGAAGACACCGTTCAGAATGGCGACCAGAACGGCGGCAACGACATCGAGATGAAGCAAGCTAATGCAGGAGCTGATGCTCAGGGTAAGGATGGCTTCGAGTGGCCAGCAGGTTGCTGGTTCTGGCTGGACAATGCAACTTACGATACATCAGATGCCAATGGTGCGAACAAGCATGGCAATGATGCAGACCTCAAGGAAGCTGGGGAGTCGTTCAAAGGCACGAACAAGGACGGCGAGAACAAGGACGACCCCGAGAAGGCCTTGAAAGACTCTCGCGGCGGCGCCGGAGTCAATGCTCCCGAGGGGAATGCGCTCGACCAGGTGAAGGCGGACGAGGACGATGCGGGCGCGACTAGCAAGGTGAGTATGTTGTATCTTGGTGTCTTTCTGTGTTACTGACACGCTTCAGGAGGACAAGACTCACACCAACGAGACCCCAGCTACCGGCACCACTGCGAGGGATGCCGTGCAGGAAGACAAGGAGCGCGAGAAAGAGCAGCCGAGCAACGTCATGGAGAAAGGCCTGATCTATTTCTTCACACGTGGCAGAGTTGGGATCGAAGAGCCATCCAGTGTGCAGGACCTCCAGCGTAGCTTCATGGTGCTAAGACCACTGCCACCAGGCGGCAAGCTCACTGATGGCGCAGTTCAGGACATCGGGAATAATCGCCTGGTGGCGCTGCCAAAAAAAGTATTTCCTAAGAGCGGTCGCGATCGATTCATGGTTTTCGTCGAGAAGGCGGGCGTGACGATGGACACCTTGCGTGAAGAGTTCTTCCAGGGCTCTACGTACAGTACAAAGACGACAGGCACACGCCACACACCAGAGGTCACTCCCATCGGCGAGGGAGTCTACGCTATGACCTGGACTGGCAGCGGGCGCACTACCAACCACCTGTCATACATGCTGACGATACCCCAAGAGATCGGCGAGCTCCAGAAGGACGTAGGCATTGCCGAGAAGGGCTCATTCGTATTATCTTCCAAGAACCCCAACGCATCCCAGCCATCGTATGCCGCATTGCCGCAGAAGCCAGACTTTCCTCAGGAGATCCAGGAAGAGTTCGGTAGTCTCGGCTGGCTTCCGACAAAACCTGAGCATCTCAACTACGCCAATGCCCAGTTCCTACTCATCGGTGAAGACTTCACGGGCGAAGGTACTCAGAAGGACGAGAAGGACGACAACAAGGAGACGCCTGCTGAAGAGCTCGAGAAGCTGGAGCACGAGGATGAGCTGCGTGTTGAGCATCTCAAGGGCGACGACACTGTCTTTGCTGACCTCGGCATTTCTGCAAAGGACTACCCATCAGTCAAAACGACGTGGTAGATCTGTCTGCTGTGATGATTGCTTGCTTGCGACCATGGTCGTAACAGATCCGATTTGTTCTCATATGATGTATATTAGGTTGGAAAATTCCGGCGGGAGGGCGCCGAGGACGCGAACGACAGATAACCAGAGCAGAGAAGCACTCAATAGCGCTTCCGCATCTACCATGGCTTCTGAGATCTTGAGCAAGGTGTGTTTTGACTGCTCACTATCACCATGTTGTTTACCATCTATCATAGTTCTAGCATGTACGATAGCTCCGACAAATCTCAGATGACCGTGTTGGAATCGTCACCTGCGCGCTCAAACCAACGCATCCCCAGGAAAGCAAAATGGGGGATCGCTATTGCGGAGAGCCTTGCTACCTTGTAGATAAGTGTGGCGCTTCGAGATACGAGTTTCCATTTCAACTTGCCACGATACTTGTTCAGGCCGATCAGTTTGACCAGAATGCCCTCGCAGGCTGCGCTTCATATGCCAGCAAGTCGGAGTCCGGGAAACCATTCGCTCACAAGATCCTTGAGCACATCATTGGCGATCGTCTTGGCGGCAGCAGAACTTGCAGCTCCAATGGCTTCCACGTATAGCTTGATCTTAGGCTCTGTACCTGAACCTCGTGCAGTGAACACAGCATCATCAAGCCAGCAGGTGATCATCTGTGCTGCCGTATCTACCGGCAAATCCGGCGTCCCATCAGCCGAACCGCTATCGTAGCCTGTAGTGAGGTCGCGCCATCGGCGAACCTTACGCTTGCCAATATGAGTGGGTGGCGTACCATGGCTCGAATTACGAATGGCAGCGAAGGTCGCGCTCGTCACCTCTGGAGATGGCGAGATGAGGTAAGTGTTAGCATCCGCAAAGTAACCATAGTGCTCAAAGAGGCTCTGTAGCTTTCGCCATGGCGTAAGACCTTCTGCATGCCATTTTCTTCGAGCAAGGAGGAAGACGGTGGCGGCCGCAATGCCGTCCTTGTCCCAAACTACGGATGGAAACATATACCCAATAGCTTCTTCATATGCGTAGACTGGCTTCAGACCTCGCTCACGCATCTGCTGAGCGACGTTGCCGAGATACTTGAAGCCTGTTAATGTCGATTGGAATCTGAAGCCTTCCTTCTCTGCTATGGCCTGGAGCATGCGGGATGACACCGTAGATGCCAGCATTGCCATTTGGTCCCGCTCAACAGAAGAAGTCTCCAGTACGTAAGCTGCCAATAGAGCGCCCATTTCATTACCCGTGAATTGGTGCCAGCGCCCGTCATCGAGATACTCAGCAGCGGCGAAACGATCAGCGTCCGGATCGTTCGCGATTATGAGTTGGCTTCCTGATGCTGTGGCTTCCTCCATAGCCAGATTCAAGGCGCCTTTCTCCTCGGGATTGGGGAACGGTACAGTGGGAAAATCAGCATCAGGGTTGGCCTGAGCCGCAACGACGTACATCCCATGATCTAACGTCAGGTTCACCAGAATCAGCACGATTGGAAGTAGAGAGGAGGGTATGGGATATTTATAGAACAGGCGACGATGGTCTTGAGAGCGGGTGTACGAAAGCGTTGACGATCAACCTACCTGTGAAGCCAAGAATCTCTACAGCCTCCTGCATAAAGGGCAGACCTACCCCGTGCATCGGAGTGTATGTGAAAGGTAGCATGTTTCCGTGTTTCGCAGGCCGTGCCAATATCTGTATGGCGCGCTTGTACGCTCCACGGGCTTCTGCGAGTATGTTACGGACTGCGGAGCTAGTCTCAATGGCGTTGTGATCCCAGCTCAAGATATCGGTCTCTAGGTCAATAGCAGTAGCGATGTCCTTGTCACGAGGTGGTATGATCTGGCAACCATTCGCCCAGTATACCTTGTAGCCATTGTCCCTCGCAGGGTTGTGTGAAGCAGTGATCATGACCCCCGCGGCAGCAGAGAAATGTTCAACTGCGAATGGCACCATAGGCGTGTGCACGAGCTCCCCGAACCAGAGTACATCAAGCCCCTTGGCAATGAAAGCAGCCGCAGCCAGGCGAGCAAACTTCTCGGAGTTATAACGGGCATCGTATCCCATCACAACGGCCTGTGGTGGGACACTATGGGAGCTTTGTTGGCCGAGAATGTAGGTAGCAAGTCCTTGGGAGGCTTGGAGCACAGTAAGTGAATTCATGTGCGCGTAGCCTGCTTGCATCGAGCTTCGAAGACCAGCTGTGCCAAAAGCAATGCGCCTTCGTAGCCGGCTCTCGAGTGCAACATCATCTCCGACTGACAGGAGGTCTTGTATCTCCTTTCTGGTCTCCGGGTCACGGTCTTGCTGCAGCCACTTTTGGGCAAGCTCCTGGACAGAGGTTGACGACATTGATCCTGGGGTCGTCGAGATTGTGGCCATGAGCGGTACAAGGGCAATATGGAGTGCCCTCGGCCAGATTCAATTGAGCTTGGTAGAATGACCAAGATGTTGTCATCGAAGGTAGCCTCTCTGATAAGAAATTCGTAAGGTATAAGTATTGTTGATGTCTCATGGATAACAATCACACTACGGCGCGCTGAATGTACGACAGGGCTCAACACCTGGCGATCATCAGACTCCTTGCCGTTCGAAACATATATTTCCTTATCCCATATATTTGATCATCGAAATGATAGGTCACGATGTGAGCCAACCTTGCCTAGCAGAGACCAACATGGCCTGCGGTATGCTGTCCAGGCTGCCCGCAGAATTAAGAGTGACCATATACAGTATGATTCTGAGCTTTGAGCATCCCATCTCACGGCGGCAAATTGTTGCTGGGTCTGAGAACACCAATATCCTTCGGACTAACAAGCAAATCCATCGGGAAACCATGAATGTGCTGTACGAGTACAACGTAATGTCGGCGACTCGCAACGACTTTTGTACGAATACCAGCCCTGAGCTTAAACGACCGATGAGTGAGCAGCGGATACAGCATATCCACTTCAGTACCTTCTCGGATTCTATCGCTTGTCATTTTCCAGAACACCGATGCGAAGTCTGCTCCGACGCTGGAACGGGACTTCTTGAAGCTCTTCGCGGTATGCCGCAGTTGAAGACGGTCACGATAGATCATTGCACGCAACGCTTCCGTGCCATGACTGCGGGCTGGAAAATGAGGAGTGGTCTGGACTGCGCTGGGGTAGGCCGTTACAGTATCTGCAACAATCGTCTCAACCAGACCACATTCACGTTCGAACATCGACCACTTGCAAAGGTCTGGCCCGAGCTGATCAGATTGTCCCTGTCTTCGCTCAGTGAGGAGGAAGAGGGCGACGGCCTGATAGCATTGAACAGATACAATGTCGATATAGTCGAATCTCTGTGGCTACTGATTTGGGCCCGCGCAAATGGGCGACTTTCCGAATTAGAGGGTGCACCAAACGATGACATGTGGACCGCTCTGGAAGACGTAGACAAATTGACTCCGGCGCGAAGGTCAGCATTCTTGCATGATTTTACCACCGCCGTTCAGAGATTTCTCCCGGGAACTCCTTCATCAGAAGCTAGACGACGGCTCGCGGATATGCGAGATCTATAATCGCCATGTCTGCTTGATCAAATTTGGTAGAGGTGCCCAGTCACCTGCTTCTCGAAGCTCAGCGAGGCCGCATCACGAAGCCGGACCCAGCAATTTCGTCTCGTTGTTCCGCGAACGCCTTTTTCGCTCTTCTCTCCGTTACCTCAAGCATAGCGGAAAGACACTAGGCTCCGAATGGAGCCTATTGAGCTCATTGCCCATTGCTCGAATCAAACCCTGCGCTCTAGCTTGAAGACACGCACCAGCGCGCCCTATACACTAACAAATTGAATCAAATCCCATGGAAATCAAATATGGCGTAAGGAAGACAGCACACCGGACCTTCTGGCGAAGCTCGACGCGCGATTCTTTAGCCTAGTAGTAAAGAGCTTTACCTCTGGCGCAGCTGCTGTGGGCCGTGGCTGCGAAAGGCCGCAACACGATTCGAAGAGACTACGGAGTACAGCGATGCAGACTAGATTGATGCCTCGGACTATGTACCGGTGAAGCAGACAGTGAACTCCGTATCGTGCTTAGACATATGCTGATCATTTGTCACACAAAGACATGAAGCAAGGTACTCACGTGACTACTCGCACATGCAGAACGCCGAAGGCAGTCTGCGAGTAGAACCCAAAGTACGAAAAGATGGGAATGTACCTGTGAGCAGACTGCTTTGATGGACGCCACCAAACCATGGTCATGAATGGCTCGAAGTCTTCACGATGCAGCGGCCCTCTTCGGCCAGAGGAACGCCTGGGGAAGTTGAGAGTTCGGCGGCGTCAGCCAGGCCTGCAGCGACTGGTAAGCTAATCAAACCTACCACCGTTGTCTGTTCAGGGTAGTATGTACGACGAAGGAAGTTCAGCCTTGGCCTATAGCCGCAAAGCTTGTGAAGTAGATCTGATTGCCGAGCAGACGAGAGGCCGAGGCTGTAAATGAGAGAAACGAGCTTTACGAAGACAAGTGACGGGTTGTGGGATAATGAGACTTTCGTAAGGACGATCTCTTTTCACCTATGCTGAGGGTGATGCAGCCTGGTTGTATCAAGATATGCACGCTGCTGTTACATCGTTTTGGTACAACAGATCGCCACTCTGGCTCCTGCGCTGCTCCATCTCGCTGACTTTAGGACCTGCTTGCCAGCACGTCTCCACTCGTGCTAGCACAAAGTTATACATTAGAAACGAAATGCTTTCGCCCGCGAGGGCACCATGATCTTTCTCTCCCGTACGTCATCCCGTCCATCTTGAACTCCTTGAAAACATGCATGTTGCAAGACTGCAGTAAATACATACACGAGACATCCAAATCGGATCTCGTTGTGATTGTCGTGGTATCATCGCAAATAAATGTCACCGCCATGTGGGTGATAAAGAAGAAAGTCAGCTTGGTCTGTTTGTAGATTAGACCTCGTGCGCTGTTCGCGAGCCAAATTTCTGAGCTGCGGATGCATTTGCTTCGTACTTCATGCGTTGCATCCTCATCGCGTCAACGTCGAAGGCAGGCGCATCGGCGGACTTGGCCAAGCTGCCCTGTAATTTCGGCGACGACTGTAGCGAGCCCAAACTGCGCATTTTCCGCAGAGTCCGTGGTTTGTCAACACTAGTTGCTGGAAATGTCGGACTGTGAAGAGAGCCTTCACTGATCTCAGTGACATCTGTCCTGCTTCGTCCGATCGTCTTCAGACCTCGCGCGAGTTTCTCCAACGCCGTGCCATTCCTTGAGCCCGAAGGTGTTCTCGGTCGCGGTAGTGGCTCCGTAGGCGATAGAGGCTCAGAGTCGCTATTCGGTCGTGAGCCTTTGCCGCTGCTGTGAAAGCTTACGCCTGAGTCGACTTTTCGGCCTTGACGAGAGCGCGAACGCGTAAGCTCTCCAGAAGTGCGCGGGGACAAATCATGCACGTTCGATATGTCAAAGCATTCGGAAATGATGCTATTGGCGAGTTGCAGATACATGCTGATGGTCCTGGTCACCGCAGCCCAGCCGTTCTGCTCGCCCGGTAGTTTACCTTGGTCCATGAGAGTGTTCAAGATATGAGGTCCTCTCTGCTCGACGTTCAGAATATACTTGAAGAAACCCTGACGCTGCGCTTGCATTACGGCAGGAGTCAGCTTCGACGTAGGCTGTGTCGAAGTGACTGGCGGATATAAAGTGTTTAGCATGGCCATGCAGTTGTGCTTGCTGAAGGGTAGCAAGGCCATTTCATTCACCAAGATCCATCGTCGCAACGCAACATACACTTGAGTGTAAAGTGCTTCGACTTTGCGTTCCTTTTCATTGATGTCAGTCACCCACTGCTTCACGCCTGGATACCGATCCGACAGAGAGTCGCCGTCCATTTCCAACGTGGTTCGGTCAATGGCCAATCGGCTCATGGCAGCTGCAACCTCCCTTCGTCGACGACTCTCCAAGTCCTTGAGGTAGTCAAGACCGGTAAGAGCTTGGGGAAAGTCCACACAGACCAAATCCGAGGGGAAGCATTTCCTAACAAAGGAAGTGATGAAGCTGGGTGGCAAAGACGACGGCTGATTTGGCAGTTGTGAGATCTGAGCCATGAGACTCTCGGTGAAGTTCTGTGTAGTCTGGTGATCGTGCCAAGGGTTCTGCGAGACCACAGGAGAACTACCTGCACTCGACGGCGTGGCAGTGCGGCTATGCATTGGCTGTGCCCGCGGTGCACAGTTCAGTGTATACATCGTCCGCAGCGGGATCTCATAAGTGGCCGGGTAGGTCAGAATGTGGTCCAGTATGAGCTGATAGGACGAGCCTGAGGCGGACGAGGCATGTGATGATGCGTCCGACGAATCCGTGCGAAAGTGCGGTCGCTGCTGGAAGGCAGACATGATCGTGAATGATCGGCACCTGGCCGGTTACCGCGTGTATGCTGCCAGTATGGTAGAGGAAGATGCTGCACGCTGCAGGCACCAAGCTGCTCAAATCCGTGGTTGTGGAAGAATGACGCCGAGGACCAAAAGTCGAATCGAGAAAAGAGGTTGATACGACGCAGAGCAGGAATGTCGAGTATTGATAGTGGAACTGCGCTCAAGACACTCGAAAGGAGGGTCTCAGTCAGGGTAAACAAGGTTGGCCAGGGACAGCGTGTTGAGAAGGAGAATAATAGAGCCAAAACATTCGCGTCTCGAGGATGGATCCCGGTACAGCTAATGCGGTCCTTCCCGAAGCGCGCTGGCAAACACGACCACAACACGAGCAAACGAGTGTCGGATTGGATTGTGAGACGAAGTGATCAATGGTAATTTGCAAGTGTGTGACACGCGAGAGGGATGCTGTTTTCTTAATAAGAGTGAACGGGCGAGCGAGGCTTTCCTCAGCAACAAATAAATGTGGCCAATCAAAAAAGTAGCTTCGCATTGGCTCATCAAAGGCTACGCCGCCACGCCCAGTGACGGCTTACGATGCCGCAGGCCATACAACATTTACATCCCCGGCGTTTACGACTAGGTTGTGATCCCGTCTGCCGGGAACTACTTGGGTCTCCACGCGCTTGCTCGTTTGGGACCACCGTCAGTAAGCTAATGCAGTAGCCCATAGCAGCCGGTGCAGGTCAGCCTTATCCCTGGCCATTGGACGTCATGCACCTGCAGCTGTACAGTAGCTCGATGCCGATATGCTCGAGCGTTCCGGCATATGCAGAGTCTGCAGCGACTGCAGAGACTGCCCGCGACAGCAGCTACTGGACATGGCAGCAGCATGTCACGAACGGAATCCTGCAATTCCTTCACCAGCAACTTTTGACCCTTGCAATCCCAGTTGTCTGGAGCACCACAGAGTATGCTTCCTTGTCCAAACTCTCGCAAAGCCAAGCCGTGCTGAGCATATGCAACAGCGCGTGCCTCAGTAAAGAGAGTTGGGCAAGGGCCGTGAGGGTCGGAAATGAATAGAACGCCCCATCTGTGCTGCTAGTTGCCGCGATGTCCCCGCTTAACCTCGGCCTGATGCGTTAACGATCACCGATTGTTCGTTTGCACTTTATGAGGAAACAGCAAGCGGGTGTGTCGGCCGCAACATTGATTCATGGAGATATCGATGACTGAGGGCATCAGTAACGTCTCAACCGCACTCGAAGACATACGCCACATCACCGCCATACTTCTCCTTTCACCAACCCCAGGAATCCTAGCAATATTAATATACGCGATGGGGCTGCGCGAAAGGAACGCGCCAAGTGCAAGCGCAATATACGCCGTGGGATTTACGCCACCAAAACGACCGAGCGCGACCAACGGACGCCTGGATCCCGCCACATCTCAACGCGCTCGTTGTCGCCAGCACGTGGGAGCCGAGGATCCCGTGCACTACATCGACGGACTGGGATATCCCACGTCGTAAAGTAGGCGTTGTGCTGCCAACTGGACCCGGCCTTATTTCTCCTGTTTGATGTACAGCCTGGTGCCATGAGAGACATGAAGAAGACGTGCTTCAACACCAGTGGAATGACTCATGGCATTCCGGCCTGCCATTGGAAGCTGGTAGAGAGTCCTGATTCAAGTACAGTCCATTCAAACCGCTCGCGACCACGCACCTCATGCTTGATCAGCAACACTTAATAACAGAGGCTATCCGGGCACTCGGGACGGCAGCAGCGATCATCGTCAAAGCTCCATCCATTGCGACAACAAACAGGATGATAATGAAGACAACGGCCAGATACACCTGTTTGAGTCCTGAATGCTTGGAGCCTCTGCGCAACACAGCCTGTCTTACATTTGGAATCTGCTTCTCGCAATTGATAGAGCTGCGATACGAGAGGTACTCGCTGCTTGCTCCCCAGGGGAGATGACCACAGCCAGATCGCGTTTTGAATGTAGAGTCACGTCGGTACGGCATTTTGCACAACACGAGTCGTGATCGGAGATTACCACGAGGTCTTTACACGCCCTACCATATTCAGGCCGTATTGCTTGTGGCATTTCCTATCTGTCATTGCTTCTTGCCCCCTAAGAAAGCCACATGCACACCTTTAGCTGGCTGCAGTACGATATCAGTCCTGAGGAGGGGCGCTTCATCCATTCGACACTCGATGCGATCGAACGTCTGCAAGATCCTAACCACGGTATACGCCAACTCGGTTAGTGCGAACTCTGTTGCCTCACATATTAGTGCTTATACGCAACACTGAAGAAGTCCACTGTTGTGACTTACGTTGACCGATGCATATTCTGGGTCCGCCGTTGCTGCGAGGTAATCTGTTAGCTTGTAATATGCGCAAGTTGAGAGAGATCGAAGTCCGCAATCCCGATCATGGAGCGGGCACTTACAATGGTATGTACGTCCACGACTTAGGAGTCCAGTGATCCCATCTCTCGGGTACGAAGTCAAGGTATGGTGCGAAACCTGAAGCCGCAGGTGGGTATATGTCCTCTCGTCGCTGCAGGATCAAGGTCGAGTACCCGATTGGGGTATCTTTGAGGATAGCAACTGGCTCGTCTCCATTCTTGCCGCCACCACGAGGCAGCGTCGTGTCTTGCAGTGCTACTCGGACATTGTACGGGACGACTGGGTACAGGCGCAGAATCTCATTCAAAGTATGTTGCAGGTAGCGCATATTCTTGAGATTGTCGTAAGTCGGCACGTCTTCTAGTCCGACGGTACTGATGATTTCCTGCCGAAGCTTCTGGACCACTTGTGGATTCCGGGAAAGCTCGTAGGTCAACCATGAGAGGGTCACAGCCGTTGTGTCTCTCCCAGCAAGCAGGACTGCAACCAACTGGTCACGAAGGACCTCACGATCCCTTGTGTAGGATGCGATGGCATGGAGAAAGGTGTAGCCCTCGTCGCTCTTTGTCTTCTTCTCCAGCTCCTCCTGAGGTAGTTCCAGAGCTCGGTCGATGTATGTTCCGACAAAGCGATTCACCACTTTCAGACCAGCGTGAAATTTGGCCTTGGGCACCAGATGCTGAAGCGGACCAGTCCTGGCGATGATGCTCTGGGTATTCTGCACTTGCGCAAATGCTTGTGCAAACTCAGTCTGGCCATTGATCAAGCTGTCAACACTCTTGCCAAGCAAAAAGTCAGTGGCAGCATCCAAGGTGAAGCGATAGTATAAGTCGTCGGCCTGCACAGTGGCGCCGTCAGTTTTCCCTCCCAACAATCGGATCAAGACTTGCGTATGTTTCTCGAACGTGTGCAGGTCAGAGACTCGGTCTTTGATGAACTGAGGGCGCAGCAGAGATCTGGAATTGTGCCAAAGATCACCATCCGTGGTGAAGATAGACAGGCCTAAGAAGTCCTTCCATTCTACGCGGAAACGTGGTCCTTTTCCATATTCTGCGAATTGCGTTGCAAGTATCGCCTTGATATTGTCTTCGTCTGCGGTAAAGATAATCCTCTCACCAGCAGTTATACTCTCTACAGTCCACGGCCTCGCAGGATTCCCCTGGTTCTCGAACAGACGCCACCAGAACACATGATTGCGATGCTGCAGGACATACGATACTGCCTCGATGAGAATGCCGAAATTGTATGGTGACCACCCACGCTGCGACGGTGCTCGTTTGCCGAGACGCCTGAGTTGGAGTTCGTAAGTGATTGCAACTGTCGATATCTGTATGTAGTAAAGGACAATCGTCGCAAAGATGGCGTAGCTGAATAAGGCACCGGTGTAACGCCGAAGCGAGTATACGACTGAGATCCCAGCAATGCACACCACCGTCGCCGTCCACAGCCTGTCGACAAGATAGATGAACATGCTCACAATGTCGCGGATGATGAAGAGTGCGATATCGACTTTTCGAGCCTTCCTGTGCTCGTTCTTGAAATACCTAGTGTGCCCCACCTGATCATGTTCATGTCTGTAAACGAGACCGACAGCCAATCAAGCACATGCCTAAATGTAACCGAGCTGCGCTTCCGAGCACGCTTATTTCTATGCAAGTCTTATGCTGCTTGTGACAACTCTCTATACGATCACGATCTGGCCCTTGGTATTGACATACGAGATCATCCAGCACACGAGAAGGTCAGGTCACACAGAGATATTACCACAGAGCATGGCCATGACAACAGCATGACTTCCGACTCAATGATATGATCAGCTTACCTCCGAAGGAGATTTGCGCCATTCTCCATGGCAATCAACTGGCGTGGCGACATCACATTCGCCGACAGATTGGCCGCAACCTCGAAAATGCAAGTACCTTATGCTCGGATGGGACCCTCGGTTGTACGTACGCCTGTCGACATGGACTAATGTCTCTGTCGAAGATCGAAAGCTTACAAAACTGCACATCCAACATGTGTCTCTTCGGAAGCTAGCAAGCAGGCGAAAGCTGTAGAGGAGAGCTGCAGGAAGAATGCCTTGTCACTTGTGCGAGCTAAACTATCACATCTCGTGCTGTGATCAGCCGCTGATTGTCGCAGATCGAGTATCATGAGCTGGTCGGCAAGAATGTGCAACTATTGCTCGCCTCTAATGACACCATTGCCGATACCCAAGACCACCACATTAACGAGCATATCTTCCCAAACCTACCCACTTCGGGATCGAGTATCGGTCGCTACATCAACGCCCAACACCATGCGGACGGGATCTTCTCCGAAGTTTTCAAGGCCATCGATCCGAATGCAAACGACAACGACAGTAACAGACTTGTGGCACTCAAGATCACAACGCCTGATATGATGACTGCGCCGCACGACTCGAAACGAGAGGCACGAATTATCCGGGCTGCCATGTCGGATCACGTTATCGCGTTACTGAACACTTTCCAGCAGGCTGGAGGACATTTTGTGCTAGTGTTCCCATTCATGCCATTGGCACTCGATGGTCTCCTGCGGAACAATGTCCTTACCGATGCTACACGGCGGACAATTCTGCGTGATCTGTTCTCCGGCCTGGCTCACCTCCACGACCTTGATATCATCCATCGAGACGTGAAGCCAGGCAATATCCTCCTCCGCTCACCCAGAGGCCCAGCGTACCTCTCTGACTTCGGCATCGCCTGGTCCTCGACCGACCCAGTATCAGAACCCGAAAACGAAAAGATTCTAGACGTGGGGACGACATGCTATCGACCTCCCGAACTTCTCTTCGGCCAACAAGCCTACACCTCCAGCTTAGACATGTGGGCCGCCGGCTGTGTAGCAGCCCAGATAACAAGCCTATCTAGCAAGACACTCTTCGATGCCGGAGACCTGGGCAGCGAGTTGGCCCTCATTAAAAGCCACTTTGAGACACTCGGAACCCCTACCCTCGCATCCTGGCCGGAAGCGGAGTCACTTCCGGACTGGGGTAAGATGAACTTCACGCAGTATCAGGGAGGGACCTGGGATGAAATTCTGCCGAATGCTACTGCGGAGGCGAAAGATTTGGTGAGCAGTTTGGTGGTGTTTGAGTCTGGGAGGCGGCTGATGGCGAAGGAAGTAAGTTTCATGTCCCGAGCGACTGACATTCGCATTTGAAATTAATGGCATGGTACAGGCTTTGGCTCATCCGTACCTGCAGTCCGAATAGAATCAATCAACAGGAATCATGGGTTGAGACAGCATTATTCAATATTTATAGTCTGTCGCACGTGGGCGGAGAGTGTTGGGCCGTGGTGCAGGCACTACGTGTGCTTCTGCGCATCGACCAGGATCAGCAGAAGCATGATAGCAGGCTTGCTTCTATGGCTCCTTAGCAGTACGTGGAAGCTACAAGCCCGATCGGAACAACTGCTGTTAGCCAGATCACGTGGTTTACGGGATATAACAAGCGGTTAGGCAATAGAGTCGGGTGATTTTGAGCAAAGGACGCTTCCATTACGATGGATGGCTTGCGGCGTAAGCAGGTCCAAGGCAGCTGAGCACATGAGAAGACCCGTGATGTTGAGCACTGCATTGCTCAACTATGTTGGTGGTATTGATATTGTGAGAGGCGTGTCGCTACACACTGGACCCGAGCCAAAGCTGTTTGTCAGGTCGTACTCATCCGAGCAGTCCAGACTAATGATGCGAACAATATTGCGTGATGTCTGTCGAGCAGTGCGATACAGCGCTACGTGCTTCCCATAGCATTCATGCAATAGGCCACCATGGCCAACCCATACGCCGCAGAATGACAGCACATGCTTAGAACACCAGCGCAGCACCCTTGGTCTTCTTGTCACCGCTGTATGATGTGTCAGTATTTCATTTGATCTAATGTACCATGTGCCTAGAACGTACCCCAACTCAAAGTGCTTGCAGCGCTTGAGCGACAGCTGTGCCTTTGTCTTGCAAGCTGTGCATTCTAATCGCAGCACGACCTTCTTGGTGGTCTTGGCCTTCTTGTGGAACACGGGTTTCGTCTGACCACCGTAACCGGACTGCTTGCGGTCGTAACGACGTTTACCCTGGGCGTATTGGGAAGCCTGCAACAGAATATTAGATCATGTGCGGGAAATCGGCGAGATGGGTTGTGGTGGTGTCGCGTACCTTGCCGGCCTTGTATTGGGTCACCTTGTGCTGAGTGTGCTTTTTGCAATCCTTGCCTTTGCAGTAGGTGCGGCGAGTCTTGGGAACGTTGACCTGCGAGAGGATATCCATTAGCCACTGGTCCGGTGTACACTCTGCTTCTTCCAGAGCCTGTGGTCGCCAGGTGATCGCGATGCATTGTGATATCCTTGGCACATCCTTCTCCTCCAGCATGACAATTATCCTCGTGCACACTCCTCGGCAACATATAGCCTTCGCCCTTCTCTTTTGGCCGTTGCAAACGTTGTTGCGATCCATATCCCGTCTTGCAGTGTTCCATTCACCCGTCCATATTCCATCATGCCGTCGGGTATCACAAAGCATCGCAACCACCAGCCAGATTCGCAAGAGCCACACGGTCGTAAGTGTCACTCACCATCTTGACTGATTCCGTGGGTTGTCGTGGATGGGTTCGATGATGTTCTTAGTCTCGTCGCCTTCGCGTAGATGTGTCGAACTGCCCGCTTCCCAAATTCCGTGCGGCAGTCTTGGCATGACTTCTCGATCTGCAATGACTAGCTTCGGCAGTAGCCGCGCCTGTCAATGTCTACGAAACAACCAGAGGCACAACGACAACCATGCACGAAGTAATGTTCTGATGTACAGTCTATAGTAGTATCCTCAACGTCCCAAGTCCCGGACTCACACTCTCTTTGCTCTTCAGCGTCAAGACTGCTGCTCTCTGCGCCAGGTCTACAAGGTCCTCCACTTTCTTGCCACTGTCTTTTGCAAGTCCTGCAACAAGTGTCCCAGCAAAGGTATCGCCTACGCCATTGACACTGACCACCTCCTTGGCCGGCACCTCCTCAATAACGGGAAACAGCCTCATGTATACACCTCCCACACCAAGACTTTTTTCCGATCCATTCGAGCACCGCGACAGAATATGAGGAGCATACTTCCCATCCGTCAGCCTCGGATCATTCGCCGCCAGTATCTGAGTGATCAGAACACCATCTTTGCCTAACTTCGTACAAATGCTTGGTATAAATGGCAGAAGCTGTATACTCTGCTGCGGCACCCCCCGATCGACCAGCGTACTACTCGTAGCAAGCGCCATCTGCACGCGAGCACCCGAGGAAGGTATGCCCATGGCATCAATGACCTCCCACCAGTCTTGACGGTCGAAGAACCGGGCTTCGCGAGCTGCAGTGTGCATAGCTGCTAGTTCGAAGGCATTGGGTGTGGCGAGGTTGATTGATGGCGAAGGGAAAGTGGCGAGTGTCTGTGAAGCTGGCAGCTGGAAGATGCCGGTGCTCTTGATATTGCTCACTGGTTCGAAGCTGATGTGAGCTCCAATCTGATTTCCTGCTTCTAGCCAGCGAGCTAGATGAACAGGGGGCCAGTTGCCGTCCAGGACCAAGTATGATGGCTTCGCTGTCCAAAACTGTGGTAGCCAGAACTCGTCGAATGCCTTCACCACATCTGAGCCTGGCTGGGTTTGTTCGAGGATACTGACGTCTGCCATGGATAGAACGAGGTCCTTCTTGCCATCGTTGATCGCGACATATTGGCCTGTTCGACTCCCATTGTCAGCTGGCAACGTCTTCACGCCAGTAACGGACATCCCATCGCTCTTCAGTGCATTTAATGCCGCTCGGCCTGACAAGTCATCACCAACAGCACTGCATAGCCGGACTGTGCTGCCCATCAGATGTGCAGCCCGTGCCACGTTGTAGCCGACTCCACCCAGCGATTGGCTAATAGCAGCTGGATTAGATGTATGCATCTCTGGTACGATTGACATAGTGCCCGATCGTGGTGCAAAGTCGCACGAGAGGTCAACATTCAGACTACCAGCAACGAAGATGTTAGCAGGCTGTTCAATGGCAGCAATCGCGGACACTGTGTCGGAGGTCTCATTTGCTGGGAATGGATCTGTCACGCTGTTGGACACGCCTTTGGACACGCCTGTGGTTGTATAGTTTGATGATGCTGGTCCTGTCATCTGCTTCTCAAGACGGATCTGGCTGCTGTCTGCGCAATCAGCAGCTGCCCATACTATGACTTCTGTACAACACTCACTTCTCATGCCCGCCTTCGTCAAGCTCCAGATTTCTCAATGCCACAGCAACCCTCGTGCCGCGTATGACGTTTGCCTCGACGAGGGCCTTATTCGCGACAACAGATTCGCTACCGGTAATATCCTTGATCTTGGCGAGTATGTATGGCGTACTTGCTGCTCCTATGGCACCAGCAGCATGAGCCTCCTCGAGCGCCTGCGCAATGGCTTGCTCCATCTGTGGCTTGGGTATCGAGTGTGTCTCGGGTATGGGACTGGCAAAGTGTAGGCCAGACATAAGACCAAGTGATAGATGCGCATGAATGATCCTCGCTGCTTCGAGCTCATCCTGGATAGTCATGGGCGATCGCACACCACTATCTCTCGACCAGAACGCAGGAAAGTCGACCGCACCATCTCGACCATCCGCAAAGGTAGCCACGGCTACACCTTGAGTCTCAAGATACTCAAGTGTCTTTGGCAGGTCCAAGAACGCTTTACAGCCTGAGCTGATGACGGTCACAGGCGTCCGCCCCAGCTCCGTTAGATCTGCAGAGATATCTAAAGTCTGTTGGGCGCCTCTGTGAACGCCACCCAGACCACCAGTGGCGAATATGCGTATGCCAGCTTTGTGAGCCAAGAGCATGGTTGCCGAGATCGTTGTCCCACCATTCAGTGCTTGCCCGTCAGGTCCCCGCTTGCCACAGACGAAGCCGAGATCACGTCGAGAGATCTTCATCATCGTCTTTTGGCCAGCAGATGAGACGAGACGAACCAGCTCGTCGGCGCCAAGACCGACTCGTGCTACGCCATCGAGGACGCCTATTGTTGCTGGTACGCCTCCATTGACGCGGACTAGACTTTCGAGCCGAGAGGCCAGAGATAGATTGTCCGGGTAGGGAAAGCCGTGGGTGTAGATGGTTGATTCTAGTGCCACTACGGGTCGTCGTTCCGCAACGGCCTGCTGAACTTCCCCTGAGACTTGAAAGAAGCGGCTGTTGGATGATATGTATCGACGGGATCCAGTCCTTGGCACATGATATGCTGTTCGAGGGCGATAGAGCTTATAGACCCAAGATAAGGTTGCCATAGCCAGGGGTATGAAAGATGTCCTTCAGAACTGAGTTGTTAGCAACGTAAGGCTGTCAACAGACGTCGGTACTCCAACACTGGTCCGACATGATGCGTAAAGCTATGATATGAGACTTCGCCTTTGACAATATATGCAAGCCGGGGCTCCTGGTATGGTCAACTTCTGCATGAATACGGTATAGATGTGATGGTGTTGCGGCGACAAGGGCATCGGGGCGGCTATATGATTTTCCGCGTGCGTGTATATGCCACGTCGTGAGCTTCAACATTGGAAGCAGAGGCAGAGAATAGTGCAATCGCCCACACACATGCAACGATGAGGTTGTTCAATTGGGCCCTCGTCGCCCTCACCTCCCTTGCCTCTGCCGACTCGAACCTTACGCACGAATCGCGCAACATCCTCCCATCCACCTTCAAGCCAGCGCAGCACTTCCGCAATGTCAATCTCGTGCGGAATATCAACCTGGAGAAGAGCTTCCCGCGAGAGACGATCAATGTGGTGATCGAGAACATCGACAATGCACCGCAACAAGAGTACTTCCTGCCATTCGAGCAGGGCAGTATTGGCCGTGTGGGAGGACTGGAGGTGAAGGACAAGAAAGAGCCGGAGCGAACAGGCTTCGTGGTTGATGTGGTTGAGGTCGACCCGTACAGCACGACCGAGTACTACAAGATCACTCTCCCTACACCTCTCCCATCGAAGCAGCAATTGACGCTATCCATCACTTACTACGCCCTCTCCGCCCTCACACCACTACCCGCCCAGATCGGCCAGACCGACAAACAATATGTCCTGCACACCTTCTCCGCCTATGCACCCAGCGCCTACACCACATCCAAGCAGAAGACGAAGCTTAAGCTCCCGACCGTCGATGTACCCGATGCCACCACCCTACCCCCAGAGCTGAATGCGGAAGGCAAGGAGGATCCGCAAAAACAAGGCACCTCCTTCACCTACGGACCATACAATGAGCTTCCGGCTGGTGCCGTGCAAGAAGTCAGCGTCCGCTATGACTTTACCAAGCCGCTCGTGCATGGCAAGCTGCTCGAACGTGATGTCGAGGTGTCGCACTGGGGCAATAACGTGGCTTTCGAGGAGAGACACTGGCTGACCAACCGCGCGGCAACGCTCAAGAACCACTTCAGCCGGGTCACCTATGCTCAGTCAGCATACTACAACCCACCCAGTTCGGCGCTCAAGGAGCTGCGCTTCCCACTCGCGGTCGGCAGTGCGGATCCATACTTCGTGGACGACATCGGTAATGTCTCGACCTCGCGCTTCAGGTCGAACATGCGTGAGGCGAACTTGGAGCTGAAGCCGAGGTACCCAATATTCGGTGGTTGGAACTACAGCTTCAAGGTGGGCTGGAACAGCGATCTGAAGGAATTTTTGAGACGAGTCAAGGGCGCCAGCAATACGTATGTGCTCAAGGTGCCTTTCTTCGAGGGCCCCAAGCAAGCCGAGGGAGTCGAGTATGAACGTGTCGTCACCAGGATCATCTTACCAGAGGGTGCCAAGTATGTCTTCCGTCTCACCCGACTTTCATCGAAACACAGCTAACATCGACACAGAAACATCAAGTTCTCCACAACCATCACCTTAACATCAAACACCACCTCCCTCCACCGCACCTTCATGGACACCATGGGCCGCACCTCTCTCGAACTCACTGCGCTGAATGTCGTCGACGAATTCCGGGAACGCGATCTGGTGGTGACTTACGAGTACCCTTTCTCCGCACGCTTCAGGAAGCCCTTGGTCATCTTCGGCGGACTCATGGCAGTCTTCGCCGTCAGCTGGGTGTTGGGCAATCTGGATGTAAGCATAGGGCGAAAGCAGAAGAGTGTTTAGACTAGGAACTTAGATGAGATATGTATCTGTGTACTGGTTGCGAACATGTTCAAGTTTATCTCATCTGTACATGGGTATCATAGAAATTGTATCATCCCAGCCACATCGCCATGCATCGCCAACTTAGCTAGTCCACAAGAATGCCGTCGCTATGCAGTAAGACATCGTACTACCATCCTCTCCTCCTGCCCCTCATCTCAACATTACTAGCTTTCTTGACAGCCTTCTGACCCTCATGCTTCTTCCTCTTACTCGCCGCCCATTTCTCCGGCGCACTAACAGCCTCAATTTTCCGCTTTCGCCTCCTCTCTTCCCTGACAGTCTGGACACCTTTCCTCGCTTCGCTTAGAGCAGCGATATATGCTTCTGATCCAGCCTTCTTCTGAACCAAGGCCATGAGTTCTTGGGCTTGGTCTGCCAGGTCACGGTAGGCTGTTCCTGGTGGTTGGGTACTGGCTGTATCGGTGAGGAGGTAGAGGGGTCGGAGCAGTTTCGCTAGGTTTGGTAGTGCGGGTAGTTGGTTTACTAGTATGCTTTGGCAGTTGATGGCTGCTTTGCGAGCAGGTACGGGAAGATTTTCCTGTCGAATGATGTAAGAGAGTTGGCCTAGTAGGTACTGTATTGCTGTCGTGCCGTCGTCCTCTTCCCAGGCCATGTCATTAACTGCGAAGCATCGACCCAGGAAAGCCAGGTTGCGGGTGGTTTGCGAGATCAGCGACTCGTCGGTCTGAGTGGTGCAGGTCATGATAGCTTGCAAGGAGATCTGACAGACTTGTCGCATCTCAGGTGCATCAAACTGTAGTCCACCAGAACCTACGAGAGGCAGTGCTGCAAGTCCGTTGCCTTCCCGAGCGCTACTGTGTGCTAGGTGAGTGAACAGAGATCCGAGCAAGCCATTCGCTGGTGCAGCCACTGCACTGCTGGGCGCTGCAAGGCACTGTTGGACGTTCTGCCAGATCTCTACTGAAGCATTGTCGAAAGCTGTCTCGCTGGCTTTCTCGACCATGACCACGAATGTGTCAAGTAGCGCCTGCAGTAGCTGTGGCCCGACCACTATATCTTCACTAGTGAAGAATTCAACCATCTTGTCTCGCAGCTGATTGAGCCGCTTGGTGGATACATCAGCAGACTCCATATACGTCCTCCAACACAGCATCGAGGCAACTTGTATGGTAGTCTTCTTGTCATTCTTTAGCCAGCCACCCATCAGCTTCAGAAAGCCACCAGCCTGCTCCTCATCCGCTCGTTCGAATAGCTTCGCTATCAAGAGTCCAGCCATCTGTCGACAAGCCGGATCTGTATCGCCGACCTGGACCAGCACGAGCGCCACAAAGAAATTGTTGGCCAACTGCGCTAGTACTTCGTCGTTAAGCTTGCTCAACAGCTGATGCATGAGCTCCATCACACTCTGTCTACCAGTCGCATGCTCGTAGCGTAGATTCTCCACCAGGAAACCTGCTTGTTTGGTCCACCTATCCTTACTTTGCGGATAGTCCATGATGAATTGCAAGTACACGCTTCGAGCGCTTTCTCGGATGCTTCGATCTGGATTCGTGACCATGACTTTGCCCATCTCATCCATGAGCTCGTAGACTTCCGTGATGACAATCTTGCGACCTAGCACGGCTCGTAGAAACTTGTAGATCACGCCCTGGCGATCGGGCTCGTCGATGTCGGTTTTGAGGACTTTGAGCACGTGCGCTATGTCACGCTCTTTTATCTCCACGCTTCGCCTCTCTCGCAACACTGAGGTAATGAGCTCGAGTGCTGCCTTAGCAGGTTCGGTGGTCATATTCGATGCTCCTTTGACGAGCGCAACAGCTTCTTTGACATATACGGGGGCATTCTTGTCGAGATCTGCGAGTGGCAGCTTTATCACAGCAGCGAGTAATCGTATGCCAGCGAGTTTGACTTCTTCTTCTCCCTCGACCAGGGCATCACCAGCCATCGGCAGGAATCCTGCCATGTTGCCTGGTGTGAGCAGATCATCGTGCTTTCGAATGACCTTGCGCACGAGGTTGAGGGCAAAGCTGCTGAGTTTGTATAGCTGAGACGTGGTGGCGCCTTTGCTTTTCGACTTGTTCGCAGACTCCATCTGGATGAGATACTTGCGAACCTTGTAGTCATGGACAACGCCGTTCGCAACAGGTGCATTCCGCTCTGAATACACCTGTCGTACAATCTCATGACAGAAGACGAGCATGTCTCGGCTATCGGATGCAGGATTCTGGTCGACGCCTTTCCGTAGCCGGGTCATCAGTTCATCAACCTTCTTGACCGTCTTAGCGTCCAGCTTCTCTGTAAGAAGTGATCGGATAGGTCGCAAGAGTGCACCGAGCTTGTTGACCGGCGTCACCCTTGAAAGCAATTCCATGGTGTCGAAGCTTTTACTGCTCTTAACTTCTTTCATACCGCTCTTGTACTCCTCCGCATCTTTCTCCTGACCAGTGACGCCAAAAATGTCGTCCATTATTACAGAGGTCAACTCGGGCAGACAGTCGTCCAAGTCGCCAGGTAGGCACTTCTCGGTCGCGCTGACGAGCAGGGAGTGCACAGTGAAAGACAGAACATGGAGCTGGTATCCTCTCAGGAGAGCACCACGAAGTTCCTTGAGGATGAAGTTGAGGTATCTCGGACCGACTAGTCCCAGAACACTTGCGAGTGACTTACGCGTTTGGTCTCGAGCTTCTTGACTCTTACTACGCAAGACTTGGCACACGTCTGTCAATACAGCCGGCAGTCGAGCCGTCAACTCGGATTCGGGAAGCAGGAGCATCAGCTTCACGATCGTGACTGCAACAGGCATACGTCGATCGACTGTGGACTCGTCTTTGTGATGCAGATATCCAAGCAGGGGCGGCAAGAACTCCTGCGCGATGACAGCGTCCTTCGAAAGCGTCTCGTCCTTGGCCTGGCTTCTAGCATAGGTGGCTGTGAGCGCATCCACGAGCGAGCCCAGGAGCCGCAGTAAAGTCTTCTCCAGATTCTCCTTCGAGGTGTTGAAGCTAGCATATTTCTTGAATGTCGCTCGAAATGCGGGCCAACTGAGTGAGCCTGCAAGAGCACCGATAGTCAACACAGCTTGATCCGACAACGCACGGCCAGCATCTCCAGGCGCAGGGTCCAAGACGAAGTGCTCCAAGAACGGTAAGAAAATTTTGGTAATATTGCTGGAGGTCAGGGATGGCGCGGTCTCAGCCAATCTTCTTAAGGCACGAAGACGACGCTGTTGCTGTATGTTAAGTGCATTGTGGAAGAATGAGGCGTCCTCGTCACCACCGCCAGCCAATGATTGCATATCGGCGAGTGCCTGCCAGCCAGGTACTTTCTCCACGAGGCGGCCCAAGAGGCCAAGATACTCGGCCCGAAACAGCTCAGTCGACTCGCGCATACCACGTTCGATGGCCGGCATTATGACTTGCGCAAGCACAGGCTTGAACCGGTCCAGATCAGTAGCAGCTGCATCAATAAATCGTGCGAGACCTTGAGCAGCGCTTGAGCGGTTGACTAGATCGTCTACATCTTTGATATAGTATAAGCAGTTGTGTATGATGGGTAGCCACTGTCGAGGCGTAAGTGTGCCAACCAATTCGGCGATCCTGGTAAAGGCGTGCTCCCGCAGATCATGGTTGGGCTCGTCCAGTCGTAGTCCTTGCTGCGCATTCAGCTCTTTACACACTTGAGCCGTCATAGTATACTCCGCGTCTGCCTCACAGATCTTCGTCAGGACGGCTGCGAGGAGATCTCGTGCTTTTGGTGAGTCGAGTCGAGAGAACAGCCCAACGACTGCTTCGTATAGTGGGCCTTCTGGATCCACTTCAGCCACGTCGAGCAGAGGCAACAAAGTCTGTAGAAGGCCGACCTTCGAGCGAGGAGAGACAAGCTTCCCGGGCTTCTTGAGAAGCTCGCTACACACGTCAATAATATTACGAGCCTCTTCCTCATCACTAACGCGCTCGGCAAGCTTAGTAAGAGACTGCACGCCGGCGTCCAAGACGTGCTTAGAAGGACCATGGCCAAGAACCCAGGCAAGGCTCCTAACGAAGTCAATCACATGGGGGTCCAAAATTGTTGAATCCGCACCAGGCTCTGATAGATTATCGAGTAAGTCTTGCAGCAAAAACAGTCGAACCTCATCTTTACTGCTAGGCTCACGCAGTAGAGCAGCAACGTGAGTAAGCAGTGTGCCGTCGCTTCCGCGCAAATGCTGGGCAGTCCGCGATGAGGCACTCCATGCAGCCAATAGCCGAAGTAAGCCTGACACTGACTGATTGTTCTCGGTCGCGAACTTGGGAAGACGAGGTTGGATCAGCTTTCCAAGGATGAGAGTCGCAGTCTCGCTCGTGTCAAGCTCCTTAATCTCTGCAAAGATCTGCACAAGACATTGCATGCCTGCTGAACGCACAGAGCGCAGGAGAGATGCGTCTTCGGTGTCGTCGCCAACATCGATGCGCTGTGCAGCTGGTATGGTACAGATCAGAACAGAACGTAAGACTTTCTCCGCATGAGGCTCCAGATCGGCTCCCAGTGTCTGAAGGAGATCCTCGAGCATGTTCAGCATACCGAGTTGCTGACGCAGAGACACATTTGCGGTCGCGTCTGCAGAACCGATTTCTCCGGCTGCGCTTGGCGTGGCGGCTACTGAAGTCGTCGCGATGTCCACGAATGTGCCCAAAGTATGCTGGTCGAATCTCGTCAGTGAAACGAAGATTGCCTTCCGCCGTGGACCTTGACCATGCTTGCCACCGGCAATCGCTCGCCCATACAGCAGTCGAAGCAGAACTGGCATGAGTCGTGCATAGTCCTCTTTTCGTATTGTCTGGTCACCATCCTGCAAGAACACAGAAAGCTCTTCCCGGAATCGTGCCTCGTCCAGCAAGTTGACCAGATGCTCTTGATATCGAGTCACGGCGGCGTCCTTCCAGGCAAAGATGGCCTTCAATGCTGAGCTCTGTATCTCTGCATCACCATTTGCGCAGAGCTTCAGCAGTGCATCGTACACATCAGCGGACCTGTAGAGCACTTTCGGATTTGTGAATTGCGCAAAGATGGCCAGCATTGCCTTTTGATCTTTGCGTGTCCACCTGCTACTGTTGGTACCCTCGACGGCGTCGTCATTCTGAACAGCACCAGCCCAACGCAGCAAAACAGGCACTAGTAATCGCGACCGCTTTTCTGCAAGCTGTGGCGACTTCTGCAGGACTCGTAGGGCTTGAGTGCGGGATGTAGAGTTGTAGACTTGCACCTGCTTCACATCCACCTGAAATTGCTGCTCGACTGAGGGATATCCATTGTTGGGATCCTCGAAGACCTGCTTACAAATGGAAGATATCCTCATGAGATTTGAGCACTCGAAATCAGATGCTGTGTTGGTCCACTCCGATTCCACATCCAGTGGCTTTTCAAGCAAAAGCGCTTCGTCTTCCTCTGACGACTCTTCTAGCCAGCGTTGAGCTAGATCGATGACGACACCCTCAATTCGAGGAGATTTGCATAGCTCGATGATGACAGCGATCGCCTCGTCCCAGGCTTGCGCGAGTCGTATATGGAGAAGTCCGAAACAGTAGGTTGGAATGGCTTGCAGGACGAGATCGTCCGAGCTTGTTTGCTCACATTCGGACGCAAGTCGTCTGATGCCCATAGTGATAGCTCTGCTCGAGGCGAGACTGATTGGTGTGCTCTCAATCGTGTACGCAGTGTGTAGAGCAGGCGCGACCAGCTTGTTCTGTATCTCGTAAAGCTTGATAAGCAGCTCAAGGCTCAGCTCTCGCACATCGTGAGATGGTAGTGCCAAAGCTTGCACCAGTGAGTCTGATAGGAGCTTCATATCTGATGTGGCGACACCTTGAAGCTCTGCGGCTTCGATGTAACTTTTCAGACTAGCTAGAAACGATGGATATGAGTACAGCTTGCTGCTGACCGAGCACAGTGAGGCCCATGGTGCTGTAGCAATGGCCCGCGCAGCATTTATCGCGAGTAGGCGCCCAAGGCATGGTCCAAGAGCGAACTTAATGCGCAGGTCATCTGCAGTGTTCCGATCTTCGAGTGCGTTCTTGACGATCCGCGCAAGTACAAGTTCGAGCTGGCTAATCTGGTTTTCGTTCATCTTTAAGCATGATGTTGCACGCATCAAGCTGTCTGCAGTTGCTAGATCAAGCTCGGATGCGTTGACACTGCCGAGTGTGGCGGCTAGATGGGTGACAAGGTCAGACTGGAGTTCAGTGGGCGCTTGGATTTGTCGCTGCTCTGCGGCTCCGTGGATGTGTGGAAGCAAGCGATAGATCTCAGTGCTAGAACTGCCCCACTGCTCGATGATGAACTTCTGCATCTGTGGCATGACGAATTGCTCAAACTTCTCGCGGCCGAGTCGACTACACAAATCGCAGAAGTCAAGGAAGTGCGGCTTCCACTTGCCTTTCCGACTAGCCTCAACTAGAGAAAGCATAGTCATGATTGCATCCATAGTGGCACTTTGAATGACTACAGCAAGTGTGCTGAGGATGATTGAAGCCGTAGATTTTTCCAGACTAAGAAGCACATCTGCTTGCTCGAACAAGGCTCTCAGCGTCGTCACCACAGGTTTCCACTGTGCTACCCGAGTGCCTTTACGAACAGACACACTGGCGAATAGCAGCTCGGCTGCGAGCTGAACCTCCTGGTCATCGACCGGTGGCGAAAGTGCGATGTCGTTTAGGATCGTTTCCAGCACTGGCTGAAAAGTGTTCGAATTCGTGTTGTGGATCAAGCTGGTGAGGGTGCCGATGATGATGGATTGCGCCGTGCTGCGAGCAGGTCCTATTGTACGTCGAGTCGCCTTCAGCAGGCTCTTGACGATTGCGAGGCCGCCGGAGTGTATACCACTCTGCACGCCTCTGATCGCTTCGGTTAGGGTTGTCATGATTCCCTGGCGAAGAAGATCTGCCGTGCGCTGGTCACCAGTAGCATACCCGTCACTGAATACATGCGCAACAATGCTGTCGAGTGACTCCGTGTCTCGATCGTATGTCGCTGCTGCCTTGCGTACCAAGAAGCTCAATGATTCGGCGGCAAAGCGAATGATGAAAGGCTTCTGTGTTTGCTTGCCCAGGTAGGGGGACAACAAATCGTATAAAGGTCGAAGATCAGGCACCAGGAGTCGCGACAGGTACTTAAACAGCCATGCAAGACATGTAAAGCTCCACTCCACCACAGCAGGATCTTGGTGTTTCGCTGCGACCGCTGCAATGGTCGACACAGCTATTGCGAAGTGCTTCTCAAATCTGACGTCCAGATCGTGGGCGAAGTCAGACATGAGCTTGAGTAGGGGCTCCATGGCAAGCTCATCCGCCTTCTCTATATACACCACCAGTATTGCCATGATCTTGGCCTCATTGTGCAGGACCATCGGCAGACTATCGCAGTACGGCGTAACCTCTTTCGCGAATGCCGTGAAGGTCGCTGACAAGTTCAGGTCTTTCCACTCTACCAACGACCGCCCAAAGTATGTCGCCGTCGCCTCCGTGAGCTCGTCCAACTCTTCCGCATTTCTTCTGCGCCTAATGGGATCGATCTTGAGCTTTGCGATACGTTCTGAAAATCCTTCGAAGCGGTGGCGTTTGGTGGTGATGGTGGATCGTCTCTTAGTAGCCTTTGGCTTCACCACCTTTGGGGGCTTCGTGGCCTTCGTCTTCATGCTAACAGCCATCCTACATCCTCCAGCACTACAGAGCGTTATGCAGAAAGCTGGACAACTTCGACCTCCAAATTTCTTGACATCTGATTGCGCTAATGCACGGCTGCATGTGGAGACGTGCCGAACCTTATGGGATGTGCCGACGCCACGCGAGTCAACCCTGCTGCTGGGCGTCGACTTGAATATTCACACATTGCGCCACGACGATATGCCCTCTAAGCTTTTGCTACCAACACAAGAACGATCTCCTGTCTGGCACTGTGCAAAATATTCGGAACGTACCGCCAATTGATCGGCTTTGTCACCTCAGTGCAGCTGCCATCATCTCCAAATCCATTCATCGCTCCAACAAAGTGAGGCTCACCATTGTCATGCACTGAGCACTCGCCGATCTACGTTGCTCTCACTTGCTAGCGTGGCGCGCCAATTGAATATATAATATGGCTTCGAAGATGTCTGTACGCTTCCCCACTTCCACAATCTTACATTAACTGACATGAAGAACAGCGCCGTCATTGGAGCCGTCAATGGCAGGTTCACGGAGGTCTTCGAGAAGCTTGCGGCACACCAAGCGAAACAAAAGTTTGCCTTTGCGATCGTAGCTGGCCATCTGTGTGCCAATCCGGAGAGCGCAACTGAACAGGAGGCTTGCGAAATCGACAAACTTCTAGAAGGCAAGATCAATGTCCCACTACCTACGTACTTCTCCCTTGGAAGGCAAGCTTTACCGGCGAAGGCTGTCAAGGCTCTAGAGGAGAATGCGGGGCAGTTGTGCGACAATCTGAGTGTCCTTGGGCGAACGGTGTCGATCAAGACATCGGAAGGGTTTCGCGTGGTGGCTGTTGGTGGCGCTCACGCCGAGACGAACGAGGCCGGCGAGTATGCCGCGAGCTACACAGATGACGATGCGGAAACTCTCAGCAAGACTGCTGTGGATGTCGACATTTTGGTCACGAGCGAGTGGCCGGCGCACATCCGGGATGGTTCCAGGGTCAATGGTGAAGGTCCGTCGACTGCCGCCTCCGAAAGCATATCCGGTCTATGCACTGCAGCCAAGCCAAAGTACCACTTTTCGGCATCAAGCACCTTCTACGAGCGCGAACCCTTCTTCCACGATGGGCCATCTCCAATGTCTGTCACCCGCTTCATCAGTCTTGCACCATTTGGCAACGCGGGCAAGCAGAAGTGGATCTACGCTTTCTCACTTGAATCGTCTGCTCAGCCGCCCGAGAGGCTACCTGATGGTTGTACGGCCTCGCCATTCACCGGTACTAGGAAGCGTAAGCTCGAGTCTCAGCAAGCCGACTACAACAGCTTCCGCTATTCCAACGGCAATGGTAACGGTGGTAGTCATTTGCGAGAGAACTATTCGCACAAGCGTCGACGCCAGCCGCCACCAACTCCAGACAAGTGCTACTTCTGTCTTTCGAATCCTGCCTGCGAGACACACATGATCGGATCAATCGGCGAGAACGTCTACCTCACAACCGCTAAGGGTCCACTCACGACCAAGCAAACATACTCAGAGATTGACTTCCCCGGCCACATGCTACTGATACCGTTGGAGCATGCACCCACGATGGGCGCCATTGCGGACAAGGAGACTCGACAGGCTGCCGTGACCGAGATGCAACGCTACCGCAGCTCATTGCAGAACATGCTAGCCGAGAAGTCGAAAGGAGAAGATGGCCGGGCGAAGCTGGGTGCAGTATGCTGGGAGATTAGCCGTAACACTGGCATTCATCTGCACTGGCAGTTCTTGCCCGTCCCAGTCGACATGATCCAACGTGGGCTGGTGGAAGCGGCATTCGACGTTGAAGCGGAAAATAACGACTACCCGAAGTTTGTGAAGAAGATCTCGGAAATGGAGGAGATTGAGGAGGGGAACTTCTTCAAGGTCATGATCTGGTCAGAAAGTTTGCGCAAAGACATGGTGATGTCGCTGGATGGCGATTTCAGGTTTGACTTGCAGTTCGGGAGGAAGGCAATGGCTAAGTTGCTGGGGCTAGAGGGGAGAACGGACTGGAAGAGCTGTTCTCAGAGCAAGGTGGAGGAGAGCGCAGAGGCGAACCTGTTCAAGGAGGCATTCAAGGCGCATGACTTCAATCTTGAGTAAAGAGCCGTCGTCTCTGGATAGAATGTAAGCCGTGAGTACCTTGGAGCGGCTCGTTGAGGCTCTGAGGCACATGGCAGAATGTACAAAAGCTGTATACTATTTCAAACGATCTTCACATAAATCCCGCACGCAGCGGTGGGGTGTTTGCGTGAGTCTTGAAGCTATCATGGTTGATGTTGAGACGAGATACAAAGATAGCCTCAGCGGCCCCATCGCCGTAAAGCCACGAGCTAATATGTATCGTGCAAGCACTCGCATAAGCAAACGCAGCCATCGGCTAACAGCTCGTCTGAAGAGACGGCAGGCCATAGGCCTCGTCATCATCCGACAAGCCTTTGAACTCCAACGCCGCACTCATAGATCAGACGCCGCTCGCACAAATAGCATGCATGTGGTAGCGCGCAAACCAGCCTTCCCGCTGATATCATATCAAGGACATGCCAGACCGTAACCACTATACCATCCTCCACCCAAGGTCACCTTGCCGCTAGTAGGGCAGGCCCTTGAACATGCCATATGCACCACCCGCAGCATCGTCTGAATTACGCTTCTTCCCACCCGTATGCTTAGGCATGAGCGGCGAATTCTATCCACCACCGCCGCCTCGGTTTCCGTAAGGGTGGAAGCCACGATGTCCACCACGCCCGCCGCCACGATAATTGCCTCCACCTCTTCCACCACCACCTGCGTTCTTCGGGCCCGTGGGAGCATTGGCTGGAGCTTGAGGGGCAGGAGTGTTAGAGTTGCGATTACCGCCGCGACCACGGCCCCCGAAGCCGCCGCGCATGCCACCTTGCATGCCAGCTGGTGCTGGGACATCGTCGTACATGCCCTCCCAGGTGCCGTTACCGCCGTTACCACCATTACCGCCGAAGTTGCCACCACCTTGGCCCATCTGCATAGCCTGCTGCTCATACTTCCTCTGCTCGAACATCATTTGCTCTTGAGCATTGAATCCGCTAGCTTGGGCAGCAGGCGTGCCTCCAGGCGACTGCATGCCGTTTGCCTGCCCATTATTGCCCATACCAGGGAAGCCACCCTGACCATTACCCTGACCACCCTGCATAGCAGCCATCTGCTGCATCATCTGCGGGTTCATACCCCTCTGCTGCATCATCTGCATCATCTGTGGATTCTGCATCATGCCCGCGCCCGAAGACATGTTCATCTGCTGCTGCATCATGGAGAAGTACTGCTGCATGCGTTGCCAGTACTGTGCCATCATGGCGGGACTCATGTTGTTGCCACCCTGACCGCCTTCGCCACCCATAGGGCTCTGCTGGAAGCCACCGCCATTGCCAGGACCGCCTTGGTTGAAATTGTCTTGCTGACCACGACGCCCAAACTTGCCTCCACCGCGGCCTGCGCCAGCATCGGCCTCACGCATATCACCACGAGGCTGGGCGCGCTTGACCTCGATGGATTTGTTGCAGATGGCGAGTGGACCTTCCAGTGTACGATCGACGGCCTGTTCGCTGTCAAAGGTGACAAACCCGAAGCCACGAGGACGACCGGTTTCCTTGTCCATCATCAAAGTGGCGTCGAGAACGTTGCCGAACTGACGGAAGAAATTGGCAAAGTCATCTTGACTGGCATCTTGGCTGACACCACCCACGAAGATCTTGGCTGTGCGTTCTTGCTCGTCTCTCGGGATGGCACGTTTCGGGTCGATCTGGACTTTGCTGTCAGTAATGTGCACCTACATGATGCTGTGGATGTGTTTACGTACGAGTTTGCCATCAAGAGTGTGCTCCTTGACCATAACAGTGTTGACGACTTTCGGATCCCTGAACGTGAGGAAGCCGAAGCCACGCGAACGTCCACTCTGGCCATCACGCATGACGGTGCATTCGAGAACGTCGCCAAACTGTGTGAAGTAGTTCTTAAGCGATTCTGTCGTGTGTCAGTAAGGTCAGACTTGTCGCCAACAAGAAGTTTTGTGCTTACCATCAGTCGTCTCCCAATTCAGCCCACCGATGAACATCTTTCTGCGTCATGTTAGCGCTAGTACCATGGGCGAGACAATAACATATGATAAGCATGAGCGTGTGCCGTTAGTATTGCAGGCTGTCAGTGGGTCCTCAGTGGTATCTTGGTCCGCCTTGTGCTCCTATTCCATCTTGCTGGCTTCGCAGAGACCTCCAGCTTCATATGGCAGCATGGCGTAGCATAGCCTCAAGGTGCAACGCGCGATGGGCGCACAAGCTACCAGTGTTCAGACGATGTCGCCCCGTTTGCCATGTGTATATACGCCACACCAGTATATAGTTGGAGGGTGCATGAGGTATACATTTGTCGAAGAATCCACCATGCCAAATGCGGGGCCCACAGCGGGAATGGCGCACCACCACCACGTACTCTTGTAGCAGTGACATGGGATTGTCGATACGAGCAGTATTGCCTTCTCGGGCTGTAGATTTGTGCACCATGTCTCGCAGTTGCGGCCACCATGAGAAGCGATGGTACCTTGCGATATGTATCCACATCTATCTCCTTCACTGGTCTGCTGCTACGGCGCTAGTTTCTCGGTTATCGACAAGAAGCTCAAGCTATCGTCATCTGTATGTTCGTGGCTTTGCAGGCAGGTTTGCAGTTTACCATAGACTCGGCAAATTAGACCTTTCGGCAGACCTGATCCCGCATCACTCCTCCGCCCACAGCAACCCCGATTTCTCCATGCCGCCACCCTGACTAACGACTAGAGTTCCCACATCTGCCAAAGCCAGAATTGTATGCATTTCCGGCACGCCTGTGCAGAGTGCCAGTATTTTGGTACAAGCCAGGCTGGAGGGTGCACTGCTCACAACACTGTGGATTGGTGCGGTTTGGTGCGATAATCCAGGACTTTACAGACTACCTCTTTGGTTGATGCAAATGCTTTGAGAGCGGCAAGCGGCGCTACTTTTAGCGCTTTATCCAGGAACGCACTTGTCTTCGTCCACCGACGAAAGAAGCACCAAGCACCTAGAAGAGCCTTCTCGGTCTGCTAACATCTGGGCTAAGACGCCAATCCATGCTGGATATGCCTTTATGGCACACGCTCATGATAATGCTAAAACAATTAAAGGGGAACAACTTACCCATCGTCCTTGATCTGAATGGGGCGATCTCTATCCTCAGAGTGGCCCACTTGTTGATCACTATACCCGCCATTGTGTGCATTCATATCCATGCCTTGCATTGCTTGGCCAGCGTACTGCTGTCCACCATCGTACTCGGTTTTGATGTTGAAGTCATCGCCGTTGTCGTCGGATTGCGGGACCTCATTTGCATGAGCAGGCTGACTCTGCTGTTCTACATGGACCGGCGCAGGCTCCGGATCCGTCTTGGCAGTGGTTGGGGCTGGTGTGGTGGGCTCGTCTGCCTCGCCGTCGTAACTATGCGCGCGTTAGCTGTGTTGCGCACGTGATTCCAGGTCTGGTTAGCTGCTGTTGCGCCGGACTCACAGATCAGCGAAGAGATCCTCCTCGTCCATGTCGGCCATGGTGATGGGTGATACTTAGTGTGAGGGAGAGAAGTGACTCGACCACAAGGCCGTCGTGGACGCTGTAGGAAAGCTGCAGCGCGCGCGCGAGTGGTCGAGGAGTTGGTGAGTAGCCACAGCTCGGCTTTTGTTCGTCTCCAAAGTGGATGAGGAGTGGTACAGATGATGTTGTGAGAAGGTGTTGTCGGAGGATTGATGTTGTTCTCGCACAAAGTGAGAAGGAGGAGCTGTGTGATGTTGCTTACTTAAGAGAGCTGCAAACGGCAGTCGCGATGAGCTCGGGCCGATGCCGACGCTAGTGCCGAGAGTGGACCGTTTCATTCGACACTCATTCAATACCTTCACTTTGCTTCAATGCTGAACAAAAGCAAAAATGCTGGCGTGCTCTTTAGGGATTGAGTATCTTCTATCGTGCACATGCGTGTCATGCCTTTCGCGGTGTTGACCGAGTGAGGACCCGGCGAGGTCGATTGACAGAGGCGTCTGGGTGCCTATGACAAGAACACGGCATACACATGGACTACATAGTAGCAGCTGCGAAGTAGTATGCTAGAGCATAAAATGGCTTACGCTTCTATTAGCCTTTATTCTACCTTCATTATTCACTTACATCACATGCTGTCATTGCCCCACATTTTCATGTGCATGTATGCATGCCGTGACGCACAGGCGATCAGTGGCTTGCCGCTTAACTTTCCCCACCATTCTCACGTTCCATGCGCCCACCCATCTATGTCTTAGGCATGCGACGGCTACCGACTACGCATTCCAGCATCTACTCAGACGATGTTTCGGAAGACCGCCCAGCAGGAGATGCAGCAGATCGGTGCGTTCCCAGCAGCAGCACAGCCACCGCGACCACGAGACACCAGCTAATATAATGGATTGGATGTCCTTCATAGACCGATCTGAGTAGGTATACATGAATCGAAGACCGAAGCACCTTGCCATGTTCATATATGCTGATGTTGCGACAGTACTGCATCTCCATTCTGGCGAAGCAGCTCCGCTGCCAGTCAGCGCGACAAGCGATCCTCGACTCCTCCCGTCATTGGTGCGACCTACAGCCATGCCGACATCCTCAAGTTTGACAGCCTGTATGCGAGCCCAGGCTGCTCAATCAACACTCACTAACCACACCGTAGATCGTTGTCAGGCGACTCGAGACCGCGCACACCACCGTCAACATCCCGCAACAAAAGTACACCGCCTCCGAAGACCGGCACGGTGACTCCTACACCACCAAGACGATTTCATTCTTCCACAGACGACGATTGGGCACACGAGCAGGATTTGCCAGACCGTGAGGACCCACTGGCCTACGACGACGACGAAGATGAGTTCGGATTACCCAGTATAGCCTCTATGCGGCGCAAGGGCAGGCGGATACAGGACAAGAAAGGCAAAGATCCTGGTGGTGGGCAGCCAGGCTATCGCAACGGCGCAGGACCGAATGGAGCGCTATCAGCCTGGGCATTGGACAATGGTGATGTGGCGGAAGAGCGCGTGATACCTTCGTACCCTTCAGCGAAGAAGAACGAAGGCAAGATGTTGCGACCACAGTACAAGGACATTCTGCGAGATCCGGCAAACTCCCTACACTTGATCAGCCATCCTTCTGCACCGGTCAACGCGACAGCGAAAGCATTAGAGGCGCATTCGGCACGCATCACGCGCATAAACAAGTTCAAGAAGATCCTGCAAGCATCGTCCATAAACTTGCCAGAACTACGAGACTCAGCGTGGTCCGGTCTACCCTCCGAGGTTCGCGCAATGTCATGGCAGCTATTACTAGGCTATCTCCCGACAAGCAGCGAACGCCGAGTCGCGACCCTGGAGCGCAAGCGCAAAGAATACTTAGATGGCGTTCAACAATCCTTCGCTCGGACGAACACCACCAGTGAGCGAACAGGGAATGGCGGCAGAGGTCGGGGTTTGGACGAGGCAATATGGCACCAGATCGAAATCGATGTTCCTCGCACAAATCCGCATCTCGAGCTTTATAGCTACGACGCCACGCAACGGAGTCTGGAAAGGATACTGTATGTCTGGGCAATACGACATCCGGCTTCAGGCTACGTACAGGGAATCAACGACTTGGTGACACCCTTCTGGCAAGTATTCCTCGGCCAGTATATCACAGATCCTGATGTCGAGTCCGGGATGGACCCTGGGCAGCTACCGAAACCTGTGCTTGATGCAGTAGAAGCGGATAGCTTTTGGTGCCTCACGAAGTTATTGGAGGGTATTCAGGACAATTACATTCACGCTCAGCCAGGCATTCTGCGGCAGGTCAGTGCACTGCGCGACTTGACGGCGAGGATCGATGGTGCGTTGGCAAAGCATATGGAGAATGAAGGCATCGAGTTCATTCAGTTCTCGTTCCGGTGGATGAATTGTCTACTCATGCGAGAAGTCAGTGTGAAGAACACTATCCGAATGTGGGATACATACTTGGTAAGCTACACCACAAAGCGTAACATTTGCATGCAGACATTGACACTCTCCCAGGCCGAAGACCAAGGTTTCTCCTTTTTCCACCTCTACGTCTGCGCCGCCTTCCTCGTCAAATGGTCCTCGCAGCTCCAACGCATGGACTTCCAGGAGATCATGATGTTCCTACAGTCTCTGCCCACGAAGGAGTGGACGGAGAAGGATGTCGAGCTCCTACTCAGCGAGGCCTTCATCTGGAAGAGTCTGTTCGCCGGCAGTCAGGCGCATGTGATCAAGCAGGCGGGTAGTGGCTTCATGAATCTATAGCACCTTGTAAGAGTAGTCGTGCTCCAGCAAGCTGTCGAAGCTATTACGAGCGCTGCGGACGCTTCTTGCAGCGTTCAAGTTACGCAGCCGCACGTAATGCTTGTTCCTTCGCCAGTCTGACCTCGTACTCGAACTCTTTCAGTGCTCTGATCTCGCTACCAACAAACAGCCCTCCCATCAGGCCATCCAGGACGCCAGCACTGAGGCCAAGAGTGCTGACAAGCATAAGAATGAATGCCACAAAGTTGCGCGGCGACCACCAAACAGCTATGAAACAGCCAATGGTAATGACCACTTCCGCCCCAAAGTGTCTCAGACGCCACCGTCGCTGCTTCCGCTCACGGATATTGTATTTTGCAACCATAGCCAGAATCTCATCGTACGTCTCGACCGGCAGAAAACTTGTCATGACCTTGTCTTCCGTCTTCTCCCCTACAGTCGGGTGTCGTACCAGCGTAGTCTCAATCGAAAAGTGATCGCTCAATGAACACAAAAGCGTCGGATGCCTCATCGTGAACCCGACTTGCACATCCTGCACCTGCCACCTCACCCCTTCCTGACTAGCAAAGAAGACGTAATCAAGCCGTTTCGCCCTATGATCCTCCGCCTCAGGATCGATATAAGAGTCCTTGCCCTTGAAAAAATCCTTCTTCATTTGCTTACTCCACCGCCAAGTATTGAATCTATGATCACAAGTCGTGCCATGCTCCTCCAAGCACATCCTCGAACTTGGTACCACCAGTCCTCTCGCTTTCTCAGCACTATCCTCCGCCGCACCAACAGCTGAATCAGGCTTGACAATCCTCCAGATATCCTTTACAGGCGAATGTGCCTCAATCAGCCTGTGCGCAAGACTAAGCGGAATCATATTGAAGTCTCCCAATCCTAGAACCATATGTCCCCGTTCCGCAGCATGTCTCATCATCTTCGCAATCTCCCAAGCCTGAGCGGTCCGATGACAGATATAACTATCATTCGGCTCCCGCTCATACGGAGCATGCAGATGCGTGCAAAACACCTCCACGACATCTTTTCGTCCTGTCCCAATTCGGATCCGGGCACTCGCCACTCCCTTCCCAACATACCAGTCGCCTCGGAAGAAAGCCTGCGGTCGTCCATTGAGTGGATATCGAAACATGGAGCTCTCTTCTATCGGCCATTTGGACAAGATAGCGAGACCGCCGCCGAAGATGCCGCTCCAGTAGAATTTGCCGTAGGGCAAGATATGTTTCGTCAATTCACGAATTGCAAGGTAATCCTGTTGGGTCCAGCATTCTTGCAGTCCGACGATTTGAGGAGCGGGAGTCGCTTTGGCGAGTTGGTGGCCGATTTCTACGAGGCGGGCGTGGCGGTATTTCGACAGGAATTTCAAGCCCCAGCAGTTGAGGGAGATTACACGTAGTGAGCTGGGAAGGTCCAGGGGGTCTGCTGATGGTTCTTGAGAATCTTCTATCGTGGCCATTTGGTCAGCCATGTCCAGGTCCTGTAATGGTTGCTGCGTTCGTGGCCGAGTTTGATATGGGATGTTGTCTTAAGAGACAAAGTCCTGACCGATACGTGGTCCCGTCACTTCCGTCTCGAGCCGCACGAACAACCTCAAATAGACCTACATAGGACTTCCTCCTAAGATGGTGGGGGGAGTAACCTTACGAGAGACGAGAAGAGACATAAGACTTTGAAAACATGTTTGTAGATTGACGATAGATCTCTCTTCAAGCCAAACACAGGCGAAGCGATACGGAAGAAGCCCATCCCTAACTACAAGAAAAGACCCAGCAGATACCCAAACTCCAAAATGAACCATCATAACCAGCGCCAAACATGCCCAGAGATGCCTCATTCATATGCTCGTTTCGTGATCTTCATCTCGTGCGTATCAGAAGTCAAAAAGTCCAGTAAATACAGCGCGCTTTCAGGCCAAAGTGAAGCTTGTATATACGGTCGACACCGTGGCCAACCAAATCGCGATGACAGAAGGTAGTGTCGGGCCAAGGACTCGAGAATGTCGAGCATAGCCGCCGGGTGAACAGGATGGCACCGACAGTGGCGCGAAAAGTGAAAGATAGAGCAAGCAGTGTCACCAAGATGCGACAAGCTCCAGAAATGCAGTATAATCATGTTTTGTAAAATGTTGAAAGTCTGTCGTGGTGGAGTCGTGATCGTGGGAAAATTGCTAGTGAGACTTCGAACGCCGGGTCCAAGAATGCGCAAGACGAGGAACCGGACAGCCGCTGAGATGCGGTGGGAACCCCTTAGCCTCCATCCTAAGCTGCTGCGTTGTCCCAGCATGCTATAGCCTCGAGTTCAGAAGTGAAGAAGACTTTCCGGCTTCGTCATGGCTGACGGGCTTGGTTGGCAGCTCCCTTAGCGGCAAGCTCCCTCAGCCGCTGCTGAAAGGGTTGTGGGTTGCCGACAGTAGACAAATAGCTGCGAGGAAAGGTGTTGAACTGCCGACTAGGCGCTTCGGTGAAAGGCGAACCAAGACGCGGGATTGGCTCCGCAAGGCGACGAGGTACTGACCGGCTGCCTGGTGGTCCCAATTCGCATGACCGAAAGGGATCGCTCGACGGTGGCGCTTCTGCCATCTCTTCATCAATAGCAGGTATTGCCGGCGGTGCAGGAAACGGCGGTGAGAACAACTTCGCCAGGTTGTCAGTGGCGCGCACTGCACCGACCGTGAAACCACGGTTGCGAACAATACCGGCATCTTCAGCTTGTGGACCAAAGACGTCCTGCAAGGAGCCACGCTTTGGCTTCTCTTCATCCGACTTGAAGCGACGCTTAAGTGATGTGCGTGGTGCTGTTGGTGCTCCAGAAAGCTCTACTGGTACGTCGAGTGAGGGACCAACCTTGAAGTTTGAGCGGCCAAGCGATTTGGTGTGGGCGGTAATGCTCGACAACAGGTGCGTTCGATGGCTATTGTCGTCAAAGGGTGAGGCAAGAGTGGCAGGATCGAATGCGGCGTTGAGATTGAGGCCGGACTGCAGTGATAGACTCTTCTGATGTGCGTGCGAGCGAGGTATACGCGCGAACCAGTCTGCAGGCCGCTCGCTGCGCTGCTGTGGCTGTGGCTGTGGCTGCGCGACAAGACCGTCGCTGGAGAGCTGGGCAAGTGGACCTTCGGGCTGCATCGAGGGAGCAGTCGCCGTGACCAGCGACATCTTCATGTCATGGCTGCCGAATGCTGAAGTTGAGGCGGCCGAAGCAGGTACGTTAGGAGTGTGATCTATCGAGCTCGAAGAAGCGAATGGAGATGGGCTGCGAGTGTTGAGGAGTCTCTGATAGTGTGCTGGAAGAGACGGCCTGCGCTTGCAGAGGGTACGTAGACGCTTGCGTGTAGCTCCATCTGATCGTGGCCAGTTCGGCTGCTTCAAGTTGCTGTTTGGTCGTATGGTATCCGGCGAGCCTTCCCGCTGCATGCGGTCAGAGGCCATCAGCGTATCTAGACCAACGCTAGATCTACGTGGGCTCCACGTACGCCTAGCTTTCGAAGCCACGCGAGAGCAGACGCCGAGTGGTGGAGGAAGACCTGCAAGCATCTTGAAAGGCGTGACGCGAGGATCCGAAAGGTATTGCATGTAAGTCATCCAGAGGTGTTCATCCATACCCGACGTCCACTTGATACTTCGGTGCATCTTTACACGCTTGGCAGTAGGCGAGCTGTTGTGCTCGGGAGAGATGACAGCCTTGTCGTCTCGTGGAATGTCATCCTCCAGAAATGGATCTGTGGCCTGTGATTCTGGACTGTTGCAGCCGTGGTTGGGTGCGGAGAAATCGGAGCTGCCGTACGATGAGATCGACGAGTCGGAGAAAGACGAACAGACCGAGCCAGACTGGTCAAACGCTGGCCTCAGCTTGCTTCGACTGTCTGTGATCATGGCCCATTCGTTCGCAGGACTCTCCACAGGCGAAGTGAAACTCTGCTGAACGCGCGGTGCGGGTGTCTTGGGTGGCGTAACAAGACGCTGGAAGCTCGGTAGGGCGGGGGCAAGAAGACCCTCCATAGTAGGTGTGGCCTGGAATATCGGGCTCGACATATCGCCTGTGGCTTCCGACATTTCTATCGTGGGTATGACGGTGTCTGACATGGCCTCGACCTCGGCGTTCTGGAAGTCCTCTGGTATCGCGGCGCGTCTACGGCGAACCTTGAAGGTCTGTGGTCGCGGGGGTGGTGGTGGGTTCAGTGGCGTGTCGCGCTCCTCCTGCTGCCGGTCGGGCGTGCGCGGTAGCTGGCCATCGTTGTAGTGGAACTCGAAGTCTGGTGGGAGAGTGATTGAGAGCTGCGGTCTGTGCGCCATTGTTGCGGTCGACAATGAGTGTAGCGATTGTGTCGAGTTTCGGGTCGTAGGCGCGTCGTTGGTATTGCGCATGAGCGGTCAGGCGGCTTTGTCGCGATGTCGGTCGCGTCTCAAGCGATCAGTGAACCGCGCTCCCAAGTATGCTTGCGCGCTCCAAGGAATGGTCCCGCTATGTCCAATGCGATACTGCCGTTTGCACGAGCGACGTCGAGGAAGTGGTTGAGCGCGTCGCAACAATGAATGCGACAGCGAGGAAGAGCCGTAGTGGGTGGAGGATGGATGAGGGCGAGCGAGCCGGCTGCGGGTCTCAGCGGGAGAAATGGGAAATGCCTAGCTCGTTGCCACTTGTGGTTACGGCAAGAAACGCACGGATGCTGCAACTCGACTCGTGGGTCTACGGATTCATGTACATGCCCTGTAGTGAAAACGACGACGAGATCGTGGATACTGCATGTCATCGACAGCTATCAGACTCGACTCTAGCAGTCGGTCGCCGTACTCTCGTGTACACTCGGTTAACAGTGATCCGCGGCCAGCAGGTCCTTGACCGTAATCGTCTGCCTATTCCCGTTCTCATCGAGTGCGTAACCATTGGCACATACAGCGGTATGCAGTAGCATGGCCTTGAGGCGAGCGAGCAGCGTGGCCGGCGCTTACCCGTACAGCACTCGTGGAGGCCATATGCACGAACAGCTTCCCCAGCGTTGAATAGTGGTGAGACGTGGGCCTGTAGCATTGAGCCCCGACCTCGTGCATAGAGCTAGATACACAGCCACGGAGAAGGGCATGATCCCCTCTGTGTGAAATTCGACCATCGACGAACTACTGCACTTGAGGAGAAGAGCATTCAACACCAAACGCGTCCGCTGCACGTTCACGCGTCTTAGCGCGCTTCCCTGCATGATCGACTGATCGCTGATTGGCGGTAAAAGGTCCTATACAGGAAGCCTCCAACCTCATCAAAGACCACTGCTGCAGGGCCACAAGCACGGATCACGAACAGACATGGGTTTTCTTGCTCGAGCTTGCACGCCTTCGCGCCAGACGGTGCATGTGACAGCGGATGATCGACGAGACACTTTGCTGCCCGTAACGATGACCCAGCAGTGAGACGAGACAAGAGCACGTTTTTTGTTGCTCGGTTGGTGCAAAGATTGTGTCGCCTGCCAGCGATATGCCGCGCCTCTTCAAAGCTTGCCCACTCATATCAGTGAGCGTTGCAGGTCTACGCGGGCTCGTCCGCTCTTCGTTCGAAAAGCAGCATGAGTGGTGCAATAGCCACCAGCCAAGGGCGGCAGAAACAGTAATCCCCACCTCGACGGCACGCAGCCTGGATGCTCAAGGCTCTCCACCACAGCTCATGCTTGCTGCTGCGAACTGGGGACCGCGACCTCCACACGAAATGCGGAGACGTGCTGTGAGCCTGCAGTAGCTACGGCATGCCGACCTGACGGTCTGTCTCCTACCGAGACCCGCATGCAAATCGATGTGGGAGGACACGCGTTGTGCATGCCACCACATCCTACTGGTGTTCAAGCAGCCATCTATATCTATTGTACGAGCGGACGTGGCGCTGACGAAGGCAGCATGTCGGTCAGAACACAGGAGCCTATGGTCCCATGAGGTCCAACATGCCACTTGTCTCTGCAGTACAGCTTCGCGTGTCCACTGGCTCATATATTTGCCTCACCTCGTGCGGTTCTGGGGAGGACACTCCAGAGTCCTCGGAACAGTCTTGTCTTGGCCAAAAGGTCTAAAAAGTGGGCCACTACGAGCCCATCAAGATACGCAAGTGAAGTGTACAGCCCTCTCAGGTCGATTACGATCGACGCAGATATCGTGGCGATAGGAAAAGACATCCTCGGACACAAGCTCCTTTTCGCTGCGTACGATACAACGCCTCTGCCGAAGAAAGTATTACTGTCATATTGTCCTCCTTTACATTCACCTCCCTTGTATAGATATGAGTGCTCCCACAGTATCACGTCCATTCTTTGGCCAGCAAATCTTGCTTCACCAGGCCGACAGACATTACCATACTGCCATGACAGTCTGGTCAGCGGCTTCGAACGCCATATCAATCGTCCGTCCGTCCGAGCATCGGATTCTGTTCCAAGACCACCTACCGAAGTCGGGAGTAGAGTAGCTAAGGACAAGGACGTCGCACTTGTATGATGGGCCTCGTTGAAGGCACTGCGTATTCGAAGACGGGAGCTTTGCGTCATGAGACCGCCAATCCAAGGATGGAAGCCTGCGTATGCTCAGAAGTAGAGTGCTATACATATACATACGCTGTCTTTTCAACTCTTTTTGATGCCTATGGCAAGGTATCCACTACTATGCTCCCGAACCTTCCTCATAGTACATTCACAGTGCCAGAGCCGCCACCAATTTCGACCACTTTACTCCTTCTTATTCTGCCCAACCTGACTGATATTCAAGCCCAACCCGCTCGTGTCAAGGTACACCTTATTGCTGCTCTTCTCCAACACACTCGCCACAGCACGAGCATTCTCAAACTCCCTTAGGTCAACGTAGGATCTGCTCTTCTTGATCGCGTCACCGATCAGCTCGGCCGAACGAGCCTCACCCTGTGCGCGGACAACGGTTGCCTGTTTCTCCTGGCGGGCTTTGTCGACGACGAAAGCGGCGCGCTGGGCTTCTTGCTGGGCGACTTGCTTGGCTTCGACTGCTGCGGTGAATTCGGGGGAGAAGGAGAGTTGCTGACAACCAACCACGTCAGCGGTAACTCAGAGAGGTGTGGGGATTGATAGGGGTAGACGTACCGTCAACGAAACATCATCAACCATGATATTAAATCTCGCCGCCCGCCTCACGAGATTATCCCTCACCATCCTACTGACCTGCTCTCGCTGCGTGATCAACTGACTGGCATTGAACTGCGCCACCACGCTCTTCAGCACCTCATTCACAATACTCGGCAGAACCCTCTCATCGTAATCCTGGCCCAGAGTCCTGTAGATCTGAGGTAAGGCCTCGATGCTAGGTCGGGCGAGGACACGGCAGGTGATATTGACCATCTGGAGATCTTTCGTGCCGGTCAGGGAAGGGATGGAGCGGGGTTTGGCGCGCACGTCGTAGTCGACTGGTGTCTCGAACCAGGGGATTCGGATGTGGGTTCCTTCGCCGTAGATTTCCTTGCTCACGCCGCCGACACGGGTATACTTTATTGCGCGGTGACCTCCGTCGACTGTCCATCATTGTTAGTAGTGCTGGTGTGGCGAAGTGAGGTGTGGTATGTGCTTGCCGTTGAAAAGAGCGTTGTTGAAGAGCCATGCGCCACCAGCTAGTAACACTATGCCTCCAATACCTGTGAGGGCTCCTCTTGGTCCTGGACCACCTGATCCGCCTGCGCCGAATCTACATCGTCGTCAGCATACCATATCATCTACCATCCGGTTCATGATATGTTTATGATATACCTCTTGCCCTGCTGCTGCATCCGCTGCATGCTCTTCTGGATCTGCTCCCACGCCTGTCTCGGATCCGCTCCCATCTCGTCTCTGTAGCTCAACTACGAGCTAATCGAGCCGACGAAGCTGAGGTGGTGGTGGTAGATGGAAGGCGATATGTGACTGTATGACGGAGACAATAGTTGACTGGTGATCGTTCCTGCTCGCTGGAGCTCTTCGGCAGACTCGGCCCGCTGCATGTGGAAGAACAGTCAGCATCTCGACAACGCTGAGACCACGTCGTCGAATAGCAGGAATCCAAGATTCATTGGCTACAAAGGTGTCCTTGTGTGTATGATATTGGAGGAGTGTTATGGATCAGTTTTCTTTGACGGCACAGCATTCGGGAGTCATCACCCATAGTCACGCCATTCACTTCTCTGCTTCCGCTGTAGACATTGCAAGGGAGATCAAGTACATCACTGGCATTTTCGTTGTAGGTTGGGTTGCTGTCGCTACTATACAGGCTGTGAGAGGGACTTATAACAAAGAGAGGAGATAAGGTGGTTGCTGGTCAACCGCTGGAACAATAACTATCTGGAAGCAGTCGAATTGAAGATCAGGATTTATCGCGACCATGCACGCAATCATCAAAGCCCAGTCATTACTATGGCTCCTGTACACCACCACAGCAACAGCACAATACGTACTGGACAGCCTATCCTTCGGCCACCAGTCCACACTATCGCCCAATGGCCGCGCACTCCCAGGTTGGCATCTGAGCGGCGAGAACCATCAAATCCAACTCCTGAGTGATCGCGTGATCCTCACCCCTCCTTACCCAGGAAACGCTCGAGGCGCCATCTGGTCAGACAACGCCGTCTCCTCAAAAGAATGGACTGCGGATATCGAGTTCAGAGCATCAGGGCAAGATCAAGGAACTGGAAACCTCAACATTTGGTTCACGAAGGATAAGAATATAGGCACAAGCAGCGTCTACAACGTCGAGCACTTCGATGGTCTAGCACTAGTACTAGACCAATATGGTGGCACAGGTGGCAAACTTCGAGGCTTCCTGAACGATGGGAGTCAGAATTACAAGGCACACAACACCCTCGAATCCCTAGCCTTCGGGCACTGCGACTTTAGCTACCGCAACCTTGGACGTACAAGCAAAATCCGTATCACGAACCACAACGGTCTCGGCGTCAGTGTAGACGACAAGGAATGTTTCCGAAGCGATCGCATCTCCCTACCTGAGCGATACTACTTTGGCATTACAGGGGCGACATCCGAAAATCCGGACAGTTTCGAGGTCAACAAATTCGTCGTCTCCACGCCTGTACCCTCGGCATCACAACATCTGAATGATCCTCAAGCGAAATCAGGCATGCCACCGACCTTGGAAAAACTGGACAGGTTCCCTGGGTCCGTCCAGGCCCTGCCCGACCGAGTAGCAGAAGAAATCAAATCCCAATCCGACCAATTCGCCGATCTACACAACAGACTACAAGGCCTAACCCACCAAATCGCAAACATGTTCGGGGAGTTCGATGCCCTGAGTCGGAAGATCGAAGAGAAGCACTCGCAGGTCCTTTCGGCTCTCCCAGCCCCTGGCGCCGCCTCACCACAGCAGGGAGGTGCGACGGCGGCCGATTACAACGATCTGAAACGCAAGATGGAGGGGATCGAGCGGACGGTGCAGCAGATCCAGAGGGATGTGGAGGGGAAGGATTACAAGCAGCATTTGAATGATTTGCAGATGGCTGTGGATGGGATTAAAGGGGGGTTGACGGAGCACTTGCCTGATACGCTTTCGAGGAGTAAGTTTGTCCTGCGGTTGGTTTGATCTGTGATGATGAGGGGCGCGAGATGCTGACTTTGTGGTGCTAGTGATTCATGCTTCCTCTCCCAAGATGGGGATGTTCATTTTCGTTGTGCTGGCTTTCCAGGTCATGTTGGCGGGTGCGTACATTGTGTATAAGAGGAGGAGGAATGGTATGCCGAAGAAGTACTTGTAGACGATGCGTCTTCAAGCATGTACACTTGTTTCCTTACATGCTATGTGTATACGACTGTGGGAGGTTGTCCCGGGTTCCTACTTAGGGCTGGCATAGCATGGCGTTCTTGGTGCATCTAATGGTAAATGGCTGTACAATACCACGATCAGCGCTCTCTTCCTCTCTCGTCTCATGTCATCGTTCGTGGGCGTCCGCGCACGCTCATTCAACAACATGGATTCCTGTCTCTCAACCGCAAGGGTGATAGTTCAGATCCCGGTCTGACGTGACTTCGGCATCTCTATAACTGCTACCTTGGCTATCATAGCTGGCTGAATGCAAGAATTACATCGCTCCAAGCTATACCTTACGATTTTGTTCCAATACGTGTTTCACGATGACGAAGTAGTGAAGTCTATTTTGACTCCTCCTTCCGAGATCCCAGATCCGCCCTGCAGGAACCTTGGCAGCATCAGATCAGCCGCAGCCGCTTTTCGAGCTTCATCCAACTTGCTGTGAGGAGCGTACAGTGATTGGTGTGTTCGACCCGGCTTCAGGAAATTAGCAGGCATTCACGTTTTCTTCCATGGCAGTTGCACAGGCTGTAGTGCTTGGACTGAACCCGAATGAGGTCGAGTACAGCGTCACTCAGATCCTACCATCCCAGGTACTCGGAACTTCCGATGCTTCAATACACCTTGGCGCCAACCATCCACAAGGCACTCCGCAGCCGCACACCAGCCTCCGCAAAAGTCAGAGCTCCAGTTCGAGTTGATGCCGACGCTAGTATTGACGTCCCATCCCAGTATTTAGTCGTGTGCCTAGAATGCTAACCGGTCTACCACGGTATATAGCCCAGACAGTGTGTCATAACAGTGCAGATCGCGGCGCGTCAATGACCAAGCAATTTTCCAAGACGACGGCAGTGCTGGTATTAGTGATCCCGGATTCTGAGTGGCAATTAGGGTAGGTGCTGGTGTAGGTGCTCTTTCCTTCACTCTTCTCTGAACGTTGTACTTCCTCACATCTTCGTCTTCTCGACTTCCGAAATCGGATCAGCCTCAAAACCACAGAAAGCGCTCCAAAACAATCACAAACATGCGTGCCTCATCAGTCCTCGTCCTGGCAGCGTCCGGCATGGTCGCTGCCCAAGGTGGCATCGTCTCCAGCATCGAATCAGCTGGCGGCTCCGTGAGTCCAACGATTGATGCCTCGCTGTAGGACAACCCAGCTAATCCCAATTGTGTAGGCCCTCTCCACCGCCACAGGTGGCCTCGTCTCCTCCCTAACATCTCAAGCTGGCTCCGCTGTCGGCATTGGTGTAAGCATTCACCCTGCAACAATGAAAGCCTTTCACTAATTTGTTCATCAACAGGGCTCTTCGACTGGCAGCAGCGGCAGCGCGACGTCCACTGGCAGCAGCGGCTCCATGACCGGCAGCTCCTCCTCCACTGGCTCCATGACTGGTACTTCCTCCATGACCGGCAGCAATAGCGCGTCCAGGACTGGTTCCAGCAGCTCCGGATCAGGTGCTGGCGGTATCGTTGGCTCTGCCACTAGCGCAGCTGGTAATTACCCATATCAAAGAATAGGACAAGACAGGAGGGCTGACGTTACAATAGGCGGCGCGGCATCATCTGCTGGTGCTGCGGGTTCGAGCGCAGTGGCTGGCAGCGGCGCTGTGCAAACTGCCGTTCCTGGTATCCTCGGCGCGGCTGGTCTCGCTCTTGCGGCTATGTTGTAAACGACAACGACATGATAGACTGGAGGCTATCCAAGACAACGATGGCGGAAGGAAGGAACGGTTGTAAGATAGAAGTTGAGTTGACTCATAGTATCTTGACAGTTGTAACAGTCCAACCCAATCCATTTCAGTCCCCCCATTCAGCATCCAGGGTACCATATCGCCACCCATGCCCCCACATACTTGTGCTACCCTTGAGAACATCTACTGCGTAGTCCCGTCATGATCAATCACAGCAACGCGCATCACCTGCTCAATACGGGTCAACGCCTCCATGTCACCCAGATAGATGCGCAGCCGCGTCGCATCTACGTCCGGACAACAACCGCTCCGAGTACAACGCAAGATGACACGCCCAACCCTGGCAGCATTCGTCTCGCCAATCCCCTCCAGCCATTGCTCGAATTCTGGCTTCCTGCCAGCCTCCAGCGTAGCGAAAGCCTCTGGCAGGCTGATGGAGAAAGTGTTGATGCTGTAGAACATCTTCAACGTCTCTTCCCGCAGCAGACGAGACACCCTTGTGATAGCCGGCTGGCAAGCTGGATGACGGTAACCCGGTTTAATCTCAAACCAGAACATTGGCGTCTGGTCGAATTGTATGACTCTGTCGCCAAAGTGGTCGAACCGCAGCACCATCTCGTAGATCCTGCTGCGGAGCTCAGGTGGCAGGTCCATGAAGTCGAGAGGACGTACTCCTTGACGCTCAATCTGCCTCTTCCTGTCTGATATAAGCGCGTGAAGTCATCATCACTATCTGGAGCAACGACATACTCCCAAAGCACTGCTCTCTCCGCTGCGCCGGCTGCGAGGCTCGAGGCATTGTTGATGGTGGATGTGTGCGTGTACGGGTACTCTTCGCGCAGTGATCCGGCGATGCAAGTTTGAAGCTTGTCTTCGAATGTCTGTGCTTTCGCCATTAGTATGTACGGGCTGCAAGTAGCGCAGCAGCAATGGTCGTGGCGATGGCAGTGGCAGCAGCAGTGGTGAGGTCGCAGTCAGTGGTGTTCCTTTTGATATTGTGCATGTAACAGACGCGTCGTGAGCAAAGCAACAATGTTTGCGTGGCCGTAGCAACAGACGGCAGCTAGCGCGGATCAATCCGAAAACGGGAAAGGAAGGAACGTTCGTGGCGAGAGATGGAAGCCAGCCGGGTCATGCGATTGTAGAAGAGGAACTTGACCGTCGAGATGTGAGTAAGTAGTATCACGGTATAATACTCTGCTGGGATGTAGTACGCATCAGCGCACCTATGTATCGTTGGCAAGCAAAGCCATCAGCCCGGCGCCGTGGCTGATCATGCATCACTCGTTGCCCGAATCCCATGTTATAGCACCCCCCTTACCACTGAACACCATCATGCCCATTTACGCCGCATAATTGATCGTAGTTCAACGAAGCTCAACATTGAACTTCCACGTCTCTGCACAGGAACGATTAGCACTGCAAGCCTTGCACTCAACTTCGTCATTGCACTTACCCTCCTTGAGATTCTTAGCGGTATCGTCCAGTAAAATCACCCTGCGCCTCATGCAATACGTAGTCTTGTCCATCATCTCGACCTTCAGCCCAGCTAACTGATCGGTAGGTTTCTCGAACATCTCGGACAGGTTCTCCACCGCCATCTCCAGATCCTTCTGATTGTCCTCGAAGATCTCGGTCTGGTTGTTGCGAGCCAAATAATAGGCAAAAGCATATGTCCACTTCAGAGTCTGGCGGCACTGCTGCAGAGCTTGTGAGGCAGCCTCCATGAATTGCACCTCGATCCACGACATGCCAGAAGTCGACTGCAGCAATGTCATCTTGCGCTCGGTCTTGTGGAAGATATCCTTGTCGAGACGAGCGGACTGTTCGTGGTTGGCGTAGCGGTTGTAGTAATGTAGATATCTCTCCAACGACTGCCTGCTCTTGGCCTGGGCGTCCCTAGCATCCGTGCCGCTACGTTCCTCAAACCTGTTGCAATTGTACCAGCTCGTGCCATGTTCCGACCATAGACCCATGCACATCCAGCAAAACTCGTTCTTGCACTTGCGACACGTCATATGGTTGCAGCCGCCATTCTTCTCGATGGTAGAGTTGCACTTCGGACACTCCTTCGTATTCGCGGAGATCCAGTTCGCGGTCTCGGAATCATCCTCGCACTTCTTGATCCACCTCTTGACCAGTACACACGGGCATGGCTGATGGTCGGGAAGTGTGCAACCGAAGCAGAAGGACTGTTTGCATTCGCAGTGGACTGTTGGCACAATCTTATTCAGATCCCGCTTCTTTACCCCACACTCAACAGCGTATACGCAGTTCGGCGCAGGACACCACTTAAGACTTTCCTTGTCGTCCACGTAAGTACGCATGAGAAGTTGGTGATAGCGGTCAGTGAGTTCGTTGGGCACCAGAAGGTCGAGTGACTTGGCGTCAATGATCTTCCTGCAACCGTCTCCAGGACACTTGATCCGTGCAGCTTCACCTTCGTCCTTGATCTTCTGCGTGAGGTATTGACGATAGCAATCTGTGCAGAAGCGATGATTGCAGTTCATCGCGAAAGTCTCCAGACCAGGGCCATCCTCACAGCAGATGTCGCAAGTAAAGCCGTTCTTCACCACAACTCGAGGTGGGTTCTGGTTGATCTCCTGACCCAGCCCTGCCTTGTCCAGCATCTGCTCCTGGTTGTCCATGTACTGCTCGATCAGACGCTCTTTGTTCCATCTCGTGTGCCGTAAAAGTATCGCGGTGGCTTCAGAAGGTTGTTCGAGCAAGTTTGCGACCTCGGCTATTTGCGTGTCTTGCTGGCTCTGGATGTCCTGTGGGCTGTAGACCTTGAATTCGACCTCGAAATGCTTTCGCTTGGGTGCGAGATCCTTGGCAGTCGCATCGAAGGCACCATCGTCTTGGTAGTCGTCGTCGATGTCCACATCCGACTCTGATATCATGTTAGTCAGCTTGGCGTCACATGTCTCAGATGTGGAGTAAATGTACATACCACCTGCACCAAAGTCGACGCTGCTGCTCATCTCCTCCCCCAAATCCATACTGGAGGCAACGCTGTTGAAGTCATCGTCGGAGTCCATGCCCTTGTCTGAGGTCAAAGTCTGTGGCGTTGCCGGCAAGGCGGCTTGCTCTTGTGAGATGCTATCCTTCTGGAGAGCTTTGCTGACTTTGGTCAATTTACGCTGTGGCTCAGAGGTGGCGTCAGCGGAGGCGGTGGTAGAGTCTGCCTTGCGTTTGCGAGTGGCGATGGGCATGTGTAGCTGCAACGTCGGTGGACGATGAGCTGGCCGAGTTACGAGGCGGCGATCTTGTTGGGTGACTGGAGTTATGAGTCTATGTCAGTGTCGGCGGAGCAGTGAACATCGAAGGACAGCGGTGGTGGCAGCAGCAGCAGCATGAGTCAACAGTTGTGTTCGGGCGGATGTAGATCAGACATGCATGGGAGAACAGTAGGCAGCAAGAGGCAGGCTCGTAGTAATCGCGCGGGCTTCTGATTATGACGGATTGCTTCCGGATGCGGCAAGTAACGAACGGCTAGCGTGATATCAGATCCACGGACCACGGTATGCACGCATTTGACAAAGCAGGAATCACTCACTCACACTATTGTGACAGCAGGCAGGGAAAAGAATTGAGGTGATAGTATCATATCGATCCGAATTACTTCATCTACAGTGTGCTTGATCAATCAAAAGTAGACAGGGTTGTGTTTTTCATTTATGTCCGCCTCAGGCATCAACTTTCTCGACCACGAATTGTGGCATGAGTCGTAGAACAATTCAGGAATCCACCGGTCTAGGACCTGCAGATAACGAACTATAGCCCTTCAGCTAATGTCGAGTGAGCCATCCACCTTCAAGTGTTTATCTTGCTATTGCCGTTCGGACCATGGGTCCTAAAGTGAAAAAGAACGCCGGCAAGGGCAGCAAAACAGAGGATGTCGAAAAAGAGCCACCTCTGCAAGCTGTTGTGCATCTGGACGCTTTCGAGGATCGATTCCTTCCCTTCACGCTGGAGAGACCACGATGTCTATTGACTCTGGCCAACACACCGCTGATAGAGTACACCCTGGAGTGGCTAGCCAGCGTTGGCGTCGAAGAACTCTATCTTTACAGCGGCAACCATACAGAGCAAGTTGAGGACTACCTTAACTCATCGAGATGGACCAGAGACGCATCGCCCTTCACGCTAGAGCTAATCCATTCACCTTCTACATCTATAGGTGACAATATGCGGAACTTGGACCAAAAGGAGATCATGAAAGGGGACTTCTTGTCTGTCTATGGCGACATTGTGGCAAATATCCCACTGGAAGCAGCCATCCGAAGCCACAAGTCTCGCCGGGAGAAGAACAAGAGCGCCATCATGACTATGATCTTGCGGGAGGCGGGAGACTATCACAGAACCAAGGACCATCATATGCGCCGCTGCTTCGTCATAGATCCAGCTACTGACCGCTGCATACATTACGAACAAGTCAAGCCACGACACTCGCCACGCCTCAACATACCCGAGGAGGTCCTCAAGGACCACGTTGAGATTGATATGCGAGAAGATTTGCTTGATTGTGGTATCGACATTTGCACGCCTGATGCTCTCGCTCAGTGGAGTGACAGCTTCGACTGGAAGATGCCGCGCAAGGACTTTGTGCATGGCGTGTTACAGGACTACGAGACTTTTGGCCGCACAATCCATACCTACATCATAAGTGATGGTTATGCAGCTCGAGCGAACACCCTGAAAACGTACAATGCAGTCTCGAAGGATATCATCTCACGCTGGGCGTATCCCTATGGACCGGACATGAATCTGATGGCCGATCAGTCTTTCCAATTGCAAAAGGGCACTGTCTACAAGGAGGATGGTGTAATCCTAGCACGCTCGAGCATGGTTGGGAAGAAGAGTGTTCTCGGCAAAGCTACATCTATAGGTGAAGGCAGCGTGGTGACAAACAGTGTGATCGGTAGACGGTGTGTGATCGGCAGACGTGTGCGAATCGATGGTGCTTACATATGGGACGATGTCAGCATTGGAGATGACACTAAGATCAACACTGCCATAGTGGCGAACGAGGTATCAGTCGGTCGAAAATGCGAGATCAAGCGCGGAGCACTTCTGTCATATGGTGTCCATGTAGGCGATGGAACGACAGTAAAAGAAGACACTCGTATCACTCGCACGAAGCGAAAGCGAGAGCACGAGAACAATGAATTCAGTCGTGGTCCGACTGACAACAAGATTGTAGGCAAGGGTGGCGAAGGCTTCGAATTACAGCTAGACGAGGAGGAGGAGGAAGTAGTCGAAGCCCTCCGCCTCGGCATCCAGGAACTCGATCTAACTCTCGTGGATGACGATATCTCCGACCTAGACTCCGACGAGGAAACAGACACTGCATACGAACAACGCTCAAACTCCCGCACCACGAGCTTCACCTCCAACGCCTCAGACGAAAGTGGCGAGACCCGCCGCAACAAAGCCGACTTCCACCACGAAGCGAGTTCCAGCATATTCGATGCACTACAAAGAGAGCAGGATCCAGATAACATCCAGCTCGAGCTCAAAGCACTACGCATGACAAGTAACGCCGAGGACTCCCAAGTTCGTCGTGCTGTCGCCGTCGCCTTCTCCAAACGCATCACGAACCTCATTGAATCTGGCAAGAGTCCGAAAGAAGCTGTCGATAGCTCCATCCCAGCCAACCAGCGCTTGATCACTTCCTGCGTGAAGGAGACAGAAGAACAAGCGGAATTTCTCTTATTCTTGCAAACGGATCTCGTGCACAGACCGCAGGGGAATAAGATTCTACTTTTCGCGGTCAACGTGTTGGCTGAGAATGACATGGTAGATGGCGAGGGCCTGAAGGTGTGGTGGGAGGACGCGAGGAGTAGCGCTAGTGAGGAGTTGGAGGCGGTGAGGAAGGAGACGAAGCAGATTGTTGATATCATGGCGGACGAATCTGATGAGGACGAGGATGACGAGGACGAGGATGACGAGGACGAGGACGACGAAGATGAAGACTGAGAGAATGTAGTGGCTACTGGGAAGGCAGAGTGTCATGTGGAGGTAGAAGAATCGTGGCCTGAGTATGCAGATGATCAGCAATGCTTGCTAGCGAAGAAGGTCGAAGCATGGTCGCATGCAACATGATGATCTACGCCATGTGCAACGATACTTGTTCCGTTATTGGCTATGCAAGCCACTCGCATCCAGCGTTTGTCGCGTCAGCCATTCGGCGACCTCTGTTCGCGATTCGTATAGCTCGTCGAGCGCACGATGATTTTGTTGCAGCTCATACAAGAACCCAGCGTCTGACCGTTCAATTCGCAGCAAGATATTTCGATCGAGCGGTTTGATTTGTAGACGAGACAAGTCTCTGCATGAGTATGGTTTGTGCCATTTTTACCCTATTAACACAATAAAGTCGCTTTCAAGACCATCATACATGTCTGAAGCTCAAGCCCGTACGCTGGCAGGCGAGCATTCAACATAACACAAAAATAAAAGCATCAAGCGTCCTAGATCACCGCATAATGCATCTATACAGCCCACAACCACCAGATCATAAGTCCCCTCCTCTCAACACCAAGTATTATCGCCCTGGCGGTCTTTGCATCTGCTGCGGCATATTCTGCGGTATCATCTGCGGCGTCGGACCAGGCGCAAACATTTGCTGTCGCTTCACATCACCACCTTGCTCACCAACACCGCCAGAAATATCCGAGATAGCTCGTCTGTGCGGCTGAGGTTGCCCACCAGGCTGCTGTCTCGGTGGAGCAGCCATGGGACCTGCGGGTGAGGTGGCGTACATCGGTCCAGCTACTATCGGCGCTTGTACTGCATAGGGGCTCGGACCTGCACTGTTGTGGACTGCATGCATATATGGATCTTCTTGGTGCGAACTGCCTGCTGGGGAGACACCTGCGAGACCACCAGGCGAGTTCCAATTGCTTGCTGTCGCTGGCGATGTTACTGGCGAGTCTTCACTCTTCATACTGCGTTTCGCTGATACGACGGCGCTGGGTGGCGGAGGCGCACCCATAGGATCCATTCCTGGTGGCTGCTTTTTGAGATGTGCTAGATGCTTTTCTAGCATGTTTAGCAGACCTTCTTTTGTGAAGGGCTTTGGTAGTACGTCGTTCATGCCTGTCGCTAATCAGTCTCGAGCCCAAGGCTTCTACATTGCTTGTGAAACATACCATGTTGGAAGTACATTGAGATGTCGTCACTTCTTATATTGGACGTCATAGCAATAATCGGCGTATTGTCAAATTGTCGTATCAAGTGTGTCGCAGAAACGCCGTCAAGGCTTGGCATAATGATATCCATGAGAACCAAATCATACTTCGCGCCAGCATTCATTCTATTGACAGCTTCGAGTCCATCCAGCGCGCTGTCTATCGAGCAGTGAAACGCGTACAAGAATTTGCCACCAATTCGTCGGCAGGTCGGATCATCCTCTACGAGCAGGATTTGTGGTTGCCGTATCCAGCCCGGATCTATCTGCGTGCTCTTCTTTCTGCCTGGTGGTTCGGCCGCAGATGGCTCCGGTGCTTTGGGTGGCATTGCATAGGGAATGTTGTTGATGTGTTCGCTGTACATGGGATCGATGCCCTGCGTGTGACCGATGGGATACACCATGTTATCGAGTTCGCCATAGGATACTGAGGTCGAAGATGTCGCAGAATGCGGAGGAGCTCCTCTGCTGGATGATCGAGTACCGTTCCGAATCGTGAGATCTGGAGGCGGAGTTGTGAAGGCGGCATTGCTGCGCATTTGGGCCTCGTTCATTTGCTCCAAGTTTCGTGTGTTGAGTATCTGATCCGCGTTGACTTCGTTCAGCAGTTTCGAAGCGTGTTGTAGCGGAGATGCTGGCCTGTCCTCTTCAATTGGCTGTGCTGGTGGTTTCCCTTCTTGACTTGGACCAGTACCATTAGCTAAACCGTTTGGTGGCTCGAATGGTAGGCCGACTTTGCTTTCCCTACGTCGTTGTCCGTCCACAGAATGTAAGAAGTTCATCACGTATTGCATAACATGCTCGTGGTTCACCACCGTCTTCTGCACACCTATGAGCTCTTGAAGCAGCATCGAGTGATGCATGCTAAGCTCGTTGTACCGCTCTTGGAGCTGCTGTAACTGCTGTTGCGTCGCTACCAGCTGTGTGTTCACCAAGTCCATCTGCTGTGTCGGAACGAGCTCTTCGCCGAGCGCGTTAGGTTTTCGAGGTGCTGGCGCCTTTCGTCGGATGTTATCGAGTGCATCCTTGTTGTTCATCTTGAAGTCCGGGTGTTTGAACTCCCAGGCCTGGTCTATACATCAGCGTAAGCCTCCACGCACTCCAGCATGATCAAACGTACTCCAGGTCCGTATGGTGATGTGCCGCCATCTTCGTTGTTGTGTCTGACCTAAGCACGAGTTCAAAACTGCTCTTGTCTCTATGCGCATGATATCCATCCTACCTTGTGGAAGTCGTATTTGTTCAGCTGTCGCACGAAAGAAGCGAAGTTCGAGTGTCTTGGGTCTCGTGTCAGCTTGCGATGGCGAATGGAAGATGTTGTTCGCCTTACTTGAAGTGCTTGGGTAAAATATGTTTCGTGAAGCGTTCGTTCTTCCTCAAGATTAGCTTTGCAAGCCATTGTCCTACTAAGCATCCAGCCTTACCTCGAGCACTACGAAGCTGTCGCCTTGATCGCCCCATCGTACTACTTCATTATCGACATTGTTCTCCAGCATTTTGTACAGCTTCCTGACCTGTCAAGCATTAGTTTCCCGATATAGCAAGCCTTCTCTGGACCTCGATGCGCCGACATACAAAATCGCTGGAGTTGTTGGCGCCCTGGCTCCCGTCCATCTTTGCGATTGCGATTTGCGCCTATGCGCGCCGCTGTAGTACGAGCTGTCCCAGAAAATAAGTGCTCCCAAGAAGTTTGGAGATTCGAGTGCAGCGAATACTGCTGTATGCGGGAATGCACAGGCCGGCCAAGCGGATCCTGTCAATCGGTCGTGGGTCCCAGGAGCCGGAGCGCTGGAATGTGGAAACGTCCCGCTGCGGCTGTTGGACTCGAGATTGGAAAGAGGCAATCTCTCAGGCCGGATCTCCCCACGTGTGTACTACTGGCAACCCGGCTCGCACGACTTGGGCAATAGAATCAATGGGGATAGGCTCAGTAGGAGAAGAAGAATTGGGGGCCCACTAAGCAACGGAACGAGGACGGTGGTGGTGCGGCACGACGACGTAATCGGCGCCACAGCTTGGGGAGAGCCCCGGTAAAATGCAGCTAATGCGGGAGGATCATTGAGCTTTTGGTATACTGTACTTTGAGCGTAGGCTACGCATCCATCTGGCATACATGTAATGGCTCTCCATGATTCGTGCGCTGTTTTTCAGACACAACACGATATGTTCGTCGATAGACACGCATGAGACAAATACCATCGGTATCGACGCTCCTCTGCCGAATCGCGACCGGGCGCACATATAGACGAAGGGAGGTGAAGTTCGGCTTCCCCGAGACTCCTGGAGAAAGCTTCCTTTGCCCCTCTACCAGTATTGTGTCCACCCTATCTTCGAAGAGACATGACTGCCGCAAGGGACTCGTGTCGCAAGCACATCTAATAATAAGAGACGTCGAGCGTACATAGAGTCAAAGCTGTCTGTAGGAAACCAGGCTGCCTAATCGGCCAAGACGGCTATCTGGTGAAAGCCAAACCCGTGGTCGAAGTACAATAGTCTTGTTCGACATTCGATCGGAAGAGAAGCGCATCGTGAAGGCGACCGGTAAAGGTGCGCGTGAAGTGAGAGGAGTTTAGTCATCAAATCCTGCTCGAGATTGTGCTTCAACGGCACCATCAACGACATCTGATTGGGACCTCACCCCTTCTAAATCACTTATTCAAGATGGCCACCACACGTACAATGACCAGTCTCAGGACCGTTGCCGCACACACGACCAGGTCTCGTCAATTCCACACGACACGAAAAGCACTCGTCCAAATCGGCGATGCCATTCCTGATATTGACCTGATGGAGAACTCGCCTGGCAACAAGATCTCCATCGCAAAGGAGCTGAAAGGCAAAGGTCTCATCATCGGTGTACCTGGTGCCTTCTCTCCTGCCTGCAGCGCCTCTCACATCCCCGGCTACCTCAACTCTCCTCGCCTGAAGCACGCTGGACAGGTATTTGTGGTCAGCGTTAATGATCCTTTCACCATGAAAGCATGGGCTGCTTCGCTCGATGAGGGAAGCAAGAGTGGTGTATGTATTGATGTGCATGCTAAGAAGCATCCCGATGGATCTATGAAATGGGAGAAAGCTGATATTGGAGAGCAGATTCGTTTCCTTGCCGATGCTCAGGGCGCCTTCACACGGGCAGTGGAGATGGAGTGGGATGCCACTGCTGCCTTTGGACAGCCTCGTAGCAAGCGCTACGCTCTGTTGATCGAAGACGGCCAGGTCAAAGAAGTGCACGTAGAGCCAGATAATACAGGTGTGAATGGTATGTGTAGCACGGGAACATCAAGATGGATTGCACTAACACCATAGTAGTATCCGCAGCGGATAAGGTGCTCGGCCGTGCGTAAGCATGTTTCTAATGCGTCTCGTGTCGCACCATGAAGGTGAAGTGAGTAGATTTATCTCGAGCAAAATCTTCGTCGATCTGTCTGTACAACATAAACTACAAAAGCATCCCCTACCCATGGCGCACACGGGCGCTCTGTCTCCTGCGCTGGGGTATATTCCTCAAAAAAACCCAACAATCCTTAGAAGTGCCACCTAAACACCGGACCGTCGTGGACGAGCATGGTGGCGCTCCAGTCCTGTCCCACCCAAGTGTGCAACGCCAGAAAGGACAAGATATCGTTCAGCATCATGACAAGCCCAGAAGGCCACCCTGCTGAGCGAACTTCAATTGGTACTCTCGGAGGTCGGCCCAGTTGCGAAGCTCGGCTTCTTCGTCGTTGGCCTGTTCCTCGCCATCGGTCGAGGGGCTCGCGCGCTCGAGCTTCATCAGGATCTTGAGGAATGCAGCTAGGTACTCCTGGGCTTGTAGTGCGACCTGACCTTTGTGGTGCTCAGGCAAGTCAAGCAGGGTGCTGGCGATGGATCTGATCTTCATGGTCTGTCGTAACGTTAGCACCGTTCAACAAAAATAGGTGACATGATACTTACGAAGCTGTCGGCGTTGGGCTCCATGTTGACCTGATTAATACTACTCAACACAACGAGTAGATCTTTGACGATCTCTTCTCGCTCTTGGCGCATCTCTTCACCGACCATGTCATAGTGGCTTGTTGGTGCTTGAGGCACCATACCATCGATACCGACAGCAGTGATTCCAGCCCCAGGGGAGCTTGGCATGGAGCCAGGGTTCTGTGTCTGTCCTCGCGTGCGATCATGAGCTTCGCAAAGATTGAAGTATTTCTCCACCAGATACGAGCGAGTCGACAAGCTCGAAGCATAGATGTTAGCTTTCTGTATCTCGTACTGCATTCGTCGACGCTGCTCGGGATCTTGCTCGATCTCTTGACGTCGCGATGGGCTGAACAGTGCATTCGCTGGGTCCCTCTGCATACCTGGATGCGCGAAAGGGTTGGGATGACCATTACCATTCTGTTGGTCATGTGGTCCGTCGTATGATCCACGGGGGTACACTCTGAGACCAGTCGGCAGCTCGGCAATTGAATCTTTGCACCGCCGAAGTGCTTCATGTAAAACTCTCTTTTGACGGCCCCAGTCAATCACAGAATCAATACCCCAGGCCATCTCCATAGTGGCAAGGGTATTGTATGATGTGAAGACCTTGACGTTCGCGTTGAAACCAGCAATCACTGGCAGCAATCCCGGTGGTTGAGGCTCGTTGTGCGTAGGGTAGATGCAAAAGTCGTCGACCTCCGCAGGAAGAGGTGGATATGGGTCGCTGGATGTGGGTGGCGCTATCACAAGCTCGCCGAAGGAAGCACCCAATTGTTGAATTGTCTTAACGCTGACGAACATTGTCCAGAAGATGCGTCGACCCATCTCGAGAGTGATGTTGTCGACTGGTGCATCTCGGCTGCCATCAAAGTGTGTTCCATGGGCGCCGACTGAGGCAGGGAAAGCGCCGAGTTGTGTGAAGGTGTGGTCCTTGGGTTTGTGGAGGCCAAGAGTTCGGATGATGTTCAAGCATTCACCGAAGTATAGCCGACCGAGACGCCATCTGAATGTATATGTGCCCATCAGCGCCAGGAAGTAGCTCGTAGCAGCATCGTACACGCTCAGGCTCTCACTCTCAAGATATCCAGGCCCACGCGCCATCGCGCAAACCTGCTGACAACGATTGACCAGACTCATGTGATTCGGGAACATATGCTCGCGCCGATGTGCTTTCAGGTGCAGACGAGGTTTGCGCGGGAAGGATGAGACCAGAGCACCAATCATCGCAGCGAGTAGAGCCAGGAAGGATTTGTTATTCAGATCCTCCCGGCGCTTCCATGCCTCGCGAAAGCTCGGTTCATGAGGAAACGGACACAATGGGTGTATGTAGGTGAAAAAGTCATCGATGAGGAGATCAACGGTCTCGATTGGACAGATAGACTCGGCCGTGATTTGTTGACCGGACGTCGCAGATGAGAGGGCTGCTAGAGCTTGGGCAGCATGTGTGGGGGATGATGGTGATGACAGTGTGTGAGGTGAGCCGCCAGCCTCCTCAAGTCTCCTACGCTTGATCGCCTCGGCATGTCTATTGGGAGGTCCTCGGCGGCGACTGGGGCGGTCAAATGTGCATGGTATGTCGAGGGCAGAGCAGGCACGGCAGGGAGGACCACTTTCATCGCACTGTGGTATGTCAGCTTGCAACAGTTGCAAAGTGGTAGCAAGGAAGTCTGACCTTCACCTTGCGGATACTACATGAGTCGCAGGCCTTGCGCAGTCTGTTAGACTTTTGGTGATCCGCCTGCTGTTGAGCTAATTGCGCCGCACTGAGACCTGCTGTAGACTGCGCCGCAGCTTGGCTTTGCATATGCTGGGCAGCCTGCTGAATCTGCTGTCGTTGCTGATCCTCTAGCGCACGTTGCTGGTCACCGAGACCGGCATGGGTCGACAACTCATGAGCCAGACTCTGGATCTGTGTCGAGCTACTCTGGCTAGGGCTACCTGACTCGATCTTGGGGTAGGCCGGCGTGTTCAGACTAGCGAATTGCAATTGCTCCTGTTGCACCGGGTCCAGTAACTGCTGCGCACCGGCAGAGGTCGGATAGAGTGCGTTGTAATGGCTGTGCTCCGGCGGCGGGGGCGGCGGATAGTTGGACATTGCCAGCATCCAGTTCTGGACCTGCCAGTAGCTGTAGTCGGACATAGGGTTAGTTGGGTCCATGAAAGGAGGAGCGCACAAGACTGCAGTCGCAGACATAGCTGTGATCAAAAGTGGGAGCTTGGAGGTGAATAGAAGGAGTGCATGGCGCACAAAATGAATGAGTCGTGGGTTGGAGCGCTGGACGTATTATAGATGAACGATAGCCATGTGTCGAGGTACTTACATTATCGTATGCGATTAGCTGCGGCCAGCTCGAATGAGAGCTAGCACCCGGTGAACGACCGCCACTGGCCTCGTCCAGAGTGCAACTCAATGCTCAGACCAAGATGCGTCTTCGAGGGTGTGCTGCTGGGGGTCGAGGGACAGCAGTCCGCTGACACGAAGATTGTCCGAGAACAAAGCTGGTGTATGTGCCGAGCAGGCAGAGAAGCTCCCTGACAACAGAACGTCAGCGCAAACTTTACTCACGGTTGCAGATGATAATACCTCTTGGCGGCACTAGTAGATCCACAGGCACGGCAAGAAGCAGGAAGACGTGCTACCAGGGGCTTTGTCGTGAGCGAAACACGCGCATGCAGTGAAGCGGCAAACTGCAGATGGAAGAGCGCGAAAGCAGGGAGTGGGGCGCTTGGCACAAAACAACGCCTTCTTCGCCGACCAAACTCTCTACTCCATAAAACACCGACAGCCTTGACTCGGAGGCCCATACCGATCATTCACTGGCAATCTAGAAACACGCTAGAAGCCTTCTCTGCAGCAATGGTGCCACCAGTACCAAGCCCATTCCTCTACTGACCACGAACCCTCCACTCTGTCCGTTAGTGTGGCCTTGTTGCATCTTGACGTGAGATTGATTCCTCAACCACCATCCTAGAGATCCCGAAGCAGTTCTCAAATCTTGCTATACGTGCTCGCATCATCGTTACGCATCATTGACAGCTCAGGTAACCATCTACGAGGGATAACAGACCCCAAGAACGAGGTATAACAGACCCTAAGATGCTCACAGTCTTGCAAACACGCCGCCGGACGTCCTTGACCGCGATCTACGCTGACCCTTCCCGAGGCGGCCTCCTGCGAGTTGCGCAAGATATTCCAGCGTTGCCGCACGTCTCTTGGGCACGTACCTAAGCAGTCTCGAGCTAGATACCCTTGGGCTCGCCCCATGCATGTTGCGCGAGACGAGGTGCCGTAATGGGACGTTAGCAGGAAGTCTGTCTGCTTAGTATCCAATGACTATACCTATGTCAGCTCCCACTGCACCCAAGCTGAAGTACTCAATTGACCGCTTCGCAAGAAACTCGGCTATCGTGATCCTGATACATCGGAGCAGCACATTGCTCCTTTGGAACAAGATTCAACTCGTCCCACGAGAGTGGAAGTCTCGTGAGTCGTCCATTGTGCCTACACATTTGCTACCTTTTTCCGAGCTCACAAGCTATTCCTTACGGTAAGGCTGGAGCTGCAGAGTCAAGTGAAAGGTTTCATTATTACATCTCAGGACTGTGATCGCCAGACAGTCCAGCTGCTTCAAATGGGCCAAGAGTTGATGACCATTCACCGACCATTACAGTCTTCGCAGACAATTATCAAGCAGCACTCCTGTTTGGTTTCCATCCTCTCCGAATGAGTTGCGAGGCAGAACCTTATACGTAGCAAAGCTTTCAAGATAGGTATTCGTACGAGCCAATGTTCGTTCGTCGTGCCTAGACGATGATGGAGGTTGGGCGGCGTGCTGCCTACAAGAGGCAATACGGGAGCGCACATCATAGTTCGAGCAGTATATGTGCAGGAAACTATCGAGGGGCTGGCTCGGTTCGATAGGAACGGGTCCGAACCGATACCATGGCTTGAATGTACAGCGAGAGAGTTTAGTGCTACAAGCCGCATGGTATCGACAGATCTTGGCATTCTCGGAAAACGTTTGCGCTGTGGTGACCAGTATGAAAGCTTAGAGGCCACCGTAATTATAGCGCAGGTCTTGAGACCGTGCGTTAGGTGGACAGTCGCCCTTTGTCTGGTTACAGGTGAGATTATCGTAGGCGGATTACCAGAAATATCGGCAAATCTGCAGCCACTTAGCAGCCTTATTTCTCGAGCGAAATGCTTCCATTACAGAGCGTCGATTATGAGTGCTCTAGAGCTTTGTATGAAGGCTACGACGAGTCCTTTTGTAATTGCATTTAAGGGAAAGGTGCTGTCGAGTTGTTGATGTAGTCGTGGTGGAGGTCGTAGCCAATCAAGACCCTGAAATTTCAACCACCTGTTATAAAGCAATAACGCGATCCGGTCGTTGTAGACTAACGGATTACATGCCGTCTTTCGTAGCCGATTGTCTGATAGCCTACCGTTAGTTCCTCTCTAGCCTTGCATGATCGACAAGCCACTGTGTGATGGCAACAGCCACCATGAATAGCAGCGATACTCAGCAAATTTGTGCTGTCAAAAAGCCGCGCCCGGCGCAGAATCCGCGTTCTGGTCTGCTACGAGCCAATCGGGCCGAGCGCTGTCGGCTCTTGGAGCTGCCTGCAGAGCTGAGAGAACAAATCTGGACGCATGCCGTCGTAGCATGGACACCGACATGGTCAGGACAAGGCGACCATCATGCTAGGGTCCGGACGAGCCCTGCCCACGATGTGCCCATGCTGCGGAAGCTGCCGATACGTATGGATCGATTCAACAGATCCTTGCCTCCTGGTATCACACGTGCCTGCAGAATGACAAAACATGAGACGTTGCATCTGTACTACTAATGCAATACTTTTGAATGCTGGCGTCCGGTATTCTGGAACCATGATTGGTCGTTCAGCACGCTAGTGGACTGGTTGAGAAGCCTTGGACCACGAGCATCCTGTCTAAACGACCTCGTCTTGCTGTACAAACACGAGAGTGAGCTCGAGCATGATATTGAGCCAGAGCTGAATATGCTTGGTCTGGACCTCAAGGCAGGTATCATAACCAGTAAGCAAGAACTGAGTGAGTTCGAGCTTACGCACGAAGCACTGGGGCTGCCAAGACACTTTGGGAAGAAGCGACGAGATAGATGGTGGATAGGGAGTGCTGGGACTGCTAGCTGAGCGTAACCTATCGACATCCTGCTACCGAAGAGACAATTCTGCATCACGACTGCCATTGCCCAGGAGTAGAATGACATCTTCCCCTGTGAGCGGTCCTCGACAAGCCAGCCACATGCAAGCCACGTGTAACCAGTGCCTTGTCTACATGTCCAGACATGGATGGTCTATCGCACAGCCCTAGGCGTCCGGTGGCTCGGTCTCTCGGCAGTTCGGCATCAGCAGTCTTACACTGTTTACATAGCAAGGCGTCAAAACATCATAAACCATATACAGCACGTCCAATCTCTGCACACCAACGTTAGTACAGTGGGCAACACGGCTCTACCTGCCTGGAGCGGTATACCAGATGATTCAAATCATGATTGGTACGATAACGGAACAAAGCGGTCTGCGACACCATGGGCGGGGCAAGGAACCCACAAGCATTGAGACGAACATACACTGGACATCCCAACGACTTGGTAGTATCTCGACTGTGGGCACATATGCCAAGCATGTAGTTCAGATAAAACTGGTAATAATCCCACCCAGCGTCAAGCCCTGCGAATGCCTGAGATCTACAGGCCAAATATGTCACCCGCTACTTCCGCCTGCAAGCCGGGCACCGCCAAACCCAAATGTTGCGCAAAGCTGCAAAGCTTAATATTAACGAGTCAAGCTTCATCATGCGAAGTCAGGCGTCTTCCAGATACAACCTGCCGACGCCAATCCGTTTTCGGTGTACCGTAATGTCATGATCAACGACGGTTTACCGCGCGAGGCGCAATTTCAACTCCCGGCTTCGAAGCCTCGAGGCGGTAACGTTTCGTGGGGTCCCCAGAGTGCCCAAGTCGTTCTTGTGTGCAGGAAGCCAAGGCGGGCGATGAACACCTGGATCGACATTGACAGTCTGTTTTCCACCGTCACATGATACGCGTTGGGTCTGTCGTAGGTCGCAGCAGTTGTTCATAATCTCAGAAGAGTCAAGACTACCTAGCCTTGGTCATATGAGGATCAACACGTGTTCAAGATGCGGGTGCTGCACAGCATGGTAGCGACAACCGCATCGCGGCAATCGACTACTTGAAGTAGACGCTGTTCTTTTGTGCAATCGGCGTCTGTACGAGAAGGTCGTCCTTGCGTGAAGGACCTTTTTACTTCGTGGATCTGTCTCTGCAGACCCTCTCAATGACTGCTAAGAGAGCCTCTTGTAGTTGCAAACTTACCGGCATGCGCTTCCAGCAAGGCAGACCTTCGTGTGGTCATTTCGTTAGGTTTGCGGCTTCGTGGATTCCAGTATACATAAGTTGCTGCGGGATGTCTGTTCGTAGGTGACCACTAATGTCGGGGCCAGATAGCGGAAAGCGGTGATCGTAACGAAGTGAGCTGCGCAGTGCCAAGTCCTTGTGACCGAATCGTAATGAGTGCCACTCCCTTCGCAACGTTAGTGACAATAGGCTGAGCAAGTCAGGAAGCCTCTGCCATGGTGGTAGGCATGCAGTGAGGAGAGTGTCACGATCAGCGATACGAAGGAGATGGCAAGAACAGGACGCTGCAAGTTGAGCGACGCTTACATAACTGATATGGACAGGATGGTGATTGGTAGAACGTCGTTTGACATACTAACTAATATGATAGCGCGTGATGAGGTGGTCGATGCTCTATTTAGGGTCGTCAAAGACGTAGGTGAGGTGGCAACGGCCGCAGTACTGGCGGTTGTGCATGGCAGCCATGAAGATACCGGCACCACACTGTGTGTTGTGTTAGTACAGTCCAGCGACAAAGACTTATCCATGTCACTCACGGTCTCGTTGGGACACTCTCTCCTCAGACGCTCGATCTTCCCATCACCATCCACCTTGTAGTACTTGAGCACGGCGAGCTTGGTCTTCTTGCGCTTGTGCTTGATCTTCTTGGGAGTAGTGTAGACCTTCTTCTTGCGCTTCTTGGCCATACCACCACGGAGGCGCAGGACCAAGTGGAGGGTGCTCTCCTTCTGGATGTTGTAGTCGGACAGGGTGCGGCCATCCTCAAGCTGCTTGCCGGCGAAGATCAAGCGCTGCTGGTCTGGCGGGATGCCTTCCTTGTCTGTGGCAGTAACGTTAGAGGACGTACGTGAGGTGCTCGTAAGGCGGTGGTCGTACCTTGGATCTTCGACTTGACATTGTCGATGGTATCGGAAGACTCCACCTCGAGGGTGATGGTCTTACCCGTGAGGGTCTTGACGAAGATCTGCATCTGTGATGGTTATGAGCATGCGACGCAATGAGTAGCAAGTGAAATGTGTGTGCATACCGTGTCGTCCTCAGCCTTGGCCTAAACAGTTGCGGATGATCAATGAATAGATGTGTGGTTGAGCGAATTATCAAATTGTGCCCGGAAGTCTTGGCGCTCACGTGATGGCGTGGAAAGGCCTCGGAAGCGTTCGGCGAATTGGCCTCGACTTCTTCACGCACGACAGAATACACTATAAGACATTCCGTTCCATGAAGATTCATTGACTGGAGTTTTATGTATCATCTTGTTACTGAACAAGGTCCGAGATCTATCAAATCCAATGCATGATTCTTTTGACATGCATATCCGAGCATGAACACTGACGAAACGTCACCCGGTGTTGGCAGTAATGCTAGACCGGCTTTCCAATATCTACACCACGGGAGTCTTTGTCTACGATATGAAACGACCTCACCCACTTTAAGGACTGGACTGCTTCGGCCGGGCAAAGGAGATCTCCCTCGCCCTCGTCTCCGCGAAACGAGGATCGCAACATATTCCGTTCTGTCCAATCTCCTGGCGAGTCTGTTTCTGCACTTCCATACGAGGGGCTTTGTGCCCTAGACCTTTCGATTCGTCGATGGGGATGATTCCGGTGCCAATAGGTCGTAGCTACAGGATGATCGTTTGCCGACCGATGCATGAGCTTGCCGTCCTGGACACTTGTCGGCATTGAGGAGCATGCGGCACTCAGTAAGGGCTTAGAGCCAAAGATATCCCAGCTCAAGATGCGGGACTGATCGTCTCTGAGTGAGTGAAGAGGTATTGTGTCGAGGAAGACTTGATTGCTGCTGATGGACGAAGAAGTCAGGAGGATTATGATGAACACGATGTCCACCTAGAGAGTGAGGAGAGTTGAGTAAGCAGCGGGAGAGAGGCTGCAAGTACAGGTGAGCTATATTCGCGGAGCTACGATCCAAATGGCCACAGCCACGGGTATGACGGCTTCAGAGACTACCGATAAGCGCTGACAATCTATAACACTGGAGCCTGGCAGTATAGCCGTCGAATTTGCGGCAAGGACGGCAAGTCTAAGAAAAGAGTCGAGAGCTTAAGACGAGATCAACTGCGTTCTTGGAGGCGACGCGATCGACTGTCTGAGGTGTTGCCGGGTGCAGGGCGTAGCATGGAGTGAAGGGTCCGTACAGCAGCACGACTGAGCAGCAGTTTCAGCAGTCTCCTTGGGGACACTGATAAGTCTCAGTGATCCAACGGGGTTGGCCTCGGAGCGATGACAACAAGGAGATCTCAATAGTTGCGGTCGTGTCAAGACGACAGATATATTCGATGGTAGCAGTCCGTTCCCTTCGGATGATCACCAGAGTAACGTGCTCGGGGAAACGTATGACTATGGGCGGTGTTGACACGGAGCTTGTAAGATTGTGTCTTGGTCCTTGTAAATTGATCCAGCTGCCTGCGACATGCCATAGAGGAGGTTTTATCTCGATGTTACTTCGGAGGCCTTCAAGTGCGAGCGCAACGCCAATGCAGGAAGATTCTTCAGTCTCTCCAGGTATGCATGTCACTATATATGCTCTGTTTGTGCATTCATGCAAGGTGTATACCACGTGTGAAGGATGTCGTGGTGTAGGTTTGATGTGTGGGCCATCTACCGAGACTGTGGAGCGGCTGTTGGGCGCTAGGATCGTCCATAGCAACCCGAACGTCTTCTCTGTTGATGATCGGGCGATTCCCAACCATAAGACTACACCTCACTCTGCGCACCACAGATTACACTTCTACACATACGAAAGAGCAATTGTACATACGGACAAGAGCTAAGGACTACACAAACACTTCGCGCGAGTCCTTCAGAAGCACACAAGGCCGAGAGGCCGACCGACCAACAACCCAGCTGGCAAAGAGCTTCGCGCCTGAGAGTAGATACAAGGAACACCACGTAGCCGGCTGGGCTGCTGCTTGTACACTGCGAGAGGTATGCGACATGGAGGCGATGAGTATATTGTTTAGTATTAATGGATGGCAGATCCCAAGGAGAAAAGACGCCTTCATTGGCTTGTCTGGAAACGATACCCCTCCGGAGGACTCACCTTAGCACACCTGGGCTTCGAACACTTCAACGTCACTACACGACAATTTATCAACGACGCCAAGAAGCCCACGAACGAAAATGCTGTCCACTAACTCATCCTCGAGCATCCAAAAGCGACGCCAACAACATCGCCGACAACAATCGCTCGAGGTACCCATACTAGCGACCCCACTACCTGCACATCGACAACGAAATCCACACCAGCAACACGCACACCGACGAGGCCTCTCACTCGACCAGAGCCTTACCACAATCGACACCGCCGCTGGATTTCGCCCATTACTACCGCAGGAACACCCGGATCACCACCCATCTGGATCGCCATCAGTACGGATACAACTGGATACTAACATAGGACCACCTTTGGCCCAACAGCATTTTGTGCAAGAATCGCAGCAGCAAAGACCACTTACAGCTCAGCCGGGCTACTTACCACAGGACTTTCAGTCCCATCTACAGCAACAATTGAACGGCAGTGTCGACGCTCACATCGACTTCAAGCCAGTCATCGCATCACCTCAGCCACAACATCCGCAGCAGCAAAGAGCATTAGAAGAGCTCCAACATCATCTGGCGTGGTACCGTGACAACTTCTCCAGCTCACCCAACCCAGCAATGCAGAACACACAAAACATCGAGAACAGCGTGCAGCTCAACGTCGGCATGCCAGGAGCACCCGTCGGAGTCGCCATGCCACTCATGCATAGCGCACAGGCAATGCCCGTCACTCCAATCTCGCAGTGCAACGCACGCACCGTGCCCAATACGCCTCAGACACATGTCCAGTCGTGGCCGAGTCCACCCCCAGGAGGCTTCAAGCACGCCCGCAGCCAGAGCTTCCAGCTCGACGTCGCACCAATGCCCGACTCTTCGAGGAATCTCGGAATGAATCTACCATTCACGCAGATCAGCAACTCTTTCGGTGCCGACTCGGTCATTTTCAGCAACGACGGCGGGTATGCATCTTCAGCATACTCGTCTTCCGCCGTCGACCCGATGTCGCCAGGCCGTCAGCAGCAGATTGGCCCGATGCCGACACTCTTCGAGGAGCCGCCAATGCACGATGGACAAGCATCCTTCGGCCACTTCCAAGGCCCATCACTCCTGCTCCAAGCCACTGCCGCCGCTCAAGACTTTACCGAGCAAGACTTCGACTTCGGACCGGGCGCATTGTCGCCACGCCAACAACTCATCAACAGTCTTGGCCCAGATGTCCCAGCTAGCATTGTTGAGACTGGCGTCGCAGCCTACGAGGTCCAGCAGTACATCGGCGAGCTCAACGAAGCCGACAACAAGTATCCCTGTCTCTGGGAGGGCTGCAATAGACGCTTCGGCCGCAAGGAGAACGTGCGCGCTCACGTTCAGACTCATCTGGGCGATCGTCAGTTCCGGTGCAATCTCTGCGATAAGACATTTGTCCGCCAGCACGACCTCAAGCGCCACATCGCCATTCACAGCGACGACAGGCCTTTCGTATGCCCGTGCGGCACGGGCTTCGCTCGTCATGATGCTCTTACTCGCCATCGCCAGCGCGGCATGTGCACTGGCGCTCTTCCAGGCTTCGAGAAGTCCGAGGAGGAGAAGCCGAAGCGTGGCAGACCGAAGAAGGAACGCCCGAACCTCGAAGACCGCACCGACAAGGCATCAAAGCAGCGTAAGAAGAACAACGCGAAGGAGGCCGCTGGTCAAGATGACGATGCTGAGCTGCAGTTCAACTACGCCAGCTCGAGCTCCGGCGCCAGCGATCGCAGCTTTCCCGTCACGCCACCCGATACCTCTGACGACTTCAATACCGACGCCTTCCTGAACATGGCCGGTGGTGATATTCAATTCGCGAACGTCACCGCCTCATGGCGCGACACGCCTCCCACCTCACCACCTAGTGTCCGCCCGGTCAAGACTATCGACAGTGGCAACCCGACCTTTGACTTCGATGTCCCCGTCGGCATCTCGCCAGCTATGCTTTCGAATGCCAGCTCACCACCAGTCGTCCCGGGTGCCATTGATACTCACACACCACAGAGCAACCACGACATCTTCGATAACACATCTCCGTCCAACTCCAATGATGCTAGTGGCTCGTTTAACGGTGGCTCAAGTCCGGCAGACGACAATGACCTCTTTGGCGGTTTCGAGACCGGCATCTCCGTCCAACCAGACGCGATCAACGACGCTTTCTCGCCTCCCGGAGAATCGTATGGCGGCTCGAGCGTGTACAACTACTCCGACAACGGTCATGCTGGCCACAACGTCTTCGACAAGGAATACAACGAGTTCACCGCCTCTGTCGACATGGATGACGGTATGTTTGCTTCGCTCATGCCGGCCATGAGGACGGACAACGAGCGCGTGTTCGCAGATATGCTCGAAGATTGGGTGGCGAATCACTAGACGCTGGTTGTCATTTCGAGAGGGAGGTAATGAAGTGTACACGAAAGTCATGACGGCCAAGGCAAACAGGACTGAATTGGGGGAAATCTTAGAAGGGGATAGATAGATTTGGAGGTGATGACGATCTGACGATGAAGCGATATACCATTGATTGAGCGTTCGACTACTGCCATATTTGCGAGGAGTTTACGGCGTCCATTTGGATGGATGACATTTAGTTGATGATTTGGCAGCCAGATGCTATTCTTCTTCTCGGAGGGATGTTTTGAGAAATGAGATATACTGTCTTTACAGACCTGCGCAAGCGCAGATGCAATTTAGCTGAGGTGTGACATAGCAGTGCTGCGTTCAACTCACGTCTCGGTCTCATTATTTTCACTCTATCGTACTTCTTGCTCTATCATGCCATGCTATGCTACGTTATGCTTGAACATTCCCGGCATGCTTTCGACATGAATGGGTTCAGCTGGCGAGCACCGGGGGAGTCTATTGGCGCCGTGCAGCTACGGGCGAGCTGACATCACTCTTCCGAGCCATCTCGTCATGCTGAGCACATGCAGCTGCGAGCTCGCGTGCACCGCATGTTGGGGCCATGATCTAATGCATTCCTTCACCTCAAGGTGAAATTTTGTCACACGTCGCGACGAGGAGAAGACCGCGATGTCAGAATTCGAAAGCACAAGCACCTGACAACGCTCCGCTCTCGTGGAGTGTACCTGTCGATCTCGCGAAGATCATTCGGCGTGAAGCGTCTGCATAACCACGTCATTGGAACGGAAGTGGGTGCAAGCCGCTTCCGCAAAGTATAATTGCCAAGCCGGATCACGGTCAATTGGTTGCTGGCCGCCAAGAGCTGACCCGTCGTGGTAAAATTGCACAGTGCTTGCAGGATCTTGAGGGCTGAGATGGATGGTCGCGTGCTCAGTGGCGTGCTTCGAGTGAATGATCGTGCTGCATCGAGGACTCGAGGAGGGATGATGTCGTGGTGGCGACAAACAACATGGCTGCTTCACGCGAATTATCACGCAACCGGGAGAGCTGTTTGCATCGTCTGAAGACGTGAGCTCGGATTATGCTTGCATTCGAGGTAGGGATGAGCCAATCGTCCGGCCGGCCGTCCTTTTGTCAGCGGTATCCGGGCGTTCCTATAAGCCCGAACATTACCGATCTGGGAGGATGCTTAGATGATTAGTGAAGAGGCGAGTGTTGCGCTGTTGTCTGCATGGCCATTCCGACTTCTCATAGTCATTGAGGGTACACCAAAATCAATTGTGATCGAAAGGTCGTGTGCCTTGTTGCAGCAAGCCCCGTTGGAGTGGGAACTTTCCAAAACCCGTTCGCCATCGCGTGGCTTGCCGCCGAGTCGTCGGTAGTGCAGTAAAATAACGGGTGGATCGTCCTCGGATCATTTCGCCAAGCAGCAATCTCTCGAGCCTTCAGCAAACCAAGCGAGTGCTCCTTCTTCTCCTCCGATAACCTCTTCACCACCACCTCTTACCCTTCCGACTGTGTGACCTCGAAAAGCGTGTTGCTTCGCCGACGACGCGGTGCAACCATCGCATCTCTCCCCCCGCGGCCGAGTCTCGACCAAGAAGAAAGTCTGGGACAACAACTTGGACGCCCTATGTCATAGTTTGCCTGCCCGCGACCTCGAAACATTTCTGCTTTCACATCTTCTCCTGGACTCTGTTTAATCATGCGAACATACTTCTCGCCGCTCACGAGCGACGATTCGACCCAGCGCTTTTTCTCCACATCTAAAATGCCGCTTTCTTGGCCTTCACTCTCGACAGTCATCCCGCATCGCGTACGACGGCGATTCAGATCGACACGGTCGAGCATACGAGCGCGACAATCTCCTACGACCTCGATAGCCACCCTGCACACTTCATTCAACCCATCCGATACAATCCGTGCCCTCCGAACACATCACTGGAGTGCATACGATGCGCAATACTTACTCCTCATAATCTTGGCGATATTCAGCTTATGCGTGATAACAAATCCTGGGCCTCTGATCAAGACGGCAATCGCGACGTTGCTAATGGCAGGACTGGTGATACCATTTACTAGGCAGTTCCTGCTGCCCTGTCTACCAATCTTCACATGGCTGGTATTCTTCTATGGATCACAATTCGTGCCTAGCGAATATAGGCCAGGCATTTCGGTACGATTACTACCAGCGTTGGAGAACATCTTATACGGAGCGAACTTGAGCAATATCCTTTCGGCGCACAAGAACACGGTGTTGGATGTTCTGGCTTGGATGCCATACGGTGTTACGCATATCGGCGCTCCATTCGTGGTTTCTGGGCTGATGTTCGTCTTTGGACCACCCGGAACGTTGCCAGTATGGGCGAAAGCGTTTGGATACATGAATCTGACGGGCGTGGTCATTCAACTATTCTTCCCGTGCTCTCCGCCATGGTATGAGAATCTGTACGGTCTTGCTCCGGCCAACTACACCATGAAAGGCAATCCGGCTGGTCTTGCCGCGATCGACAAGCTGTTTGGCGTGGATCTATACACATCCACTTTCATCGCCTCACCAGTGGTATTTGGTGCCTTTCCGTCGCTACACTCGGGCTGCGCAACGATTGAGGCATTGTTCATGTCTCATCTCTTCCCGAAGCTACGACCACTTTTTGTGATCTACTTCCTCTGGCTTTGGTGGGCAACGATGTATCTCAGCCATCATTACGCCGTGGACCTGGTAGCCGGCAGCCTGATCTCGGCAGTGGCATACTTTGTGTCGAAAGGCACTTTCTTGCCACGACTACAACCAGGTAAAATGTTCCGGTGGGACTACGATTACGTGGAGCGAGGAGAGCCGATCGACGCAGACGCTCCATACGGTCTGACCGATATAGAAGAGTACTTGCTGCCTGACAGCGACGAATGGACAATCGCCTCCGGATCAAGTCTGTCGGGTAATAACAGCCGGGAACCATCAATTGGTATGCGGTCACCTGGTGCCGGCGATAATTGGGACGGCGATACTCTTGCGAGCTCGAGCGATCACGAGGATCACAAGCTATAGCATGGCCGATCATACATGAATATCCGACTTTCTTCCGACTTTGAGCATAATAAAGCGTGTGCTTTCGACGAACCACGCATAACGACTTCACGAATACTGTAATTGCATCGCATAGCATGGCGCTAAATGGGGTTTATTTGGCCTAGGAATCACTTCTTGATAGGGGCGGCTTTTTGGGATTTTGTAACTGGTGTGTACAGTGGAAGGGACCGGGCGATTGATGGCGCCTCTGTGGATATGCATGGTCGGCGAACCTGAGAGGTGCGATGGTACCGTGTCGGGCTCAAGTAGATATGTGAGCTGGCCGGGACAGTTGTGTAGACTTTTGTAAAGTTGTAATTGCAAGACCAAGCGAGAGCTTGAGTCGTCTGAACGTCTTCGGCTTCGTCTTCGTCTTCGAAATGCGCTGTGCATCCTTCGTCAACTATGATAACGTGCGTTCGCACGGGCCCTGCTACTCGGCATACCATATTCGAGCTTTGTTACTGTGTTGATACGTTCCAACTTCTGCTGGAAGGGCTGGGAAGCAGCGTTTCATCCAGGTCTCGTACTCGATAGCATCGACTCAGGTGAGAATGGCGACTCGCGCAAGGGCATCTCCTGGGCCAGCTCTGTGGTCGAGCAGGTAGGGCAGTCTTCAGTAGTACAGGCCACTTCAACGCCGCGGAGAGTGGCAGAGATGTGAGAATCGGGCTGGTCATCGCCACTCCAAGGAGCGCAGCATATCATCCACTACCATGCCGCACATTGAACAAGATCATTAGTCTCGCTTGCAATTAAAGGTGTACAACACATTTCTCACTACCTCTCGCTGGCCACCCAAAGACACTTTTACGCGGTTGTCATCTGCCTAGTCTCGCGCCACCATCAATCGATGCTTAAGCATTCTATGCTTCCTCCGCATCATCTGCTTCCGCCTCCTTCTTATTGCTGCCACTGATCCCGCCCCATATCCCCGAGCCTAGCTTGCCGACTCCCGATCCCACGCCGCCAACTACAGACCCCAGACCTCCAACATCCCCCTTGCCGAGCTTCGAAACCCCATCGCCGAGCCCACCAGTGATCGAGCCCACAGCATCACCGGCTCCTTTCGTGACACCGCTCACGGCTCCACCAGCACGTCCCGGGATCGCACCTCCCACAGAATCGCCAACGCCCTGCAGGATGATTAGCCGAAGTCATAAAATCGAAGAAAGCATCCCTACCTCAACGGCACCGCCGAGCCCTTTACCGGCCCCTCCAACAGTGTCACCCACACCACCAGTCGCGCCGGAAGCTACGCCTCGGACATCGCCTTTTCCCAAAGCTCCAGTTGTGTCAGAAACTGTCTTAGAAACTCCCTTTGTTGCGCTTGAAGCGGTCTTGCCGACGTTGCCGGTTGTGTCCTCGATGCTTTTCCCAGCCGAGCCGCCGATTGTGTCTATATCGTACGACCAGTCAGCATAATTCTACGACACGTGCCTCGTGGGATGCCGTACTCCCGAGATTCTTGCCGGCGCCTCCAACGAGACTATCGACGCCTTTTCCAGCATCGTTCACAGTGGATCCCACACCCGCACCTGCGCCTGAAACTGTGCTGCCGGCCCCTTTGGCCAATCCACCTGCGGCTCCCGTGATATTACCAGATTTTGCAGCGTTCCAGGTATCAGTCCCGGTCTTGGATAGGTTACCAAGCGCTCCTTGTGCAGTACCGGAAGCGTTCTTCGCTGCGCCAGTTGCAGTGTTTGTCGCCGACTTTGTGGCGCCCGTAGCCGCCTTTGACGCTCCACTCGTCTTTCCACCGGTCGCTTTATCGAGGCCGCCTGCCGCATATCATCAGCATGTCTTCTATCTTCCATTGCTAGCAGTGTCCGCCGCCATCCACGTGCTCACGAGCCATGGCGGTAAGAATTGCAGAACTTGTGACTTTGGAGCTGACATATCGAATCGTGCGGGTATTTTGCTGGACATACCGGTGGCAGTTGAAGCGGCCTTATTGACGGCACCAGCTCCTTGATCTGCTGTCTTTTCTACGGCACCCGTCGCTTTGCCAGTTGTCTTCCCAGCTGCTCCCGTTGGTTTCTGAGGAGCTTTAGCGGCACCTGCTGATCTGTAGTTAGCTCGGTGCAACCGGGAAAGCTGTAGTGTACGTACCAGCAGGTTTTTGAGCCGCAGCAGCGGGCTTCTTTGCTCCCTCCGTAGCCTGACCAGTACTGGCCGCTTTCTTCACGGGCGCAGCTCCAGTCTTTGTGGGTGCAGACTTCGCAGCTCCAGCAGCACTTTCTGCTGGTTTTTTGGCTGCATCACCTGCTTCCTCTTTCTTCGCGAATTTGGGATTGGCAGCTTTGCGCTCTGCATTGTCTCGAACAGCCATAGGGACTGGCTTTTTCGATCCCATCTTCGTCCTTGTGCTGGTGGTAGAGCCAGCGACCGATGCGGGAGGTTTAGGCGTGGATGTCTTGGTTGGAGGCGCTTTGGTAGCGGGAGTCGAGTTCGCGTTGGGCTTGAGCGCGGAAGAGGCAGGGGCCGGTGCCATCTTCTTCGGCGCAGATGGTGTGGGACCAGACTGTGGTGATTTGGGCGCCAACGTCTTCGGCGGAGCAGGTTTTGCTGCACTTGAGGCCGGCTTGGGAGCTGCAGATTGAGGCTGCTTTACGGGTGCTTTGGCCGGTGTGCTCTGTTTCGCTGGAGTGCTTCCACTTGGCTTAGCTGCCGGTGCTTTCGCTGGAGCTTTGGTCGGTGTCTTCGCAGGTGCCTTGGCAGGCGTCTTTTTTACATCGTTGTCCACCATCTTGATCTTGTTCATGCCCTCTGAGCAGAAAATCAGTGACAGTCCAATGGGTCAAGTTAGAAGAGTGGGAAAGGATGCCAGAGATGCAACGTTCCTGGCATTGGAGACATGTTCAGTGTAACGCGACTAATGCTCGTCATAGGGGGCCTCGGTTCGTGTTCCTTGGACATTTGTGTCTTAACACGGCACGGGAGGGATCAAGGGATGCATGTGGTCTGCGCATGGGCTGTGGGAGGAATCGCACCAAACTCACCATCGATGGCAGCTGTCTGCTGTTTGAGCTCTGCTAATTTCGACATGTTTGACAAGTACACAACATGCACACGGACAAGACGATAAACACAAGACGAGAGTGAAGAGGATTACTTCAGTTGCGATGTGCCTGTCGAGGAGCTCGTCTGGACTCATCCAACTTCCGTACGCGTCGACGTCACAAACGAGAAAGCACAAGCCACTCCTCCACACAACATCCCTGCTAAATGACACTCACGCGCCACGAATCCTTCGATCCAGCCATCCCTGCACCGCCTCGGACCACCTCCACAGCTACTGTAGACGACACACCAATCGCATCCTCGATCACAATTTGTATACGAAGGCAGCGTCAGATGCAAGTCCACCACTGCTGACAGCCTCCCAGCCACTTTCGAGATCATCTTTGCCACCCCAAATCAACTTGACATCTTGAGGAGTACCACGACGGACAAAGTCTGTCCAGGCTCGATCTCTCTGGTCGAAATACGCCTGAGCTCCCATACGCTCCAGTATCACGTCTCTGGCGGGTCCAGTATTCATCTGGTATCGATTCTCCATCTTCATGTTCTTCACCATGCTCTTCATCAGGTCTTGGGGTGAGACGACCTTGGCTTCTGCCCCAATACCGACAATGACCACTCTCACGCCTGGGAGTTGACGCTGTAATGCCTCGTCCAGATCCGTCAAAGATGTGCCGCGGCCACCGAAATCACAAATGACCACTTTCTTCGGCTTGAGCTCAGCGATCCAGTCAAGGGTCTCTTGCTTGGTCGCCGTATCGTAAGAGACTGCTCGAGCCGGATACTGTGCTGCAGCCACCACCTTGTCGTCTGGCTTGGCAGTAATAGCAAGCAACCCAAGCGGATGCTTACCCTCCGGTCGAGCATTGATCAGCTCACACAAGAATGAGCGCGCCGTCCTTCCTCCTGAAGACAAGCTCACAACAACCGCCCCCTCCAGATCACCTTGCTCGGCACTCCACACCTGCCCCGGCGGTCCCTTGTCGCCAAAGGGATGGACATAAGGCGGTCCAAGCACGACTTGATTCAGCAAGTACGCACACTCCCACACAAAAAAGACGGCCTCCATTGCCATCTCATTCACTTCCTTTTCACTGACTTTGCTCATCCTCACTTCTGTACCCTTCGCGACATATCGATTGTAGACATGCATAAGCTCCTTCCTCTGCTCACTCTGCTCGTCCCAATGACCCTTGGCATCACCCTGCTCAAGCTTATAATCAGCAGTCGTGTCGGAGAAAGGCCAGTACCCAAAGATTAATCTTCCTGGCTCGAAGTCCTCGGTCTGGCTCTCCACGACTTCGCCATAGCCCCAGCAAGGTACGATGCCATATTGTGTATCGTCGTTGTATGGTGCTGGAAGGTTTTTGGGAACGGGATAGGTTGACCACCATTTCATGATTGTGCCCATGCGGGCATAGCTGAGATTGTTGTATGTTAAGCAGACCAGAACTGGGCGAATTCGGACATGGCCTGGTTTGAGAGGAGCCTCGTTGTCGCGAGGTATCGATAAGGCCTTGTGAGAGTTGAGTTCATCCTTCTTGATGACATGGACGAGATTTTGGTTAGACATGATCTCTGTTGTTGGAAGATAGAAGGATTGCTGGCAGGAATGTTGGGGTGGGAGCGGTGATGCTCAATACAATACCTTTCTAGTGCCGTGCTCAACTCACGTATATATGCCTTTCCGAGTCTGTATACGGACGTATGATTGCTGACAGATGCGACAGCCCTATGTTACGGCCATTTCGAAGGATTTGTGCCTCGCGACGGGGCTGCTTCCTTCGCTAAGTGCTTTGATCCATGAGTACAAGCGGTTGATAACGCCATTTTCCTCACAAAGGGAACAAGTGTGGGCTTTATGGCGGTGCATCTGTGTCGAGCGCTGATACTCTAACTGCTACAGATGGTTTGGATGTTATGAGGAACGACCGACCTTCTATACCACGACAGACGACACTACAACCAGTCTTTACAGCTTGCAGACCTACCTTCGAAGTGACGTGAAAGTCGTCGTTTCAAATCGTAAGCGACCACAACCAAGGCACGACAAAGCATATTGTCAGGAGAGTACGACAGATCATTGATCACGTATCTCATGATTCACCCACCGGCCATCACATCTCCAGCAGCTCCTCGGCATAATCATCCAAATACACGACCCGGAACTTGTCTCCCCAAGTCTCAGTAAACTCCCTCTTCCGATACATCCCACTAATATTCCGACTCCAACTCACAACCTCCACCTTCCACCCCTTCTTCAAAGCCCTCTCCAGCATAACCATAAATCCAGGGCTATATTCCGCTTGTGCTGCATCTCCCGTAGCCAAGACCATGGTCGACGGGACCTCACTATCCACAACCGACTCCATCATCTTCAAGTGCAGAATCTCATCAACACCCTGCTCGATCATTTTCGCCGGCGCGTACTGAGGCGCAGCACTGACCGTTTCTGAGCCGCTACTGCCACTTCCGCTGCCGCTGCCATGGTGAGTGCTGGGTTTTGGGGGAGATCCGCCGACCGCGGAAAAGTCATTGCCAATCAAAGCTTTCGCAGTAGCATGCGGCAATGGTCGTCCAAACCGATCGTGGTCTTTGAAGTAGATTTGGCGTTCGGTAAGCTCTCGAGCTTTGTAGACTTTGTCGAGGATACTGCATTCATAGCCCACTGCCTGAGCTTTCTCGAAAGCTGGGAGGAGGGGAGTGGAGCCTGCTAGGACGCGCTTGGCGACTGGTCGTCTACGCTCCATAAGTAGTGCTAGGCCGTCGAAAGAAAGATGCGCGGGAGGCAGATGCGCGAATTGCGGGATGCCTCGAGAACGCTTGAGTTGGTCATTGAAGCCAATAAAAATGTTGCTTGCGTCCACGAAAACGTGGATACCATTTGGATTGTTGTTGTGTGTCGTAAGATTCATTGGAGAAATGAGGTGCTTGCGATCTTCCCAAAAGTCGGCAATGAGCTTCATAAGCAACGCCCAGTGGCGGTCTTCTCCAGACCGTACAATTTTGGGCTCAATGACGAATCGTGGTTTAGATATTGCAGTAGCTGGTGCTGTATTCTGATTGTTGGTGGGTGATGTTTGGTGCTGTGTAGGTGCTACCGCCGACTTTACTGGCGGCTGAACAGATGAAGGAAATAGTTGCAAAGCTGAAGCTTTCTTTGGGGTTACTGGCCACTGCTTGGTGGTCACGTTAGATTGAGCAATGTGGTTGTTCAATGGATTCTGAGCGGCAGCAGGACCAGGGTTTGAATGTTGTCGCTGGGAATGACTGAGTTGGCCAGGTCGAGATGGTGTGCCAGAGCTCGATGGCGAGCTTGAGTTCTTTGCTTTACGGCGCTCGGCAAGCATATCCTGCACACGCCTAGTGGCAGTATGGACGTCGTCATCAGAGACAGCCAGTGCCTTGGTGCTGGATAGAGTAGGCGTCTTGCGAGCCTTGATAGGAGTCAAGCTTGGTGCCGGTGCAGATTTCACGAAGTGAGCACTGGCTTTGCGGGCTGGAGTTCGTCGACGCACACTATCCGCTTCAGACTCAGACACAGTAGCATTCTTGAGGGCCTCTACAGCCTCTTTCGCCTTTCGCTCCTTACGGCGTTGTTTCTTCCGTTGCGTCTTTGTCAGAGAGGGTGTATCAGGCACCGAGCCATCAGTCAAGGTGTCTGTTCCAGGCTCATCATCGCCAGCCTGGTCCTTCCACGTGACCTCCTTCCCGCTTTTAGTCGGTGTCTTGAAATATGTGGCGCCATCCGAAGTATAGTCTAGCTTGGTGGGCAGATCATGCGTAAGCGCCGGAAGCTCTGGTGCAGGCGACTCGAGGGGTGTCCCCAGAAACTGCCATATCTTGCTAAAGTCGCCAAGCTTAGATGAAGGTGTGCCAAAGTCATGCGTAGCTACATGCGCAGTAGGTGTAGCGGCTTTCGAGGCGGCATGGCTGTAGTTGACGTATGGGGCCTCGTGTGTATCCTCGCTGGCTGTGAGGTCTCTGCTGGACAGCGAATTGACGAGATCAAGCACGTGAGAGAAGTCCCATGGCTTGATCTCAGTCTGAGTCGTCATGTACTGCGAGGGTTGTATGCGCCCGGCGGCGCTGTTTTTGAAGTGATGGAGGTGGTTGGCTTGCTCAAGGTGGCGATACTGCGAAATTATCAGCCATGGCCGTGTCTCTCGATCCTCGCTATCGTACACGAAGGAGGGCAGAGCAGCAGCTTCAGACGTTTCCGCATTTCAGAACATGTGGGCGAGAATATTGGGGATGGTAGTAGTGAAGTAAAGGCCTTTGCCGTATTCATTGAGACAGCTCAAGGTCATGACGCTTCAAGCACGGTCCACCTTGATCCAGATATGGGTGGCGATAGCAATGGCGGCAGATCCACACTTGGCAATGGCATCCATTCACTCCACTTCTCATTGACCCATGATTTCGTGCCTTTCGCCTTTGTATAGTATGCGTTGAGGAAAACAGTCTTTTCAAGCTTGCTAGATATGACATAGATCTACCACATATCAAGCGGACATGTCCGCCGATTTCTGGGCTGGCTATGTCTCTGGCGCATTCGGCATCGCAGTGGGCAATCCTCTGGACATACTGAAGACTAGATTACAAGCTGGGACACAGATAGTGTCTACAGTACCACCCAGCAATTTGGTGACAGCGCCAGGCGAGGCCGCAGGTGTCAAGAGAGCCAGACCATGGACTTCAGCCCTTCGAGGCGCAGCAGCCCCAATCCTAGGCTACGGCGCCCTCAACGCTCTCTTGTTCATGACCTACAACCGTAGTCTGGCTCTCCTCAATACGGGCTCCCTCGCAGACTGGCCTAAGAGGCCGTCAGCCTGGAGTCTTTGGACAGCGGGTGCCTTAGGCGGCCTGGCTACTTTCTTTGTCTCTGCACCTACGGAATTGATAAAATGTCGTGCTCAGATTAGCCAGCCGTCTCAGTCAACTCTTGCTGTTACGCGAGATATGTGGCGGAGAGCCGGGGTACGAGGTCTGTATCTCGGTGGTGGGATCACAAGTCTGAGAGATGCTGTTGGGTATGGGTTCTAGTAGGTCTTGATCGTGTTCTTATATATCTCGTCTCATGTGCAATGCTGAGTTCCCCTAGCTTCCTAAGCTATGACCTGAGCAAACGTGCGATAAGCAATGAAGATGACAGCCATAATCAGCAAGCCCTGAAAGTGCTCCTGTGCGGCGGCCTCGCTGGCGTAGTCACTTGGGCGAGCATATTTCCTTTAGGTGATTGATATCAACATCGTCCTCTCATGTCCATGCGCTGACTCACACTAAGACGTGGTGAAGACTCGCGTGCAGACATGGGACCTCACACCAGCAGCCCATAACCGTGCCTTGTTGTCTCCAGCAACCCAGCCGCTGCTGTCCGCTCAACACCCAGTCACTCGCACAAGACCGAGCACTTTCCTCATCGCCAAGGAGATCTATGTCGCTGAAGGTCCCGCAGTCTTCTTCAGAGGCCTAGGAGTATGCAGCGCTCGAGCCTTCATAGTAAACGCAGTACAATGGGCCGTGAGCATACCCAACTCCACCGTCGGACACACAACAAGTCACTAACGACATTTTTAAAACCAGGTTTACGAGTATCTTTTGAAACAGCTATCTGATCTTCACGCTACCTAAACCTAGCCATTTCTCTTGCAACGAGATAGGCCAGTGAACGATATAGCACTCCCAGCATAGTCAAGCATAGTCAAGCATGAGCAAAGCTGATCTTCGCGCCACCAGACCCCAGCCATTTCTCTTGCAGCGAGATAGGCCAGTGAAAGGTATAGCACTCCCAGCAATGTGAAAAGCATTTCATTTCCACCACACCCATTCCTCTTTCCGACTCTCCTTCCGCCCTTATGTGTCATTCCGTCTCCCATTGAAATCACGCGCCCAAATATCAATCCGTCGCCATTCGCAGTAGTTATCTCTCCTGTGGCATGTTTAATTCTCGACGAGAGCTTGGTCCAGATATGGAACTTTCTAGCTAGTGTTACAAGAGTTGAGCCAAGGTCGTCGATGTGCCAAGTATGTCGCAGTAAAAAGTCGCAGTAAGAAATCGCGGTAGTGTTCGCATGCGTCGTTCTTGCAAACTCCCACTCGTGTCACACGTGCCGTGGGTACTTCTCGCGGACTAAGCAGGAGTCACAGTCAAGTCGCAATCAAGCCGCAATAAAGTCGCAGTAGTGTTCACAAGTCTCGCTTTTCGTGTCGCACATGCCGTGGGAACAGCTCGTGGACAGTGCAAGGAGTGCAATAAGAAAGTCGCAAGCAAGTCTCGCTTTTCGTGTCGTACGTGCCGTGAGAACAGCTTGTTTGACGAAGAAAGACTCGCAGTATGGTACAAGCTCCGTGGTAGAGCCAAGAAGTCGTGTCGGGGGTCGCAATAGTGGTAATGTGTCGTAATGGTGGTAGCAAGGTGATGGTCCGTGATGGTCCGTGATGGTCCATCTGTCTCTTGGACTGATGCGCTGCGGAAGATGCTTTACATTATCTCTGCCTGCATGCTGCCCGTAGGCTCCATGCCCTCCATACCGCCAGTCTGGTTAGTGTAACGGACATAGCCCAAGCCGAGAGGACGACCGCCGTACTCGTAGCCAGTGAACTTGGTGATGGCCTCAGCCGCGTCAGCCTGCTCACGGAACTCGACAACACCAGTACCGCTTGAGCGCATGTTGCTCTCCATCTTGATCTCGGCGCGCTCGACCTTGCCGATGGTGCGGAAGAGCTCATCCAAGTCGTCGTTGCTAGTGCTCCACGGCAGGTTGCGGACGAAGATGGTGGTGCTCTCGGGACCGCCCGAAGCAGCGAAGTCAACGAAGGGGTTGGATGGGGCGCTGTTGGCAGCAGCAGAGGGGGCGCCTTGATAGCCACCGCCATGGCCGCCGCCCTGATAGCCGCCGCCCTGTCCTCCACCGAATCCACCGCCCTGGAAGCCGCCACGGCCGCCATATCCCCCACCGAATCCACCACGACCACCGCCGAATCCACCTCCAAAGCCACCACGAGGCGGGTATCCTCCACCACCATATCCGCCTTGGAAGCCGCCACGGAAGCCGCCTCCAAAGCCACCACGGCCCGAACCACCAGCATAACGATCCTCGCGGACCTCGAGAATGCGGCCCTGCCAGTCGTAGCCGTTGAATTGGTTGATGGCGTTTTGAGCGTCCTCGGGGTTGTCGAAGGCGACGATGCCGGAGCCCTTGGGGTGGCCATCAGGGGTTGAGTGAACGTCTGCACGGAGAATGTTGCCCACGTTGACTGCCTTTAATTAGCCCTTGTACCAAGCTTCTGCTCGAAAGAAGAGTAAACTTACTAGCTCCACGGAACAGGTCCTTGAGATCCTGCCAGCCGACTTGGTAGGGAAGCTGTTAGGTATGTCAGTAGTGATCGGGCGAAAAGGAGCGTGAGTCGTACGTTGGAAATGAAGATCTGGTTGCCGCCCATGCCACCACGACCGCCCATACCCATGCCCATGCTCATACTGCCGCCGCGACCAAATCCACCACCATTGAAGCCGCCGCGCATGCCACCACGTCCGCCATCGAAGCCGCCGCGTCCACCACCTGCACCCCCGCCAGGCTGGTTGAAGCGCGGCTCGGTCTCGCGATCCTGGACACACGTAAGCCTGGTTTCACGTACACGATTCCTTTGATTGGGAAAACCTGCCTCTCGAACGTAGACAAGGCGACCCATCAGGTTGGTATTGCTGAGAGTGTTGATGGCGTCTTGAGCCTGCTCACGTGTGGCGTACTCGACAATGCTGGAAAGCGTGTTAGTGAGCTGCTACGTCAATGAAATCGAGAAGTTTGCATACCCGCAGCCCTTGCTCATGCCGTTCGGAAGAAGGAGCACGTCCGCAAAGACGACCTCGCCAGCTGTGATGCCTGTCAGTGATGTAGAATATGTGTGTGATGGCGATTCTCTTACCAGAACGCATGTAGTCCTTCAGATGATGCCACTTGACGTCGTACGAAAGATTGCCCACGTAAACGCGGTGGTCTTGCTGTGAGCTCTCTGGCTTGGTGTTCGTCGCCATTTCCTGGCTCTGACGATCGTCACGACCACGTGGGGCGGACTTCCTGTTGTCGTTGTTTTCGTAACCCTCGTCGTAATCACGCGAACGGTAGTCGCCGTTGGTGCGGCCTCTGCTACGGTCGCGGCGTGGAGCACGATCAGGGCTACGGGAGCGAGTGCGCTCGCGCTCGTCGTAGCGCTGCTCGCGATGGCGAGAACGGGAACGCTGCATCTCAGTCAGTTCCATAATATCATTAGCTAGTCAATCGCCCTCCAGCGTACGTCTCGCTTAGTGTCCTTGTGACAGGCCGGCTGCGGTCCAGCTGGCGGCGCTGGCGCAGGCGCAGGCGGAGGCATAGCTGGAGCTGGAGCTGGAGCTGGAGCTGGAGACCATGCAAATGGAGTCGGCTGATGAGCTGGCGCAGGAGGCTGGGTATACCAACCCACGGGATAGATCATGGTGGCTGTCTGATGTGCCAAACAGCTGTAATTCGTGGCTCAATCCATAGATATATGCTGTGCGGAGGTCCGTGCACTGAAAGCGCAGGGCCAGCGGGATCTCGGTGACACTAATTGAGCGGTAACAGCACAAGGCGGATGCCATGAACTCAAGAGAATCATGTCTGCTGGGGACAGCAACTCTGATATGCCTCATTGCCATTGGAGACATCATGCCAGCTGACAGCATCCATAATCGGGGGATAGTGACGCCCATAAGTCGATCTCGCAAGGAACGCGCCAGACTGATAGCGGCAGAGCGTAAGTGGGCAGGTGTTTTGCTTCGGCTGCTGTACGATATGCTCATGCTGAGACTTCGGAAGGCCGTGGCGTAAGGCAAGCAGCTCGACGATGTCCTGAGCGCGGCGATTTCTGGATGGCGATATCTGGACGGCAAGGAGAATCGGTCTTGCGGATGTGGTGCTTACCCTGGTCGAAAGGGCGGTGCTGGCGGCTTCGAGCAGGATACAGCCGCGGAGCGTCCTCATAGGTGGCGAGGTCTTAGGTGGACGATGCTGAGATGCCGTGTATACGCATACAGTCAAGAGATGGAGACACAGCAGCATGGCAGCCGCATAGGACGAGAGAACATGTTCAGGCATGAGAGCGCAGTGTACTGCTTGTGCTCAGCATGCCGGTGTCCAGTCTCGGATGAGAACAACAAAGGCAGCACACACAAGCAGTGGTGGCATGGAGCAAACGCAGCAGGGCTGCTTGGGTGCGACAGTGTGTCTATTGCAGACGTACGGGCTACAAGCGGAGGAGTATCTGCCCTGTCCGTTGCCGTCTTGCTCATCTCGCCATCCGTCCGTCCAGCTTTCCGTGCAATTTCTCCGGCAAAAAGATCCAGCAGCTATACTTGTATATACGCCAATCGCTCAGGCCACCGAAGTCTCCGCAATCCTGCGTCTCGCCATGCCGATCAATCCTTTCCAGCACTGTACCGGGTAGTTCGAGGGTGTCGAAGAGCCACGGCGTCGAAGTCGAAGCTGAGCCATGATCTGGACACGACGGATGCTGGCGAGCCTCGTGAGTCGGATCAACACGGGAATAGATGCTGCGTTGTGGCCAGGAATAGTCATAACACAGCGCTGTTGGAGGCTGCGCAATGTCCAACCGGCTTGGCGCTTACGCACTAGTGCTCTGTGATACCAACGCTCTGGCAGTCATGCTGCCGAAGACTCTTCGAAGCGTACAGTGAGCAGAGCGTTGGGTCATACTGCAGCGGGTAGCAGTGCTCGTCAGAACTCGCTCAGATGCACCATGTTTAGCGCCAGCCAGTTCTTGTGCTGAGTCGGCAGTCTGTCGAAGGCTTGGCAGCTCTGTCTGAGAACCTGACGATACCACGTTACAACACGAGCTCATGGCGGTCGTGGTTACAAAACATCGCTGCATGATGCTGGGGTGTGCAGAGGACACGAAGGGTTGACATGGCTTGGTCGTAGCCTGACATCTAGTATGCTCTGAGATCACAGGAGTCGTTGCCGTCGTGCTTATCGTTGTGGAGCTGGTGTAGCTGATATTTATAGTTGTCTAAGCAGCCATGGCACTCATCTGGTCTATTCGGCCAAGTACGGAACCAGGAGTGTATAAAGTCAACCCGGAGTTCTGGTCAGACTAGTGGACTTGCTTGGATGTCTAATCCTCATGATGAAGACTGGTCATGCCCACGTGCCATAGGTCTATGGTCCCGGGGTGTCTTGCCCGAGCGTGTCGGAGCGAACTTGTCTAAGACCATTACAGGACTTGCTTGTGCTACTGTCTCGATGACCGAGCCACAGGCTAGCAGGGACTTGTCTGTATTGTGGTTGTGACATCACATTGCGTGTCATCGCATATGTTTGGCTCGTGGCAGGCAATGTGTTGGCGCTACCAAAGAGCTCTTTCTGTCTTTCCACGTCGCAAGGACGCCTGAGGCCATAAGGCCTGGTCCCGTCCAGTCCAGTCCGGAAATCCAGTCAAGAGTCCAGCGACGTACGCTGGAGGGGTCTGCTAGAAGACAGGGGAGAGGAGGTTAGATACTTACATCGTCACGATCGCGCGACGGGCGGTAGTTGTCGTCTGCGAGATTGTGTGTCAGTGTCGCTGTTGCCAGGGATTATTCTCGAAGGATGACGGGGTGCTGTTGTAGATGGAGGAAGGAGTGATCATCGCTACCACTGGTGGATGGAGGCACGAGTGAGGGATATGTAAGTGAAGAGATAATGGAAAAGGCACGCTTACCCATTGTGGATCTTGTTATTGTGAGTTGCAGGAAGGTGAGTGCGCTCGCGCAATGAGGCCCAACAGGCTCTCAGGTGACAGGGGTCGAGGTCGTGGTCTCTATGGTCAACGCGTAATCAGTACGAGCTGCTGAATATGCACCACGATCTGCGCGGATCACTTTGCAGGTTGCGGGTGGTCGAGAAAGGATAAGCGGAAGGGCTTGAAGGTGCAGCGGAGAAGGGCAGGAAGTGACTAGAGGCTCGGGTGGAGCGCTGCGGCAGATTGCGTGTATGCAGGCGGCCATATCTTCTGACCGCACGCGTCGCCACCCATGTCGCTGATCCTACTGCTGCCACTACTGAGGGTGAGGAGCAGTAGGGGAGCTACATGGTGGTTGTGCTGCACTGCCTCGAGTGCTTCCCGCCTTGCTCCTGTCTGCCTACCCAAGCCCTGCGCTCATCCACCGACGCGTCAGATGGGGGTCACTTACTCCAAGTAGCTTCTACTCTGCCGTCGCTTGCTCCGCTCAGCCGAACGCTGTCGCTTGGCAATGCCGAAGGCGTGTTCGGTGCTTGCTGTGCAGTAGCTGGAGCCGGGGGCTTATGCTGCCTGTCGGGCGGGACGGACACGTGGCGCCAATAGAGTGATCAATGCCTGTCGGATGCAGGTTATCGATGAAGAAAGTGGGTCAAACAAGAAGGCGAGCTGTTGGACGCGGCTGCAGATGCGGTGGGAAGGTAGAGGTAGGTTTGGTGATGGACGTAGTGAGAACTTTGGGGCTTGTAGAGTCCAAGCTCGGGTGCCAAGAGTCGCGTGTCGCCACCTCTATTGGTCAGACGACTACGATTGCACATTTCGCTAGAAGTTGCTCTGCTCGCAATGCCTAACATCTGATCCTTATACTATGGGCTGTTATAGACGCTGTTTTTGCCCAGGTTGAGCATTCAATTCAGCGGTGTGAAGACTGACAGGACTCGAGACGGGCGGCTTCAACCAGCGACAATGCCGTGTTGACACCCGATCATGCAACGGGGCATCGTATCTGCCTCCATGCAGCCCACAATCGTACGAGGTGCCTTACTATTGATCGTTCCAGGTCTGCCGGATGCTCAGCCGAAGTCTGGCCTGCATATGACCCATCCCCGAGCCTTGCCTTTCGGCCCCATTCTATCGTTGATCGGCAGAGTTGCCACAAGGCGGCGGCGTGCATGCATGGGGTTGCAGATAGAGACTCTGAACCAAGCGCGAACCGTTCCGATCACGATACAGTATGCTGAAGCCTGGTCAGACAATATGTGCCGGAAGACTGCTGCTAACGCAAAGCCATCGAATGGGCAGCGAGCAGTGACTACACATTGCCTGTGAGAACGCAAGATGCAAGGAGCGTACCTCGACTGGTGACATTCGCAAACCTGTTTGAGGCCGCCATTTAAGAACGGATGATTACGCCACCCTCTGCTAGTGCATGCACAATGGTTATGTGCCCTGTAAGGCATGTGCCGATATTGCAGACGCTAGACCGACCCGCGGTCTCCATATTGATCAGGTATCGATGTCTCTTCCGCCTGACTGGGTAGTACTTGCGAGGCTGCGGAGACTTATAGCATCCTCGCGGCAATTCTAGACAAGTAACAAAGGCAGCGAGTACAATGACTCCACGTCACGCTATGAGAAAGCAGGTTCGAGTAAGACTACCGCGGCACACGATGCGAAAAGTGGATCGGTTGTAACGACAGCCTACAACTCCAATCGTGTATACCAGTGCTCACCTAAAAGGGGTTTTACGCCTTTAGATCTCGACTGTCCATACTGTGTTCACCCCACCCATTGTCGACAAGCACGCCGACCGGAGTCTGTTGGGTCAAGTCCGAGGAAAGTGGAGCTCCAGACAATGGCGTGGAAGTCGGCTGTCGTCAGGGATACTTGCATGTCGAGAAAACTTGGCCTCGGGTTTGCTATAGGCGGAACAATCCTGCAGCTGATGTTCTACCATGATAGGCGATACGGGCGAGGGTGATTTCGACGCTGATCTCTTCTCCCTATTTTGACGTGGCCGCCGTCATGTGCTGCAATCTGAGCGATGGAAGTTTTGTGCTGAGGATGACAGCTTTCGACGAAAGGATATGGCTACGCGACAAACTAAGGAGGGAGATATACGACATATTACACACTGCATCACAAAGCATCGCACTTGGTCCATAAAGCGCCGATGGAAAGAACAAAGGCTCAGCCTATTCGCGTGTTGAGGGTATGCTACCTTTTAAGGACGAATCTTTGTCACGCCTGTCTTCAAAGCCTGATCGGACGAAAAGCTTCGATAGTGACCAGAAGCACGTTTTGGATCGCCGGATTACCGCCGTCGTATCGTTTCCCTTGTGTACGGTGAGTATCGCGTAACATTGCGACTCTTCTTCATACATCTCAAAAGCTATGGAAGTAGGTCGCAATCGTTTCAACGCCATAGCGGGATCGATGAAGTATCGCACGGTTTCAACCAGACCGATCGTACCATTGGCTCATGTATGCGCTCGAGGCTGAGCTGTCGACACGGAAAAGTTCCACTCTGAGAGTACTCTTCGCCTCGCAACGCCATATGCTCGCAACCACAATACTGACAGACTCTGCACAAGCAGACACACACAGCATCATCAGGCTATCGTTCCATCACTTCTCGGGGTACAAAGTCGGAGTAGGCTCACCCATCGTGGACATGCCTAGTACAATCGCCATTCGAAAAAGCTAGGACAAGACTTCGTGAGCTGGTAGCATGGATGGTACAGCATTGACGTGCCCACCACATGGACGATGCTACAAGCGAACGATGCTTTGGCCTGGTGCGGCCACCCATTAAGTATAACAGATCCATCTCGTCGAAAGAAATCACTTCGTGAACAGACTTGTTTGAATACAATCCGTCGACTAGTATGGTCATGACAGCGACTACAGCAGTGCTCTGTACGGGGAACGAGCCAGGATGGATGACGTGCCACGCATTGCGATCAAGTCAGCTCAACTGCGATACTTGCAACGTGCCTCGATGATTGGAAAGATTTCTGTGGACGCATAGATAAGCGTCCTTCATTCGGCTGCATGTCAGCCATTGAAATCTTGCTGACAGCTTCGAGTCCTCTTACGCGCGCAATCAAGTCCCCACAGCCGCACATAGCAGTAGTAAGATTCGCTCGTTCTATCAAATCATTGCTCTACGTTTTTCATCACTCTTGTGTACACTTCAATGACCTGTACGCTAGTCGAGGAGCCAGACTTGTGCTTGATTAGAGCGGATGGTGTCCATGTGAGCATTGAACTCTCCAGCACTTGGCTCTAGAGCTGTGGACTCGGAGCAATGCTCCTAAGGGGAGTATTGTTGTGAGTGAACAATCACTCGTCTTGGGGGAAGGCACGCAGCTGGATCGGCCCGTTAGATTCCGATGTTGAGCCGCATGATTACTGTAAGCCGCTGCAGGCACATGTCGATAGGCAGATCATCACTTACGACACATCACCTCACGTGCTACCAACAACACTCAGCATCTAGCTCTATATCGCCCTTAACCACATCACAAGCACATTACCGAGTCACCGCTGAACAACACAATACCAACGATGGCGGAGAACGAAGTCAAACAGATCGCCAGCAAGCTCGAATCCCTCCGCGGCTCCCAACTCTCCTCCCAAGCACCACCTCTCCTTTCCCGCGCCAAACTCGCCCTCCTCCGCCTTAACGCCCTCGTCCCCAGCGAAGAAACACACAAGAGCCACCTCCACCTCGCCACCACCATCCTCGAGCTTGGCGCGCTAATAAGCATCCGCCTACGAGACACGGAGAGCTTCACACGCTACTACCAACAGCTACAACCCTTCTACGCCATCGAGGGATCCGCGTGGTCGAGATCACACGCGCAGAGTAATCAGAGTAAAGTCACGGGATTGTATTTGCTGCTGTTGTTGAGTGTGGGCGATTATGCGGGGTTCCATACAGTGCTGGAGGGACTGGAGATGAGTGCGGGTAATGAGAAGTTGGAGAAGGATCAGTTCATTCAGTATCCTGTTCGGCTGGAGCAGGCGTTGATGGAGGGCAGTTATGACAAGGTGTGGGGTGAGACGAAGGGAGAGCATTTGCCTAGTGACGAGTATGCGGTGTTTTCCGAGGTAAGCTACGGACATTGCGAATGTCGCAGAAACGGACTGATAGTATTACTAGGTTCTCATCAACACCATTCGTTCCGAGATCGCTTCGTGCAGCGAGCGCGCCTACCCTTCTCTGCCTATTGCCAACGCCAAGAACCTTCTCTTCCTCGACTCGGAAGGGGCAGTAGTACAGTTCGCACAATCGCGTGGGTGGGTGGCAAAGGATGGCAGGATATACTTCCCGCAGCAGGAAGAGGAAATGCTCGCAGCTGAGAAGGACGTCATGAGTGCCAGTGGTATGGTCATCGAGAATACGCTAGGCTACGCAAGGAAGCTTGAGACTATCGTGTAGGCCTCTCCTGGAAGCAGACAATCTGTACTACTAGCGCGCATGAGTGAGCCATGCTGCATTGTACATCATACAGCGAGACGACTTAACATATTAGATGCACACTGCCTGCTCACGAAAGACGAGCTGATGTGGCATTTTTGAATCACGTTTCCGGTGACACCACGTGCAAGGTCATGTTTGACATGTCTATCTCTCGGAACATCGACCGCAAAATGTCGCGTCTCTATATACGCTACCACAACGCCCTCCGCGCCGAACGCTCCATCGAAAACTCTCCCAGCACGGACACGACAAGACTCTCCTACCTCATTGCTAGCCTCGAGGGTTAGTATATCGAATAGCGAGTTTCCTCCCTTCTGCTCAGCCGCTTGAGAACGTTTCTTCGTCGGCGCACCTCGCGGAGCTGCTTTCGCATATGCCGTTCGGAGTCTCTGTTCGACACCTTGTCCTCTGCCAGCTGCATGCGGTATCGCGTCCAGCGTGTTCAGGTCGCAAGTTCTAGCATATATGCCAAGGCTCAGCACCTCACCTCGGTGGTTAAGCACCTGATCGCAACGCCATTGTGTTCGTCCCAAGGGTATCATATGCAAGAACGTTGGCCTCCCTTTCGTAGTCACATGAATGCAGACCCTGCTGCCACAAGGTCTATTCTGCTTGCTTCGCTCGCTTGATGGAAGTCCGCCGACCAGACTGCGTGACTCACACCCATCATGGGCGGGATTGTGGGTTGTGTGTGAGTCTAGTCCATGTTCGGCGGTGGACCTCATCTTGGTCAGGAAGAAGCATTGGATTGCGTAGGCCGGGCCGCATGTTTGAGTCGGAAAGCTAGTAGCATAGGTGTCTGTGGGAAGTTGTGGTAGCTCTGAGGGTGCTCTTTGTCGCCTCCTTGGGTCTCGAAAGCTGGTTCTCGCATGGCGTCCAACACCATACCATTCTCGAAGAATGGAGTCAATAGAGACCAGAACGGTCGATGGTAGACAGTCTGTACCAGGTGTTAGAATGTGGCCACATCTCGCAACGGGATCTTATATACTTACGAGTGGCACGGGCTGGCCCCTTACGGCTTCACTTTGTGATGGAGAAATGTCGAGATACTTCGTTACCTTGATGTAGAATTGCATCTGCTGCTTTCCAGTCGAAGGGTCTTCGAATATCTCAATACCACGGTGTCCGGCTGGTTTCGAGAAGGCTGGATGGAGGTCCACGTTCACGACACTATTCGATCTGTCAGTGCTCCTTCAATCCTAGAATTTAGCAAGATCACATACCATCCGTCGTCCTTCAAGAAGTGCCGTAGCGCTTTCGCGATAGGCCCGAGGTCGGGAAGTGACTTGAGCGTGGTACTAATTACTATGATGTCGAATTTACTGCTCAAACATCAGTTTAAGCGGCTCTTGATCTTAGTGGCAAGTCATTTACTCGGGATGTGCGTCCGCCCATCGCTTCATCATGTCGAAATCCATAAGGTCAATAAACTCATATACAATATTGTGGCCATCCTTTAGAGCTCTCGCACGTGCTATATCGAGCATAGGTTCTGAGTAGTCAAGGCCCGTGACCAAGGTGGCACCTAGGTTGGCAAACATCCGACATAGTATGCCGCTGCCGGCACCAAGATCCAGGACTGTCTTGCCGGCTACAGTTTTGCCACCAGTCTGACCAGTCAATTCTCGCACCTGGGGTAGTAGACATTGGGTGAACATGTCGTTGCCATCTTCACCGGTTTCGCTCTGCTTGCGCTCCCACCAGTCGGCGATAGTGTCCCAGGCCTGGCGGTTGCTGGTTGTAGCTTCTTTGAAGTCGTTGTGTCCATCCACGTAATCATCAGGCTTAGATCGGGCACTCATCTTAACACGCTGCATACGGGTGTTAGGTCTGTGCGGATAAAAACGCGGCATGCTTATGCAGGGAGAAAAGATGATTGGTGTTTGTTTGTGCTGGCAGGTGGTGAATGATGAACGCACCTTTGCTTGATGATGGCAATCGGTCATGGGGTGCGATCATGTTGATGTACCTTCCAGTTTCAGTCACTCAGATCACGTCGCGGTTGAGGGCGACAGGTCGGCCTCGACAGTGCACAAAGGATCATGAGGTCGTCAGGCTGTGATGGAAGGCTAATAAAGCGTCACAGGGCTGTGTTGTGTAGCGGGTAGGCGAAGGTCTCAAAGCATCCTCGCAGCCTCGCAGACAAACGTCCGTGCACACAGCCACAAACATGTGGCCAGCTCTGGCTTGCGGGATTCTGGGGCCGCCCACCTTTGAGGCCATTGGCTCTGACATGGACAAGCTCACCTCAATGCAGCGCCCAGTAGTAATGTGCATGAAGGCTCGCATCGCGTTGTGCGGCCTCACGCTAGCAAGACCGTACAAAAAGACGACACTGCCCCCCCAATATCTGGATGTCATTTTTCTCCCAAGCGAGCTCTATCTTCGATAACCAAAGGTGAACACACAGAACCATGGTTCAGAATCTAGCACGACCATTCTTTAGGAGCAGTCGAGGAAAAAACGTCGACGAGGACGAGCCAGGCGAAAGCTATTGTCTGCCAACATTCACTAGACCACAACCTTCGCCAGGTAACCTGAGACGGGTGCCGACATTGCAGGAACTGGAGAGAGAATGCAGGATCCAACCTCATACTGACGAAGGTGGTGATGCCTATTACATTGGCGACTTTTACGATAAAGGCAAGTGTGCAGCAGAATGGAGGTTACCAGACTTGTAAGTCTTGCTGGCCACATCACTTGACGCGGAGAGCTTACTTCTGCCTAGATCAACAAGACCTTATCTCAAATATGTCAAAGAGGTGTCACAGTCTTTCCCTCATGTCGAATATCTGGCCCACTGGATGGAGGTGAGCTGCGCGCCACCAAAGTGGAAGTTCGTCAAGAAGCATCCGACCAACCGCGACGAGCGTGCTCAGCGATGCAGCGTCTGTGTGCTCGACTACGTCGACGACGTGCTAGTGAAGAAATCCAACTTCAACACTAATGCAGGACTTCAAGAATTCCTCGGCCAACCTACACTTGTGGGCACCAAACCACCTATTCGACTTATAATCGTCGAGGACCTCTCTCGAGATGTTGTGGAACTCCTAGGGCACGAGTACGATGTAGACCCACTCTTTTTCATGTCACACATCGGAGACTATCTATTCCACAATACCCGCGACCCCTGGGTGGAACTACCAGACTTGGACATCGATGCTAGACGCCGGACACATTTCAACTTGTCGTACCTGCGTGCCCGCTACTTCAAGACGGATCCCGAATTCAAGACTGCCGAAGGTGAAAGCGGCGACTTCAACGTGCTCCGTAGATTGGACAGCGATCGAAGTCGCGCACGCCTCCAAGACTCTTTGCTCGACGTCAAAGGTGCCAGTGTCACGCTCAGTCGCTCGAAAACGTCCCTGTGGGTGCAGCCGCGCGAGAAAGAGGCGCCAATCACAGGTATGTCCTTGGTATAATTTCAATGATCAGATCACTGACTATTGTTAGCATTACTCCTTGTCGACCCTACTGTGAAGGCAGGCTATCCGCTCTGGGGAGGAAACCGACCATTTGAAAACACACCTTCGTCGCGAAAGCCACTACCAGAACCTCCGACCAGGACGTCGCTCTTTGACGATGTTATATACTGGAGTAGCAAGTTCGACGCCGAAGACTTGGAACAGATACGAAAAGATCCCAATTGTATCGCCATCCCCATGTTCCGCCTGGTGCTCGCCAGCTGGCGCACCGTGCTGAAATATATGGCAAGTATGCTCTGCAAGATCGAATGGGAGTTCGAGAGGCCACACTGGGGCGAGACACCAAGCCAAATCGATGCTTCTCTTCGCAAACTGTCTCCGTGGGCGCGCAACATACCTTCGTACCAGGCCATGATCTCCGAGTCCATTGATCGCGTCTTCCGTGTGCCTCCTGAAGACCGCAACGAGCTCACACCGGAGGCCGCGCACCATCCGCGCCCGGACAGAGGACTGCAATCTCTACTACATGACTTTCGCCTCGTCCAGCAGTTGATGAACGCCAGCCAACGACGAATTGAAACTATCCAGACCTTCGCCAGCAACCGCATCAATATCGAAGAGTCTCGCCGAGCCATCCAGCAGAACCAAAGCCTTGCAAGACTGACACTTCTTGCCACGGTATTCATCCCACTGAACTTCACATCCAGCTTTCTGAGCATGTCTCCTGGCTTTAACCAGGCGACTGAAACGATATGGATGTTCTTTACCATCGGCATACCCTTGACCATACTAGCTCTCATTGGCGTGGATCTTTCCAATCCCGGTGGCTTGATACGCACCGTGTGGAGGAAACATAAGGGCACAGGCAATGCTTTGCCTAGCCCAGACAATACACAGCAGGTTCCGATTGGTACCACAATAAACTGGATGGCTACAAGATCCGAGACCTGGTTTGGTCGGCATGCGAGATGATGCGACACCATGAATTGTTTTTCCTGGGGTTTACAGAGACAGCTCTGTACGAACGATATGATGAATAAATGAACGAATGAAAATGTCAGACACTTCGAAGGCGTTAGATTGCGTGAGAATCGTAGATTTGACGGGCGGTTGGCATTTGTAGCATATCACATACAGATTACATAGAACGCATGGGTATCATAACAGCATAAACGCCGAACATCACAACGCCGTAATGCATCTTTCTCCGATCCTCCATGAGGACGTCCGGCGTCCTGTCATTGCCTCAACCTCTCGTATAGCTCATTCGGCCCATTCACGCCCCATACACAGGTACACAACCAGCCACAGCCGCCATAACAAGCGCATACACAGCCCCACACACCGCCCACTCTCTCGGCGGCAACAACCCTCTTATCCTCGTCGTACCCACCACGAGGAAAGCTCCTGCCGCTATCAGAGCTGTGACGGCCAGGCGCCCTGCCAGGGACGGTATCAGGGAGAAGAGTAGCAGAGGCAGCATTAGCGTTATTGGTATGTAGGCCGCTAGTGCTCCGGGCGTAAGGCTTATTGCTGAGCTGAATGGCTGTGAAGGTGGAGTGGTGGGAGCGATGAGGTCCACGGTATGGCTTAGAAAGCGTGTCTCTGAGTCGTGAACAGGGTTGTGTGCCTTCAACCAAGAAGTGTATGCCTCAACCTGCTCCATCTCGGCTTGGCTCGAGGTCTTCATGAGACTCGTGTATGCCGTCATGGCACGATTGTACTGCTCGGTCTTGATGAAGATTCTTCCGAGCAGGTTCGTTCGCTGAAGGTGAATCTCGGTTCCATTATAGGTCTCCGCGCGCCGTGAGGCTGGTGTTCTTGTTTTCTCTGATGGTGAAGGTGGATGCATTTGTGCTATTATCTCATCTAGGGTGCGAAGGTGTTCTTCGAGTTCCGCTAGTTCGTCTTGTAAGTGTAAGAGGATACGGTGATTGAGGTATTCGAATTTTCTGTAGAGAGGTTCTACTGAAGAGTCTCGAGTTGCGAGCTCCAACGCGAGTTTCTCGTAGCCTGCTATCGTCCTTTGACTGAGGTCTGGTGCGTCCGGCGCATGTGGAGGCTCCATCGACTCGAGGTGGCTATTCATGGTAGCCTCGTGGGGTGGTGGTGCTGGTGGCGATGGCCATTGGTATCGTTGCATTGCCATCTGGTAGCCATGCTGTGCCGAGTGTGTCGATGAGCTGGAGAATGATCGATGCTGGCCGTAGACCGGGTTGATGTAGTGTTGAGGATACGGCTGGCTCGCATGAGCCATGTGCTGTCGTCGAGCCTCATCCTGTTGGCTCATTTGACTCGCCGAACGTCTTGAAGACCTTGAGCCGCGAGAGGATCGTGATACGGACCTCTCGCGAGACTGGAAGCTGAGTTCGGACGGCGCTGTAGGCGCGATACTATGTTCCTCGTCATCCTCTTCGACATCGCTAACACTGGGCGCCTGCATGCTCCGCGATGGTAATTCTGGGCTTTGTTCTTCGCTCATAGCGGATGATACTTCTGAGCTGGCATATTGTGGATCGTACTTTCGTCTGAGCTCCGCGACGCTGTGACTGCGAGTGGCTGTAGGCGATGGGAAGGTTGACTGTGTAGATGGGGTGTCTGGTGCTTCGCTCGAGCCAGCAATGGACGGCTCGTAATGTGACGATGACGACGATATAACAGAGCGGTTGTCATGGTCGTCACTGGCCGTGGATGCGACCATGTAGTCGAAGACATTGGGCGATTTGGGACGGGGCTTGGTGCCTACGGTCGAGCCAACATCGGAAGTGGAGACGGAACGGCGAGGCATACCAACGGGTGTCCTGGAGCTATCGCTACCACGTCTGTCATAAGATCGTTGAGTAATTGTCGAGCCGCTTCCACTTGACTTGTCTGTACTTTCCGTGAGACTGGACAAGACGGACAGTAATGAAGGGTTGACCTTGAAGGGATGATCAAGTCGTCGCTGCACACCGCCTGCTCGATGTCTGATTGGGCGACGATAAGTAGAGGTAGCGTCGTCCTGATATCGATGCTGCCGAATAGCAGTCTTCTCGGACCTCCGAGATGTATCCAGACCTCTACTTCCAGGTCGAGACCGTACTGTCGACTCGCCAGACTCCAATATGCGACTCAGGCTTGGGAAGTATCTTGCCAATTCACTTTCGCTTCCACTTCCCGCAGTCGACCTCGTAGAATGCTCGTGCCGACGAGAAGATGTCCGTCTCGAAGACCGTTTCCGTCGCCAAGGTCTATCGTCAACATCAATCCATTCGCTAGAACCAGAAGATCGTCCTTGCTCTTCGCTCATGCGGCTAGGGCCTAGATTCCGTCTTCTGCCTGACCTTTGCGCACTTTTGTTTGCTGCCTCGTCAACTGGTCTCGAGACAATCACTTTCGGTGGTACAGATGGCGAGGTGGGCTCAGACTGCCAAAGCACAGCATGCGTTAGTGCCTCTGCTCGTGCGAAGTCGACCCAAACGTCCCGGAGCCCGAGGAGGAACTCACCATGATGCCCGACAAGCGAGGCGGCGACAGGTCGACTACTATACCCTCACGGTCAAGGTATCTGACATGTTAGAGAACATGCTGCCACGAGCCATCAAGCTCCAGGGGTGCTGCTGAAAGTGTATCAACTGTGAGATGTGAGACAATTCACTGGTGATGCTGGCTAGCATGTTCCAAGATAGAAAGTGTGCGCGGAAAACGAATGACGAAGCAATCATAATAAGGAGTGTGTCTCACTGCATATAGAGCCTGGTACCTTGTGTTACGCCTGGGCTGAAGCAGATAGGCTACGGTTCAGGGGGCATCCTTTCGCAAATCGGCCGTTTGGGCGCTGGTCAGCGGGAGATTTGATGTGTTGGCCGCGCTGTATGCAAGTACTTGCAGCGCGCATAGTAGCATTGGGTGGTCGGACGTCCATTGGAGCGTGGCGACACACCTTCATTGCCACTATTCGAGCACATATGTGGTTGAAGAAGTCGTAGAGATGCACGTTCACATTCCAGAGAGCTCTGGGCTGCAGACGATGGGATGCTTGCACAGAGTCTTCTCAAGTCAGCATGATCGACGCCCTTCCCGGCACCAAGACCCTCGTCAGAGTTCCGGATTCATTCGGGCGAAAGCAAGATCGTGTTACGTGAGCAGGCTAACTTTATCCCATTCCCGAGCCTCCGATGCGTAGGTGAATGCTTGGCCGATGAACTTCAAGATTGTCGAGGTTGCACCGAACATTGTGAGGAGGTCGTAGTCATGGCGCGGAAGGTATTGCAGAATGATCAGATAGTCAAGCTCATCGTCGGTGCTGGACAGGCCTCACCTTCACCTCCCGTCGGTCCAGCACTGGGTAGTAAAGGCGTCAAGTCCATGGACTTCTGCAAGGTCGGTCCGCCAGATATCAGAAGCGCTCCACATATGCTAATGGAAAACCAGGAATTCAATGCGAGAACAGCAAACTATGTCACGGGCACAATGATACCCGCCCGGGTGACGGTCCGACCAGATCGCTCGTTTACATTCGAACTACGAACACCGACCACGGCATCGTTACTCTTCGCAGCAGCAGGTGTACTCCCCACGAAGAACAAGCTACGAGGGGCAGGCAATGTAGCGGGACCGACTTCGCGAGCAGGCTTGGAGGGCCGAGGGAAGCAGTCAACTCAGACGGGTACAGGTGCGGCAGGCAACAGTGCAAAGGGGACAGTAGGACAGATCAGTCTGAAGCATGTGTGGGAGATTGCCAAGATCAAGTCGAGTGAGAGTCGTTTATCTGGAGTGCCGATCGAGGGGATGGTCAAAAGCGTCATTGCTCAGGCGGCTAGCTTGGGTGTGGTGGTGGTGCCGTGAGTGGATTCGTATGGGTATTGTGCTTGCATAGCGAGGCGTTCTTGGGTTGTCAAATGTCAAGATTATCATGCCAAAAAGGGGGATATGGTGTAAGATAAATGGACGTCGAAGATGGCAGTGAGGGCTCGGTGATACTAATGTACAACGTTCTACTCACAACGCCTCCGTGCCATAATCGAATCATCAACACAGTCGAACTCGAAGATGCCGCCATCAGGCGTCACACCAACCCCTCTCGCCACCTGTTCCGCATCATCGCTCGTAGACCTGGTACGGAACCAAGAGAAAAGATCGGATTAGACCCACCGTGACTTGAACACGGACCTCCTCGCCCGTGAGGCATTAACCGAGCTCACGCTCATCGTCTAATTACAATTACCCACTCATGTCAAGCTTTACTTAACTATCTCAGTCAGTCGTACAGGCATGAGTGGCGCCCCTGGACGAGGTATCTCTCGCATGCAAGCTCTCCATTGAGACTATTGGATCCTTGGGTGCGACAGTTGGCGTAAATACTATACTGGGAGGGGGTGAGCGTGATGCTTGAGCCGCAGTTATGCCGGTTGACGAAGTGGGTGCTGCCATTGCTCGGGGTATGGATCTGTGGGTACGTGGCGGCCTCACCGAGCGCTACACTCAGCATACCCAAATCTTACCTTCGCAAACAGACAGGACCACTTGACTCCAGTCGTTCATTCTCGTATCAATGAACAGATAGGTGCTCAAGCGGGACTACGAAGCTAAGGTGCGAAGCGGCTTCTCAGTAGCGCTTCACCTTGGATACGAAGCTTGCGGTCGAGCAAGACGTGGACGCCGTCGGTGATCAATTGCATTGTGAAGATGGATTCAGGACTGCGTTCGAAATTGTCACTTCTATAGAGAGATCCGCGCGGTGCACCGAATCAGCGTAGATAGGAAGGATTGCAAACTAAGAGATCGCTGACGCTAAACGCTGCTTCAATTGAAATATGACACAACACTACAAATCCATCACATCACTCCCACCAAATGAGAACCCCTTCTTCCTGCCAAGTCTCAACGCCTTCACCACAACCGTGCCATCGACCTTGCCGTCCTTATCCTCGGTCGAGCTCGCGGATGAACCAACCCCAGGAAGACTGGTACTACTAGCACTACCACGCAACGAGCTCGCCCAGCCAGCCACAAGCCCACCGGCTCGCTCAAAGGACTTCTTGACATCCAGTTCAAAATCATCGAATGCCCTCTGAAGTACACTCGCTGTGGCGCTTGAGCCAATGGTGGCGGCGAGGTCGGCGTCGGTCATGTCTGTGTCGGAGACGTGGCTTTGTTTTGCTGTTGGTGAGGGCGGATTCGAGCCGAGCGGACTCGGGAGACCACCAGCACTCTTCCGCTTGCGTCTTTTGACGCTCGCCAGGAGGTCGTCCAGAGAGGGCTTGCGGTCGAGGCTCTTGTCCCCATTCGTCGTCCACAGACCGTCCGAGTCCTCCACCAGATGGCCCTCGCCCATCTCGACATCTGTGGTAAGTCCAGCAGCCGGTGCCGTATCGTCCATACTGCCATCGTCCAAAATGTCGCCAAAAGTGACCAGGGTCGCTTTCTTAGCTCTATTACCGCTAGTCACCGAATCCGATTTGACCTTCGCAGACAGGCTAGGTACTGCTGCGATAGGCGTCGAGACCCCATACTGCTTACCCCATCGACACTCGGAAGGATAATCACAGCTACCCCAACAATTCTTTCTCGGCCTCCAGAATCCTTCCTTCTTCCATGCACCGGAGAACCACTCAGCCTCTTTCGTCTCCATATACCCTTGCTCCGCTTCCCGCACGTGCATCTCTACGTCCTCCATCGGCTCCCCATCAATACCTTCGGATAATTCGACCATACCCCTCGCGGCATCGACTCGCTCCTCGACACTTCGGCGCCAGACGCCCCAGTTCTTCCAACCCTGGTAGTCGAACTCAGACGCACAGGCTTTGTGCTTCACAGTCCTCTTATTCGTCTTGCGTGAGCGCTTCACTGTCGTCGTGCCGGCGCAGAAGAAGTGGCCGTCGTCTAGACAGCGACGGGTCACGCCTAATTGGTAGACGCGGGTACAGACGTGGCATTGCCAGAGCCAATTCAGGGGTTCTGTAGGAGGTGGGCGGAGGGTTAGGATTGCTCCGTGGGTTTGTGCTGGTGTCTGGGTGCTCGATAGCTGTGCCTTACGCGGTGGTGATGTGGACAGCTTGGCTGGCGTGATGGGCAGACGAGGAGAGAAAGGCGTAGGCGGAATGGCAAGACGGGAGGACTTGTAAGGTGCTGGTGTTATGGTCAGATTGCGAGGCATTTTGTCCTGTAGCCAGAGCTGTGATCTTCGAATGGACGGCGCTATCCCAGGTCGTCTGTTTTGAGTCTGCTCTTACCAAGATCCTGCTTCGTCAAGTATGAGACCTGCTCGTCAGGCTGCTTCAAGTGTCAAAGGAGCGTAAGTCGGAAGGATACAGTCCGTCCAAGAAGTCAAACAACTGCAGCGATCGTGAAGATGTAGTGAGCACTCAATGAAGGATGAGTAGAGAAAAGATAGGTAGGCTGGCTAGGTTGGTAGTAAGCTGTAATCTTACATGTCAAAGAGCCATACCGCCTTGTCGTCCTCGAGAGGTTACATGAGCAGCATCCTTTGTTACCAATCACCATTCTTTGTCGTTGATCATCATCGGACTCGAGGGCGAGGATGTTGGCTTTGTCCATCGTCCAGGACAATCTGCCAATGCCGTCATGCACGGTATCAGCAAATCTGTTGTCCACATCTTGGCATATTGCGGAGCGGTGGCGCTTGTCATGGTGAACAATTGAGCTTGTAGAGTCTTTACCCAAGCAATGTTGCAAATCGATCCTCGCCACGCTCACGCTCTCAAGATACCAACAGCCTGCATCAACACACCCGCCACAACTCCCCTTCCCACACTAGGAACCTGCAACGCATCAAACACCTTCCCTAGCGCCTCCCCACTAGCCGCAGCCCCCATAATACTCTGCAAAGCCATCGGTATCCCCTTCTTCACCAGCAACACCCTCGCCTTAATCCTCAACTCCTCCTTCTCCTCATCGGTCTTAGCCGGATAATCTCTCCGCCAAATCTCCATTTCCTCTTCAGTCGGTAAGGCATTCTCGCGAAGCTTGTAGACATGTCCCGCTAAGCCGGAGTCGGAGATATTCGAGTCAAGGAGGGATGTTTGGAGCATAGATTTTATGTTTAGGAGTTGTGGGTTCCCGGGCCGGAGGAGGAAGGATTTGGCGGCGTTAAGGAGCGTGAGGCGGATTTGCCAGGCGCCGGAGAGGGTGTAGAGTTGATTTATTGTGGCGAAGAGGAGTTCGATTGCTACGCTAGTTTCACGTTCGGTGATACCCGGCTTTTTTGCTTTCGTGGGTGAAGACGCTGGGTTCGCGTCTTGCAGCTGCGGGCGTGTTGGGAGTGCTGGTGCTGCACGTGGGTGCTCATCTGAGACTCGCGGCATCTCTACACTTCGCTTCGCAGCCACATTCTCGGCTGTGAAGTCCGCAGGCATATCGTCAGGCCGCGGTGGTAGGCTGATCATGGGCTCCAACCCACCATCAATGTTCGGAATCAGTGTTCTGTCTGCCGGTTGTTCCTCTTGTAGCGACTCTTTCGACTGTCCAAAGTCTCCACTATACTGTGATGATATGCTTTGTCGGTAGCTCGAGTCCATGCTGGCATTGGTAGCGATACTTCCTCTAGCCAAAGACCTCACACTCTCCTGGCTTTGTCTCGCAGCTGCCATGCCGCCAATGGAGCCGCTACTGATACTGGCCTGGGTCTTATGTGACAAAGGAAGCTCCGCGCCTGACGCAGTACTCGTCCTGCTCAAACCGTTCCCAGTCTGGCCGGGCAAAGCCTTCTTCCCACCAACACCCCCGACAAGGCCTGCCACGCCGCCGAAGACAGCCTTGCCACCACCAGCAACCTGCTTCGGCGCTTTCGTAAGCACTCCCATCATCTCTCCACCTAGCTTCCCAAACGCATCCGGCGTAGGCCACCCGAATCCTTTCGCACGCTCACCCGGTGACTTCGCCAGACCCTGATCCTTCTCCAGAAACCTCTTCATGCCTTCGCTTTCCGCGAGCGACCGCCACGTCACGGCGTCAGATAGATAGCGTTCCAGCTCGCCTCTCAGACCGGCTTTAGTGTTGTTCCTCCACTTCGGCAGCTCGGCATGGAAGCCCTTGACACCCGTAATGACACTGATCCGGCGAAGGACCTCGTGCAGAATTTCGAAGTCTGGAAACTTTCGTGAGATCATCCACCCTGGATATGCTGACGTCGCAGGTTCGATCTGGATCAGGTAATCTGTTTGTGGCTTGGCTTTTATCGAAGCACGATCGCCTGGCACGCTGTCGTCGAATATAGAGATAGTAGCGTTGTGTAACGTTAGGGGAGCAGGTTGGGAACGCTGTCTTTCAGGACTGTCGGTCAAAGTGGTTGCCTGTGGGGGTAGGATCTGATCGAAAGATGTAAAAGGCTGCTTGGTGACCGGAGTCATCGGCCTTGAGCTGAAGTCGGCGCTCGTCATTGTATCTGCGACGGAAGAGTCGGCCTGGCTCCAGGCAGTAGCCTCTTCATCTTGCCGCTCTTTATCGCTCTGACTGGAAGTCGGGGTGGCGACACCTTGTGTAGTCGCACCAGATACGTCCTCGGAACTGCTAGCGGCTGCCTCCTTCTCAGCCTCTTCTTTCGCTCGGCGCTCATCCTCTTCAATCATCATTTGCGTCAGTCGTCTTGCTTCTCGCATGGCTTCGTCCATGGCCTCTTCTGCTCTGCTTGTCTGCCTACGGTGCTCCAACCTTGGTCGCTCAGATGGGTGCACATCAATTGCAGCCTCATCGGCGCTTTGCATGGGTGACGTTCGCGCCTGATCGTCTACTTCAGACACAGAAGTCTTCGCCACCTTTTCAGTCTGACGACCTTCGACGCCCGCGTCCACCATATTCATAACCTCCTTGGTGGTCTCACTCTCCTCCAGCCCATACACAATCCACCCATTGATGAAAGCCGCGTCCGAGCAGTAAGTGACCGTGTAGCCAAGCACAAGGTTCGCCAGAATCTGCTTCAGGAATGCTCGAACCGGAGGACAATTGTATGCCTTCGAATCAAGGTATGCTTGCAGGATATCCTCGGCAGCATCCGCCAGTCTAGCATTCTGTGAGTCTTGATTCAACAGATACGATAGACTGCTGTCCGGCTTCATTTCGAGATACGTCGATATCGCGTCCTCGGCAGAAGAGTTCGGCGAAGCATTCATAGCAGAAGCCAGCTCGGTAAGGAAGACGATGATGATGCTGCTGGCGTTCGTGAGGAAGTCGAGGAAGGCATCTGCAGGTCGCTTGCGTTTCAGATGCCCAGACAATGACAACAAGAAGGCAACCAGAGTTCGTCGACAGGAAGCAGGGAAGGACTCCTCGCCTGGAATAGTCGGGTCGTACCAGTAATGTACATAGTCTTTAATAATCGCATCGGCGAAAGTGTTCAAGGCCTTTTCAGTCTCGGCTTCGAAGGCGGAGAAGTCCAGTTGCTGATCTGCATAGATCTTGATAGCATCCGACTCCTCCTCTGGTGCTGCTCTCGCAGAACTTCTCCAGTCCAACAACCTCTTCGCGACCTGCACCCCTACCTCCCTCTTGTGCTCCTGCTCCGCACGCTTTGTAGCCTCGTCTCGATCATCTTGGCGCACGCCCTCCCATGTCGCATGCAGTACCACGCCTCCTGCGACACCGATGAATAAGAGTCCGACCCTGCCGAGGACCAGATATGTCGATGCGCCTAGGCCCACCAAGCATGCTCCGAGTGTCTCATTGCTGGCGTGAGACAGGAAGTGCAATGCTCCATCGGTAAAAGATTGTATGGTAGAAGCAAGAGAGGTCGCTCCGATAGTCTTCGCGGGTGCCGTCGCTGTCTCTACATTATTCTTCTCGTCCCTATTACTTCCGTCCAATATGGGACCAGCCGCGACGGCCTCAGACTTAGGCAGTGGCTCATCCATTGTCTATCCAGTGGTCCAATTCTGTCATCGCATATGCAAACCCATATCCAGCATCGCAAGTGTCGCAACCACTTTCGTCCGTCAGCTGCTGCAGGGGTACTCAAGGTTCGCGGTTTAGAAGGACAAAGCCACATGGCAGCCACAAAGCTTGGCGTTGCGAACAATTCAAGCTTTCGGTGCTGAGTCACATTTGCCATTGGAGTTACTCATATCAAGACACAAGCTGTCATTGAGCAGGGTGTGCTTTGCTAAAACCAACGCGGGATTTCGAGTAGAGCATCCCGGCAGCTGGTTGCCCTCCACCACCTCCACCATGGCCGAATCCACCTCCGCCCAACTGGCCAGCACGCCACAGGAAAAGTTCGCCCTAATCAAAGACAACCTCCAAGAAGTCCTGAATCCGGAAATCATCGAAGAGATCCTCCAAAAGAATGAAAGACCATTGCGAATCTACTGGGGCACCGCGACAACTGGCAAACCCCACTGCGGCTACTTCGTCCCCATGCTCAAAATCGCCCAGTTCCTCGCCGCCGGCTCCCACGTCACCATCCTCCTCGCCGACGTCCACGGCTTCCTGGACAACCTCAAAGCGCCCATTGAACTGGTCCAGGAACGAGTGAAATACTACCGCTACTGCATCACCGCCTTACTCCAAGCTGTGGGCGTGGACATCACCCGCCTCGAATTCGTCACGGGATCGGATTACCAGTACAGCTCGCAATATGTTAGCGACATCTATAAGTTGAGCACCCAAGTCTCCGTCCACGACGCTTCCAAAGCCGGCTCCGACGTCGTCAAACAAGTCGATTCCCCACCTCTGAGTTCCCACCTCTACCCCCTCATGCAAGCCCTCGACGAAGAACACCTAAACGTCGACGCCCAATTCGGCGGCGTCGATCAGCGCAAGATCTTCACTTTAGCAGTGGAAACCCTTCCCCGGATCGGCTACCGCAAACGCGCTCACCTCATGAACCCACTCATACCCGGTTTACAAGAAGGCGGGAAGATGAGCTCCAGCGACCCCGACTCCAAGATCGATCTGATCGAGCCCGCGGAGATTGTGAAGAAGAAATTGAAGAAGGCTTTTTGTCCTCCTAAGCAGGTAGTGGGAAATGGTGTCATCTCCTTTGTCGAATTCGTCCTCCTTCCCGCCTCGGCACTGAAGAATAAGGGTGTGCCTAAATTCAGCGTCCCGCGCCGCGACGCAGAAACGCTGGAATATACTTGCATTCAAAAACTCAAAGACGATTACCTGTCTGATATCCTCTCGCCTCAATCCCTCAAGCCCGCTGTTACGGAAGCACTGCTGGAGATTCTGGAGCCGATACGGAGGGCGTTTGAGGAGGACAAGGAGTGGCAGGCTGTGGAAACCAGGGCGTATCCGCCGCCTCCTGCTCCGGAGAAGAAGAAGAAGAAGGAGAAGAATTTGGGGAGTCGGTTTCCGGGTGGGGCGGGGAAGGGTGGCGAGGGTGCGGTGGAGGTGAAGCCGGATGGGCATGTGGAGGGGGATGGGGCGCTGGAGGTTAGTGTGGGTGTTAAGGACCTAAGTCTGAGTGGGGAGGAGGCGAAGGCGTAGCAACGATTGTGGGTTGTTATCAGTATCTCGGAAGTTGTTAGAATTGTCGAAGTTGCTGCACTGATGTGGCAAACGCACGGTTCCACTCATCGTGGAAAAGACTCCCAAGGCGCAGATGATGTGAGGAGAAACGGCTTTCTCGCCGTTGTGTTCGTGGAGTACATAAACTCGTATAAATTAATCTACCGTGGTATACCCATGATATTAAACGCCATGACGACCATTGCTGAAGCACAACAGTGCACGTATGCATCACATCTCCTCACCCACTTCCCTCCCCTCCGAAGAACCCCAACTACTACTCGGACTCACCCGCCGACTCCCCTCCAAACTCGCATTCGGCGTCGTCTCCGGCGAAACAATATACAATGCATCATACGTCCCCAACACCATCCGACTCACGTACGCCATCAGCGGCACTTTGATGGAGGCGAGCGAGGAGTCGAAGTTGGGGAATTGCGCGTACTCTTCCCGTTCGGAAGGGAGGTAGAGGTCGTGGCGGCGGACGTCGAGGTAGGAGGTTCCGCGGGGAATGGGTTTGTGGGTGCAGCGGAGGGAGTCGTCTTTTATATCATCGTCAGCGCATGCCTCTATGTATAAACGCGCTCATGATTGAGATTTGATTTACCTTTATCCAATTCCGCGCAGATCTCCTTTTGTGTACTCGTCTTCAAGGCGCCGCGGTATCTATATACTAATACCGGCCGGGTGTCGGCATCGTCTAGGCGGTAGCGTTCAGCGGAACTGCTGGTGCTGGTGCTGTTGTGGGTGGAGTCGGTGAGGCCGGTGTGTGGGGTGTGGGAGAGTGGTTGCGTGTTACTCATATTGGGCGACCTCTTGCGCCTGCGAGAGGGCGGTGAGTGGGGATGTTTGTTTGCTGGTGCCTGGCTTTGTTGGTCTGTGGGAGAGATGAGTGATACTGTGAGGTGCGTGTGGTCACGAGGTAGTATTGGTGCCTGGCACGCTTTATCCGTTTGTCTCAGGTTATCGTGTGGGCGCGGGGAAGATATTTGGGTGGTGACAATGAGAGGAGATGTTTCATATCAGAGTCAGCAGGACTTTGGGAGATGTTTCTAGTCAGGGCAATACGGCAAGGCGAGGCTTTGTCAGTAGTGAGCCTTTGCGATGGAAACAAGCGCTGTGTGCAAACATGACAAGCAGGGTCCGAGCTGCGCCTCACAATCACAGTCACATTCACTGCCGCACGGGTCTGTCCGGCGAGATCGTGGGTAATGCGCGACAACCATCATGCGCAAATGCGCATATTCACGGCTCTTCTATGCATGCATCGGACACGCTTCTGGCTAGAATGCATGGATTCCTTTGCCTTCTTGCCTGACATACGGTGGTATATGCTGCTGATATCAATCGTGGCGCCGCGGACCACTGACACGAGTCAAATAATGTGGCTGAACATGCACGGCGATGTCATAGTATCCAGTTTCAGGTTGATCGGAAAGCTTAACCCACTATTTACTTCCTACTAGCCTAGCGCGGTCGCGTGACATGAAGCGAGACGCCTTCCACTCTCCCACAGTTTGTTTGGAGATAGATCGTGTGTGCTCCTGTTCCACGCCTCCTCTGCACCGTACAGCACTGTCGTCTCCATTGCGGAATACCCTTCGTGTACATATTGCTCTTCATCATGCCCTCCCTCGCCCTTCGATCACTCCTCCTCCCTGCCTCCCTCTCCGTCTTGGTTGCGTGCTCCCCAGTGGCACCCCACGATGCTCGTACCACTCCCGCGCCCACCGAATGGAATCCGAGTCGGACGGTGAAGCATCGACGAGATATCCTGAGCTCGGTCGAGGGAGACATCAACTCGGTGCTCAGCGGACTGGGCTCTGGCATCCCTTCGTACGTCGCCAGCGGTGTGCCCAACTTCTTTCAGGGCTTCCCAACAGGACAAGCGGTGGAGAGCTCACTGGGCATCGGTGACTCGGAGCTTGCGGCTGTGCCGACGAATGTCCTCAACATCTCCCCTTACGCCAACTTCACCGATCAGGGGTGGAATGTGAGGTTCCACGGCAATGTCTACAAACAACCCAACACCAGCGAGCAGACTTTGAATGATCTGGCCAACAAACTCTTCATCTACGGCACCAGCGTCCAGGATCTGCCCGCCGACCAACAAGCCCAAACCCGAAACTTGACCGCGGAAATCTTCATCGTCCAGCAAGGAAATGTAAGTGTGAACACGATCCACCTCGAGCCTGCTCAGAGCACAGGTGGTGATGGCGAGTCTGGCGGAGGAGGAGCCGTGACACCAAGCGGCGGCACACAAGATGTCACCCTTCCTCTCAACACCACCGCCGAAGGCGACTTCGACGCATTCGTGCAGATCAACAGCGCCGGCCTCCAACCAGGAAACACAACCAGCCAAGTCCAGCGTCTGAACACCTACGTCGACGGCGCCCCCCTCGGCAACGGCACCGCCTACCTCGTCCCCAACCAAGGCCTAACCATCATCTCCGACATCGACGACATCCTCCGCATCACCAAAATCTACGAACCGGAACAAGGCCTCCTGAACTCCTTCGCCCGCCCCTTCGTCCCATGGCAAAACATGCCGGACATCTACGCCAACTGGAGCAAGAGCCTGCCCAACACCCACTTCCACTACCTCACCACCACCCCGGAACAAGTCACACGCAACTACATGCAATTCATCTACTCCACCTACCCGGGCGGCTCCTTCGACGATCGACCCTTGAACTTCTCCGACGTTACCGCCACCCTCAGCATCCGCAAATTCCTCCTCGACAAGGTCTTCCAGACTTTTCCCCAGCGCAAATTCATCCTCGTGGCCGATACCTCCAACTCGGACGTCATGAGGGATTACCCGCAGCTCGTGACCGATTACCCGGGCCAAGTCCAATGTATCTTCCTCCGCAACACCAGCGCCACGGACGACGGGGATAAGTTTCCCTATGATACGAGTGGATTCAAAGGGTTGAATCAGAACATGTACATGTTTTTTGTGAATGCGGAGGATTTGTCCGGGTTGGATATTGCCAACGGGCAGTGTTATAATCAGAGTATTGCGCAGAATTTGACTTTTGGGTATCAGGGTTTACCGGGCGGGTTGGGGAAGACGCCGACGATTAACGGGAGTGCGAATGGGCAGGGGAATGGGACGAAGTCGGGGGCTGGTGCTTTGGTGGGTGGGAGTAGTGGTTTGATGGCTTGGAGTTTTGCTGCTATGCTCGGGGTGGTGTTTTGGGGTGTGCTGTGAGTGAGGCCCTTCTGATCGACATGGGTTGGATATTCTGGCGACGGCGTTCCTGCATTGTGGCGATTGTGTGATCTATGTATCTACGCACGTGAGGATGTTGAATATGTACCTTGCTTGCTTGCTTGCATCACCCAAATTATCGTCCAATTGGGAGGTCTGCCCTCTCGTCTCTCCACACTATGCATTCCTCAGTCACCACATCTGTCTCTTCCCGTGCCCCATCATCAGAGCGCCATCCGTTACTCTTGCTCTCTCTCTCCAACCCTTGCTCGAGACGGGTCCTCTTGCGCGCTTAAGATGCCGATTTCCCCCGCCGTCAAAGCCCGTTAAGCCCCCACCGCACATGCTGGAATTTGGCTATCCAGACCAAGCCTTGGACTTGCAATGCTGGGAGTGGAGTCTGAGGAGCGGATGTCACGGCATGGAGACAGATGTGATGGCGTAGACTCGGACTCGAGACGAGTCATCAGACGACCTCTGGTTGGTCTCGTGAAGATTCATACCCGGGTGGTGAAGTTGAGGTGAAGGTGAAAGTGAACGGCACGAAGACTATGTTACGTGCCATTGTTTCTCGTTTCTTCCGTTCACACTCTATTTCATACTGTTCCATTGGTCTCTTACTTATCCTCTCGCTGCCTCTTGGAATCCAGCGACCAGAGACCCTGTCTAGCTAATCCAACGTCTGTTCTCCCTTGAAACTGAACTGCTATGGCGGATATCGAGAAACACGGCGATGCCACTTCGCCCATCGAGCACGCGGCCATTGGCGCCCATGCCGTTGATCTAGACGGCGCAGACGCGGCAGAACTCGCGAGGCTGGAGAAGAGTGTGGTGAGGAAACTGGACTGGAATCTGGTTCCGTTGGTCTCGGGTCTTTATCTTTTGGCCTTTCTCGATCGCAGTAACATTGGTGAGCTATCCATTTTAAGGACAGATATATGGTACTCTTGACAGGCATCAGCTGATTCTGGTGTTGGTAGGCAATGCGAAAGTGGCGGGAATGTCCAAGGATCTCGATTTGTCTAGTGGAGAGTATCAATGGCTCTTGACGGTAGGCCTCCGAAGCCCTGCTCGGGAGGGAGATCGAGGATAGATGCCATTGGCAGTGGTAATCGGATGGTCCAGATCTTCTACATCTCCTACATCCTCTTCGCCTTCCTTATCATGTTCTGGAAAATCTTCCCTCCTCACATCTGGGCCGGGTTCGTGGTCCTAGGCTGGGGCGCAGTGAGTACCTGCCAAGCCGCCACAACCAGCTGGTCCGGGATGATGGTCTGTCGTTTCCTGCTTGGAGCCTTCGAGGAAGGATATGGACCTGGTATTCCATACCTTTTGAGTTTTTTCTACCTTCGACACGAACTGGGCTTCCGGACGGGGATATTTCTGGCTTGTGCGCCGCTCGCGACGTGCTTTGCGGGTGTGCTGGCCTATGGCATTACGTCCGGAAAGCAGGAGGCGATTGCTAGCTAGAGGCTTTTGTTCATTGTGGAAGGTGCTCCGACTGTGGTGATGGCGGCCGTGGCGTTCTTCCTTCTGCCTGATAGCCCGCATAAAGCTCGTTTTCTCACGGAAGATGAGAAGCGTGTTGCTCTCGCGCGTGGAGTGCGGCAATCTGGCAAGACCGAGCGCATCGGCGGTATCAGTCTCAAGGATACACTCGACACGCTACTCGACTTCAAGCCTTGGTTCACGGCACTCATGTACTTCTCCACCAACGTCGCTTTCTCATCCCTTCCTGTCTTCCTTCCGACAATCCTAGAGGAGATGGGTTTCTCGGGAGTCAACGCACAAGGTCTCTCCGCACCACCATACTTTCTTTCCTGGATCCTAACGATCGCTACGACATACATCGCCGATCGGTCACAGCAGCGTGGCCTGACCATCATCGTCATGTCTCTGGTCGGAGCTATAGGCTACGTTATGCTCGCCGCAAGCAAGAGCGTAGGTGTACGGTATGCCGGAGCCTTTCTTGCCGCCGGTGGTGTCTTTCCGTTGATAGCTAACATCCTGCCGTGGGTATTCAACAACCAGGGTAACGACACAAGACGTGGCTTTGGCTTCGTCATTACCAACACTATAGGGCAATGTGGCCCTTTGCTTGGTACGAGGGTGTACCCGGCGACGACTGGACCGTACTATACTGAAGGCCATTCGGTGTGTGCTGCTTTCTTATTCTTCACGACGCTCTTGGCTTTTGGGCTGAGGACGCTTCTGGTGCGGGAGAACAGGAAGCTAGATCGTGAGCATGGGACGTTGGAGGAGCAGCGGGCAAGGGCTGCTGTGGCGGTCGACAGTGATGAGAAGGCGAGCGTACAGCAGGGTGTGGAGAATTATGGGCCAACGTATCGATACGTGTTGTAGAATATCATGTGGTGGCAAGAACTTAAGATGCAAGGTAATGCGATGAGATTATGATAATGGCAATTTGAGGTGTACTAGACAACAAAAATCACATTCCCGGTTGTAAAGCAACAAGCACTTACAACCTCGACAACCCAGTGGTCTCTCTCGGAGCATGGTACTCCGGCACACGCATGTCCAATGCCTTGCCAGAGTAGCCCAGGTCCTCTGCAGTTAGCACGGCACACTTCTCACCGATCAGAAGGGCAGTGGAGTAAGTGTTGCAGCCGACGTTGTCTGGACAGATCGAAAGGTCGGCAACCTTGAGCCCTTTGACGCCGTGGACGTTGAGGCGCTCGTCCAGGACACCGTGTTTGACGATGCTGTTGCCCTCCCGAGGAGCCATGGAGCAGGTACCGAGGCTGTGCCAGGTAGTTTCGACGTGACGCTGGATCACGCATTAGCATCGAGAGAGGGGCAGTGTCAAGCAGCTTAAGGACTCCCACTCACCTTAACCCACTCTTCAAGATGCCCGAGATCGTCCTTACTATACTGCAGATCCTCTCTCACAGTCTGCTGATTGCTGTTCAGCCAACTAACCTGCGGTGCCTTGCCCGCCTCCAGTGGCATGGACCAGCTACCATGCTGAATGTTCGATGTGATATGGTTAGGACCAGCATAGGCGTTGGTGGTGGCGAGATCCATATCCAAGGCACGAGCAGGACTGTCAAAAGCATAGAACGGATGCATGCTCGTGACTTCACCGGCATAGGCATCCGTGCGACGAGCCGTCTCGCGAGACTTGATGTATCCCCATACCATGGGTGCCATGTCACGCTTGTCGTTCATGAAACCTGCGTCGAAGTCTGGAGAATCGTACGCGGATGGAGAGGTAATGTGGGTAAAGCCTGGCAGAGTCAGTCATCGTTGATCACCGGACGTGCTGGAGACGAGACGACACCATACCTCGGCTGAATGGGTATTCCAGGAAGTGGAACATAGTGAAGAACTTGCCCGGGGGCATGTGCATGTGATCTCCAAACCATCCGGCGATAACAGAGTAGTGCATCACGCTGTTGACGGGGTCAACTCGTATTCACTGCCAAGTAAAATAGTTATGTACTTACGGCTTGTCCGGCTTGTCCTTGAAGTAAGAGTCCCAGCCACTCCTGAACTCTGGGTACGGCCACGAATCCATCTCGTCGAGTTCCTTCTCAGTTGGCCTGACTTTGACGCCGGCATCTATGCCGTTGGTAGCCAGCGGTCCAGTACCGTTGATGTTCCACTGGTTAAAGACTTTCTCTTGTGTCTCCTTATCGCCACGGACGAAGTCATCGAACCTGGTCTGTGTCAGTATATCCTATAGACTATTGACACTAGGGTACTCACGACTCGACCTGTGGCTTAGCACGATAGGTGGAGAAGGTGAGATCTGTATATGAGTCAGTACGTCATGCTGAGATCCACAAAGGTCTGCAGGTCGCCGTACAGTGGTCCTGGAAGTTGAGGCCGACACCGGGAAGATCCACGACTGGCTTCACACCAACCTTGCGGAGCTTCTCAGGATCGCCAATACCAGAGCGCTGGAGGATCAATGGGGAGCTTAGAGTGCCACCGCTGACGATGACGAACTTGCGGGCCTTGTAGTCCCTATGCTTGTTCTCGCTTGGGCTGAGAGGCTTGGTTGGTACAGTCCTGACACCAACTACACGGTCGCCTTCGATCAAGACTTTCTCGACTTTGGTGTTGACAACGAGATGTAGGTCTGGAACACATTAGCTAGGAGGCAGCAGTCCCTGAAATGGGTCGAGGACATACTCTGATGGTGAGCTCGGGTGGAGTGGATATAGGCGTGAGCACTGTCGGAACGACGACCTGTGTCACGATTAATCCACCTGTCATCGTCAGCAAGTATCGCAACCGTTTGGTTTTCCGCGGCGATCTCACTTCAGCCAATGCTCAGCACCATGGCCAGTGACGAGATCTTGGAGATCGTCGGTGACGGGGATATCCTGGCTCTCGGCAGCACGCAGGAAGTCTTGCATGATGGGGTATGTATAGTTTCCGAAGGAGACCTTGATTGGGCCGTCAAAGCCATGAATGTCTCGGTTCTGTGAGGCACGCTGGTACGTCTCGTGCTTCTTCATCAACGGGATCAGTTCCTTCGTGGTCCAGCTAGGTGCGCTATCAGCTTGACCTCAACGTGGGACGACCAGTGCTCACCCTTTAGCCTGGAAGTCGTCGTAGTCAGAAGCCGAAGCCCGTGTATACATCATGAAGTTGATGCTCGAGCCACCGCCTAGGATATGGGCACAAGGGACGACAGCTCGTCGGCCGCCAAGCCACTCAGACGGACGACTGTAGTAGAACGAAGCCGTCTTGGAGTCAAGCTTCATGTTACGCGGATAGATGCCGGGGCGGTACACCTGCCTCGATCAGTCTATGTCGAGATTCTGCAAGCCTGTGTCGAGTATAACTCACCCACGGGTTGTTGAGATTACTCTCTCCAGCTTCCAGCAGTAGAACCTGGAGATTGTGGTCCACGTTGGCCAGACGGCCAGCCACCACACAGCCGCATGATCTGTTTCGACATATGTGAGCTCAAGGGGTTGAGAAGGTCGCACTCCCTTGGTTCGAGACCTACCCTCCTCCACACACAATAACATCAACTTCGTCGGGTATCGTCATTGTAGATGATCAGGATCGATCTCCAAATGTACCTGATCAATGGTTAGCAATAGCAGGCCTTTGAAGAGGAATTAGAAGGGAACTTCGCGGGACTGCACGACCATAAGAAGTACGAAGCCCCGCACGTCGAGACACTCGGCGGATGGTAGCTCCAGGGTGAGGTCCAGGAAGAGCAGTATTGATCTGCCGTTCCACGTCTCGATGTGAACAGCTCAAGGAAGAGGTGCTGACGGGAGCACCGCTATCAGTGGATGGCATTGCTCTGCTGCCTACGCGGGCCGGGTGCGTGAATGCGAGCGAGCACCTAGACGAAGGCTTCGTCCGTCCCAGCGGAGTGGATGATCCTCATGTAGCTCTAAGCTGGGCGACATAGCCTGATCCCGCCGTGAGCCGGTCTAGTGTTTTCCTGATACGCGGAAGTACTGCTCGTCCAAACCAAGCAACAGAGGAGACCTCAATCCCTAGCGAACTATGCCGTAGCAAGGATCAACATGACCGCAGCAATGCTAAGCCTAGGATTTTCTGCTTCAAGTTGGCCGAGCATAGAGCTTGGCTCACTCGTGACCTTGTAGCATATCAAGCAGCGGCACAGCAGCAAAGCTCAGAAGATCTCACTCTGCTATGCCATCGAGGCCGCGCTTCTTCATGAACTCCAAGGTGGACGAGACGTCGTTACAAAGAAGCGGGCAAGGCAGCAATAGCTCCACGGCTCGGCGCCATAACCTAGAAGACCGTTCGGGGAGTACTCATCAGCTGTTATAGCCTAGGTCTTCCGAAGAGCGGCAGCACACGTACCTGTCACAACTTCCCCACACTGATGCAGCCAAGCTGTAACCCTCGCAGACCTGCATATGCACTCGGTGCGGAGAACCATGCTCGTTGGGGTACTTGCCGTGTGCCGAAGAGCTCTGTGTTTGCGCAACTTCATGTAGATGGTAGAATCCAGGCCGCATACGCGTTCAGCCAGGATCCTGAAGCGGGAATTGCGCGACTGCCGAGTCACGACTCTATCGCGTGTTGTCGGTAAAAGACCGATGGAGGAAGTAGCGTCTTGGAGAGGTTGAAAGAGGCCTGACCTGATGTTTCTCGTTATGTTTGATTGGAGTATAGATTAACTAAGCCCTATCTGGTCAGCAATATAGCTACAATGATCAGAGATGTCCTGTTCTTTCTACACGGCCGGCGGGCAACAATACGGCCTCGCCAGCCTGAATGAGCAGCGCTGAAAATGCTTCAGACCATTTTCCATGGTCCACATGTATCCTGCTCACCAACGCCTTGCTTATATATGTTCGAATCCCAGTTCCTCCGTTCCAGCTCGCCCGGCTCGAGCTCGTAAGTCGGGTGATAATAGGACGAGCGGTCTATGGACGCTGTTCGTCCAGCTCATCTTCTTCATCGGCATCGCTTGGGTCGTGGTCGTCAAAATTCGCATCTGCATCAGTGTTCAGTGTCAGCTCCCCGGCTTCGCCGACACCCTGCCACTCGTCTCCGTCGTCAATGCCATCACTCATCGGCACAGTCTGCATATCCGTATCTGCCTCGGTATCTCCGCACGATAATGTTTGGAAGGGAAACTGCTCGGCACGCCCACTGACATAATTGCTGTTGCTATGCGGCGTGGCGTAAGCGAAAGGTGTAGCTCCACGCTGATGGCGAAGGGATGAGGACGTCCCTCCATGGCTGTACAAATCACCAGCGTGCTCGAGCTCGGATATGAAGGGTGATGGTGGTTCTCGTGAGGGTCGTGGGGTGAGGCCTACGCCCTTGCGTTCGGCTTCAGGCGAGATGGAGATGCGGCGCCTCTTGATGGCCATCGTATCAAGAAGTTGTGTCTCCCGTAGGGCTGTGGAGCTCGTCGTCTCGAAAGAAGCTACTCGTCGCTTGGGCATTGGAATTCTAATGTCTTCTGTGATAGAGCAAGAAGCAGGCAGTGATACTGTTCGTTGTCGCCTCGTAGGGCTGGCGTTCTGCTCGTCGCGTGCCGTGTCGACCTCGTTCTGCTCAGAGACTAATTGAGGCACTGTGGTCGTAATCACTGTCATGCCCTCAGGCAGTCGCTCGGAGCTCTGTGACGCCGCAAAGGACGCAGCGGCACTAATACGCTGGTCTAGACGATCATTATACGTCCAACACGCTTCGATGGCGGCACTCGTAGCTTGCGCGATATGCTCATCTGCCACAGCGTCGTACATGGGAAGTTGTCGTAGCTGAGGCCATGCCCAGCCTTCCTCTTGTTTCTGCAGGTACGCTTCGGGTGTGGTGAGATATAGTCGTCGTTGACCGTCGGTCACTTTCATGCAAACACTATCATCCAAGAAGCCGGCCGTCCAGGTAGCAGAAGTAACCATTTCCGCGGGAGATAGGAAGCGAAGACGAGTAGACTTTCTGATCTTGCGCAGAGGTATAAAGCGCTCGTTCAGCGCATGAGTGTCTGCATCAGTGCATTCGTTCTCTTTGTCGTTCAGTAGTACTGTATCAAATGCTGCTTTAATGGCGCTCAAGATGTGGCCGGAGTCAGATGCTGTGATTGTGATGTCCTGCACGAATCCCCGGCTCTCCAGGCGTTGGAACACAGTGCCACTGGGCCCGCACGCTTTTGGGCTTAGCCAACTCTGCGCCTCTTTTGCCCAGGCTTGAATTGACTCGGTAGTCCATGCGCCGCTCGTCGCCGAAGTGAAAGATAGCTTCGCGTTAGTCTGCGGCATAGTCCACTCCTCAGACATTTGCGTCGACGCTTTCACCGATTGTTGCGTGGCATCAATGGCGGAGAACCAAATGCCGCTCAATGCACGACCCCATGGTAGAAGCACAACTTGCACATGCCAAGGTCTGGTGAACGAGGGCAACGAAGCGGATTCGAGGTCGATGACTCGTCTCTCGAGCGCATCGATACGTGGCACAGTCTCAGCATTCGCAGCTATTGTGGCGAGTACAGCAGCCTCTGTATGTGCGGCTGCAGCACTATCAAAGGCAGAACCTTCTGAGCTGAAAGAGCTGTCTTCGCTTGGCAGGAGTCGTCTCCGCTTAGGTTGACTGGCTTCAGCCGATTGCTGTTCTGCTTGAATCGACTCGGCATAGTTGCGCCACACCTCAAGATCAAGGACTCTTGTATCCATGTTCTCGAAGCGTTCATGGACTTCTTCAACCGGTACTTGTGAAAAGGACATGCCTTCGAGGACTTCAACACGACGGCTAAGTGTTCGAAGCACGTTTTCCATGTCGACCACTGACGGCTGTACGGTCTGAATGTAGCTAAGTGGAGAGAAAGGCGTCGTGTGCGAAGGTCCTGGCACCGGGTGTCGCTGGCTTGATGACGGCTCTTCGGCAGCCTTGTTCGTGCCCATAAGCTGGGAAGGTACTGTCGGAAAGCGAAACGGCGAGATCCGTGCCTGTGAGCCAATGGCAACCGGACCATGAATATCTGGCGTACCTCGAATACTAGGGGTGGCAACCTCCGTAGCGCTATACTCGTCGGCACTTCCGGCTTGCGCTTCTCCAGGTGGGATGAGCACAGGCGGGGCCATAGGACGCAGATACTGGCTCCTTTCGAACATCACACGACTCGGACTTGGTCGACGTTCGCTTGCTATGCTTGGACACGCCGTACTGGGCAGCTTCGATGAGCCATCAGATGGCGGACCATCGTCTTGATTACGTGCAAAAGCATTCAGTGCGTTGAAAAGTCTTGTATCGATCGACTGAGGTGCTTGGATGCCTAGACCAGCCGGTTGTCGCTGCGGTGTAGACTGGTGCGCAGCTTGCTCGACTTCTCGCCCGTGAGACGCAGGAGCGTCTACGACCTTAGGTGGCGAGTTGAATATGCTGCCTAGAGAAGCACGACCGATCCCTTGAGCTTGACCTGATGCGTCATGAAAGCACGCGTGATGCCCACAGAAGCACCATACTCTTTCGCGTTGACTCACATGCCCGCCGTAGTGATCGTTATTCAGCCAGAATCTCTTGCAGCCGCACACTGGAGCCTGCACACCAATGGCAAGGTCCCGATAGTTGCAACTCCCCGAGGGCAGCGCGTCCCCACTGCCATTGCCGGTTTGTGATATCCTCCCAAGACGTTGGTCGCTATATGCCGCCATAGGCGGCTACGAGGCCAGCCAGCAGTGAGTCCGGTATTGCAGCATGATACTACAGCACTTGTCGTTTCGTCCGAAAGGACTCGTCGCGGGATGTGCTACGCAAATTTCTGGTAGATATAGATAAATTTAAGATGCTTGTGTTCGTGTATAGTGTGGTAGTGGTCGATCTGTACGATCGTAACGCTCTGCTTGCAGTGTCGTCAAGCAGGATTGACTATCTTCCCATGCGTCAATGGTGTACGTATGCTAAGCTAGTAGCCTATTTGCGGGTTATGTAGAGGAGAAGTGGAAGAGGGCAACGAGTCATTAAGAATCGCCTGGACAATAGGCGCTTATGCACGAGGTGCATTATCTAGTTCTGCGGGCCGACCTCCGCGCCGATATCAAAGATCTGGAGCCGCGTGTGTGACCAGCAACCATATCAAGGCAGCACGAGGGCGACCTTGGAAAAAGATGAATGCATCAGGGCGCACGAGGAACATGTGTACCAGGCGATTAGAATCTCTACCGGGTAGTCTGATAAGCTGGGCAGATTACCACAACTCTGCCTGCCTTGCCTCGCGGCATATCACAGGCGCAGACGCGTTTCTTCGCCTTTCAGATCGGTCATATCAGCTCCACAGTGCTCCGCGACACGACACAGCTCGTATCCTGATTGGAGATGGTTTAATGTGTAAAAAATGAGTGAAGTGTTCTTGCACGTGTCAATAGCGGGACGGTGGCGGCCGATCCCGTTAGAAATGCTTGGCTCTGACGAGCCAGGGAAATATGGGGAGAGGGACAGCTTGCGAATGAACAGAAACATTATTGTAATTGTAAACACTGGCGTCAAGATAGCAACCAAGACACATAAACTCCAAGCCCTTCCTGGTCAAAGTGCTCCCTTCCCATCCGACGAGACCGACTTGGCAGAGCCAATGCATTGGAGCTGAGGCTCCCATCGACCAGCCCCTCAACATGGCTTCCACACAACCAATGCTCACCAAGTTCGAGTCGAAATCTTCCCGCGCAAAAGGCATTGCCTTCCATCCTAAACGGCCATGGATCCTTGTCTCCTTGCACTCTTCGACTATCCAATTATGGGACTACCGCATGGGCACGCTTATAGACCGCTTCGAGGAGCATGATGGACCAGTCCGGGGCGTTGACTTCCACAAGACGCAGCCGCTGTTTGTGTCCGGAGGTGATGACTACAAGATCAAGGTCTGGTCATATCAGACGAGGAGGTGTTTGTTCACACTCAATGGCCATTTGGACTATGTACGGACAGTGTTCTTCCATCACGAGCTGCCATGGATTCTGTCAGCTTCAGATGATCAGACTATACGGATATGGAACTGGCAGAACAGGTCACTGAGTAAGTGGAAAGCTAACTTCGGATAGTATTGGAATGCTGACAGAATGCAGTCTGCACGATGACGGGTCACAACCACTACGCTATGTGCGCACAGTTCCACCCAAAGGAGGACCTCATCGTATCCGCATCTCTCGATCAGTCTGTAAGGGTGTGGGACATTTCAGGGTTGCGAAAGAAGCACTCAGCACCTACTTCAGTTTCTTTCGAGGATCAAATGGCAAGAGCAAACCAGAATCAGGCAGATATGTTTGGTAACACGGATGCAGTTGTCAAGTTCGTACTGGAAGGTCACGATCGTGGCGTCAACTGGGTGGCATTTCATCCGACTCTGCCACTCATCGTTTCAGCTGGCGACGATAGATTGGTGAAGCTTTGGAGGATGAGTGAGACGAAAGCGTGGGAGGTGGATACCTGCCGTGGCCACTTTCAAAACGCTTCGGCTTGTTTATTCCACCCACACCAGGACCTCATACTTTCTGTTGGCGAGGACAAGACGATTCGTGTTTGGGACTTGAACAAGCGAACCTCTGTGCAGTCATTCAAGCGCGAGAACGACCGTTTCTGGGTGATTGCAGCACATCCTGAGATCAACCTGTTCGCTGCTGGCCACGACAATGGTGTGATGGTCTTCAAGCTTGAGCGCGAGCGACCTGCTAGTGCAGTTCATCAGAATCAGCTATTCTTCATCACGAAGGACAAGCACGTGCGATCATACGACTTCCAGAAGAATGTTGAGAGTCCATCTATGCTGTCTCTGAAGAAGCTTGGCAGTGCATGGACGCCTCCTCGCACACTCTCATACAACCCTGCTGAGCGATCTGTGCTGGTCACCACACCTGCAGACAGCGGCTCGTACGAGCTTGTCAATCTGCCGAAAGATGCTTCTGGTGCTGTGGAGCCGACAAATGTACTGCGCGGCAACGGCAACGCAGCGGTCTTCGTCGCACGAAATCGCTTCGCAGTATTCAACCAGACGAACCAGCAAATCGACATCAAGGATCTTACCAACTCCACAACCAAGACGATCAAGCCTCCGCATGGCACCACAGACATGGTCTATGGCGGACCTGGCTGCCTGCTTTTGGTGACTGCGACTCATGTCTACCAGTACGATATTCAACAGAAGAAGCAGCTGGCAGAGCTGGCGGTAGCAGGTGTGAAGTATGTGGTCTGGTCCGGAGATGGTCTACACGCCGCATTGCTCAGTAAGCACAACGTAACAATCGTCAACAAGGCTCTTGAGCAGGTCAGCACCCTACACGAGACGATTCGAATCAAATCTGCAACCTGGGACGATGCTGGAGTACTGCTTTACTCGACCCTCAACCACATCAAGTATACTCTAATGAACGGGGACAACGGTATCGTACGGACGCTCGAGCACACCTTCTACCTAGTCCGAGTAAAGGGACGAAGTGTCTACTGCCTGGACCGCGCCGCCAAGCCGAAAGTGCTCACCATTGATCCCACTGAATACCGCTTCAAGCTCGCGCTTGTCAAACGCCATTACGACGAGATGCTCAACATCATCAAGACATCCAGCTTGGTTGGTCAGAGTATCATCTCGTATTTGCAAAAGAAGGGCTATCCGGAGATTGCTCTTCAGTTCGTGCAAGACCCGCAGACCCGGTTCGAGCTTGCCGTCGAATGTGGCAACCTTGATGTAGCTGTTGAGATGGCGAAACAACTCGACCGACCGAAGCTTTGGCAACGTTTGTCCACAGAAGCTCTTGCGCATGGTAATCACCAGATCGTGGAGATGACGTACCAAAAGCTCCGGAACTTCGACAAGCTTTCATTCCTCTACCTCACTACTGGCGACCAGGAGAAGTTACAACGTATGGCCAAAATCGCTGAGCATCGTGGCGACATGACAAGTCGGTTTCAGAACGCGCTGTACCTGAGTGACGTGCAGAACCGGATAGATATGTTCAAAGAGGTCGACCAGTACCCTCTCGCCTACCTCACAGCTAAAGCTCACGGACTCGACGACCAATGTCAGGAGATCTTGGAAGCGAGTGGTATGACAGAAGACCAAGTGAATCTGCCGAAGCTCGGCAAGCCTGTACAGCCACCACAAACTATCGTTCCTACACACAATGCAAACTGGCCTACAAAATCAGCAGGCGCTAGTTCATTCGAAAAGGCGCTCATGGCCGATGGTGATGAGACAATCGCGCCAGAAGCGAACGGATACGGTGAAGAGGACTTGCTTGCGGATGAAGAGGCGCCTCAGAACGGCTTCGCAGCCGAAGATGGCGAAGACGACGATGCGGCAGCAGGTTGGGATATGGGTGACGATGCTATACCGGATGCTGAAGCAGAAGACTTCGTTGATGTCGGTGCTGAGACGTCAGGAGGAGCAGGTAGCAGCGAAGCCGATCTCTGGACGCGTAACAGCCCACTTGCAGCCGACCATGCCGCAGCAGGCAGTTTCGACAGCGCTATGAATCTTCTCAATCGCCAAATTGGCGCTGTCAACTTCGCGCCTCTTGAAGAGCGTTTCCTGGAGATCTACGCTGCGAGCAGGACGTTCTTGCCTGCTAATCCTGGCATGCCACCTCTTATCAACTTCATACGCCGGACAGTAGATGAGACAGATTCGAGGAAAATCCTGCCCTTGATCCCGCGAGACCTCGAGAGTATTCAGGCTATCGAGTTGACGACCGGCAAGAACGCCATGAAAGCCAACAAACTCGACGAAGGCCTTCCTCACTTCCGCCGCGCACTCCACTACCTCATGGTCAATGCCGTCTCCTCGCCATCTCAAGTCAGCGAAGCGCAAGCCGCAATCCACACAGCGGCGCAATACATCATCGCCATGAGTGTGGAGCTTGAGCGTCGGAAGATCGTGGGTGGGAGCGCGGACATTAGTGGTTTGGATGAGGCGAAGAGGAAGCGGGCTTTGGCGTTGAGCGCCTACTTCACTGTGCCGGAGATGGAGGCACAGCATCAAACTCTGGCTTTGTTCAGTGCGATGAACTTTGCTAGCAGGAACAAGCAGTTGGGTACTGCGCTGGGTTTCGCTAATGCGTTGATTGAGAAGGGGACTAATGTCAAGTTTAAGGAGACGGTAAGTCTAAGCATTGTCCTGCCCCAGCATTGAAGGAACTTATTACTGATATCTTGCTATCTAGGCCCGCAAAACCAAAGCTACAGCCGAGCGCTCACCCACGGATGCTCTGGATATCGAATTCGACTCCTTCAACCAGTTTGACTTGTGTGCGGCTTCCTTTACACCGATCTATGCTGGAGACGCTAGTGTGGCATGTCCGTTCGATGGAAGCAAGTTCTTGCCCGAGTGGAAGGGTAAAGTGTGTAAAGTCTGCGGGGTGTGCGAGGTTGGGAAGGTGGGCAGTGGCTTGAGGTTGAGGGTCTGAGAATCAAGTGCTTGCTGACGCAGCGTGTACGTGCGAATGAATGGCGGAAAGCTAGGGGCGTACTGGCGTGGGAAGGGCGTAGTATACTATGCTAGTGGCCGTAGCAGGATTAGACGCATAAGGTAGTGCTGGCAAGAATTGTTGTGATCAGTCTCACCTACTGCCATCGACATGATATGTGAGTCTCTTGCACCTTCCAATCACTGATACCAGCGTGAAGTATAGGCGACCCTGTTACACTGGATTACATTTGATGCTTCACGACTCGTCCGAATGAAGTACACGCTAGCGGTCGTATCCTTCTTACTGTACTCGCTGTTGGTGCCGGCACCTTCATGTCGATTCTTACTGCTCTTCTTACTGTGCTCGATGGAGATAGACCATTGTGATCCGTCGTATAATAGCCAAGCTAGCGGCTCTTACCGTCGGATTGTGCTCAAAAGGCCTCCAGCACTGTCAGAATGACTTCGCGGCTTGGGGATATGGTTGAGATACCGAAAACAGCAGTTTCGGCACATATCTTGTCCTTGCAATCCCGGTGTTACGAGGATTTGTTTGGGATACTCTATTACTACATAGGCATTGAGGAGAATCCACTCATTCCCTACTGTCTCATCTCGTATCAGAGTGAAGCTCTCTGTGCTCAAGCTTTCTGCTCATCGAACTTGACAGTGCCACTCTGATGTACCGTGGCATAACTCATACTTGTCGCCGACTTCGGCTTTGTCATTCCAGTGGTAGACACATCACCAGCCTTCAGCCCCGACTCGATCATAGCCACACTTCTCGCAGCCGATCCAGCAGGAGAATCCGCTATCTCGTTCACGTCGCCATCGGTAAGTACATCCCTGAGTCCAGAACCGCGAGATTGGATGTGAATGGTTGCCGGACCCTTAAATTCCAGGAAAAGCTGTAGAACAAAGTCAGCCGCTGCACGTTCCATTAATACAACTCAGAACACTTACCCGATCACCCCATATCGTCCGTCTTGCCCACGTCCTGATCGTGAACGCCATACTACTCGCCCACCTCCACGCTGTCGCCTCTCGCATCGTGCGCCAGAACTTGGTATCCGGGATCCATCTCGACAGAGCCGGAATTTGGAAGCGAAGACTCGTGGACTTGAATCTGTATGGTCCGGGCGCGTGTTGTGTCAAGTTGTAGGCTAGAACATGGCTTGGATGAACAACGTATTTCTCGTTGGTCTTGAGGGTGATCTGATGACTTTGGCCGCGACCGGAGAGAGCGACAAGGCCTCGGCCGGTGACTGTTGTGTTACCCCAGTGGGCGAAGGACTGTGGGCGTTGGGTTAGTTGGGCGCGAGGAGATCAGTAGAAGATACTTTACCATATTGCTGTTTAGCTTTGGCGTTAGGCTGAGTGTGTGGCCTGTCCATGCTACCAAAGCATTTCGCTGCGCAATCATCCAGTCTTCTCTCCCATCTAAATTCAAGATAGTGAGAGAGGTATTTGTGTTTTTCGGAGCTATGAGTGCTTCGTAGGGTGTTGTGGATGTGATTCGTTGGTATATGAATGGTATGCCAGTGAGCGCTCTTTGCACAGGCCCTAGGAGATGGAGTGTGGATACGGCATTCTCAGGTTTGCCTCGCAGGGCTACGAGGGTACCCTTTCGTGTGTAGAGGTTTGCTGAGGCGGAGAGGCGGGCGGACAAGAGAGAGGAGGTCGGGGAGAGGATGGAGAAGCCGTCGTCTACTTACCTGTTACTACTGTATATACTGGAGGGCGCTCCAATGGACCTACCTGTTCTCACGACCGACAAGACATTGCCATTCTCCAAGTCGGTTGAACCAGAAGTCGCGCTGATCTGTACATATCGTTTTGCAGCCCTGGGGAGAAGTGCTTGGGAGCGTGATTGAAAGCAACAGGTCGCGCAGACATGTTGGAGCGTCTGCCGGCGCATTGTGAAGCGATCTAGAGCGACAATGGCTGGTGCATTGGGTGGTGTTTGGAGAGGGTTTCAACCTTGAGCTCAAGCACTCCCGAATCTCTCCGCAGACTCGTAGGGCTGAAGACAGCGATGTCATCCCAGCACGCGATCAGTCGTGATCCTCCACATTGGATCTTCATGTTCCATGATCTTGTGTACATCGTACAGGACGCCTATACACTTAAAAACTCGAGAACAATGATAAGTCTTCGCACAGGCTAAGTGAGCCAGACTTAACAGCATCAAACGACATCACCTGAGGCAAAGACGGCATCAAACGACCATGTTCGCAAGCCGGCTCTGTCTACGGGCAGCGGCTAGGTCGCATGCAATCCCTACTCCTTTGACGTTTACGATTGGATTGCGACATCCCAATCAGCTGCAATGGACGAATAGGCGCATCTTTGCGTCGACACCTAGGCACAGGAAGGATGACGAGAGAATACAAACGATTCAGGCTGAGCGACAAGCAAAGCAACCTCGTCCAGAGTCACTCAAGCCAGAGTCAGTGGAAAAGGACAAGCCTGCAGAGCCAACCCCTGCTGTAGACCCTTTGCTCGCCGAAGCGACCAAGTCCAAGAAGGAGCAGCGGAACGCAGATTGGCGTATCATAAAGGATATGTCACAGTATCTCTGGCCTAAAGATGACTTGGGTGTGAGACTTAGAGTGGGCCTAAGTGTAGTCCTGCTGATTGGGGCAAAGGTCAGCACATACATTCCATTATATAACCAAATCAATACCATTCTCATATTCCTGGCCAGGTCCTCAACGTCCAAATCCCGTTCTACTTCAAGACCATAGTAGATAACATGAACATCGACTTCGCCACCATGGGTGGTACCGCGGCCGCGATAGCAGGCGCTTCCATCTTCGCCTACGGCGCTACCCGAATTGGCGCAACACTGGCGCAAGAACTGCGCAATGCTATTTTTGCTTCTGTAGCCCAGAAAGCCATCCGACGAGTCGCCAGCAACATTTTCACGCATCTGTTGAACCTTGACCTCAGCTTTCATCTCTCGAGACAAACTGGCGGACTATCTCGAGCCATCGATCGAGGTACGAAAGGTATCAGCTTCCTACTGACGAGCATGGTCTTCCACATTCTACCCACCGCACTGGAGATAGGCCTAGTATGCGGCATCCTGACCTGGCAGTTTGGATGGAAGTTCGCAGTCATCACTGCCAGTACCATGGCGGCTTACACATGGTTCACCATCGCCACCACGGCCTGGCGAACCAAATTCCGAAAGGAAGCCAATGCTGCTGACAACAAAGGTGCCACTGTCGAACTGGACTCGCTGATCAACTACGAAGCGGTGAAGTACTTCAACAACGAGAAGTATGAAGTCAAGCGCTACGATACAGCACTGAAACAATACGAGGACGCGAGCATCAATGTTGCTACAAGTCTAGCGTATCTCAACAGTGGCCAGAACTTGATCTTCTCTGCCGCGTTGACAGGCATGATGTACATGGCCGCGCAAGGCGTAGCGGAAGGCGCACTAACAGTGGGAGACATGGTCCTTGTGAATCAACTGGTCTTCCAGCTCAGCGTGCCTCTCAACTTCCTGGGGAGCGTGTATAGAGAGCTGAGGCAGAGTCTGTTGGACATGGAGACCCTCTTTAACCTCCAACGTGTCAACGTTAAGGTCGTGGAGAAGAAAGATGCACCCCCTCTCCTCCTGAACGAAGGAGGTGAGATCAAATTCGAGAACGTATCCTTCGGCTACTCAGACCAACGACCTATCCTCAAACACCTCAACCTCACCATTCCAGCTGGCCAGAAAATCGCCATTGTCGGCCCCTCAGGCTGCGGCAAGAGCACGATCCTGCGCCTCCTCTTCCGCTTTTACGACGTTCAAGAAGGAAGAATCACCATCGATGGCCAAGATATCCGCGATGTTTCGCTTGAATCACTGCGGAAGAGTATAGGAGTCGTACCACAAGATACACCACTCTTCAATGATACTATCGGGCATAATATGCGTTACGGACGGATCACGGCTTCGGAAGATGAAGTCGTCGCTGCAGCAAAGAAGGCGAGGGTCCATGAGATTGTCGAGAAGTTGCCACAGGGCTATGAAACCCAGGTTGGTGAACGCGGGATGATGATCTCGGGAGGCGAGAAACAACGACTCGCTATCTCCCGTCTCTTGCTCAAGGACCCTCCTTTGCTTTTTTTCGATGAGGCGACGAGCGCTTTGGATACGCACACGGAGCAGGCTCTACTAGCGAATATCAATGAGATCCTGAAGGAGAAGAAGAGGACGAGTGTTTTCGTTGCGCATAGGTTGAGGACGATCTACGATAGTGATATTATCATTGTGTTGAAAGATGGAGGCGTGGTGGAGCAGGGGAGGCATGAGGAGTTGATTGAGAGGGAAGGTGGGGTGTATGCGGATTTGTGGAGTGCGCAGGAGATGTTGTTCGGGGAGGAAGATGGTGCAATTAGTGAGGGGAAGGAGGAGGATGCGAGGGGACGGTGACAGTGAGAAGGCTTACTCTACCCGCTTTGTGTGAAAGATCCCCAGTATTGCGGTTCCTACCATCCCCACTCATGCTGTTATCTGATTCTTCAGTCCCGCGTTCACATTTTGAGGACGTTACCTACTGTGGGACGACGATGTTCGAACGCGATGGCAAGATGCGATTCGGGAACACCCGATTTTCGGTGCTTGAGGCGCTCGAGCTTGTCATGGCCGTGAGCAAGATGCTAGTGCCTCTTATCATGGCGGCGACGAGGAAGCTTCCAGAGAGCTGATCATCCTTCTTCATCTGCTCGTGAAGCCGTCTGGCCGCAGCACCACAAGACAAGTGCCTTCATCACACCATACTCGACATGATCGAGAGCCTACCAGCCCATTCCGCCACCTCTTGCCCAGGAGCAGTGGCCAGGATGAGGTCAATGTGGGCCAGTCTCTCAGGCTATACAAGAACCCGTGTCCAGAATGCGCGACTCCAGCTTGCGAAGGAAAACCTGACCTCTAGGACGAGGACAACCTATACTACAGAGTAGATCATGTCGACTTCTGTCAAGACACCATCACGGAAGTGGACTCCAGTTCCATGATGAAGTACATCTACGTGACCAAACCATTCCATCGTCACGTGACGTCACGTGATCATTGCATATCTAGGACACGCCGACTATAATCTGTCAAATCCGTCCATTCATCGCAACCTCTGCACGATGCATTCATTGTGGCAAAGGTATGCTCGTGGATGTCGTCAACTAATAAGACTTGTCGATGACTATGACGTAAGGATGAAAATCTGATGCAAGACGCCAAAAACCACAATGTTCCAAAACATGACCCTCTTCAATCTTGTTGCTCTAAATGGAAGAGGAAGCAAGCTATATGCGCTAAGTTAGTAATTCTGCCAAAACTATGTCCAAAAGAGTAGGTAGATCAGCAACTTCCTTCACTCTTGCTATGCTCTCATCTCACAGCCGAATAGATATCATACACTGTGGAGGGCGACGTCCAGGGAGTCAATTACCGGTAAGCGTTCATCAGACACCTCGTCAACTCCGAACCAACACGAACATAGCTCCTTTGCGGTAAAGCAAGCCAACAGTCTGAGCATTACCGGCCATGCAAAGAATATGAACGATGGCACTGTAGCCGGCGAAGCTCAAGGGAATGCCAGTGCAATCGATAGGTTTCTGCAGCACCTGAAGATGGGTCCATCTGCTGCAAAGGTGAAGAAGGTAGACCATCAGGAAATCGATACCAAGCAAAGCGACAATGGATTTGATCGGTACGTCGAAATCATGAGTGGCAAGCATTTCCCGTAATATGCTGATATGCGATAGTCTGTAACAAGTCCGCGACATCACAAGCATTAGTCTCTCCAGCGCATCGTCTAGTAAGACTAGGAGTAGGGCCCACAGAAGTCGTCGCTTGCTGTATTCGACCAAAGGACATGTAGCACCTGGACGCTGTGCTCGGAGAGATAAGCAGAGAGCATCACACTTCAGCCGTAAGATCTATCCCGCTGATCGTGGCAATGTAGCCTGATATAGGTCGCCATCCATGGTAGCATCACGCCATCCATGGTAGCATCACGACCGTAAGACTCTTCGAAGGCGCCTGAGCTGAACGTCCCGGCCGGTTTTCGTGGTGCACGTGACTGTGCATCGGAGCCGACTTTGCCCCCGCTATTGTCAGTCGTTAGTCTAAATCGGCACTCTCTTAAGGATAGAAATTAACGTTGCTTTGCGCACTCAGAGGGTTCTGTATCGTCAGGCTATGGCTGTCGGTCGATATGCATGGGCTTTATTGCCATTGTCGCGGCCATAGAAAAGAATTCCAAGGACATGGTGTCTCCAGAAACGCCTTCCGATTGGCTGCTAAACCTACCCGTACATTGCCGCACATGCCTCAGCTCAGGCACAGTCATCACTGTTTGCATCTTCCGGCTGCAGGCGTAGACCGCGTCGCCTGATTAGAAACGATCGTGGCATTGGCACTGAACATCTGACCATAGCATCTGAGCACGCACGTTTTCACTAGTATAAGAAGGAAGTGGCACCCTAACACAACACTTCCCTTTGTTCATCACAAACAATAACAACACAACTAATCATCACAACATCAACTCGCCACTCATCAACACCCATGAACTGCAGTCGCAGCATCACCGTCAACGCCTTACCAAAGCAGTCCGCTGCTAACATCCTCAAATCTCTCAATGGCCAGACAACCCTCATCTCAGCCCGGCCGGGCTTCATCGGTCTACATCAACACTATGGACACTCAAGACGAGCCTTCAGCACGACAAGACCGACTCTCATGAGAGAGTTCATGCCAGCGCCGGAGACAAACAAGATCAAGCAAACCGAAGCCATGTGGCAACACCCCATCTACACCTACGAGCAAATGGAAGCCGTTCGGATCGCTCACCGTGATGTCCGATCATGGTCCGACCGCGTCGCTCTTATAGTCTTGACGATCATGCGCTGGGGCATGGATTTCTGCACCGGCTACCGACACGACAAGGCGGTCGCTTTGGCGAAGAAAGATCCCAAGGCCGCTGTACAGAAGAGCACCATGAACGAGCGCAAGTGGATGATACGGTAAGTCTAAGCGCCACCATAATGCAGACCACCAAAGCATGTCACTGATACCAGCTCTAGCTTCATCTTCCTCGAAGCCATGGCCGCGGTCCCAGGCATGGTAGCCGGCATGCTCCGCCACTTCCACAGCGTCCGGCGCATGAAACGCGACAACGGCTGGATCGAGACTCTCCTCGAAGAATCCTACAACGAGCGCATGCACCTCCTCACCTTCCTCAAAATGGCCGAACCAGGCTGGTTCATGCGCCTGATGGTGCTCGGCGGGCAGGGAGTTTTCTTCAACGCGTTCGTGGCTTGCTATCTCGTCTCTCCGAGGACGTGCCACAGATTCGTAGGATATTTGGAGGAAGAGGCCGTGCTCACGTATACGAGGGTGATAGAGGATATAGATGCCGGGAAGTTGCCGGAGTTTGAGAAATGGGTGAGTGTGATACCGCAGCCTTAAAGACGTGTTTGAGTGGTCGCTAATAATGTTCACAGATGGCACCAGATATTGCGGTCGGGTACTGGAATATGCCGGAAGGCAATCGTACTATGCGGGATCTGCTCCTGTATATCCGCGCGGACGAGTCGAAGCATAGGGAGGTGAACCATACACTCGGCAACCTGGACCAGAAAGGTGAGCCTCTATACACAACATCAGCCATCAACCCCAATGCTAATTGCCCAACAGACGACCCCAACCCATACACCTCGAGGTTCAAGGACGAAGACAAGCCGCATCCAGTCAAGGATATCAAGTACCAGAGGCCGACGGGCTGGGAGCGCGAAGAATCCATTTGAGGCGTTGTAGCTGTTTGACCGAACTTTATCTACGTTACGAGCGCGCATGGCGTTCAACTAGGCCACCGGCCTCTTTCTCCACTTTTCTTCATTCCAGGCATTGGGTGTCCGTGGGCAAAGCTCGATAGAAGCAGTCGGTGTAAGGCCGAATATGCTACACGCGCAGTCCAAGAGCTGGAAGTTTCTGCTCGAGCCGGCGTAGCTCATCTCTCCTGGCTAGAGTATAAAGACAGAGGTGATACATGATTCCCATGTCGATCAAGCAGACCGATGAGCTTCTCACGTCCACGTCACAGCCCCGGTAATGCTGGAAATAGCATTACTGACCGTCTGGCTCACATCCTCGCCCGTGGTCTTATTCCTCTGTCCACTTAGCTGTGAATTCCGCAGGTTCGTCAGCAAACCACACCCTTTGACACATCCAAACATCGCTTATGACAACTCACCTCAGTCCCCACACCCCGATGCAGCATGACAAGCCAATCAACATAACTACTCGCCTCACCATTCCGATCCTCAAACAACAACCGCGCAAACTCAAACTCCGCCCCATCTAACCCTTGTCTTGCGAGCTGGATAGCCAAACCCTTGGATCCCCTCTGCTCCTCCATATGCAACAGGATATTCCGCACCTGAGCATTAAGATGCGTTTCCAGTACCGGCAGAGCCGCGAGATTAGCATCCAGAGCTTGAAGGCTATTGCAGCCTTCCCCGAAAAGGTCTTCCAGGAGATTCGGACTGACTTGTGCGTGCAGCCAGAGAAGTAATATCTGGCCGTTATCAACCAGATAAGCACCGCCTTCCTCGATCTGGGAGAAGGAGGTCCGGACCCCTCGAGGCATTTTCAGGTGGCCGTTCTCGTCCGCGAATCCTTCGTCTTGTTCCAGGGCGTGGATGGCGATCATGCGCGGGTACAAATACAAGCTGAGCTCGGCGGGACCCATACTCCGTATCATCCTCGCCTCCTGGATCCTACGGTCAGAAGGTTCTCGTCCTGCTTTCAGAGCGCGGGATTTCACAAGTCCGAGCATGAACATGGCGAATTCCTTCAGGTTCTCTGGTAGTACCAATTGGCCTGAAGGATGAGGATCGGAGAAGTTCTTGCGGTAGCCGGCTAGGATGTCGATGGATTTCTCCTGTAATGCCTGCCGGATTTCTTTCAGGCTACGCTCGCCGAGTTTGGAGATGGATTCTTTGGCCATTACCGTTATCACGGCATCTTGGTCCACAAATTTCATGCTTTCCCGTGCGGTTTCAGTTACGGAAGCGACGACATTGATGCATCGGACCCTTCGTTGGCCGGAGGTGGTGGTATAGAGTAGGGCGGCTTGGAAATGGGCGTCTAGTTTCGGGTCGAGCTGGTCAATCACTCATTAGCATCCGTTTCCCCACTTCATGTATATGCAGTGATGTAGAGAGAGAGGTAGAAAGGCGCACCTCAACATGCGTCGCCCTCCTCCTCTCCTCAACCGAAGCCACAGGATTCAACCGCACACTCACCTTCCCATCATAAGCAAAAGTAACACTCATCCCCGAATCCTGCGTCACACTCGCCAGTTCCAGATCCGCGCCGAAAGTGTGCTGAGTGAAATTCCCACTGTAGTGCGCCACTTGTAACCCGTTACTACACCGCACCTTCATCAGCGCCGCATAACCTTGTTCCCGCCTTAATGTATGCGAGATCTCTTTCGCCAAGCGGAGGCAGTCTCGTGGGTACGACCAGTTAGGATAATAGAACGTCTCGCCACCTGTCTTCTCGGCCACGAAGCCGATGGTGGCTATATCTAGATATCCACCCACTGGAGCGGCAAGGAAGAAATCAACGCCTACGCCAGCTTTGACCATTTCGGCTTGGCATTTCCGGAAACCGTCATGTTGCGGCTTCAGCAACTCCTTACTGTGGTCAGCGTCGTCGGCTTGGCTTTGGGAACCCTTGTCTCGTAGGACTAGTTTGCCAGGCCCGAAGGTAGGAAGGCTGTTCAGCGAGCAGATTATCTTGCCGCCGGTGCTTTCGAGAGCGGAAAGGGCGGCGTTGAGCGACGGCAGGAGGACGGGCTCGGGGTACTTGATGTTGGCGAACATGTTGGGGATCTGTCGGAGGAGTTTGGTAATGTTCTTCCGGCATTGTGCGGCGTCGACAAATAATCTCTCGCCGGATATTGCGGCGAAGGGGTCTTCTAGGTCGGATACGACGAGTTGTTGAGGCGCGGCGACGGAGGCGGAAACGTCGTAGAAGTGTACTTCGCGGTCAAAGGTCATGAAGCCCACCCTAGCGTCCGCAGGAACTTTGCTCGGTCGCACATCTGGATCAACCCCCTTCGTGGCTGCATCTTCTTCGTCACCAAAGATCGCAGCAAGTACTCCATCACATACTCCCTGCAGAAACCCACGGTTATACGCCTCAGCACTCACGTCCAGCAGAAACAGATACCGCATCGGCACGGGCTCTTTGGACCAGTACTCCTTCGGAACCAGGAACTCGCATGTTCCTAGCTGCAGCTCGGGCCTCTCGGCCCGATCAACTCTCACACCTTGCGGATCAGTAGGCGCAAAGTACTCCGGCGCTACTTCGTTCGGATGAGCACATAGGTTGCAAGTCATTCTGCTCCCGCCGTTGGAGAAGATCATGAAGGGGTTTATGTAAGCTCTACACCGCCGACAACGGGGTGGTCCTAATTCGCCGAAGTCGAGGACGGGGATGGCTTGTTCGCCGTCGCTTTGTTTGGCTAGGGGCTGCAGGACCAGACCAAGGGGTAGGCTAGTTGAAACCATTTGGTCGTGGGCGTTGGGAATGCAGTTCAGGGTTAATCGAGCATATTTCGGCGATGCATTTCCTTGGTCGAATGCTACGAAGGGTGTCGTTGCTGGTGGAGCGAGGTGCTGCTCCATGGTCGGGTAGATGTGGGTTTTGTAGTAGTCGGCTGGGCCGTCTCTGCTTGCGGGTACGCTGGGGATTTGATCTGGGTTGACTCGCGCTTGGTTGCCGCCGGGTGTCATGCCGGATTGTTGGCCTGGTTGCTGGCCGCCCATAGATATGGGTGTGCCTGAAGGTGCGCCATACTGCTGCTGCTGCTGCTGCTGAGTTGCAGCTCCGGGTGCTGAAGTTGGCATGGTCTGAGACTGCCATGGCTGTGTTGTCTGCTGCCAGGGAGCCTGTGCTGGACTCGAGCCTGGGTGTGGTTGTCCTGCTTGGCCATTCAGGTACTGTCCACCCTGCTGTGCTCCAGCGTATGGTTGTGAGGTCTGGCTAGGCTGCTCGATCTGGTGATATGCATGCCTATCCTTCTTCCTTCTTGCTGGTCCTGCACCACCTCCACCAAGGCCCATCTGCCCCACCTGCTGTGCCAACTGCTCCGCCCCATCCTGCTGGCCAGGTCGCCCGTAGTTCTGCATTATGCTTTACTCCAGGCTGCACACTCCACTGGAGCAGCCGGCAGACGATTCGTCAACTGGTGTGATGTGTCGACGCGATTGTCTGACTGATGATCGTCTTGTCAAGCACTTGGCACTGATGTCACCGGTATGGTCTGCTCTGATTGGATGTGTCCAGCAAACGAGTGTGCATGCATATGGAAGTTGACATTGGAGGGAGGTATTAGATATTATTACATTGACATGTGAACATCTGTTCAGATCAACGCTCAGGATTGAGAGTCAGCTGCGACGTGGCCCGCACAGTCTGATAGTCCGAACAGTCCCGCTTTTTACTGTGGTCTCTGCTTGCCTAACAACTCTGGCAGCAGTGGCAGCAGTAGTCGATGGGCGGGCGGTGGAAGACTTGCAACTCATATTCATCCCACAGAAGTTAGCCCACAACACGTGACGTATGCGGGCTCGAAAGATCCCCCGAGTTTCAACCACTAGCGCGAACTTTTCGAAAGCTCTGTGCATGAAAAGTTCGAGCTGGGTGGAAGCTACTTTGTATTTTAATCACTGCACCCACACAGCCCAGCAGTATACGCTCGGCTCAAACATAAGACACCAGACCAACGAAGGTCGACTACACCCTCCAAACACAGCCACAGCCACAGCCACAACAGCTCAGCCGTCGCCATGACATCCATGATTCCCATGGCCATGTTCGGCCAAGAAGTCCCGCCAGGCGATGTCGCGATCAAGGCCGAGGGTGATATCCCCGCCGCCTTCCGCATCACCATGGCTGCCATCGACCCGAGCGCCGTGCCTGAGGGCGAGGAAGGTCAGCCGCTGCGTGCCACCCTCAAGGTCATCCGCCAGCCTCTTGGCATGGAGGATGACTACGACAGCGAGGATGACGAGGAAGGCGACGAGTTCGATGTTGATCGCATGGATGCCATGTTCGCTGGTGCTGAGGATGACGAGGATGACGACGAGGATGAGGATCTGGCTGGTGGTCCAAGCGACCCTGCTAAGAGCAAGAAGGCTCGTGTTGAGGCCATGATCCGCAAGCTTGCCGAGGAGGAGGGCATGGATGTTGATGATGACGAGGAGGATGAAGACGACGAGGAGGATGCCAAGCCCAACGGCGTCAATGGTGTCAAGTCGGGCAAGTCCAAAGGCAAGATGCCGGTCGATATCGACGAAGATGAGGATGAGGAGGACGATGAGGACGATGATGATCTTGACAGCGAAGACTATGTCGAGGAGTTTGTCATCTGCACTCTCGACCCAGAGAAGGTACGTTCACTGCTGTCAAGCTCTGGATCCCGGCCGCTAACATCCTTCTCAGAACTACCAGCAACCCCTCGACATCACCATCGGCGAGGACGAGCGTGTCTTCTTCAAGGTCAGCGGTACTCACGCCGTCTACCTCACTGGCAACTATGTCGAGCCTGCAGCCGGCGGACCAGGCATGTACGACCCAGAGGATGATGAGGATGAAGACTACGACCTCGAGCCCGACATGGATGAGCTTGAGGATGACGAAGAAGACGAGCTCGACGATATGGAGGACCCACGTATCACCGAGATTGACGAGGAGGAAGTAGCACCCAAGCTCATCGAGATGGCCAGCAAGAAGGCAGACAAGAAGGGCAACAAGCGTCCCGCCGAGGATGAGGCCCAGACCCTTGACGAGATGATCAAGGATGCCAGCACTAATGGCGAGGCCAAGCTCAGCAAGAAGCAGCTCAAGAAGATGAAGAAGAATGACGGCACTGCCGCAGCTGTCGAGGACAAGTCTGCTGACGTCGCATCCTCTGCCAAATCAGACAAGAAAGTCCAGTTCGCCAAGGAGCTCGAGCAAGGTCCCACCCCAACCAAGGACACCAAGACCGCCGATAAGCCCGCCGCCGCTGCGAAGAAAGATAAGAACCAAGCATCCCTGGGCCCAAAGACCGTCCAAGGCGTAACCCTCGACGACAAGAAATTGGGTACCGGCCCTGCAGCCAAAGCCGGCGATCGTGTGGGTATGCGCTACATCGGCAAACTGCAAAAGGACAACAAAGTCTTTGACTCGAACAAGAAGGGCAAGCCTTTCACCTTCAAGCTCGGCAGCGGCGAGGTGATCAAGGGCTGGGATATTGGAATCCAGGGGATGAGTGTTGGGGGTGAGAGGCGTGTTACTATCCCTGCTCATCTCGCGTATGGATCCAAGGGCGCTGGGAGGGATATCCCGCCGAATTCGACCTTGGTGTTTGATGTTAAGTTGTTGGAGTTGAATAAGAGTAAGTAGGCCATTCGATCGACGGAATGAGTGTAAGGAGGTGGAGGCTGGGGGAAAAGAGCATGATGCGGATGGTGTGCTGAGCCCGAATGCTGCGTTTGCTTTTTCCACTTGCCTTTCAAACGATGGCGAGCGCGAGACCCTACTTTCCAGACCCAAGTGCTGGAGGGAAGGACGGGTCGTGGCTGTGTGTGTGCGAAAGGATGTCTGTATACAGGTCTGCGCACGACGATACCCGACTTGCATAGCGCGTGATGGGGCGTTTCTTGCAGGGATGATGGGTCTGCATGTATCATCAAAAAGCTTGCTTGTGTCGAAGGAGTCTCGTGGGTGAGGACCGGATTGCTATTGTACAGTTAGTGTGCTCGATACTTGCTGTAATAATGCTTATGGTCTTGCACGTCTCATGTGCGGTCTTTTGTGCTTGCAAGTTTTTGATGTGCAAGACCGCTGTGTGGGATCGAATAAGTTTCGTTGATGTCGCCTCAACACGAGTGGACTGGCGACTATCATTACGTGGACTGATAGCTTGGCAAGGGACGTTCAGTGGCCATGAAAGACGCTCACGTCCGCAGCTGTAGGGGGTGGTGGTGGTTGGGGTGGCTTCAAGCGTGGTACGTGATTCCCTTTTCCAGCTTACGCATCCGGTCTCCAGCGGCGACGAAGAGGCTGCTTACTTGAATAATGTAATGCCGAGTTGAAGCGATCATCATATCCATGGGTGGAGTAAGCGGAAATGGAAAGAGCGCTGGACTGTGTTGTGACTTTTTCTGATTTCCTTTTGCTTCAGCAGTAGAATTCGCTTCCTCGACCTGTATATACATATGAGATCCTCGTGGTGTATATAGTGTATGCCCCCTTTACAAACAATCAAGCATGTAAGCGTTGGGCCATGCAGTAAAACGCCTTCCAAACACCTGTCCCACCACTCATCCTGTTGCTATGCTATGCTTACATCTGGCAAAGAAATGTCAGCACCCATTATTGTTCTCGTAGCGTGGCGCTTTTATCGTCGAAGATTGATGGTCGGTGAGACAGTAGGGTCGAGCCGTAAAGTCGTCAGGATCAGGTCGACGTTAACGGTCGGGGTCAAGGTGGGACTTACGTTGATGTTGCCGAGGCTGTTGCCGGTGTTGCCACTCTGAGACGGAGGTTAGTATGGTGTTCGCTGATTGATGAATGATGATTGGGATTCGACTTACTCCGTTGCCGTTGCCATCGTTCGACCCTGCGCCGTCGCCGGCTGAGTTCCCGTTGCCGTCGCCTGAGCCGGAGCCGTTGCCTTGGTCGCTGTTAGTACGAGGGAGACTTGAGAGCGGAAGGCCGAGAAAGGCAAGACTGACCTGATCCTGATGCGTTTCCGCTGCCTGAACCGTTGCCGGCGGAGTTACCATCACCTAACAAAGCGTATCAGTATTCGCGTCATTCGAAAGATATGGTGTACTACGCACCACTACCATCCGCAGACGCAGTATTGCAGGAGCCGGTCAAGCCACCAAGGATACCGCCCAAGCCATCACAGCCGGAGGAGGTAGCGGCGACAGCGTTAGGTGCTGGGATGGCGAGGGCAGAGGAGAAGACCGCAGAGGCGAGGAGGGTGACGAAGATTGAGGCACGCATATTGTCGTTTTAGGTTGTTTGTTGAAGATGTTGGTTGGTGTGAATGTAGTATGGATAATAACGAAAGACTGTGAGTGAGGGTGTGAAAGTGCCGATAATCGATCAACGGCAGCAGGAGGATGTTCCCAAGTTGTTATATGTGAGGCATAGCCATCAGCGCCGTTGCGGCATGGTTGCGTTCTGTGCTAAGCATAAATCATCGTCCAATGCTATGCAGACCTCCGGATGTCGTCGAGGGCGAAGCCATGCCATTGGTCTACAGAGCCTCGGTATGTACGCTTGCGGGTTCTGCCTTCAGGTGGACTTACTCAAAGAGGAGATCCACTCGAATAGTAAGTTGCCGAGTGGATGATAAGCCTGGGACTATAGACGGAAGATCCGAGCAGTGTGAGAGGATGTATTGTGATGAGCGCTACCGGTGGATTTGCACGCTTCAGTTTATGGTGGAATCCAAGGTCATGTGAATGCCATCGAAGACCTTACAGCAGCCTTGCGATGTATGCTTGCCGTACAATCAGAATGTTGCTGGGCGGCCATGCTTAGCTGCAGCTGTACCATTTCTTTGGTTCCTTGACTGGCTGTCATCGCCAGCTAGAAGAAGTGTTTGAGCATGTACAATGCTGTACACCAGAAATGAGGTTTGCCGAAGCCATCGTTATGTAGTGGAGTATCCGAAGTATTCGTGTAGATCATTATCACCATCAGGTAATGCAGAAGGAATGGACATCTACCGAGCGCAAGTATAGCACTGAGCTTAGTCCTCGGGTCCCGCCAGGAAGCCGTTGACCATGACGATCATCATCCTGTTCCTGAATAGAACGAAATTATTCGACAAGATATCTCCGATTTACGGGTGGGCAAGGGAAAATTCTCAAGCTCGTCAATAGATGTAGTGCGGTTATCTGATCAGACAGTCGTGTTTCTGCCACGCATGTATGTCCTGAGGTGCTGGTGTCTTCGCATGTCGTGCAAACAGAGTCGCCGGTGATGCAAGGAAAGAAGGTTACGATAGCGCGCCGAGCTATGCTTCGATATAAGCTTCAGCCTCCGGGTAATAGCGCGTGGCGCTATGTGGGTATGGAACATCCTGGGTGACGATCTTTATACAGCTTGACATTTGGGTCATTTCCAATCAAGAATCTGGCCTCTTCTCCTTTCGTGCAGAACTGGTTGTCAATCTGCTCCTTTCTGCTTAGTGATTCCCACCACACACCTATGCAAGTGCACATGTCGCCTGATGTTGTGACACATACTCAGGCGGCGTCGAGCAGTTGCTCGCCACAGCAATCGCTATGTATTGGAAGTATCGTAGTCTCACGGCTGAGAGCCAACATCCAAGGAGGCCGTATAGTCTTGAAGGAACATATCCCACTCCTCAGAGCTAGGTAGCTCGATCTCACTCAGCAGTGGCAAATCTTTTGGCTGACTGGCTGTTGCGAGTGGGTAGCTTTGGAACATAGGATTGTTCGAGGTATCGTAAACGTGACCGAGGCTTGATGCGCCCTTGGCTCGTCTGGCTCTTACCGCAAGCCTCTCCAGTGGCCGTCGCAGCTGGGCTCGATGTCCGAGAGCGGCCGCAGAAAACTGGAAGAAGGCCACTTCAGTCACAGACCATCCACGATCAGCCAGCTCACCTTCGGGTATCAGCGCGAGGGCTGCGAACGCTACTGCTATACTGTGCCAATGTATCCACGGCGCCCAGCTCCATCCTGCCATGGTTGGGTCGTTCACGATAGCCTGGGCGTTCGATAACGCATCTATCGCAAATGGCAATAGATAGGCAGCGTCGAAAGGCACTTTCACATCGCACGAAGAAGCTTTGGTAGGGCGGATCGAATGTAGAAGAAGTGCTGCTCCAGTACTGCGGCCCAGCGCGATTGTGAACGCGTGCAGCGGGACGGTCGGATCGCAATAAGAAATGTACTCATCTTCGATAGTCTTGCGGAGCTCAACGATGTAGTCTCGTCGTTGTTTCTGTGGCAACATTGTCAGATCTCGTAACCGCTTCGCATTCGTCTTATTCTCCATACCCAAGACTCAGTTATTGAAGCGTGCCCGATCCGAGCTCCGTCTGCAATGTGCTGGAACATCAGCGAGCAAGTTGAATCAGTCCAACCTGTACGTGGAGAGACAGGTTCGATTGTGTAAGGTGAAATGTCGCTGTCATTGATATTAGATGGCCTTGGAGTGTCATAGGTACCCGGGAGGATCAGGGCATCAGAGGCCAGATCCACAGCTACTAATCGGGACGTCAGCATGCCAGTATATCGAAGTTCAGACAGCATCAATAGACTTACAGTTCAGATCCAGTACGCATAACGCGTGCCATAGTCGACGGTGCTGTTCGGTGGCGAACACGTTGCGGGTCGTCTTCTCCGTATGTATCTCGAGAGCGAGCGCAGAGCGTACAGCTACAGAGACCAGAGTCCAGGTACGTCGTGTGATGTCGGTATGTCTGCACATGGCCTGATAGACTTAGCATGCAGTGATGTGTCAATCCACATTCTTCAGTGTAGCCACACTTACCAGGTAGATCACAAGGCATTGTAATGTCAAGAAGTCATTCGAAACCAGATAATCAGCGCGTGCTAGTGCTGCCTCAGCCATCGAGCGATATTGAGCGACCGCCTCCACAGACGAGACTCCTAAAAGCGCTCTACACTGTACATCGCTGATGGTCGCAACAGCAGCGAAGTATAATACAAACTTGAGCGCAACTACTGAATTGCTGCCGTCTTCATAATCAAGGTAAGGTAACCCTTGCTGCATATGGCCACACACTGAGGGACCATGCAGTACCTTGAACACCGGATCAACGTTGCGGAAGTAAATCGAGCAGAACTCGTAGACCAGCAGTGTCGGAGGGTGCAGAAGTAGCACAGAAGGCACCAGACCTCCTACGATCGGATCGATCAATGGTGGGCCAGACGAGCTGCTAGTGTCTGTTGGGGTGTGCACCTCATCGGCCAGGTCTGTGTCTGCATCCGTTACATCGGTGTGGAGCTCAAGTTCGATTTCATCCAGGGCGCCTTTCAATGACGTCCAAAAGGCGCTTCCGAGGTACTGTGATCGGGACTGTGGAGCGACCTGGTTGTTCTCCAGGACAGCAGGTTCGCCAGATGAGGTCGAGTGCTGCTGCTCGTCGATGGCGGAATGGACACGAGCCTGGGTCTGCATCTGCGACAACATGGCTTCCAGTTTTACCAAGCGAGCTTCGGTACCTTCATCGCGTTTCCTACGTCCTCCAGCTCTGCCGCGAGGCAATCGCGCATCGTCTACTGGTTCGCATCGGTTGCCATTCTTCGTGCACTGTCCACACGGCAAGTCTCGGTCGCACTTAATCTTGCGTTTTTGACATCCACGGCAGGCAAGTCGCTTGGTATGTGGTGGAAGAGCAGATCCAGATCCCTGAGCTTGGCCTGGTATCTCCATTTAAGCGACACCTTTGAGTGAATTGGTAGGTAATGGGGCGATACAAGGCGATATCAGCTGTCCAATGCCGCCCCACAAATATGTGTTCCACGCTTCGGTCCTTTGTGACCGCCTTCGCGACAGCTGGCAGGTCAAGACTCCATGTTCATGTTCTGAGCTGTTATGTTCGATCGTGGGTCCAGATGCTCTAATTAATTACTCATCCTTCCGAAGTCTCTCTACTCCAACTTAGGCTTAGCTTATCCCGTCTTGAACCAGACGTTCTCCCCGACAGTAGAATATATATGCACACCACGACTTGGCTTCCCTCTCCAACATCCCCATCCTAGGATACATGTACGCCGTCGCAACATATGGTTGTTACTATTTGCGAATGTCCTGCAATGCTCGTGACAGAGCTGATCGAGATGAAGCTGACCGTGGCTCCCGTTCTGCACGGATGATGCAGCTTCAACAATAGGCACAGCTTGAGAGTGGCCCCCAAACCGGTTGGTAGCATGATTGCAAGCTATGTCGCTTAGGACACGCGGGAGGCCTTACCAATTCTACTGTGAGGTGGCCTCAGTCGCTGTTATCTCGATGACTTTTCACGCTCGCAAGCTGCCGTTCAGTGTTGAGACTCAGGAGCCGCTGAAACAACAGTAATGTTGTCGTCTGAGAAGTCTAGCAGAGCGCAGCTAGAGGTCGATGTAGGGAGATCACCAAGACCCACAGCTATACGAATCACTACTGAACCCAGCAGCCTGCAGCCGACTCGAACGCTACCTTGGACGATGCCGAATACCTGTACGACACCAAATCCGCATGTGAGAGATGAAGTTCCGGCATTTTGATGACCAGGGTGCAGCACTACGACGTCCGCAGCAGATGTATCTACCGAAGCCTTCAAGAATGTACATGGAAGAAGGTACCATCGATTCGAGGATGATGCCTACTTTCTACCCAACGATGTGAGCCCCCATACTGTGAGACTCGCAGTGTCGGAGAGCTGACTATGTTTAGGACACCGAGATTAAGCGTCTGGGTGAGCTCTAAGACATTTCGAGCCAGAACATCCGCGCACTAACGATGAGTATAGATCTGCAGCACTATTGTTGGACAGTCAGCTTGAACGGGTTGTGCAGAGCACCCATCAATAAGCAGACGCAGCATGTGCTAGATGTCGGAACTGGGACTGGTGGGTTTAGCAGTATCTCGTGCTACGTACTGTCTGCTAAGCTGGTACAGGCATTTGGGCGATAGAGTTTGCAAAAGCTCATCCGGATATTGAAGTCATTGGCACTGCCTTGTGAGTCATGCCGCGTACAATCTTCTCCGGACCTTGAATGTTGCCAAAATCTATTGATCTTTCTTATCGTTGGAAAGTGTGGAATTTAGACCATCTGACAGTTCTCAGGTCACCCATACAGCCTGATTTCGTGCCTCCAAACTGCCGTTTCATTGTCGCCAACGCAGAGCACGCCTGAAGATTCGACCGCAAGTTCTCATATATCCACACTCGCATGCTCACAGTAGGGATGCACGACTGGCCAGGCTTCTTCAAGCAAGTTTGGGACAACCTCGAACCTGACGGCTGGCTGGAAACGAGCGAGGTGCAATTTCCCTGCAGACGTGCCGATCAGGAAGACCAGAAACCTTCTCCGTTCGTCCAGTGGGGCGAAAACGTCCTGCAAGGCACTCGCAAAGCTGGCATCGACGCTGCAGCCAACGAGAAATTCAGTGATCAGCTTCGAGCTCAAGGCTTTATCCAGATCGATCGTGTGGACGTGCAGTGGCCGATCAAACCGTGGGCGAAAGGCGACAAGAATAAGTACCTAGGCAAGCTCCTATACCGCAACACACTCGATGCCGTACCCGCCATTGCCACTGGAGTATTTACCAGGTGCTTAGGCTGGAGTAAAGATCAAGTCGACACATTCTGCAAAGAAGTAATCGAGGATGTTGATGACAAGGAGAGCCACTTCTATTATCCAATGTGAGTTCGGTTCGCTGCGTACTGCACTGCCCGGCTGATCACATGTAGGGTGCTCCATTTAGCTCAGAAGCCGCTCGATGCGTGATCTTTAGATCCAAATAGACGAGGAAAGCACCGTAGTCCGAATGATACAGCCATAATCTAATGAACACCAAATAGCGCCATCGCTAAGCCAAGATTGCGAACGTTAATAGTCTTTCAAATGAGCTTCAGAGGCCGCTGCCAATTGCCTTTTGGAATATGTGACATGTACCGACTCTTCAGATCCGGCTTCTGCAAGCGCCTGTAAGCCTCCTGGATGTGCTTTGGTCCAACGGGCGTGCGTGCTTCCTCGGGTGGGTCGAAAAGTCCAGGCTCACGTCTTCGCTTGCGCCCTCGCTTCTCCTCATCTCCACCACTTTCTCGCTTGAGCGCGTCTTCTGCAGCCTTGACATGGAGTGCCTCCTCCGTGAGCAAAGTCACGATCTCATATGTCAAGAAACCTAGAATATCCACAATGTCGTCGTTGGGCTTTGAATCTGTGACAACACCGAAGCCTGCCCATTCTCGAAAGCGTTTACCTTTGCGGAAAGTAAAAGAAGCCTGGCGACACTCGCTAAAGTGGAGATACTCTTGAGCATCCATGCCTTTGGTCCGCTCGTCAGCTTGCTTGAGTCGTTGCAGCGTAGCCGCGTTCATCTCCTCTTCCTCTTCGTCCTCTTCATCCTCGCGCTCTGGCACTTGCTCACTGTAGAAGCTAGAAACGTCCCATGGAAGCCCAACCTTCGCCTTCTTGTTCTTGCTGTTTCGTGTGCCAACAGCAGGGCCAGTACCGAGTGTGGGGTCGTTGCCAGCAAGGTCAAAGTCGTCAACGCCGCCCGCATCTCCGCCACCTCCACCTTTCTCGTCACTATCTTTGGCGCTCTTGCGTACGTCCTTCCATGACAGAAAGGTCCGTAGGCGCGAGACTTTTGCTTTGTCGTGGCGAATCAGGAATATCAAGTCGTCCGTACTAATCGTGCGTACACCTCGCCGCGCTGCAAGATCTGTGGCGCGTTTGAGCTACATTTGAAGTCAGCGCAGTTTAAGTTGAATTGAATGCTTGCGATACCATTTCCATGACCTGCTGCTGTACAATGTTCTCGATCATGCTTGTTGTTTCTGGAGAGACATCTCCAGTTTCTCCAGATACAAACATCATCTACAATGAGAATGTCAGCATGTCTTCACGTTTGTAGCTATGGCACAGAACTTCGTTCGACATCTGATATTTCGTGATCATAGAGGCAGCCCTTTTCGCGGCGCCTTGGCAGCTGTTCTTCTTCTTCTGGAATTTCTAAGTCCGGCGGGATAGATGGAGTCATCGACGTGTGCTGCTCCATGACTGCCACTGGATAATCGTTCCGGTGTGTAATGTACCAAAGTTGTAATCCATCTGCGACGCAACCAGACAGGTTGCTAGGACTTGCGATTCGACAATGCTAGGCGGAGCCTACCACACAGACTACGAGGACCGTGAAGGAACGACCTCAGATCTGCACGACGCTGTCCGAATCCAGAAGACCATTCGGTTGTATTGGCAGTTGCGTTGTAGTGTACAATCACGGAGAAAGGAAGACTGACCTGTTGAATCTCCGTTCTGTATTTCGTGCGGGTATCCGCCATGATGGGCTGTAGCGACTGATGGCAGCCGTTCGAATCTCCGAGCCGACTTTGCCTTGCTTACTGCGATGATGTTTACGAGAGGTAGTAAGAAGCGGACTAAGTGATGAGATCGAATCGAAGAGGTGTTGCAGCTCGTGCGCAAGTCGAAGCTAGTCAGCAGGCCGTTGGTGCAGAAGATCTGCAACTCTAAATATAAGCTTGTTGTCCGCCATTTTCTGCATCGAGATTGTGGATTCTGAATACAGACTTGACCACATATCACGGGCATGCTCTACATAATCGGCTTAGGCCTCGCAGACGAGCGTGATGTCTCAGTCAAAGGTCTGGAGATCATTCGCAAAGCCGAAAGAGTGTACCTAGAAGCCTACACAGCCGTCCTTCTCGTAGACCAGGCGCAATTGGTGAGTGGCTGTACATAACGGCTCATCTGGAAAGAAAACTAACACGGCGAAGTAGGAATCCTACTACGGCCGCTCAGTCATCCTCGCCGACCGCGAAAAAGTAGAGTCCCAATCCGATGAGATCCTATCCGGAGCCCATGAAGAGGACATCGCCTTCCTGGTAGTCGGCGACCCCTTCAGCGCCACCACACACACGGACCTGGCTTTACGATGTCGGCAACATGACCCTCCCATTCAAACACGAACACTTCCCAATGCATCTATTCTCACAGCCGTAGGGGCCACGGGTCTCAGTCTGTACAGCTTCGGACAGACAGTGAGTATGGTCTTCTTTACCGAGAACTGGAAACCTAGCTCTTTCTATGACCGCGTTGCGGAGAACGTGAGTCTCGGCCTACATACGCTGGTACTTCTGGATATCAAAGTCAAAGAACCTGATCTCGTAGCCATGGCACGAGGCAAGATCGTCTACGAGCCTCCGCGATTCATGACGGTGGCGCAATGTGCTTCTCAAATGCTAGAAGTGGAGGAGGAACGACAGCAGGGGATCTGCGGGAAGGAGAGTCTCGCTGTAGGAGTGGCTAGGTTGGGCAGTGAGGATCAAGTTATTGTGGCGGGGACGTTGGAGGAGTTGGCCGTGGCAGATTTAGGGAAGCCGTTGCATAGTTTGGTACTGTGTGGGAAGAAGATGCATGAGATGGAGTGGGAGTATGTAAGGGGCTTTGCGGTGGACGAGGGAAAGTTTGATCGATTGTGGAAGGCAAATTATGCTGGCAAGGCATGAGTGTGGCGAGAAATGTTCATCTGGTTAGGATGATAGCATCTCTGACCAGTGTTGTGACAACATCACTTCGAGAATAATTGCAGACTTATTGAAGCTTGAAGTTGTCTTCGTTGAGCGTCCCGTACAACGTCTCGATTTCGGCGCTCACAGCTTGTATATCTTCTGATAATTGTCCAGTGACGAGAACTGCATTGTTGTCAGCATTGAAAAAGGCCTCGAGCGCAGAGCCAGTCGGGCCAGTCAGACATTGCATGCTTACCATAGGCATAGAGCAACTCATAATCCTGCTCAGTAGTAATATCCCGTCCCTCGCCCCCCTGGCGAAATTCAGATATCTTCGCCAGCAATCGATCCCGCGTATGGTCGATGGAAGGGAGAACATCATTGAGCGGATACTCGAGCTTGACACTACTGGCCAATACAGAAAACAAGTGGCTAATACGAGCAGATAGTGCGAACCGCTCAGGTCGTGTGTACCGTAGGACTGCGGCTTCTCCGGGCGTATATTGCAGGTTCTTGCTTATCACGACGTTCATAGCGTGGAAAGCGTCGAGCATTCGTCCTGTACGCTCCAGTATTCGGCCAATAAGCTTGTCAGGGAAAGGACCACGGAGCTCCCACTCGGATGTAGCGGCCTTGCGTAGACCTTCCAGGTTCGATAGAAATGATTGTAGTGTAGCCTCTTCCCGGATGTCCATGTAGCTGCTTCGCGGCTCTCCGAGTAAGAACATGGCGAGGGGATCACGTTTCCATACCAGGCCCATACGAAGCCAAAGGACACACAGACCATCCTTTAGCTTTCGTCTAGCTGAGATGGGCCAGATGAAGCGTGTGATGACGATTGCCCAAAGGCAGCCGACGATGACTGCTACGAGGCGATGAAGGACGATGCTCCATATGGCTGGGTCTATGCCGCCTTCATCGTCGTCGTTGTCATCGTCTCGGATAGAGAGGCTGTAGGAGTACAGTGCACCGAGATTGTAAGTCAGCAGAATAAACCGAGCCATCGGTCCTTCTCCAAGAGCCAGCATGAGGTAGAAACACCCAAGTGCCATCAACCAGCCGAAGAAGCCAAGTAGCCAAGGGTTGGCATCGCCGTGGTCACTTGATACGACCCATGCTACGATAGCCAGGAGAGCACCGATACAAGTCCCGATCAACCGCTTGATGCTGGTAGTATTGGATGCGCCAACCGTCATCGAGCACACGGCCATGTACGACACCAGGCCCCACTCACCACGCCAATGCACGAAGAAAGGTCTTGTCTCAGGCAAGAAGGCCGGTAGAGCGTACAGCAGAGCACCAAGGCCGACTTTGATGGCGAACCGTACGTCGTCTCGCCGGAAGATGTGGAGTGCTCGGTAGAGACTGTAGGACCAGGGTCGATTAGCAGAGGCCTTTTCCGGATCGGCGAATGCATCTGCTTGTTGTACGTGGGCAGGAATATCACGAGGCATGTCGTACTCTTCGCTGTGATCGTGGAAGCGTTTCGAAGGTAGTGGCTGGTCTGTAGAGTGCTGACGTTCTCCGCGTGGCCACCAGGGAGCAAGCCATCTCCACGAATGTCTAGGTGTCTGCATCTCGGCTTTCAGATCTTCTAGCAGCTTCAGATAGGTGAGCACATCTTCGGCGAAATCTAGCAGTGAAAACGAGAAGTGCCCACAGCATGCCGACACCTCCTCGATATCAGCCAGCACAGCTTCGAGTCTTGTCTCGCCCATCGTGGACTTCGCGGGACTGCTTATCTGAAAGCTAGACGGGGCTTTCGCACCCTTCCCACCCTGCTGGGAAGCGAGCCCAGCAGCATTGATCGCACGACTAGCATGGAGCTTGCGCAGAGCATCGGCACGGGCTTGCCGGTACATCTCGATAGCACGCTGTAGGCTAGAGTGGAAGTTCTCATTCACCGCGACTTCCACATTCGGGACACCAGCGTACATGGACCAGATACCTGCATTTGGTTTCTGCTGGAACGGCAGCTCGTCAAGGATCTGCTTGATAGTGTATACGAGTGACTTAGTCGGCGGCCCGAGCTGAGCTATGAATGCGAGGAACATATCGCCAGGTGACTTCATAGACATTGGTGTGTCTAGGTAGGTGATAGAGTCGATGCTGGCCCGTCTGTCTGGCGTGATCGCGGTGTCGATGCCAACAGATGGCCTGTGCACACCTTCCGTGTCGTCCTCTGGATCCTCCGTGATGCGGTCGAGTATGTTCGGGCGTGCATCTTGCGTCTTCGTGGGTAACATTGTGCCGTTCACGTTCCCGTTCGTCGCAGGCTGTGTAAACGCATCGTCCATAAAGGAGAACTGTGCAAAAGCAGCACTTCTCAAGCCACCAAGATCTTGAGCAAGACCGATCAGGCAGTCCACAATCCTTGCTTCTAGATCATACTGCCGCTCCTTGCCAAGCAAGCACAGCTCGCGCTTTGCTTCACCTAGATTCTTACTCATCGAGCCAGAGGATGCCTGTTGATCACTTGTCAACTTCTTGTAGTACTCGTCCTCAAGATCAGAGCGGCGACCAGACAGAAAAGCTCGAGTGATGCTGATGAGAATGTCGGCAAGCAGATCAGTGTTCTTCTCCACATCCTTGACAAGCGAGCCACGTGCCGTGGTAGGTAATACAAGAATATTGACAGCAGTCACGATGACAACTCCCATGACAACCATAAACAGGACCTGGAGCACTCTTTCGTGAGAGAAAGATCCAGCTTGAACAGCGCCCTCCTTGATCAAGACCGTGATACATCCGAGCGAAGCCAGCGAACAAGCCACGTTCACAAGTGGATGTCCAAGTCGTTGCTTCACCCACGCGACCAAGCCGAGGCCCCCACCAATGAAAACGACGAGCACGATGGCATGTCCTACAGCTAGGAGATCTTGTCGGCCGAATAGCATACTGATCGTCATTGAAGTAAAGCTGACAAAAGCGGAGTAGAGCAGCGCAATCACTGCTAGGACAGTAGCTTCATGCATCGAGCCAATCGATCGAGCAGGATGGAACCATACTGTCACAGTGGCGACCATGTGCTTACTATCTTGCCTGTCTCCGATGAATCCAGCGATCGCAGGAACGAAAGTAGCCAGTGAACCGATCAAGTAAGCGAGAGCACACTTGAAGATGCCGAGCCCAGTCTTGGAGGTTGCAAATTGCCAGCCTTTGGTAGTCTGTTGCTTGGCTAGCTCCTGGAAGTGAAGCCATTTAGAGCTGCCTTGTCGGTTGGCTGTGGCACCATCGTCCAGTAAGGGCGTGGTCTCATCATCGCCGCTTAGGCGGTGTGTAGCCTCCCGTAATGTGAATGTCCGCTTCGATCTCTCCCCAGTCGATGGCGATATAAAGGAGGCACGCCGCAGTCTTCGATTCCAGAACCGGCCCTTGTTCTCCGGCAATGCTGGAGAAGATGCGCCGCCATTACTCGCTGCCATTGCGGCGCTGTCACCAAGCGCTCAAGTGGTGTCCATGCTGACGTGACCTCGTCGAAGGTTCTTGTCTGCTTACATGAGGAGGTGTAAACATCGGGAGTGTGGCGCAAACCACAGTCTAGTGGCACGGCTTCTATCGGGCCGTTTCGGACAATGGCCTCCGGCGGAAGCTTTCATGAACACAGAAACAGCTCTCAACTTTAGCTACTGCTCATCATACATACCAATCTCACCAGACGCCTTTACGACATCGCCTCCTCTCCTCATCTACGTCTAGCTGGTCTCTATTCACGATGCTATCTCGACTCGCGCCTCGAGCGGCGATTCGTACGGCTTTCCAGGCACAGAAGTCGACGCCACATTTGCTTCGCGCAGCTCCCATCACATCCCTGTTCGGAGACCGGATATCACAACGGAGAGGATATGCCACGCCTGCTGGTATGTCAGGACATCAGATAATATAAGAGCCACGGGATGAGAGGATCATGCTAATATCTATGCGTAGAGGAGAGAGACTTAGTAATCATCGGCGGTGGTGTGGCGGGCTATGTCGCCGCCATAAAAGCAGGGCAGGAGGGTCTGAAGGTATGCCATGATGAGTACATTGGGCCATGTACGCCGCTGACTGAATATACTAAAACAGGTAGCATGCATAGAGAAACGTGGCTCCCTCGGCGGCACCTGTCTGAACGTTGGCTGCATCCCGTCCAAATCCCTCCTCAACAATTCCCACCTCTATCACCAGATCCTCCACGATTCCAAACATCGCGGTATCGAAGTCGGCGATGTTAAGCTCAATCTCAAGCAGATGATGAGCGCCAAGGAGACCTCCGTCAACGGCCTGACGAAGGGTATCGAATTCCTGTTCAAGAAGAACAATGTCGAGTATATCAAGGGTACCGGTGCATTTGCGGACGAGCACACGATTGCGGTAAACCTCGTGGATGGTGGAGAGACGAGTGTAAGGGGCAAGAACATCTTCATCGCGACTGGAAGTGAAAGCACACCGTTCCCAGGTTTGACGATCGATGAGAAGAAGGTCATTACATCAACTGGTGCCATTGCATTGGACAAGGTGCCTAAGAAGATGATCGTGATCGGTGGCGGTATTATCGGTCTGGAAATGGCTTCCGTCTGGAGCAGGTTAGGTGCCGATGTCACAATTGTAGAGTTCTTGGGCCAGATCGGTGGACCAGGTATGGATGCCGAGATCGCAAAGAACACCCAGAAGATCTTTGCGAAGCAGGGCATGAAGTTCAAGCTCAACACCAAGGTTGCCGGTGGAGACGACAGCGGAGACCTAGTCAAGCTCAACCTGGAAGCTGCCAAGGGTGGAAAGGAGGAGACCGTATGTCAAAAGCACCCGGCCTATTCTTCCTCTAATCCTTACTAACATGATTGATCCCAGGTCGAAGCAGACGTAGTCCTAGTAGCCATCGGCCGTCGCGCCTACACCTCCGGCCTGGGTCTCGAAAATATCGGTCTCGAAACCGATGACCGCGGCCGCCTAGTAATCGACAGCGAATACCGGACCAAGATTCCTCACATCCGCGTGATTGGCGACTGTACCTTTGGCCCCATGTTAGCGCACAAAGCCGAGGAGGAAGCCGTTGCCGCGGTGGAGTTCCTGACCAAGAACTACGGACATGTGAATTATAACGCCATCCCGAGTGTAATGTACACCCATCCCGAAGTCGCCTGGGTCGGTCAGAACGAAGCCGAGCTAAAAGAGGCCGGTGTAAAGTACAAGGTTGGCTCCTTCCCATTCTCCGCCAACTCCCGAGCGAAAACGAATCTGGATACGGAGGGTATGGTGAAGTTCCTTGCGGACGCGGAGACGGATAGGATTTTGGGTGTGCACATTATCGGGCCTAACGCGGGAGAGATGATTGCTGAGGGGACGTTGGCGTTGGAATATGGAGCGAGTACGGAGGATGTTGGACGAACGAGCCATGCGCATCCCACGCTGGCTGAGGCGTTCAAGGAGGCTGCGATGGCTACTTATGGCAAGGCTATCCATTATTAGGCGTGGTCTAGTTTGGGGCCATGCATTGCGAGGAGACGAGGAGCCAGTGGCGATCAGAAAGGAAGGAGCGTGGTTTCAACTTGAGGGGGCGAGGCGTCAACATTGTGGCACTGCGAATTTTTGTGTATACCTCTGTTCACCGTAGCTGCATGCTGTAAAGTATTTTTGTTCGAACGTCTCATCTACTGAATCGCTAATGTCAATGACTCGCAGCACTGACCTCCGCACTCCGTGTCGTTCGTGCCGAAGCTCATGCTCTTGGTAGTACGAGTGTCTCAATGACAAAAGCCACACAAGACGCGAAGCAAGGATAGAAGCCACCACCCTTGCGACTCTTTCCGACCACTCCCCCGCCTCGCACATCACGACCATCTACGGCTTACACCTCCCCATATACCTCGGAAACAAACAGGTGTCCCTGACTGTATGCTGCTTACACAACCACGCCAGGAACCTCTCCAACCCGAGCCCATACCCGCCATGCGGACTCGTGCCATACCGTCTCAAATCTGTATACCAATAATAAGGCTCCGACGGAATCCCATTACGTGTATAAGCCTCCATCAACTCCTCATAGTTATCCATACGCATAGACCCGCCGATGATCTCGCCTACACCTGGCATCAAGCAGTCCACGGATTCCGTTACGCGAGGATCTTGGGGATCCTTTTGCATATAAAAGGCTTTGATCTCCGTGGGAAAGTGGGTGAGGAAGATGGGCTTGTTGATGATATCGGTCATTTTGCGCTCGGCGGCTTCCGCGATGTCGTCGCCGAAGACGTGTGGCTGGTCGTCTTCGTTTTTTATGTCGTGCTCGTTGAGCCATTGGATAGCGTCTGAGTACTTCATACGCTTGAAGGGACGCTCGGGCATAGTGAAGTCGGGGTTGAGTTTCTTGATCATGGATGCGGTGCGGGGGTGTGCGAGGACGATGGAGAGCACACCGCACATCAGGTCTTCGAGGTGAGTGAGTAAGTCGTCGAAGGTGATGAAATCTAGTTCGCCTTCAATGTGTGTGTATTCTGATAAGTGGCGTCGGGTTAGACTCTTCTCCGCTCGAAAGGATTTCTCAATGCAGTAAACATTTCCGAAAGACGGGATGGCAGTTTCGAGGTACAATTGGGAGGATTGAGTGAGGTAGGCCTTTTCGTTGTAGTAGTCGAATTCGAACAGGGTGCTGCCTCCCTCGACTTGCGTCTGCACTAGTGCTGGGGGAGAGACCTTGACGAAATCGAGTTCCCAGTATTTTGTTGCGAAGGCATGTTCGACTGCTTGCCGCACGTAGAGGACAGAGGAGATGGCCTCGTTGCGAAGGGCGAGGTGACGCATGTCGAGGAGAGTTTGGGCATCACCGTTCATTTGCACTTTGTTGGTGATTGCATCTTCTCCACCAGGTGCCTTCCCTATGATCTCGAAGTAGTCGGCGTGCAGTTCGCGGTCCATTGGGGCGTCGTGGTCGGAGGGGACGGCTTTCAATTGGCCTTTGATTAGGATGCTGGATTCGAGAGTGAGAGTCTGGGCGTGGTAGGTATTGGCGAGGTCGCCGGCAAGCAGGCATTGCATATATCCTGTGCCATCGCGAAGGCGAACGAAGAGCATGTTCTTTTGCTTGGCCTGGCGCATCACCCGACCTATGACTTGGACACGTGGTGTAGGGTCGAGCTGGATCTTCTCGGCGAGCTGGATTTTGTGCGCTTCTGGTAGACTTGGGTCGTCCTTGATGACGATCTTCTTTGCCTCCTCGAGAGCTTTTTCGCGTGACTCCTGCTCCTGCTTCTCTCTTATCGCCAGCTCGTTGGCCTTGCCCGCCTTCTTTCGCTGTGCATCGGCATAGTTGGCAGCTTTTTTGAGGGCCGCTTTCGCTGCAGGTTTCCACTTTACGCCCTCTTCTGGTGGCGACTCGGGATCTCGTGTGAAGAACGAAGCTTCGCCATTCTTTTGTAAGTATGCATATTGGACCGTCTTATACGGTTTCTCTTGTGTGCCAGAGTTCTCGTGGTCCAGCCCAGTCTCCTCGTCAATGTAGATATCTGGCTTGGCGGGGGACGCCATATTTTGTGTCTGCGAGGATATGTGAACAGCGAGAAACAGTGGCTGCAGCTGTTATGTTGATCGAGTCAATATTTTGGCTTGACTCAGAGGGAGAGGTTAATTTGGAAGGGGTTCAATGGCTAGTGTGGGGTTGGCGCCACACTGTGCGCGCCACAGTCAACAGTCAACACACATACTACATGTACTCCTTGTAAGACGTCGTCGAGGGTGTTGTCACCGGACAATGACCAGCGACGATCCTCCAGTTACCAGTGGTAGTGCATACAAGCTGCTATACAAATGCCACCAAAGCAGCTATGCCAATTCCAAGCGACCTTTCCTTCGTCCATGTGCACCGAACACCTTGCTACCATACCCAGGACATACCAATACCAGTACAATCTTCCTTCACTTGTTTCCTTCCTCATTTTCCATCACCTGCGTTTGGCCCTCTTGCTTGCCATTCTCGAACCGCGAAACCCTAGCACCCAGTCCAGAAGAAGCGAAATCCTACTTCGCCTTCCCCTTCCGCGCGCCAAAGCCTCCCGCGACCCGTCCAAGGTTGAGCGAACTCTTACCCTTAGCATGCCCAGCAGTGCCAACCGCTCCAGCACCAACAGCCTGCGGTCCAGGCCTGCCGAAACTCTGCGCACTACCCGGCCTCATAGCACCACTACCCGGCGGAATAAGCGTCAGCGGCTTCCTCCCCAGTTCGGGCGACGAGCTCCTCTCATCCAAACCGTCATGCTGTCCCGTAAGCTGCCTCATCTGCGCCCTCCTCACGCGTTCCTGCGTATTTCTGAACTTATCCAGTAGCTCTGCCCACCGAATCCCACCTTCTCCCGCCCCAAGACCCTCTTTACTCCTCAGCCGATTCTGCCTCTCAAATGTACTGACACTGCTCGGCGTGTTAGGCTGACTGCCCACACCTCCACGCCCGGCAATCCCAAAGCCCAAATATCCAATCGCACTAACGCTCCCCAACCGATTCTTCAGAGCCGCGAAAGCAGAAGACTGCGGGAGAAGCATGAGAAGGCCATAGAGACATTTATACAGATGTGGGAATCTCTCCGGCTCAAGAAGTTGCATGCGCAGGTATGTGAAGACTGGACTCTCAAGTAGTTGGACCAATTTATCGATCTGGATAAGCATCGTGACTGTCATTTCCAGCTCGGCGAAGATCTGGAGGAGGTTGTAGGCTTGTTCGTACGCCTGCGCCAGGAGACAGAGGGAGAATGTCGCGACGGCATTGACGCACCAGGCTTTGAAGAGGACCGTGAAGAAGGTCTGGCCATCTTTGGAGTCAAGATTCCTAAGTCGCTTTCTCAATTCCTGGAGCTCGGGGGCAGTGAGGAGATTGTTGTTCAGATTCTGTACCATGATGGAGGCGAACTCGACGTCTTCGTCGCCGTCGCGCTCAAGGCAATCGGCCATAGTCCGGTAGATCTTTTCTGGCAGCAGCGAGAGACAAAGCTGTCGAATGATCAAGTTGCCTCGCGTCTCCAGCAAGTTTCGATCTGTCGTGAAAAGTTTGAGCAGATTCACCATGAATGAGGTAAAGTAGCTGTCATCGCTACTCTTGCTTATCTGGCTCAGCAGCAGCAAATCTCGGGTCACGACCGCTTCAGCGGGATCGCTCAAAGTCTTAAGCAGAGCTGGGAATGTGGCGTCTTGGATTGCGAGGATCTTGCGAGGAGATTTACGGTGGAGCATTATCAGCCAGGCCAGGGCGGCAACGCGAGTGGCTTCATGTTCATGGAGAAATTGTAGGGTCAGAGCGTTGACGGCGGCTTCGTAGTCGAGGTCAGTATGAGGTTTGTCGTTGCCATTTGGTTCGGGTGCTGTGGTAGCGTCCGGTTGTGATTCTGGGGTGTGGACTTGGTTGAGACGGGAGGTCTCGGTGGGTTCGGGACTTGCAGGTTCTTTCCCTTGTTGCTGTTGTTGTTTCAGGCTAGGTGCACTGTCGCGGCGAGAATCACCATTAGTCTGTGTAAGGCGCTTGATCGTCGGAATGGTTGGAGCGGATCCTGGAGCAGGTTGCGGATTTGGTGGGACCTGTGTGGCGATCTGCGCAACTTCTGGGTTGATTGGCGGCTTCGCTGGGTCTTCTGGCAACGACATGATGTATGCCATCAAGGCCTGGTTGACCCTATTCGCCGCTTGCTTGACATGATCTACATCGTGACTGAGAGCCGGCAGGAGGTGGGCGAGCAGTCTTGGTGTGAAGAGAAGGATGTCCTCCGGACAGATATCGAGGAATGTTTCGATCCATTTCAAAGCTGTGACTTGCACTTCCTCTTCGCTAGACTCAGATAGGTAGGTGACTACAATGTCCAGTATCTGTTGGTAGTCGATCTGTACGTCCTGGCCTGGGATCCATTCGTCCTCCAAGTCATCTAAACCATCCTTCTCGCCATCGGACGCAGTCAGTGTTGAGGCGCCATCAGCAGCCGGCGAGTCCACGCCACCATTCTGCGGAGTCTGTGGAGTCTGCGGCGGCTGCTTCGTATCCGTACCTGCTGTTTCTGGCTCCACACCAGCTGCCTCCACTGACTCCGGCTCGGTGCTGGTTATGGCAACAGCATCACTCGATCCACTAGGGATGCGCTCTTTGTCATCTCGACTCTTCCTACTCTCCGCAATGCCCTTTTTGACTGCTGCAATCTTCTTGATCTCTGTCAAAAAGCGATCCAAAGCAACCTTAGTGGTTGTGTGGACATCCTGGTTAGGGTCGCTCAGGAATTTGAGCAGGCCTGCTAGAAAGCTAGGTAGGTACGCAACCAGCTCCAGATCTGGTACCGAATCTAGTAGTGTGATCCAAGAGACCAGGAATGTTCTCGTGAACGGGTTTAGCACATGTATTCGTTCTTGTAAAAGTGGGATGAAGTCATGTAGACTGAAAGCTGTGCGCTCTTCCGGACTCCGCTCTGGTGGGTTATCTTCCAAGTCTATTACCGCAGTCTCTGGCAACAATATACTGGCATATGTTGCAGCTGACTCAGACACAATATCCTTGACTAGGCGATCCAGCAGTTCAGCTCCGTTCTTGACCGACAACTCGGTGTCTGCTGCTAACTTGCACAAAGCATCGAAGACATCATTGAAGTAGACCAGGATCTCGCCCTTTGCAACCTTGGCAATATTGTACATGCTTTCACACGCATAGTATCGTACTCTTGCATCCTGGTCGGAGAAGCAGGCGAGGACTGGTGGTACTATCTCTTTCAGGTAACGGGCAACTTCCTGAGCATGTCAGTGCTTCTACTCAATTACCGTATAGTTCAATCCTTACTGATCCGAGTGCTATAGCGGCAGCAGCAAGCCCGATGAGCCCTCCATTCCTCGCATGCGGTTGGTGTACCGCGTAGGCATAATCATGGCACAATTGGTGTACGATCTTGGCGATTCGGTCGTGATTGTTCTCGGCGAGGGCATTGCGGATTACAGACTCCAACCTATGTCCCTCCTCCGTTAGTTTCTGCGCATATAATCGCTGTTCATGCTGTTTCTTGGATTCGTGGATGCGGGATAGAAGGGATACGAGATCCTTGGCCAGAGGCATCTTGTCGGCAGCATGACCTGCATGGGATGGTGTTGTATCGTATGGGGTGGGATGCTATGTTGGACTTACTCCAAGGCTCCTTGTTTCCGTTTGTCGTAGAGCTTATCTGAAAGGGCTCGCGAGACGGTGGTGTCCATGGTAAGGAAGGCGCGGATGGGCCGGCTCCCTGCATGCTCTTATGCTCGTCTAGGGCAGCTTCGATCGAGCAAGTTATGTTGCCATGTCTCAACGTGAGCAAACTCCTGGACCCAGCAAGCGATTGATGGCGGATGATGCTCGTATGGCTTAGGTCAGGCTAATCTTCGAAAAGCAAGAGACTCGATCGGGTAGCTTTATGGACCCCACGTCAATGTCAACAGATCATCCCTGCCAGTGCCACGCGAGTTGCGCGTCAGAGAGAGCCAAAGTGGCGCAGCGCCAAACTTTGCTTTCTTGGTCTGCCTGCATCATCACTCAAGAACAACTTCCAGGCAGACACATTCACGCTGTTCATGGTGAGTTGTCCCGCCATCGACTTCCTGATCATACCCTCCTGGGAGCCTGAGCAAGGAGCGCCCATAGGGAATCGCTTCAAGGAATCCACGCTGCCTACATTATTTTTGCCTCCAGGAGAGTAGCGAGCGAATGTTGAGAGCATCGACGCGCCATCTTATCACTCAACCTTGACTTCTGGCTCGAAATACCACAATGGCACCCATCAAGGCAAAGAGTCCCTGGCAACGCTTCCTCCGTGCAAACTTCAGCCCAGCACCTCTCTATCCGCTAAAGGGAATGTGGTATTTCGCATCGCACCGCTATATCCAGCCCACGATCAAGACTCGGCTCATACCTCTCACCATCCTTTCCTCCAGTATCCTGGCTATACTCTTCTTGACAGCCTACTTACCACTTGTTGCCTTCCTGGCTCTATTCCACTACAAGGGCTCGGCATGGCTGAACGCCACCTTCTCCATTCTGGTTGTCGGGATGCTCTTGATCCAGCTACTATTCGAGGCGCTATTCGTAGACGGCACGCAGGTCGATATCTTCGATGCTGTAATGATCAACGAGGGGTACGAGCACCTGGTCAAGAATCGCAGGCCCGTGTCAGACGATATCGACGAGAGTGATCCGCTGAAGCGTATGGGAGGAAAAGAGAAGGGAGCTACATTCGCACCCTTCTCGTTCCGCCAAATTATCGAGCTGCTGGTCTGCCTGCCACTCAACTTCATACCTTTTGTCGGGATCCCGCTCTTCCTCCTCTTAACCGGCTACCGTGCAGGTCCGCTACTGAATCGACGATACTTTGACCTGAAGCAATTCAATAAGCAGGAAAGGAATGCTTTCATCAAGACGAAAAGGAGAAGGTTCGAGTACATGTGGTTCGGGACTGTGTACTTGTCCCTGCAGCTTATTCCGATTCTCTCAATGCTGTTTCTACTCACCAGTGCAGCAGGTAGTGCATTGTGGTCTGTACATGTGGAGCAGGAAAATGGCAGCGAGATTATGGAGGGAGAGGACTTGCCGCCGGCTTATGCTGATAGTATGTGAATCGAGCATCATTCTTACGTCGAAGAGCTGCGCTCAGCACACGATGAGCATGTATGTCTTATTTATCTGGTCGTTGGACGATGATCGTGCCTGTATAATCTTGGCCCCTAACCAGGCTACTCGAAGCGGAAGGGCGCCACAATCCTGAGGCTGAGTGCTGGGGTCGCACCTGCACAAGAGTACTAAGCTACCAACGCAGTCAACTTACCCTCCTACTGTGGCCTGGCAATGACTTGTAGCTCAACCGAAGTACGACTCTGTGATGCGCTGGACACATTGAAGTTCGCATCTAGTTCTTGTCACACTCGTTAACCTCACCATGTCCGAGGAGAACTCACATCCACCTGACATCGCCATCTCTCGAGCTTCAACTGAGTCTCGAGCCAGTAGCGAGCGAAGTGGCAAACAGCCTGAACAAGCACGAGGCCGACTACCATCTCCCAAAGTCGACATGGAGAATGTCTATAGCTCTACCTGGCGACGTCGGAGAAGGGAAGCTTGGAGGTATCGCAACCACAGTCCTGATGTCGAATGGCATATCAAGTGGACCACTGGCTGCTTCCCAAACGGTCGTGTTCTCATCATAGACTATATTAGCAACCAGATTGTCCAAAAGGCCAAGCCCACAGGCAAACGACATGTCGCTGTTCGCGCGGCTGAGTTCCAGGACCTCGCTAGTCTCGAACATTTCTATGCGGACCCTAAGACTGCTCATAGTGCTGCACTGCGCGTGATTCATGTGCAGAATGCGACATGGGCTACTCGTTTCCTGCTAAGGAAGTTCAATGTTGATCATCCCAGCGAGATTGTGGGTATGCAAGGCTTTTCGAAATGGGCCCGGTACGAGAAGCCGAGACAGAGGAACGGCAAACCCTTCCCTAATGGCCGTTCGTTTCGAGAGCAGACGGATCCTTGGCGCAATGTATCACGTACAGCATTTGGTCTGGACTATCTGAAGGCTTATGCAACTGCACCTCCGAACAAGCGTCAACGTCGTACGATCTTCGGCGACAGACCCGTGGAGGCTAAGATGATGCACCTGAACGCCTACGGCGACAACCGAAGTCCATATGGTTACGACGTATCCGTGCAGAGGCTATCAGTCTATGTGCAGCGTCCACTAGGCCCACGAGGTCTTGTCAGCCCCGACATGGACGTCCGCAACCCATATCGACACATAGCCAATGGCCGTCCCTCTTTCAAGGAGGACAACAATAAAGTCGACCTCGATACCCTCGACAACACAAACACCATCATCGTCTTCGAGACCTCCGCCTCAATGATGCTAGAAGACTGCCTAGTACAACCGCGCAACGACTTCGAACGAAGATGGCGCCGCCTATCCTTTTACCTGAAGAAGGAGGAAGCCCTCAACGACTCCCGACTAGCCGCTCAATGCACCAACATGATACTCGCCGACGTTTTTCACGGCCTAGGCGTAGTCTGGGAAGAATTCCTCGCAGCCGCCACCGACCACGTCAATATCCTTGAAGATAAAGTGTACGAGAATCCGAGTGACGAAAGCCGCGCGCCCGAACTGTGGACCAACCAAGCAGCATGGCTCAAAGTCGACAAAGTGATGTGGGTCCATCAAGATCTCATCAAGGAAATGCAAACGCATATGCGAGAGCTTGCTGAAGTGGAGGTAGAGGAGGAAGAGGAACCGATGCAGCCGCCAGAGTGGCTAGCGAGTACACCAGCCGAATATGATAAATTGGGTCATAGTGTGCAAGAGGATCTGGTGCAGCCGACGAATAATCTGAGCGATCTCATGTATGAATCTGTCGGAATCCGGGGTTCGAGGCAGTCTTTGCAGTTGGGACTTAGCATGTGGAGGCTTTCGTGGATCACTTTCATCTTTTTGCCGTTGACTTTTATGGTTGGTAAGTGATTTGAGACGGCAATACTACACATAAGTGCCAGACTGACTTGATATACTGCAGGTGTCTTCGGCATGAATGTAACTTGGTTCGATCCGCCAACGAACGTTCTGTGGTGGTTCGTTTCTTGTATTGTCCTGATGCTGTTTGGTAAGCACCCTTCGCACAGCATCCCATCTGAGTTGAGGTTGCCTTGTGCTGACACTGCTCCCTACAGTGCTTGTACTTTGGTACTGCGTGAAACATAGCCTGCAACGACGCCGTCAAACACCCTACCAACGCGGCCTGTACGAGCATCTCTTCACAGAGCTCGAAGACGAATACCCACTCCTGTGGTCCGGCAGTGGCGCTGCTGAAGACATCCAACCTCAAGGCTTCGTTAACCACTTCAAATGGCGACTACTAAAACAATGGTTCGCGCCCGAGAAGACTATCAACAAGAAACTTTACAGCTCCCTCTCGCCTGACGGAGACGATGCTGAGCTTGGTAGCTGGGCACGAACAAAACGATACCTATTCCGTCGCTGGCTCCCGGAGATTCGGAGGAGCCAGATTCCAAACCCTGGCAATACTCTTGCGATGGCTGAGCTATGACGAACAAGTCGTACATCAATCCACAGTACCCACAGCGAGCCAACTGCTATACACGAACTCGCGAAATCGTCCACACCTCTAGCCATTGCGGAAGCGGAACCCTCTGCTCTACAGCAGATCTCGACATTAGGCCTGAGGCCTCTTAGTCTGACAGAGAGGAGGACGAGTGTGGGTTCTAGCATAGGTATGAGTTTTGGTGCTAGTGGTGGTGGGAGGAGGCATAGCAGCGAGGAGAGGCCTTCCAGTCGAGGCAGTAGTGGGATCATGATTGAGGAGAGGAATTTTAGTGATAGTGAGAGTGAGGCGGAGGGAGCTGTGGCGGCGCATTCGGTACATTTGCATATTGACGAGAATGAGCATGGTGGGCCTGGTCATTAGACCTGGATATCGACAGACAATATATATTGCGAAGTATCTCGAGCGCTCTGAGTAGTGGCGAACGAACAACATGGAATTGCCGCTCTCTCATCAACGAACTGTCTATATGACCATTAACGAAGTCGCAGAACAGGCCTCGCGCTCATCTTCCAACCACACCAGATCTCGTTCAAAAGCTACAGCAATAGAGCCGGATGCCCATCCAGCGTAAGAGTAATCCTACACCTACACCCCGGACACCTAAAAGCCTTCTTCCTCCTCCCACCTCCTCTCCTCTTCCTGATAGTCCTCTCGGGAGCCCGATGCGCATAAGTAGGTGTATCCGGAAGCCTCGCAGTCCTACGAAGATGATGGACCGGTCGCAAAGCGTCAAGGTAGTCTACTTCCTCTGGCGAAGGAGTATAGAAGCGGTGTGGTGGTCGAGGCGCTCCGGGAACACTGGGAGAAGGTGGGCCTTCGCGAGGAGTTCGTGGTGGGCTTGGCGTCGCAGGGGTAACAGGGGGTGTTGGGTTGGTGTCCCACAGGAGTTTGAAGAAGGTCCAGATTGCTGCTATTGTTGGCGCTGAGACAATCTTCTTGTTTGCGGTGCAGTGCTTATTCTGGATTCATTGGCCTGTCCGAAAAAGCTCGCTTGGATCTCGGTATTGCAGACTGTATCGTAGACAGTCAATATCGACCGCGTGGTTGAACTGGTGCGATGGGATAATGCATGGTCATGTTGGCAGTATCTTAAGAACAGCTTGTCGGGACACAGCGGACAAAGGATTGTGCCCCTGTCGTAGACCATGTTCAAGAAACGTTCGCCGGATCTGAGTATGATCGAGTGGGGAGGACAAAGAACAAAGCATACAGTAACGAGCCATCTGATATGGGACCGACAGGGCAGCGACTGAGACACAGTGGTCGAAAATGCTTTATCGGAGTCCCAAGCATCAGATCTCATGCAACCGGGTGCTTCCCGGAGACGTTGATGAGAAACTCGCTGCACGCACATCCGAAGCCTCATGACATTATCTTGCCAAGACCAACCACTTCGAATACTACTCCTCCTCACTGCCATCACCCTGCATCCTCCCCTTCACCGACTCCTCGCTGACTTTCCTCAATACATCCAGGACAATCTCACACCCCTCCCTGATAAAACCCTCTTCTCTTCTCTTCTTCGCCAGATCAGCTCGCATTACCACGATACTCATAAACAACTGCAGCCCCTCAATCATCTGTGGCGCTCTAGAAGTGGCAGAAAAGATATCCCGAAGTTTTGCCGCGTAGTCGTCGTTCTTCTTGTGGGCCTGCAATAAGACGGTGGTAAGTAAAGAATTGCCGAATACGTAGGCCTTCGTGTCGGGGCGTGAAAGGAGCCCATAATCCAATGTCTTCGTGGCGGCGATGGAGAGACATCCGTGTGCAATCAAAAACCCATAGAGCCTAGCCAAAATAACGACTTTCGTCATGCTAAGCTCGTCTCGTCCCTCATCATCGTCACCCTCACCATCATCAGCCAGTTTCTTGATACTATCCCACAACGTCTTCTGAAACCCCTTACCCATCCCTTTGCCACCATCCTCACATAATCTCCGTGCCAGGAACCCATAAAAGGGGTTCCAGCCTTGTTCCACACCCGCACAATGCACCAATACGCCTGGTATCTCAGCTGATTGCTTGCTTCTCAGCTTTAGGGCTTGAATTCGCTGGTAAGCGTCTACGTAGTCCTCGGCTCCGACTATGTTGATGAAGATGAGACGGCGAATGTCGGTGTTCATGCCTTGGATGCGAGCAGCTTTTGTTAGATTTACATGGCCAGGGGTGTCGGATTCGTAGCCATCGTCTACGTTCCCGCTGGCTTTGCTACCGGGCGTGGCGCCGGGGGCTGTGGTGGAGGCGAGTTTGGCGGGATCATGGTAGCTGGCGCCCACGAGCCACCATTTCCCTTTCTTTGAGCTGTCGCGGATATCTGCGAGGGTGATCCGGAGTGGTTCAGAGGCTCGTAGAGGGCGAGTGTTGAGAGTGCCCAGTATCTTCCGCATACGTGTTGTGTGTTCTGCCACGACTGCTGAATTGGCTACGCCGGTCTTCATGCGATTGTTCTTGAGGTCGCGTATGGTATCGATCATATACCTCGTGCGGACAGAGATATTGGCCTCGCCTGCCTCAGTAACTTGTCGCTGGAGAAGCAGCACGATATCTTTCAGTGCTGTTGGATCGTCTTTACGAAGCTGTGTGTCTGATGTGCGAATGATGCGTAGTAGCAGCTCCGTGTTGTCTTCCGTCAGCTCGCTGAGGAACAGACGGATGTAGTCGAACAGAATAGCGCTACTGATGACCTGGAAGGCGTATAAAGTCGACATGAACGCCACCAGATTGAGCTGCTGCTTTCCTTCGGCATTGTCGGCCTGTCTATAGCCGTCTAGTACTTCGACAAGTCGTTCAACCAGCTGTGCACCAAAGTCCGTGCCGACGACCTTGTACAGCGCAGCCACGAAACCAGCATGCAGGATAAGGAATGTGTCGTTGAGGATTGCTGGGTCAGTGACTAGTCCCACAAGCAAGTCGATCAGTGTAGACGTTACATGCTGCCTCGCGCTCTTCTCATAGATCTGCTCTACAGCTTGCAAGATAGAGAGCAAGTTCGCATCAGAGAGACGATTCAGCTGGCCTTGTATTTGTCGGCGTAATTGCTTGAGTACTCCCTCGTCGGACGTGGCAGCTTTGCGTAGTGACGGCGGAATGTATTTGCCGGTGGCACCTGCAGTCGAGTCGCCTTTCGATACTGGAGCCACGTACGGATTCTCACGTTCTCGCTTTGGCGACGATGGTCCGTCGTCTTCTGACTCGAAGCCACCAAAGTCATCAGACATCTCATCCTCCGAAAATGGGTTCTCAATCCCATCAGACTCATCATCCATAGCTAAAGCGTCCTCTGAACCTTCTTCCTCAGCCTCAGAGCTGGAGACCGTTTCTACGCGATTCATCTTCAGCCGCTTGTCTCGTAGCCACTTCGCATCTTCATCTGGTCTTTTTCGCTTCTTCCTGCCTTCCTCTTCGCTATCAGAGCCCGTGACCAGCCAATCGAGCTCATCATCGCCGATCTCATTACTGCTTTTCTTGCTCTTCACGCCCAACTTCCGCTCCAGGGCTGTGATCTCATCGTCCTCATCTGCTAATCCAGCCTTGGCTGCCTGCCGTGATATCATGAACGAGTCGTCGCTTTCAGTTTCACTCAAAGCATCTTCACCTTCCTCCTCCTCATCCTCGCTGCCTATATCCTCGAGTTCTGTCTCCGCTGTGGACTCATCGTCAGAGACAGCTGATTCCGGTGCTGGTGCTGGAGTTCTTCTCGACGATTTCAAGATCGATTTGACAGGCTTGGCGTCCTTCGACGGCCTCACTCGTATCTTGTCTACTCGAGATCTGTCCGGCTCCTCATTGTTGAGCCTGATTGGCACTCTTCTCGCAGTAGCACTGATTTGTACCCCCCCACCCTTCTTCGCCTGCCTCTCTGCCTTCCGTCTGTCTTTCCGAGATGTGTCTCTGCCTCCTCGCTTCTCCACACCTCCCACTTGGTCCAATAATGTCTTGGGCAGTTTGGGACCGCCATAATTACTTCGAGCCATAATCACAATCCTCCCGCCATGGAAAGGTAGAAACTTTGTTGTTTCGCCGAGCTCTATTGAAGAATGAGAGATACCAGAAGCCTACCTGCTAGCTTATCTCATTGCCCTATGAATGATAGATTGTCGTATGCTGAGTAGATCTGAATTACGATCAATTTTTTGAAGCATCTTTGGCGCACCAATCAGAACATCCCACTTTTCAATTCAACTTCACACTCACGCGACCCATGTATATATTGCTCGATTGAAAACTATCTATGCCCAGGATATAAGAGGAGAATGGCGAAAGAACACTTGAGCAACGAGGCTTTCTTCACTCAATTGACCTCATTGATCGAGAAGACACAGCAAAAGGGACATGGAGCTGTCTACTTGACGCAAAAGCGATGTATACCATAGCCTCTTCTTAGCCCTGGCACACCTACTGATGGACAAGAAGTAACGTTCGATGCATCCTCGACCACGACCACAGCTCAAAAGATCGCAGACGACCCGCTGTGGGATCTGAACCCGCCCAACCCTCTCCCTCTAATCATCCGGGCCACGGACGGCAAGAGTCACAAGCTTGGGCCAGAAGGCACGAAAGGCGGGAAGGGCGGCAGGACGAAGAATGCAGATAAGGTGAAGCTCAAGACAGTCGTGCAGCCGGATGATCTGGACGCCTTCTTTGCGAAATACGCGGAGGTGTGCAAGGCGGGAATGCAGAGTTTGAAGAAGAGGGATAGGAGTAAGCGGAAGAAGGCGAGCAAAAAGAAGGGTGGTGCTGGTACCGGTGGGGATGGGAAGGTATGAGGGCTTCTGCCTGGCGGTCCTATCGGTAAAGGAGAAACGGTCATGGATGTTGGCAAGATTCATGAGATATGAGATTATGATATGGAAATGGACCACGACAGCATCCCAAAACATCACCTTGGATTGAGCATATGCTCATGTCGGGAGCATAAGAGAAGAGACCTCTGCTTCAGCTGGCACGTGATTTGGACGGCACGTGAGAGTGGCAAGCTAGTGCGACGTCGATATCGTGGATGACAGGGAAAATTCCGCTTTCTGTCCTAGGCAGTGCGCTTGCCGGACTCGGCGTGTGCAAATTGGTGCCAGCACGATGGATGGTTGTTCTTGCTGCTTCGACAGGAGGGTATCTAAGCTTCCCACGGCCTGCAAAGCTTGGCGTCATATTCTGCGGCCTCCTCCACGACACCACATTTGCGCACAAACGGATAGAATCCTACACGCCTCTCTGTATAGCATACCATCATGCGTGTCACTTCACCACGATAGGCCTCAAATCGACTACTTCGCGATGTACATTTCTGCGGACATGAGTAAGCGGCAATCGCAAGCAAGACAAAGGCTGGACGGTACCCGCCTGTTATCCTCACAGACCTCACCAGTCTACTCCCATCGTCTTGGTCACGAGTATAGGCTCAGGCTATTAAAAAGGGACCACTAGTTGCTGTCAATCCGGTCAAGCTCAACACAAAATTCAAGCAACAGCTACAATGGCATCCCATCAACTGGTCGTCTCCTTCAGCCATGTTGTCCTCAACTTCCCGAGTAGGCAGTTGTCCTCAGATAAGACTGGTCTTTGCACAGTGACCACCGAGCGTCTGGTGTATGGTAAGCCCTCAAGTTCTCGCACCTGAATATTCTTGTCTCTGCTTCACACTTTTGTCTCCTTTCTCTTCTCTCACACAAGTTTGCTTGCATCTTCTCTTTACACAGTACAGACGAACTTTAACTGCACCACTGTCAGACTACAGTCAAACTACAACCACACAATCAAACACCTGCTCAACAGCGTATCTCGAGGGTGAGGATGTTTCGTCAGCAGCAAGCCGCTTTTCACCAGCAGCGTCAGACTCTCCCGCCGTCGTATGGGACGCCAGTACCACAAAACCAGTACTCCATGGCCGGGATGAATATGCCGCTGAACCGTGCATCACCGATGATGCCTCAGTCATACCTTGGCTTCAATCAGCCAGCTCACAACCCGGCACTGACTCCATGGCTAGCGAACCTCCTCGAGATGCCTCCCTACGTGAACGCCCCTCTCCTGACCCCGACGCCTTCCAGATCTCAGCAGTTCACCGGGCCCAACGAGCTTGGATACTGGACCCCGGCACCATATAACCAGCGCGGTGTGCCAGGGATGCCGAATGGCACGATGATGCCCTCTCAACGGCATGATTCCTTCGCAACACCGGCTCGTAGGCCGGCAGTACCTCCTCAGTTGCCTTTCGCGACGGGAAGTCACTTGCCAGGCGGACCTTTAAGGTCTACTATGCAGCCGGCGCATGCAAATTGGTATTGTCCAGCAATGCTACCGGCGTCTTCACCTCTTCCTTCTCAACAGCATGGTCGCTTCCCTACACCCGCTGCTAGGCCGGCAGTATCTCTTCAGTCGCCTTTGGCGACGGGGAGCCACTTGCCAGGCGGATCCCTTGGGTCTACTATGCAGCCGGTGCATGCGAATCAGTCACCATCGTCTGCTCCTCATCCCGTCATCGACCTCACCCAGCCTGAGGGTCCGATCGATCTCACCGAAGAGGAGGAGTATGACGACACTCAAGATGCTCCGGGCTCTCCAGATCCCCACTATGTCGTTGACTTCACCCCTGAGGAAGCGTCATCTGTACCAGAGCCAGCCGCTCCCAAGCCTATGGGATTTGTCCAGTATATGTCGAAGAACTGGCTGGAACGGGCGCCCAATTTGTTCACGAATGGTACTGATGGTGAGGAGAAGATTATGGAGTTCAGCAATCTCAAGTGCACGGAGAGAGAATACGAGGAGCTGAAGAAAAGCGGGCTGAAACCCTCACATGGTTTAGTAACCAGGTCGGCCCCTAAGAAGAAGGGTAAGGGTAAATGCACCTTGACGTCGTCAAAGTCGTCGAAGCGTGGGCGGGCAGTCGAGGATGATGGGGAAGATGACAGGGCAGCTAAGCGTCGTTCGCCGTCCAAGAAGACGACTGCGAGCCATGAGAAGACTGCCAGTCGTCCTGAGACGTCTGTCGACGAGCCAGTCGTTGCCGAGAGCTCGACGATGGCTCAGGCTCGTGAGTTTGCGGAAACGAGCACAGCTGCGCAGTCTCTCGGTGGGCCAGAGGTGCCTATCGCTGGCATAGAGGCCGCCAACGCCTCCTCACCGCTTATGGTACATGAGACAGGCGCAGCTGTACAGTCTCTTGGTGGGCCCGACGACCCTGTTGCTAGCATAGAGGTCGTCGAAGCCTCCACAACGCCTATCGTGCAAGAGACGACGGAGTCGGAAGCCGACTTGGACGAAGAGGTTTTTCCGTTTACCTCGGCGGCAACGGAGAAAGCAGAGGAGTCTGACGATGACTCTGGTGGAGAGCTCGTGTTGGAAGGTGAGGTCGGTACTGGTGAGGTCACTGCGGTAGAGGAAGAGCAGGACCAGACGGAGGGGGGGCTCGAGATGTCTGCGGACGATCTTATAAGAGAGTTGGGATTGGCATTAGAGGAGAAGGACACGGTTCCAAGGGCGCAGGAGGCATTTTTGGAGTACGGGCGGGCACAGATGGACGATGAATCTGAGGAATCGGAAGAAGAGTGATTGGCTTCCAGCGTCTCAAGCAGAAGATACATATTGCATACCATGGCAACGACTATATCACCATATCCAAATATCGCCTTCTCGAGCTCGTATTGTGGTGTAAAGAGGACATGTAAAGGTGAATCACCGCCAAGCCTCAGGCAAATCGCGCGTGCCTTCCACTTTTTAAAACCCCACTCCATTCACCAACGCCCCAGCACAGACCAGGTGAATGCCCCCCCTGCAAGTGACGACGCTAACAAAACCGCGAAACACGTCTCCGTCCCGCCAACATCACCGCTGCCACATTTATAGATTCGCCGGCTCCAAGCTGGAGCTTCTCAAGAACACACCTGTCTCAGATACTCTCGAAAACGAGCACTACGAAGCAAGACCTTGTCTACGTCTACATCGACTCGATAACGCACACAGCAGTGATCTCTAGCGAAGGTACATACTACGACAGATGTTACACATCATCCATACACACATACTCTTTGTGCCACATCTCGCGCACCACGACTATCGCCCACATAATACTCACACGCACACATTCCCTCGAGATGGATCCGATCACCAACAACACCTCTCAAGACAAGCAAGCCCAGGCCGATCGTAGAGCTGAGGCCATGGCTCGTCTGGCGAAGAGGCGGCAACGTCGACAGAACAAAGACACCAGCACCCAATCCACCGGCGATGACGACCACAATCCTGCTCCTGCCTTTGAGGACGCTCCCACCACTCCTCTCCTCGAGAAGAACTCGCAGAAGAAGGTGCAAGTCTTGGTCCCGAACAAGCCACGCGCACAACCAAGGAAGACAAATGCGCCCGAGAACCCCTCACGCTTGTCCAAGGTCACCGCAGTGAATGAAGTGATCGATGAGGAGAATAAACAAGACGATCTCGAGGTTCAGTTGGAGGCGGCTTTGAATGCAGACTCAGCAGCACAGCCCACCGCTATCAAGGAGGCTGCTAAGGTGGTCGACAACGATATCGATATCACCGCCGCAGAAGTGGATCGCTACAAGAATGCAGCCAGCGATCTCAATGCTATGAACGACAAGTTCACGCGGAGCATGCAGTACAAGCGGTACGATGCCTGGGGTGACTGCATTCCCAGCAGTCTGGACGCCATGGGCGTCACGGCTCCATCTCTCGCTACTACCAAAGCCCAAGCAGCAGCTGTCGCCGTACAGGTTGCCAAGCCGAAGGTGTATGGCAGGACCATCACCAAGTTACAGGCCAAGCAGATGAAGGGTGGTGAGGACATGCCCGAGCTTGGGTCGCTGGACAGCGAGAGCTCTTTCGAGGATGTGACCGTTGTCTCAGATGACGACGAGGAGGATCCGACGATTGAGGTGGCCAAGAAGAGTGGCAGCCGTAAGCATCTCGAGGTCATCATGAAGCCGAACGAGAAGTTCACATACGCTGAGCTTCCGAACCCTGTCCAGCCGACTGCTCCTATGAAGCGCAAGCACAATGATAGTCTGGCGTTACCTCAGAAGATTGCAAAAGTGGACGTCGACGAAACTCCTAAGCGCACACAAGAGCAGGAGCTCGCTGATGACCTCAAGGAGCACCATAAGCAGACCACTGCTAGTGCTAAGCAGCGTCTAGTCAAGCCTGCGACGGGCGTCAAGGGTACCAAGAAGTCGAAGGACATCCCTGTCGACGACGACGCCTGGTGGGAGAAGCCTATAGGCGAAGGCGAGGACCTCTTCGGTGAGGACGTCGAGGATGAGTCTCATGCTGGTGCAGATATCACGGCTGAGAACCAGACTACTGCCGCTGAAATCAAGCAGCACGCAGTTGAACATGATGTTCAGACCATGCTGAGAAATGGCAGTCTTGCTGCGCTTGCGTCAGTGGTTGGTGAAGACGTGGGCTTGAATACAGAGAACGACACTACTGAGAGCAGCATCGACGAGAGCGCTGTCATGGCTGGTGCACCGGTCTCTATGGCTGCTGACGAGCATGGCCCTGGCGAGGAGAGCCATATTGCGGACGCTGGTAATGAGGCTGCTGTCGTCCATGACACTGCCATTCCGACTCCACAGAAGAGCAGCACTGCGCCTGTCCAGTCGAGCAAGCGTGCTCGTGAGATCGATGAAAACTACGATGATGAAGACGAGGCTCAGCCATCTCCGAAGAAGACGAAGGTCGATGAGCCCGCCGCTGTCAAGCTGGCTCCTGTCACTCAGACTGCGACCAAGCCCATCATTGCAGGTCCCATGGCGAACTTCTCATTCGGCTCGAAGCGCCCATCCCGTCAACCTCAGCTTCGTAGAGCCATTGCCCCTGCACCCTCTGCCAACACTCCCTCGTCTCACCAGTCAGATGCGCAGCGCGGTCTGACAGGCATCGAGGCGATCGAGCAGCGCAACCGCGAACTCCGTGCTAGAAAGCAAGAAGACGATGAGGAGCGCGAGCGTGTCGAGCATGAGAGGGCCCTCGACTATGAGACTAGAAGGGCAGCGAAGAAAGAGCGTCGCTTGAGCGGCGAGGATGTAGATGAGAGTGATGAGGAGGGCGAGAGCCTTGCAGACTTGTTAGCTAGGAAAGAAGCCCAGGCTGCCAAGGCCGAGGAGGCAAGGAAGGCTCGGAAGACGTTGGACAAGAAGATGAAGAGTCGAAGTAGGAAGTAGAGGCTCGAGAAGCTACAACGAGCCGACTGAAATGGATACGATACGGAGAGATTTGAAGGGTCAGGGACTTGTCCGCATACGATGCAGCTGTCGCTGACCCGGAAGATCCGCCGACGATCCGGCATGCAAAGATGTTGCGAAAGAAGGTGATATGAAGAAGCATCAGAAGTCGAATCTTGGACCTGTTAGCGTTCGATGCGGCTGTCCTTGATTTGACGAAGACCCTCCAGCACCCGAAGCAAAGGCTTGATGCCTTACGAATGGCAACGATACGACTTTTGAACGCGAACGATGTCTTTTCTTTTGCGAGCATGGTATGGTGTTTCTACTGCGAATTAGCAAGTTCTGGTTAGGGAGTTTGCTTGATTTCAGGGCATTGGAGTTGGTGGCAAAAGCTATGGAAATGTTTCGTTCGAGCGCTGTACTTCTATGTGAGACGGCGAAAAGTGAATCACAACGACAGCGATGCTTTCACGATCGTCACGAACAACAGCTATGAAAACAGGTGGTGCCCGAAAGGGCAGGCACAAATACGACAACCGGGAGAATGGTAATTTGGTAGACGCAGCGGAGGAACTTCAGGAGAGCGGCATGACATAACTCTCAGCGTAGTGTATGATAGGTGCATCGCAATTGCTTTCTATGTACTTCTATCCAAACTCATGCCACAACATCACGACTATCGTCTCCCAAACTTCTTCCCACCACCCCGCCCATTAGCCTTGGAATTCTTGTTCTTGATTTTGAGTCTCCGGAAGTTGGCATGGGCTTGGGCGCTGACTTTCTTCTTCTTCGATGGCGATGTGCTAGTCGTCTCATCCTTCGCTTTCTTCGACTTCCGCGCTGCGCTACTGTCTTCTTCGTGATCAGTATCTTCTTCGTTCCCCGCAAGCTGTATCTGCTGGACGGTCTCCTCCACAGCAATCTCAGCAGCCTTCTGTGGTTTGTGCAGAACGGGCTTCATATTCGATCGCTTCGTCTGCCGCTTCAAGCCCTTCTTCTTCCAAACCTTCCTAGGCTGACCATCTGCGCCCAGTGCTCCTAGATCTCCCGTATCACTGTCATCGCTCAGAGGATCGCCTTGATCGGGACCTAAAAGCATCTCGCCTGCTTGACTATCCTCTACCAATACTTTGGCAGGCTTCTCGCCACTTGCCTCCGCTTCGAGCTCGTCTAGAATGTCCCACTCGTCATCCATACGTTCTTCTTCGTGTTGTCGTAGACCGCGTATGATACTGCTTAGACTCCTGACTAGTCCTCGTTTCTTCTGCGGAAGTGATCCAGAAGTTGTTGAAGAGCCTTCTTCCTCTTCCACAGGCGCCAGTGGAAAGCTGCGGCGGAGGAAAGACGGAGTCGCGAAATGTCGCTTAGACGTGCTTGGTGTGTGCTGCTCGTCCAGTTTCTGCCGCTTCAGTGGTGTTCCAGCGAAGGCATCGAGAATGCGACGTTTGCTAGAAGACTGTGGCGTCGCGGATGGTACACGTCGAGATGATGCTGGCGCAGTGGTGGATTTGCTAGGCGTGCAGCTTATGGCGGGCATATCAGACAGTGCATTGGCACTATTGCCTGCCTTGGACGGCGTCGCAGAGACAGCCATGTCGAAAATGCCAAGCACTTGTCCATCCTTCTGCGGCGTCGGCCCCAGTGCGCAGCGTATATAGGCAGGCGTGGGCTCAACCTCCTGCTCTCCGTCCTCATCCACCACATCCAAGATCATGACACTCTTCTGCCTTCTGCTTGGTGTCGCTGCCACCTCGTTGCCTGACCTTTCTCGCAGCGCATTTCGCCCTTGACGGCCGCCGGGTTGAGGCTCTCTTACTCTTTGCGGCGACTCTACCTTCTTCGGTCCCTCTATCGGTCGTCGAAGGCGATTGTACTCGCGATACTTTTCATGTATCGACGCGTCTGCGCTGATGTCGTACCGAGAAGCTTTGCGGCCGCCATGTCTCTTTGCAAATTCGATCTCCCATAGCTTTAGCTCTTCTCTCAAACCGGCGACTTGCTTTTCCAGTATGGCTGAGCCGCTTGCCATGGTCAAAGAATATGTAATGCAGTGCCGAGTGCGGTTGGAGATCGAAAGTCATACGGCCGTGACAGAGACGGAAGAAAGTGGGGTCGTTTTGACGCGTTCGGGACGCGCGTGTCACGTGCGTGAGGATCAATGAACACGATACGTTCTCCAACTCTCTTCCTTTCATCTACACTACCACGACCAACCAACTCCATCGGTATGTGGACAGGCGAGAAGGCCCGATCGAGATGATGGACCACGAGTGTCTTCGCCGCCAGCGTCAATGCTTTCGAAACACGAGTGGCTCACGATATGCCAATGTTTAATACTGATTACATCTTTGGCTTCTTCACATTAGCCCTGTGCTCCTTCTGCGCCTCCTGTACAGGTCTTCCCTTCCTGATATCAGCCGCGACCTTCTCATCGGCCTCCACCTGCGAAGGAATAAGCTCCAGCACTTTCTCCGCCATACTCCTTGGGATCACAACAACACCGTTAATATCTCCTACCAGGATATCGCCTGGGTTGATAGTCGCATCCTGGTCCTCGCTATTGAGCCAAACAGGCTCGTTGATTGCTGCAACCCGCATCGCTTCTGCTGGTGCTGTGGTACCAACGTCCCGGGCAAAGACCTGATGCATCTGTCAGTTCATATCGGACCCGTACTGTACGATCTTAGTCAGCGATAGCAGCATACCGGGAATTCCATATCTCGATGTTCCTGTAGATCTCTCAGCCGTCCATCGATGACCGTGCCTACTACGCCTGAGTATTGCGCCTGGGTGCTCATCAGGCCGCCATAGCATGCATTGATCGCTCGTGCTGGTGCAGAGATGAACACAACGGACCCAGAAGGGACATTATCAAGCTGCGATCGTCCGGTCAGTTGACCTTCAGAGAGTCCGAGTGACTATACTTACATAATGTTCCGGAGGCGTGGGCTCGCTCTCATAGTTCTTACGGACATATTTGACTGTGTGTGCTGGCCCTACAATCTTTGTCGTACCTTCTTGTCTGCGAGGCGACCACCTGAGATCGTACTGGCGTGATTAGACACAGAATTTGATCGCTTAATATCCAACCTTGCAGCAGCGTGAAGGACATACATACATCGTCAAGCCAGCCAAGAAGCCACCATGAGCGACCTTGAGTTTTGACAGCGCATCGGCTACATCGCAACTGAGCATAAACATCAGACGCTGTCCTTCCATTTACTGCTCACGGCAGACAACATACGTTGTGTAAGAGGACAACCCTTTCACGATGTCCTTGGTCTCCATGTTGACGTCCTGAGTAAACTTACGCATAAAGCTGCAATGTACGGCAGGCTGCGCAATCCTAGCAATGGTATTGTATATCATGCAGTGCGGTTGGAGTCATGGCACGAACGAAGTCCTCCTCCAGATGTGAGATATAAGGTCAAATGGCCGATATCGCGGACTCTTGGTCACAAGCTTCGATCGTCCTCACTTCTGTGTATCCGATAGAGAAAAAGGCAAGTGCTGGAGCCTCACTCACCTCAAAGGCTTACGCTCGGCATTTGGCCTGGGGTGCTGATTGAGCAAGACTTGTAGTAACCGATGAGAGTCGACCGTCGTTACGCCATCGACGGGATGAATTCCGAACTGATTAGCACACCATAAAGGTTATAACAGTAGGTCGATCTTTTGAGGCGAAGGGTATATAAACACGATATGATAGTGCGATACTGAGGGAGTTCTTATAGTGTAGATGTGACGAGATCATAATAATCTTCCTGAGCACCTCCAAAGTCGGACACCATGGCAGACCCTTCACTATACACCTACACATCTCCCCTCAAAGGCTGGCGAGGAGGCGAACCACTATCAGAGTATGTACAGTGGTGACAGACCGACCGCGTACTGTCCCTGATACGCTCTTCAGTGAGAAGATTACAGAAGGACCAGACGCGAAGTCATACGTGAACCCAACACCGACAACCAGATCCTCAACCTACGCATCGTTTGCTGATCCTATCACAAATGGCACTCGCGCCGGCTTCGATGTCCACATCTACTTCATGCAATCGGTTCCATACGAAGTCACCTTCGCCACCGAGCTATGGGAGCGCATAAGGCGCGAGTTCCCGGAACTGAGAATCTATCGAGTCTGGTAAGCTGCGATATCGTAGAGCCGTACAGAAGACAAGGACTGTGCCATTTCTGATACTTTGGCAGGGATCGACCTCTTGGTCCCCATCCTATAGCCATGTTCGAGGTCAACCTCCACACGCCCGAGCAATTTGGTGCGTTCGTGCCGTGGCTGGTGATTAATCGTGGACCCCTTTCTGCTCTCGTGCATCCCAACACGGGAGATGATGTGAGAGACCATACGCAGCGGGCAACTTGGTGAGCTGAAACCCTTCTCCTACTTTACGTACCACTTCCCTATACTCCTCCCACGAACGTGCTCGTTGGTGAAGATGACCAACTCCTGTATGCCTTTAGTCGTCCTCCTTGGCGGGTTGATCCAACTTGTGAGAGTGCTCTTTGCTGACATGGCCATGTATCTAGGATGGGCCAACCAATCCCACTAGCCGTAGGATTCTTGCGCGAGATTTTGCAGAAGCAGGAGGCTGAGAAGGCAGGATCCAAAGCCAGTGGAGAATCATAGGGAGCAAATTTTTCTCTTGCTATTCTAGCCCCTCGAATAAACCGACTGACCTGTACCTAAACAGCCTCGAAGTGATGTCTACGGTGATGAGCTTAGGGGCGCAGCCTACCTGCACATTCTCGGTTGACGTCGATCAAGGTATATATTGCTTCAGCGAAAAGGAATCCAGCACGTCGAGAGCAGGATAAGAGTAAGAAGACGTACGAGGATGAAAGTTCGTAAATAGAATCCTTATCCTCGCAACAGAGGCTCTGGGGTTGACCGTCGTTTCCTGACCTGCTACTGATAGGTAGTGTGGGTTCCTTTTTGCACCACCCACGACTCAGGGGCATGTGTAATTGGTTACGATATTCGGAGCCGTCATTGATGGTGTAAGCGGGTGGATCGTAGGGGCTGCCAGCACAGCAAACAATGCGGAACAGAAGGTTTGTCCACCCAGGTCTTAGTTTCCCTTTGGCGTGAGCTTTATACACCGAGTCTCAAGGCGATATCTATCCTTCGTAAGCACTTCAAGCTCATGCTCGTGGCAGTGAGTGCGGATGCATGAGCATAATCTTTTAGTTCAAATACCTGACATACAGCTCAATTTTCATCTTCACCGCCTCTTGCTTCCCTTCCCACCTCTCCCACCTTTACCCTTAGCCCCTCCACCACTCTTACCACCCTTATCGCCGCCACCACCACTGGCAACAACCCTTAGGCTCTTGACTGGTATCACGCCCACAACCTCTACCTCCTTCAGACCCCGTAAGAGCTCACCCTCCCTAGGCCAGATCCTCTCGGTATCTGCAGCCTTATCATCGACTTTCTTCCTATCCTGAGCATCTTTGCCCCATCTGCCCAAGATCTCACGGGTGGCTTTACCCTTTTTCTGCTGGCCTGGTTGGAGCTTGACTTTGTACTTGTACTTGCCTAGTGCGGACCAAGGCGCACAAACGGGTAGGCACTCAAGGATCTCGTCGCCAGGGAGCGGTGTTCCAACTAGAGTGTCAAGCTGTGTCAGCTGCGTGGATTCTTCTTCATCTAGATCTTCAACGCCTTCCTCCAAGTTCAGTCTCCGGATCTCCTCCGCTTCAAGACCAGCTTTCTGTTCTTTTTGGTGCTGGGCTCGGCGACGTGCAAGAGTTTCTTCAGCTGTCTCGGTCTTGGCGGCACGAGCTGCACTATCGGCTTCGCGCTTCTCCTCTGCAGCTTTGGAGCCGAGAAGCTTCATGGCGAGCTCGCGATCTCCTTCGTCTTGGTCGGCATACTTTTGCGCTGCCTTCTTGGCTTTGCCGCGCTTACCTCGAACTTGTGGCGCAGCTTTCGATTTCGTGGGTTGTGATTGCTGCTTCGTGTTATCGTTTTGCTGCTGTGTCGGCGCCTTGTTGGTCTCAGAAGCATCCTGAGGGGCCTCAGCAGTGGTAGCCTCGTTTTTATGGTCAGCGGTGTCCTCCTCTCCCTCATCATCTTCATCATCGTCTTCGTCGCTCTCATCCTCGTCCTGTTGGCTTGCAGCATGTCCGTTCGCTTGCAAAGGATTACTCCTCGACTCCTTCTGATGGTCTTCATCGTTCTCCGATGCGATCTCATCAGCATTTGCATCCTGAAAGTCATCGTCGTCAACATCATCGTCCTCTGCAGCACTGGCCTGTCCTTGTGTCGCATCTGGAAACTCATCATCGTCGTCCGCATCTCCTTGCGCAGCATCGGGGAACTCGTCGTCATCGTCATCATCCTCAGCGTGGCCAGCGGTGTCCTCACTACCACCGACCTTCTTGCTCTGCCCGTCATCCTCCTCCCTGAATCTATTCTTGACATGCCGCCCAACACTCTCTTCACTAATCCTCCACAACAACCCAAACCCAAGCAGCAGCTGCGCAGGCGGCAAGAAGTTCTTCTTCCCTCTGATCATAAATCCTCCGGTCGACAGAAACTCGCCAGTAGGAGCGGTCTTGCTGACCTGACTAGCTTCAACCCACCAAGCCGACATCACTGCCTTGCTCTCCCATGCACTGCTCGTACATACAGCAAGATTACCTGCTTGACCTAAAGTAGCAGGCGGTATAGGCGCACCCGGCATTCCAGGACGGTTCTTCACAATCACGGATGCGGCGCCATGCAGATCGGCATGTATGTAGATGTCGCCTTTCTTCAGATACCGGCGGTACAAGATCTCGTTCTGTTGAGCGTCACGACCGGCGAGGACAAGGTAGCCGTCGGAGGAGATGAAGTAGATGAACTTCTCGAACCACATTTGCTTGCGCACGGGCCGGAGGACATCCTTCTCCTGCTTCAACCCCTTCTTGAGGTCGGCGAGGACTTTCTGCTCGGTACTCTTCAGTGCTTTCTCAGAGGCTTGAGCTGTCCGCTCTTGTTTCTCGGCCGCACTGCGTCTGTTGTCGTAGTACTGGCGTGCGTTCGACCACGGCGAGAGGGAGAGGTCAACGTCAATTGACAAAGATTTGTCTGCCGGCTTGCCAGCATGTCTCTTCGAAGTCAAAACACCTTCATCCTCACTGTCTGAGGCTTCACTATCTGTTTCGTCCACGAATTCGTCCTCGACCGGATCATCATATTCGGATAGCAGTAGCGTGATGGTGTTCTCCTGCAGCTTCAGCGGAAGCTTAATCAGCTCAGCCACGGCATTGTGTCGGCTCTGCTCGTTCTCAATCAAGCGGCCGATGTCGATCCAATCCATGCCTTGTCCAATCAAGCCATTGACGGCCGCGACAGCCTCCTCCACCCGCTCGACGTTCGCCTCGATCGCTTGTGCTTTGCGAACATTCAGCTCCTGCACAGACTGTAAGCCCTCGATACGTTTTGCCTGCTCGTTCCTCGCCTGCTCAATCTTCCGCTTGGCATTCTCTTCTCGTTCGGTCAATTTAGACTCCAGCTTTTGTCCTTCCAGCGAGGAGAAGAACTCATCAACGGTCTTGTTGAAGCCATCGTACTCAAGGAACGTTATAGTAGGATCAGCCGCCAACTGTGCCGGCTTGAAAGGATGAAAGTCGTCGTATAGCAGTCCTGATCTTTCCTGTGGTTGCTCACCATCCCGTGCTTGCTGCTCCTGCTCCGGCGCTCCTTTGCCAGGCTTCGCTAGAATGTATCCCTTCGCGGTCTCTGCGCTGGTTATCTCTCGCACAACATTCTGCGCCTCCTGCAAGCTCTCGAGAAGTTTCTCCAGCAATTCCTCGCTCTGCAATACCTGCTCCGGCTGCACATCTCGATCGTACTGTGTGACGTGTAGCGCATGATCCAGCAAGACAGGAGGAAACTCAGTCGTCGTCACAGCCAGAGCCTTTCGCAAGGTATCGCCGCTCTTCTTCTTAATCTTCTTGCCAGGCTTCTGCGCCTCTGCCTGCTGTCGCTCGATCGCTCTCTGTAAACCTTCTCGTATCCGCTCCTTAGTGAGATCAGGGATGCCAGCATAATTCTGCCGTAACGAAAGATCGTACTTCAGACCCAGACGATACTGCTCATGCTCTTCACCCTCGTTGACTGTTCGCAGCAAGCCAAGAATGGTCAGGTCAGCGTCTGTGAGCACGACATTGCCGCCAGCGTAGAATTCAAGGAACAATCGATATTGGCCATCGCTGAACTGAAGCTCAAGCACTCGATCTGTGCCAATCTGCTGCACCTTCGTCACTCGTCGAGTTCGCAAGAACTTTCGTAGGCGAGTGACAAATGCAGAAGGGGCAGAAGCAGTAGCTCGGGCGAAGCTGGTCAGGTGGCATCGAAACCCGGAGTCGATGAGGAGCTGCTCGCGGTGGTCGGGCTTCGCAAACTTGAGCAGGAAGATGCGGGAGGAGAGGTCGTAGATATTTGCCAGACGAAGTGTCACGAGGCTGTTGGAAAGTTCATGGGCGATGACCTTCACGTCGAGCGATGAGAAGCGTTGCTTCATACCGTCGATCCGCGTTGTCTATGGACCATATCGATGTGAATGGACTGCATATGTAGACGAATGGAAAAAGTGTCGAGGTGAGCAATCGATTCAAAGACGCTGACGTCAGAAATGTCGCATGCGGGCCGCGTGCCTGCCATCTTGACCTCCTTACAACCACCTTCTGCAATATAGCATTCACTTACATCGTGAAGAGATGTGTCCAGCCTGGGAGCGCTGCGACTAGGCTTCGGACGCCCTACTGACATACTATGCTGTAAGATCTGCAGGACTTGACGAGCACCAAGTTGTTCGACCTTCGGCGGGTCTCCAACAAAGTTCCGCTCAGCGACCGCCAAAGCCGTCGAAAAGTGGACGACAATGCTTCCTTCCAGAACACGACTGACCATTTCGACCCTTTGCAGGCTACATCTGACCGTTCAGATTTTTTGACCTCCCTTGTCCAATTCTCCTCTGTTTTCTCTTACTAGTACTTTTCACCGCTCTTCACCATGGCCACCACAACAGATTACAGCCCTCAAAACCTGTCCTCCGTATCTGGCCTCGTAGCCGTCGTAACAGGCGGCGGAACAGGCGTAGGCCTCATGCTAGCCAAAACCCTCGAAGCCAACGGAGCCAAAGTCTACATCACCGGTCGTCGTCTAGAGAAGCTCCAAGAAGCGGCCAAGCAAGCCCGACATGGAAACCTCATCCCGGTCCAGGGCAGTACCACATCCCACGACGATTTGCAACGAGTAGTCGACCACATCACAAAGGAAACAGGATATATTGACGTCCTGGTCAACAACGCGGGCATGACGACCTTCGACTCCTCACCAAATGCCCGGCCAATACCTACGCCACAGTCCACCGTAAGTGAGGTACGAGATTACTTCTTCAATTATCGACCCCAGCAAATCTGGACCGATACTCTCGAGACGAACGTCGGTGCTGTCTTCACAACTTCCATGGCATTCCTCGAACTCCTCGACGTAGGGAATAAGCGACGAGACAAGTCCGCTCCAACGAGTCAGATCATCACAATAGGCAGTGTAGGCGGTCTGAACAGGTTCACCAACAGCTTCATCTACAATGCCAGTAAAGCGGCGGTGCACCATTTGATGAAGAATCTCGGAACGTTCTTCGTACCATTCGATATTAGAACGAATGTTATTGCTCCTGGATGTGAGTAGTCGAGAGAGTAGCGCTCAGTGAGAGATGCATGCTGATACTCGTTAGGGTTTCCATCTGACATGACCACGGCTGTACAGAAGCAGTGGGAAGGCACGAACGGCGTCATGCCTCGCGAACTAGTACCAAGACAGCGAATGGGTGTGGAGGAGGAAATGGCCGGTACAATAATGTATCTCGTGAGCAAGGCGGGCGGGTACTGCAATGGCAATGTCATGGTGATCGATGGTGGATTCTTGGCGAATCATGCCGGAACATATTAGGTCCGCAGTGCTTGCACTCTTGGTAGAAACTTGAACAGGGTCTTGAGAGATCATAGCATAGATTGTACAGAGCAAGAGTGTAGATCTTCTTGCAGCTCACGAACCGTCGCGTACCCGTTCATCCAGCACTTTCGTACAATATGCCCATTAGGGACATCGTTCACGCAGGGTAGATCACTCAAGGCCGGCCATTCGCTCTCATAGGCACAATCAATGTGAAACTCACGCCGTGCCAGAAGTGAGTAGATCACATTGCTGAGATGAAAGATGTCCAGAGCAACAGTACAACCATCGACATCGACCTTGCTCATATCGTTGCTTGAGTCGGGTGGCAAGAGTGCACTATTGGCAAAATCAATCATCCTCAGGCCCATGTCATCGGCCAGGACGAAATTGCGAAGTGCAATGTCAAAGACCAGTACGCCTTTGTCATGACAGTTCTTGACAGCATCCGTGGCTTGCACAGTCCAGGCCCACCTGGTATATAGTGACGGCGGGCCACGGCCCTTTATGTACTCCGCTAAGGAGCCATTCCCTAGGGTAGTATCTCAGCAGATTACCATTGGGTGAACATGAGATGAAGTCTGCAACACCAGGAACGCCTTGCAATCTTTGGTAGACTTCCTTTTCTGCGTCGAGATGGGTGAGATGTATCAAGTTATCATCATCCTTCTGGACGGTTCCTTTGCCGTCCATGTATCCGTATAGTTTGGGTGCTTTCAGCACGTAGTCGCCACTTCGAAGGATGAAACCATCGGTGCCCATACCGAGGAGGCTGGCCGAGTCGACTCGAGTACCGTCGGCGAGCAGTATGACGCAGATCATCTCGAAGATGTTTCTGATTTGGTTGATGTCGAGCTGGGCCTCACAGGACTACTTGGCTATATGCCAGTTTTACAGCTCGCGTTCGCCTCAATTCTGCGCAGTAGCTTGAGCTTTGTCAACTGCCTTTCGGCGTTGGTACTCCGCCAGTAGATGGTCATATGGAGCGCTGCGGCCTGAGACTGCTCGTTTGGCGCCCATGCCATGTGATTTACAGGCTAGGGATCGTGTGCATTGTTTTCCTCGTTGTAACCCAACGGCGCATTGCTTTTCTACATCCACTGCTGGGGGTTGTGCGACTCTGTCTGACACGCCAGTAAGAAGGATGAACAGGGTGGTAAAACAGTTCAAGACAAGGTCACTGTCACTGAGTCCCGTATCGAGGAATTTGTTCAGCTCGTCTTCCAGCCCATTGTGATGCCTGTCTCGAACGGATGTTCGGCTCAGGCACGTCCGCGCTTTGCCAGCCCAGCCTCTTTTAACCTTACCAGCCACGAGTTGCGACGACGTTTCTATGGCGTCAGCTTCCACCTTCGCAACTCTGACTCTCTGCACACCTCCATTCGCTTCCCAGACGCTCGTTCATACCACTCATCTCTTACTACAAGCGACAATAGTATCACTGTACAGCACTAATCATCCCATACCACAAACCACCGCCGGCAAGCATAACTTCGAGCATCTACCCAGATCGGCATAGCGCGAAGCGAGTGAGCCCCCGCCAACGCTCCAGGAATAACACATCGCGAAGATCGAACGACAACATATAACACGAGTAGGAGAAGGACGCCAACAACATCTGCTCAGGCGCATCGCAGCCTCCAGCAGGCGTCATGCCTGCCCTACCAACTCTCCCCGAAACCATCGCAACCACAGCAGTAATAGCGACAGACTCGAGAGTACTCGACGCGCGACAACTGCTCCCACGCCAAAACGCCGGCCTACCAGCAATCCCTTTGTTCTACCAACAAGGCGGGCCCGCTCCCGGCGCCGTAGCAGGAATAATCCTGGGCAGTGTAGCAGGTTTCCTCCTCCTAATTTGGCTCTTCTGGTCCCTCAGCAACGGCGGCGGCTTCATCCGCGGTAGCAGCAGCTATCAAGAAGAAGACGTCGTGGTCCGACGACGGGACCGCAGCGACCGAAGAAGTTCACGGCACACGGAGATGACGAGCCGGAGTCCTGTTCGAAGGGAAAGGGTGATAAGGCAGGAGAGGATAGTGCGGGATATTAATCCTGGCGCTCGAGAACCGAGTCGGATTCGGGAGACGGTAATTGTTGACGATGGTCCGCGTGCTGAGCGTAGAGTTGAGGGTGACGATATGTAGGTCTACCGTTGATTCCTGGACGATGCGACGACCATCACCTTTTTTCGACATCTTTCTGACGCCTTTTGTGCTAGTGTGGAGGTAATAGAGGAGCATTCATCGATAGGCGCGCCGCCCCGAAGATCAGGTGGGGGAAGGAAAAGCAGTGGATACAGGTAAGCCATAACGATTTTCTTATGCGCGAGGCGAGCGGGGGTCTTGTAGAGTGTGTTGTGTCGCGAGGGTGGCAGTCTGGAAAGGTGGCTGTTCGATCTAAGCTGAAGAGGACGCAACACTTACTGACCTCGCCTCTTGCGCATAGATGACAGTAATGCTTACGTTTGGAACCTTTCTTGACAGACGTGGACTACCTGGCGATTTCTCGGATATTTGATCGGTCTGCACAACACCACAAGGCAGACCGACCACAGCACTTGTACAGTACAGACTTATGTTGTGAGCGACGGCGTTATAGGAATCGCATGACAGCATGTGTGATTGATTGAGCGCATAGCAAGTCGCGGAGACTGTGCGGCGGCTGGCTCCGTCTCGATCGTGGAGCTGATGGCATTTTGCTCGCGGTTCTGATTGCATTGAGTCGAAGATGTCGAGAAGGCGTGCAAGATACCCCAACGGCGCGCGGAATGTATCTGTTTCTGATATCGCATGGATACCAAACTTCATTGCACATTCTGTCCACATACGTGTGCCCGACTCCTTTTGATCCAAGCGCCGATACAGCGTCTTCACATCCTTCGTTGCCTGTTCAGGCTGATCATAGCAGCCTGGTGCGCAGCGCGTCTGCTGTGCAATAGAACTAAGGACCGGACGTGCTATCATTGAATCGCGCGTGACATTACTAGGAACGCATTTCGAAATTGCCGTATGCTAAATCGAGGCGACGAGACGTGTACTCCTCCTACAGTGCCTACCCAAACAGGAAATAGAAGCATACTCGAACCCTCATCTTCGCTCTCGTACACCACTTTCCGTCTCAGAAACAGGCGTACCCTTCCCACTACCCTCCCCTCTCTCAGTATTAATAGGCGTAGGATTGACCTCCGTCAACGGCGCATCCTCCACCTGCTGCTTCCCAAGCGCATCAACATCATCACCCACTTCCGTAACACTCCCATGCTCATCAGCTTCCCTCCGCCCCTCCTCATCGTCATCGTCTTCGCCCACAGCTTCATACCCACCCTTACTCTCCTTCTTCTTATCCATGATGAAGTTATCGATGATCCAATACTGTATCGCATTCATTCCCAACGGGAAGATGAACATGGCGAATGTAACCTCGAGCGCCTCGTTTCCTTTTGTCCAGCGGAGGGCCCAGTCGCCTACCCAGGGAAGCCAGGGCATGGCGGCGAAGAGGAAGAAGACGAATAGTTTCATGCCCGTAAGACCGAGGAAGTAGATGAGGAGTTGCTTCGCCCACCAGCGGGCTCTAGGTGGCTGGCCGTAGTTGCCGCTTTTTATGCTCTCTGGTGGTGTGGCTAGTGGCGTGCGGAGGAAGCCCGCATGGAGTACTTGAAGAAGGACATAGAGAACCGGGATACCGATTGTGGTCTGCGAAGACGTTAGTTGACATGGACCGTACGGGCGTAGTACGAGGTAAAACTTACATCAATAGCCAAATTCAGGAGGTAGAACGAACAAGGATTCGGCATCCTGCCCTCGGGATCGTTCTTCGCACCCTCTGCACCTGCCTTCTTCGCCGCATTGACCATGTCTACACTCGAAAGCATGGACATGGCGAGGTTGAGAGTGTGCGTGAGCATGCTACCCGTGACCTGCTTCGAGACATCGAAAAACCAGATCTTCCAGGGTCGCTTAGGCGTCTCGCGATAGCGTTTCCAGACCAGTGACAAGATGGCCATGCCACCTAGCGCAGCTTGTACGAGTAAGGCGAATGGGCCGAGAAGATGGCACTCTGCTTGCTCGCCCTCTTGTGCAGATATCGGATCTGTGACTTCGGGCTCCAGAGGGGTAGCCTCCAGTTCCGGCTTGTCCTCTTCCTGTGGTGCAGTAGCAGGAGCCGTAGCTATACTGAATGCCCCGTCCGTCTCCGTAGCCATAGCCGTGGCTGTCGCCGTAGTGCTCGCAAACTTCAGACTCTCTTGCTTCACACCAACAATATCCATCAACTCGGTTTCAAAAACCAGCCAGGCACCAGGTCCAATCACCCCGCCAGCCCCACGACTACCATACGCCAACTCCGGTGGTATCGTCAACTTCCTCCCCTCTCCAGGACACATATCCTGCAATCCTTCGTCCCATCCTGTTATGACTTGTCCAGCGCCTAGGTTGAAAGTGAATGGTTGGCCACGCTTGTAAGACTCGTCGAAGAGAACGCCAGTATCTCGTAGTGTACCGCGATAGTTGACACTTATCCTATCGCCGCTTTTGCTGGGGCGGGAACATGTCACTGCGGTTGTGGTTTCGACAATGAGGCCAGAGTCCAGCGTCTTGGTGTCCTGGGCGGCGACGGTAACTACGAGGGCCAGCAACGATGCCGGTAGTAGACTTAGCGACCGCATCATTTCTTACAGCAAACCTCTGTACGCCCGGGCAAGGCGTGGTAGAGTGACCACCTTGAAGTTGGCTGTGAAACGATGATGCCTACTGTACATCACGGTTCGCGTAGACCCTTCCAGGTTCACCAGCGGGCAAATGAGCATGCGCCACATCCGACTTGGGAAGGCTTGTGGATACATGTCTCGTGGAATTCTGGAGCACGAGATGCAGAACACAACATGACCACGAGGAGTCACAGGCTGATGATACGTTCACAAGTACTCTAGCATGTTTCTGAAATCGACAGGCAACGTTCCAAGGCTCAGATAGATGCAAGTGGCTCACGTATCACCAAGTACGAGCTCTCTGCCTACACCAGCCTTACGCTTCAAGCCTACCAAATAAGCCTCCTTGCTCTCCTTCCGTGAAGAGTCAGGCTTGATCCTATGCACTTTTTCAAACAGCTTCTTCAGCCGCATCTCCAAAGCATGATCCTCCGCTCCTTGGTAGAACTTGCATAGAAAGCTGCCACCAGTCGCAAGCGTATCATAGCAAAATTCGAGAGCCGCTAGGCAGAGATCCTGTGTCCCAACATCAGCGTCACCCTCAAAGCAGAGCAGGCATTTGGATAGTAATGTATCATACCATACTCCCAGCATGATCACGAAAAGCCATTCCGCTTGTATTCATCATCCTGCGGAACGGGTTATTAACACTCTTCACCCACGTACTGGTGGCCAACGGCCAGGGTTCGCACATGTCTGATAGCACCACATTGACCACACGTCCTTCTGCTGCATCCAGTACATGTTGAGACGACGTCGTCGTTGGCCTCTCACTACTCAGCCGGGGTTCAGGCGATCCAATATTTGCCGCCTTCTCAAGCTCAATAATCCCTCGATCGTCCTGCTCCAGTTCGTCTTGTGTTGCACCACCCTCTTCATCTTGCCGTGTTGCCAGTCTCTGACTGTCCCGTGGCCGTCCACGCAGCGGATCAAGCACAAAGTCTCTGACTTCCGCCCTGATCTCCGGACTAAGGAAGTTGCCTTGAATCGTGCTCACACCTCTCGGTGGCTGCGCAGGTATGACATCGATGCCGATTACCCTTCCTCCAGGAGCTGTCCTATTCACAGCCACCTGACTCCACGATCCGGGTGCATAGCCCAGATCAACCACTGTATCGCCTCGTCGGAAAAGTTTATAGCGGTCGTTGATCTCCAGGAGTTTAAAGGCAGCTCGAGACTTCAAGCCAGCGAGTTTCGCATCTCGTGTATAGCTATCTTTGCCCTGACGGGTCTTCCATCGCGCCGACGAAGCAGAAGAAGCGAGCCTGGCGAATCCAGATCGTGATCCACCAGTGCTGGCCTGCACTTGCAATATCGTCTGATTCAGCCGTGCCAAACGGCATATCCGGAATCCTTCACATATCGCTTGGGTATTCTGTGCCGCGAGCAGTCTCCTGGAGACTACTCTCGACAGCATTAATGGCTGGCGGCTGAAGTACAGGAGGCAGAAGAGGTCAGCGGCATGAATCGAGATCTGCTTGCCAGAGAGCACACGCCTCGGCACCAATAGCCCAAAAATAGACACATTATTAGGCTCCGAGCCTTTCCACGATTGAGGACATGTCACTTTCCCTGGATCTTCCTGCCTTTCTCTTCTTTGGTGAGTTCTAGACATCTCATTGATCTACTTCTAACTTCACTTCATATCCATCTCGTTCCTCAAGGTCAGGCAGCTGCCGGCTGCAGTGGACGATAATCTGGACATTTGTCGATCATAACATGATTACAAGCTATATATCTGACCTAAACCATGGGTACATTGTTGCTCGGCGTCACAGCAACGGGTATCTCGAAATCAACTTGCCAGCCGGGCACCAGGCCAACATGCAGGAGCATATACTACAAGCAAACCCAGCCTTCCCTGGATCCCATACACTTATCGATCCTCTCGCCTAGAGTCTGGTCTCGCTTCGGCATTGACTGATGCCGGTCTCTCATCGTAATGACGGAACTGCTCTCGATGATTACGGTCCTCGCTGATCTCCAGCTGCGACAACTTTGGTGGCTCCGGATCTCGGCGGCTCTCCGGTCTACTCTCTGGTCTGCTCTCGCCAGACTCCTGAGGCGATGCGTTACTGCGTGACCGTACGTGGTTGGCTTTCCGAGACGTCGACGAAGTCGTACTAAAGGAAGGTGATGTATATTGCGGTCCTGCTGAGGGTGGTGGGTTCGCCTGATGACCACCCTGTGCTTTCCGTTTCCGTGGAGAGTCCTTGAAGCTTTCTTCCGACAGATGCGAGCCTGGATGCGCAGACATAGGCTCGCCTTTACTTCCTGGTGTTTGTGGCTGACCCTTGGACTCGTTTGGTGGCACCCAATGGTGGAAGTATATCGAAGGCGAAGAGCTTGGTTGGTCGGACATCGTTTGAGTCTGCTGTAAAGGATGTGCACTTCCTGGATTACCAGCGGGTGGTTGGTGGATATACATTTCGTTCGTCGTCAGACGTGGTAGCTGGGTATGTGTTGCGGATCGTGGAGCAGAGGTGGGTGCGATCCTCGGCACAGCAGGTTGATACGCAGAAAAGGTTGTCTGCAATGGCACATTCGGTTGAGTTGGCTCCGCGCTTTGGACAGATACTGCTTGCTGCTGCGGCTGTGGTGGAGCTGGGTAACTCGCCTGCCCGTGCCCGTGCCCGTGCCCGATCAGCCTCGAGTCTCTTCTCATCTCTGGAGATGGCAATTGCTGCTGCTGCTGCTGCTGCTGTTGCATGTGCTGTTGGGCCGCCTGCAGCTGACCAGCATATTGCTGTAGCCAATCCACACTGACGTTGGCTAGATTCGCACCTCCAATCCCTGCGTAGATCATGGGAACCATAGTAGGAGGAACACCAGCCTGCAACGACTCCCGAAGCATGCTCTGCTCGATCCTGCGTTGCTCAAGGCGCAGACTCTCCTGACGCGTCTTTTCCTCCTCCTGCTTGCGCTTGTCTTCTTCTGCTTTCGCCAGCAGCCAGTTCCGCATCGATTCCTCCTGTCCCTGCCATTGGTTTGGCGGATGTGGCATGCCTGCGAGTGGTTGACCAAGAGACGCCTGGCCGGGCCTGCTGGGATCTGGCAGATTCATGGCCGACGGTGGAGGAAGTCCACGATGTGGTGTCGACATTTTCTCCTTCGGAACGCTGACCTGCAGCGATGTCACGGGAGTGTCGAACTTGCGTTGTGGAGATACGCGAGGGTAGGGATGTAGTGATCGTGCAGAGAAGTCATGGATGTCTCTGCCACCGAATTTGCTTTTGGTCGGCTGGGATATCGTGAGCAACATTGGACGGATGGTCGACGATGTTACATGTGACAAAGCAGCTTCAGTCTGTGCGAGGGATATACGGCTTGAAGAAGAAGAGGTAACCACGTACTTAAAAAGAGGTATGCAGACATGCGTGACGTTTCTCAAGTCGCAAGCTCAATCCGTGCAACGCCGTAGCACTGTTTGACTGCAAGCAACTGTGGGCCACCGCAGGCTGTCGATCAATGGTACATCTCATTCGATTCGTTCAAGCAGATTTAGGGTTGTTCGACGGTGGTGTTGATCCAACTGCGGCAGGATGGCTGCAGCCGTTGGCAGTCCTATCAGATCGCGAGTCGCACCACAGTTCGTCCTGCTAGTTCGCGAGATCTTCACAAAGCCAGGTTAGAGACCTAGACCCTGTAGCAATGTGCCGCGTACAGCAAGTCAAGACGAGCTGCGGATGGCAAGATCGGGCGTGAGCGACGCGTTCGGATTAGTGTCAGGTAGTCAATCAATCAATCGGGCCACCAACGAGCGAGCTGGATCTCACCGGGAAAAGATCAGCTGAACGGTCGAGTGAACCACGCGAGGTGATAAGTTGTGCGGAAATGACGTTCTCATCCTGGCGCGACCATTGCAAAAGTTTATAATGCAGTCGTCTCCTCCACCGTGCAAGCCCCATCCAAGCCACGGCGCACGGCACAATCTCTGCCCTGCAGATAGCGGAGAGGATGTCCGTTTGGTCGTACTGTAGACATGGGATTGGGTTCATGCGCCTCACAAGGGAAGTGGCAGTTCCGCGTTCCAGTGCTCCCGGCGACCGGACATTTACTGCGCACAAGGATGTAGATTGCATTATGAAAGCACCAGGCCGAAAAGGTGCGCAACGCCTGTGTATAGTGGACGGATGAAACGTCGCTTGTGTAGCATGCCCACCTATCCAGGACTGAATGGTCCGATGGTGTTGGAGTGCGTTTGCTTTTCCTGGGTCGTCGATCTGGACTCTGCGCCTTTCGCAGCATGCAGCGTGCCAAGTGGCAACGAACCGCACATTGCGGGAGTCGGTCAGGCGAGCTGACACCCAGTCGTTGGCTATGAATGCAGATTTGATGATCAGCATGGCCATGCGCTGACCATGTGGCTCCGCTCTGCTCTTTCGGTCGAGCCGGAACCTCATGTGGCGGAGGGATCGTCTCAAACAAGTTCTGCCAGGATGATACCTTACCATGTGTGGCTGGCAACAAGTTGCACCCTCTTGCTCGTTACGGTCGTATCCACACCGCGTTTACCAGAAAGAGACCACGAAACCTTCTTCTGCGTCTCAGATTTGCTAGCCCGAGCCCCTCCTGCCACCTTCGTCAGATCGCAACCAACTGCCGAGGCGGGCAGCTGATACAATACAGCAGCCAATAGTAGTATCATTTCCTAGTCGATAGCATCAGGTCCGTCCAATGATGGACAGCACAGATTTTCCCGGTGACTGTCGTCAACGACTTAGCCAACCGGCTCCGATAAGAAACAATATGATCGGATGACGAGAGCAAATTTAGCCAGCCGACCACGGGCTCACATCCGCCTTGCCTATCAAGACCTGCTTCGGACAACGCAAACGCTGCACGCGAGGTCTGTCGAAGGATATGGCAATGATCAGAGAGCCATGTGCGTAGCATGCGTACATAAGCTTCCACGCGACTGCACGTTGTTCGCTTGGTCGCTTGCATCGTTGATCAAGGATCTTTGTAAGGTATTGATCTTCAACCGGGCGTGGGCATACGAGTGGAACGAAGTGGAGGGGACACCCGAGTACGTACTAATACCTGCCGAACACCATAGGAGGTGATTTGATGAGTCTTGTCATGTAGCTTCCGCATCCGCTACCGACGCATGTGGAGGACACGCTACGTACCGTATGTCATCATATTGCACGCATCTGAGACATACAGCCGTTAGTGACTTCCGCCAACCAGGACTCCACCCAACGCAGGGCTGATCATTTCAGGCAATTGAAATACTGAGAGTTTTGGTCGTCCTATCGCCTCGTGTTACCTCAGGTGTGCAGTAGCATTACTTGAGCATTTGGCGAGGCGGCTCGCTTCCATGACAATGGTTCATTGCTGCAGTCGTACATCGTACCGCCAGCGATCTTCACTCGTGGACATTTGGAGAAGCTCGGATCTTCGCTACGACTGTTGGCATGCATCGAAGTCTGCCTCTTGTATCGTCGATGATACTGTCCGTCCCATGGCAATCTGTCGATGTTCTCGAGTGGAAGTCGACCCTCGTTCGGCGGCATTGCAAATAGTTCAGATCGTGGGTGTAGCAAGTGAGAAGTAGCTAGACATTACATTAAGATACTACTATGATATGCTACACGCGATGGGGTATCTTGACGAAAACGCCATGCCCAAACCTGCCGTATACTCATGACCTTGGCCAGCCATCCCATTCCGCATGAACAAAAACCGAGAATGATTGACGCCTTGCGATGCTCCGCTTTCCATGTGAGCCCCATGAACAGACAACACAACAAGTGAAAATGCCACGACGTGCGAACTCAATACCTCGTGCCAGCCCTCTTCTTCCTCATCTTCCACTCCGTACGCGCGACGCGCATCAACAAGTCTTCGTCCTTGATAGGTATGAAAGAAGTCAGTACCTTCATCGTGTTCTCGAAATCGGCATCGACCAGAATCTCCCTTGTAGCATCGATGAGCGCTGCACTCGTCGCATGGAGAACATCCAAATCAGCGCCGCCGAAAGGAGTAGCCACACCCAGTGGTGCGTCACCCAGAAGCATGAACACATCCCAAACTCTCAGCTGTGCTGGGAATGGGACACTCAAGTTGAAGAGCGTAAGATACCATCGCGTACCATACGAGGTGGACGGGATACCAAGCTCTTCCAACTTCTGCGCGACGTCGCCTCCACGAAGCCACTCGCGCTCGAATTCGTTGAGCGCAGCGATGAGACCGACAAATTCGGACTGAAAGAGCTGCTCCAGCCCACGAAGCTGCCATAAGCGCACCATCATCACAAACGCCTTTCCTTCGTCATAATAACATAGGAGAGTTGCGGCTAGGCTGGCCATGCCTTGAACGTAGCCAGGTTCCGGGCAGTAAAGACTAATCGCGTGTAGAATGCGGAACAGCAAACGCTGTCCGCCACGGTAGCGTCGTCTGAACATGATGTGCATGTTGATGGTCCGTGGTACATCGACATCGATCTGAACGTCGTCCGCCGAGCTCAGCTCTTGCATGTTGTAGAATTCCTCGACCAGCTTCTCATCTGAGACATGGTTGCCTCGTTTCCTAGCACTGGCCGAAAGGAAACTATGCCATGCAGTCGCCCGCCAACGATCTGGAATGCCTTTCCAGGTGCGGCTGACCAATTTCGGATCAGTCGTGTCGAAGTCAAAATGCATGCCACCGCCTTTACTACCAGACCGCTCCCGGCCAGGCCGGGCCATCTTTTGCCACTTCTCATCACGTGCCCACTCGCGTCGCTTCTGCCCAGTCGCAGTCTTTCCATTGTCCTCCTGTTCAGCAATGTCCGCGAGTCCGGGTGGCAAAGTCAACATATCAGCGGCCCCTGCTAGCAACTTTCTCTCCTTGGAGAAGAAGGGCGTGGATTGGCCATGTGCTGATCTGTTTGAGCGGTAGCTGTGCATCGAGCCCGGTGCGTTTCGCAGAGTGTCATCTTGGCTGGGACGAGGAGGGGCAGAGCGTGCGGAGCGAGCAGAGCGCGCACTCGAGATGCCACGGCGAAGCTTGCGATCACGACGAGGAGTTTCGGCTTCGAGCCTGAGAGCTGTCGCTACACGCTGTACACTCTCTCGTGGATAGTTCGATGCCGTAGACTGTCGCGAAGCGCTGCGACTAGGACTGATAAAGCCATACCGATCAACATCCTCTCCATGAATTTCGTCCCAGTCCTCCATTCCACCAGCAATCTCGGTCGCATCCCGCGCATAGCTAGCACGAACATCTTGAGCAGTTGCAGGCCGACGTATACTCTCGCCCAGCAGTTTCTGCGAGCTGTGCGCGGCTGTGCCAGCAGTTCCGTTGTTTGTGACGCCTTTCATGTTTTTGGTCGCATCTGAAGTCTCGTCTACTACGGCCGTCTTTACAGGCTTGACCCACTCACCAGCCCGCTCATCCCCGTGCTCATACATGCTTCGGACACGCAAACTGAAAGAGATCTCCTCAGCAGATAGGACTCTGCCCCCGTTCAGAGCCGCTTGCAGCAAGTGCACGCTCGGCTTTCTTCTTCCACTGACCAACCCAGTCCTTGGTGTCTCTGGCACCTCCTTTACTGCTTTTGCTGAAGCCTGTGTGCCTTGTGACTGCCCTGACTCCTGCACTGCCATTGACTGCTGTATGCTGGCTGGCTCCTGAAATGGCTCCTCAGCCCTCGGAGGCTCATCTGCCGGCCTGATCGGCTGTACAATACCGCTCGAATATGACACACCATCGCCTTGCGCGGCAATAAGGTCGTTCATCTTCTTCCCTCCAAACAATAAACTGCCACGTTGCGAAAAGCCTACCTTGTCAGACGCAAGATCCTCAAACTGAATATCGTCGAATCCACCTGTAGGGATTTCAGCTTGGATGCCCTTGAAACTCCGAATGCGCTGCATTCCCTGCATTTCGTCCTTCATCGCCGTCACCCGTTCTTTCGACTTCTTCCTGTGGAAAGGAGATCTGCTCCGCTCGTGTGCTGGCGGTGACTCTGCATCCTGCACTATGATGGTAGGAAGTGTAGAGCCACGTGCCGCGCCTAGATTGGACCCCAGCCCAGACTGCTGGGTTTCCGCGTTGGAAGCATGACCGACCGAAGAAGCAATGCCCGAATCCCTCTTAAGCTCGTCGGAAAGTGCAGTCGCAGGTCGTCCAGAAACTGACGCAGCCGAGTCGGACAAATGCGCCAAGCCAGGAGGTAGTGGTGGTGGACTGATCGATCTGATTTGGACCGGGGGTATACCATCGGAAGCGTCTTCGTAGCGAACCGTCTTCACCAACCCTCCAAAGCTGTGGGCTGTTTCTGGACCACGGCCATCACCCATCATGGTGGCACGAGAGCAAGGACCTTGCTTCCCTGAGGGAGGTGGAGGCGCGAAAATTGCGCAGCAAGGGAGGAGCGAGCAGTGTTGTATACTTCACACTTCGACATCGAGGAACAGTAAATTGGCTGGTGTGGATTTGTTGTCGCACAATAGTTTCACTTGTTAATATGAGTTAAGGAGTTGGTGCTACGGCCGCGGCCTCTCCGCGGTCATTAAACTCTAAGCCGTAGCTCCAACGGCTAAGCAGATCTGCCGCAATGGCGTATTATTTTCGTCAAGTCCGAGGTGCACACAGCACGACTAGGGCAGTCGGTGTGCCAGGTTACACGTGATTATGGCGACGCATTATAGTGCTAAAGGTAGCCAGTGTCATATCATCAGAGCTAGGTTATGATTCGGTAAATACTCAAGTCTTGGTACAGCGCCCGTGGTACAGAGCAGCCTACTCTCGGTTACTGTAGACCCAACCCCACTGTGCAGGACGGTATGATTGTGCTGTCCTTGATGCTTGAGTGTCTTTATTTCTATCTATCGCCCTCCAGAATCGCGACCGACACCGTCAGCTCGGCGAATGTATATGGGCACGTCCTCTCGGCGGCGAGTGCGCGTCCGGGATCCTGTATAGCAAACGGCAGCCACATCTACACTAACAATCGCAATACATAAATAAGCTTTTCCGCCGCCGATGTCTATACCGCAGCTATTTTCCAAGGCGTATATCATTTAGCCAGGTCGCTCGCGTAAGACACGGTTGCTAATGATTGACGTGTATATGCCTGTCATATCTTGAAAGCTACATATTAGCCGACCCGCAACGCCTTTCAGTCTGATGCTCGAAATGCTCGCTTAAATGATGGATATCCAAAACAGATTTGAGAAAGTGCTCCAGCGTGTCATGTGGGTCTCAGGTTGTGAAAATATGCCGCACCATCATCGAGACCATCACTTGTGTCGCACACTCGCCATGCAAGTCGCCCTACTGCCCAGCCAGCCAGCCGAACTTGCTAGGCTTGATGCGAGCACCAAGACCAAGCACAATGATGACCGATGCCACGACCACCGCCCACAACTGCATCTGCAGCACATTCTTGTTAAAAGTCGTCTGCGTTGCCGCACAGACCGTAGCCAGCATAACCAGCAGCGTGATGTATCCCCCAACTCGATGGTACTTGTACAAAGCCTTCGCATTGTCGACGCCGCCGTATAGTGATGGAGTGAAGAACTGCGTGATCCCCACCAGTGCCTGGAAGATGACCAGAATGTACGTGACAAGACCCAGAATGGCATGGATCGATTCGAAGTGCGCCCCGTTGTGATCGATTTTGTTATACTCGATGATGACGAGACCAGCGACAGCGGCCAAGACGGCGATATCATTGAGAGCAGCATGTGTGTAGGTGCCTTGCTTCTTCTGCTTCGCGGTATATGTTGGTTGGAGGATCAGAACGCCTTGGACAAAGAACAAGACGGCAGCGGAGTTGAGGAGCTGGAGGCCCGTTAGCTAGTAGGAAGAGACCTTTGTGGTCCGAGAGACTTACTGGATGTGCGGAAAACAAGCTCAAATCATTGCTGAAGACACTGCCCCATACTATCGCTGCTAGCTAGTCATCTGTCAGCTCGGTGTCCTCTGTACTATCATCCCAGTGTCGTGCATACGATCCAAACGCCAGCCTGTGCCACAACACCCGTACCTGCCATGAACGTCAGTGCCATGTTGCCCGCCTATTGCAAGTGATCTCCAAGCTCACCAATGACAAAGTTATGGTAGAGAGGCTTGCCCTGCTGGCTAGCATCGCCCGGTCCTCCAAGCAGAGGTGTCTGCTCCGATTGTTCTCCCGTTGTTCTGTCTTGCTGCTGCTCTGCGTCCGCCATGTTGCCTAGCTTTTCTCCAATAGCAACCCAACTTGATTCTCGCTAGATTGCCTGATAGGTCTGATATACCGTCTCGTAAGAAGAGATAGAAATGCAGAGAGATAGCAGCGAGTTATTAGTTATGTACAATTAATCATCATGAAGTCGACCCCACATCATATACCCAGCAGATGACGCGAACCACGAGGTGCATGTGATTCGGCCTATCACAGGCCACCAATTGCTCATCAATTGCCAGAAGTTCGATATATTCGTCGTAATCGTGTTGGGCGCCTAGCTCGATCAAGCAGGAGGAAGTCCAGTATATTATTGACCGCCTTAGAAATTGTACAAGTTGGTAATCTACACACTACATACAGTACATATTCACAAAGTACATCGACATTGAGTCTTCGTATTAAAGACAACGAGGAAATTCCTCCAGGCAGGCTTTCCGAACGTCGATAGATGAAGATCAACCGCGCAAGCCGCCCTCACTCCCCTTAGCGATCCTGAATCCGAAGCTGACGGCAACAGCAGCAACAAGGCCAACACATAACATGCTTGGGCCCCATTTATCGTGATACTGTACAGCACGACGGCTCTTGATGTTGCTGACACGCCAGAGGTAGATGCCCATACTGTAGAAAAGTGCAATGATGGCGACGACAGTGAAAGCCGTAGCGGAGGCGAGAGAGAGATTGTCACCAAAGTTGAGCAGAGTTGCTGCAATGGAGCCAAGGATGATGGAGAATTCGAGCTATTTCTTCATTAGCTTGAATGATCATAATAGGATTGTGGCAATGGCTTACCCAGGCAAGGAATGTCCTCTCAGCAGCGAACGAAACCTTAGGCTCAACACGAACAGGCACATGAATCTTTTTCCCAGGAGGAGCCTTGAACCGTTTCTCTGACACACCTTTGCCAGCGGGTATTCCCATCCTGCCTTCTCGTCCAGGAATCTGCGTGGGTCTGGGCATGGGAGCTGCTTGCTTGAGGAAGTCCAGAAGTTTGTCGCCTGCTAGTAGTGCATGATGTCTAACCAATGCACCACGGTAAGTCCAGCCACCGACCCTCTTAGCCTCGGCGAGCTGTTCTTCTTCGTCGTCGGAGTCGTACAATGGATAGTCCTCGTCCGCGTGAACGATTGGCTTGTGCGCCATACGCTCCTCTTCGTCCAGAACATTACCGTTCGGTTGACCATTCGCCTCGTCCAAGTGGCGCTCTTGCTCATGCTGCTCGAGAGCGTCGCGGGCCGCGCGTAATCTTTGCAGATTCTGGTCATTCTCCGCTGGTGGTTCGTCGTCTTCGTCGCCATCGAGCTCGTCATCAGTGTCGTCCTCCATAGCAGCACTTGTGCTTACATCGGTGCTCTGGCCGGGTCGATTAAGGCCAAAATTGTGCGACAGGGGCTTGCGAATGTCAGTTTCCATTTGAGGAAACCAGAATGGCAAAAGGTCGATACGCTTTGGGAACATAGTAGCAGTGCCGTGGATGAATTTCGAGAATTTGGGCACAGCCTCGACGAGATGGGAAGCAGTAAGCTCTCGGATCCAGTCTGGAGGCTCTTGTCCTTGCGCAGTCTGGAGCTTGACTTCAAGCACACCGTACGGGAACAAGGCGACATCCTCCTTTGGTAGTTGAGAAAATGGCCAATCGATACCGATGTCCATGCGGCGCCAATTGTCGCCGCACCGGCGCTTGCCATCCATGTTGTCCTCGCGGGTCATTGAGAGCTCAGTGTCAAGTGAAATGCGCACACGGGCGTCACCCGGCAGTTGGAAGGCAGTACGATTATAGAAGGAGCGAGTGACCGGAACCAGCTTGCGGTCAATGACACGGAACTGGATCTCCTTCGCAAGTGCCTCCAGGTCATCGATCTCCTTCTCGCTCTTCTTCCCCTCGCGACGCGCCTTCTCGAAGATCTTCTCCGTCGTCAGATCACCGCGAAGGTAGGCATTGACATTCTTTTCCTTCAACGAGAAGCGAGCCTTGACAGATTTCTCGCCAGTCCAATCCTCACGATGTGTCTTGCGCTCGACGAAGATCGTGTCTGACTCCATACCACCATACCATCGCAGACGAACGGCCTCGGCACCTTCGGTCTTCTTCAGACGGCCTTCATAAAGCTCCCAGGTATCGGTATTGTCGTAGTAGATAGATGAGATGGCAGAGTCTTTTCTCTCAAACTCTTTACTCGGATTGAAGACCAGCACAGGTAGATGTTTGAGGATGATGAGCTTCAGCTCGGTGATATTGTCCGGATGCACCCAGTACTTCGTGGTCTGACGAACAAAGTTCTGTTGCTTGCCACCAGCCGACGAATCACCCTTGATAGGATTGCCTCTAGTTCGGACCAAGTCGTACAGCTTTGAGAGCTTGATCACAGTGCCATCGTAATCGTCCTTGAAGAATGGCCGAGCATTGAGACGTGCAGCAAAGACAGGTTTTAGATGCCAGTGGGTCTGTTTGTCGTGCTTCTTGATGATCTTCTGGAAACCGGTGTAATTCAGCTGGGTGAACTTGGCCAGATCGTGCACATCTGCGATGATGTCCGAGAGATCTTCTTCCAGCAGCAAGAACTCCTCCTCGTCAGGCTCGTTGGCCTTGGCACTGGCGTCCTGTTCAGCAGCTTGCGAGCGACCGATTACCTCATTGACTTCCTTCTCCGTAGCATTGATCCTGCGAATGATCTCCTGACTCTTCACCTTTTGGAAGGTAAACACCTTGTCCAATTCCTCCTCGAGCTGATTGACGAAGCGTTTCTCATCATCCTCACTCCAGGCCGCTGCTTGCTTGTGGACCTGCTGGATGGCTGGGGTATGCTCAAAATTGGTGTTCCTTAGACTCCTCTTGAGCTCATCGTAGGAGATGTAGTAGTAATACCAGTCCTTGATCAGAGAACTTCGCAGCTGCTGGCCGAATCTGTGTTAAAGCAGTCGAATGTTAGCATCACCCGCCGGTAGTACAGACCGCGGCGGGGCCCTGCTGGCAATGATGCAAGGGACAGCATACCTCATATTCGCGACGCTACCGGATCTTTATGGTATCGTAATGGAAGCTCTGAGCTCTGCAAAACTTCTGCACCTCCCTCGTTCGTGTACTCGAGGTCACAAGAGCTCCAGAAGCACGATGCAACAATTAATGCTCAGGCATTTTGCTTCTGGTCCCAATGCTCCACCTGCAGAGCAGAGCTCGGCTCGTTAACCCCGGCAGTGGCCGATAGCCTCAACTCTGTTTATCCTCTTTTCACACAAGCAAATCACAACAGCGCGGGAAGGCACGGTGTCGGCAAGGATTTCTGACAGCTTGACTGATGCAGTGGCCGACGTACAGCCAACCTGCTCCCTCTAAGCGGGGAGGACGACGGAATCTTTTCAGATGTGGTTGCGATTCATGAAGAGATTGAGTCAGGACGAGCAATGGCACTTGTCATGATTTTGTACTTGGTATATACCATCTATCGAGAATTGGCTGTGCCTCGCAGCCGCCCGCGCCATGCACAAAAGGGCCCATCAAATTTGAAAATCTACAACAAAAATTGAAATCGTCAGGTGTCCAGTGCCCTTTTGAACCCCGGGAGTATCTACAAGAAACAGAATGTACTCCATATCCAAGGTCGTCAGCTTTCGTGTGTATAGCAACAGCCATCCGATCTACGAAGAGTAGGTGGCGTAGGTCGAGCCGTAGCTGGAAGGTGAGCTGCCAGAGACGAGCATGCCGTTGGACACCATGAAGTAGGCGTAGCCGGCAACGTCGTTGTTGGAGTCTATAGACGAGTCAGTGGAAGATCACTCAGGCGAAACCAATGGTGCACGTACCCATCCATGGCATAACGTCCTGCAAGAAGCTCGAGATATCGTCGTTGCTACCATCAGTGGTGGCGAACTCGGACACGAACACTGGCTTGCCACCAGACACAGTCGTGGCATTGGTAACTTGCTCCTTGAAATAGTCGCCCAAAGTGTGGCTAGCATACCAATGGATGCTGACGCAGTCAATTGTGCAGCCCTGGCAAGCGCTTAAGAAGTTGGACAACCAGGTGAGACCCATCTCGCCACCGCCGTTGGTGACAGCAGGGGCGCAGAGCTTGGCCTTGCCGGCGAAGGGCTCCATGTACTGCTTCCACGCCGTAGCGGCATCCTGAGGAGACATATTGGCCTGGGTGGAGAGATCGGGCTCGTTGAAGGACATCAAGTGAGTGCTGCCGGCATTGATGGCGGCTTGTGCGTTCGCGGCCCAGACACTGGTGAAGTCGGAACGTGTGCCCCAAAGGAGAGGGATGTAGTTGAGCGAGCTGCTGAGGCCGCCGGAGCTGGAGCCCCAGTTGTAACCCCAGCCAACGTGGGCGGAGCCGCCGAACGCGGAAGTGAGGGAGACATCGTTGTAAGCGAGACCACGCTTGCCGCCAGTAGATGGGGCAGAGCTATAAGATGGAGCCGAGGCCGAGCTGGATGCAGACGAAGGTGCGATCCAGGCAGAGCTGGAGCTAGTTGTGGGTGCTACGTAGACGGAGGTGGAGCTGGTGGTAGGAGCCACGTAGACGGAGCTAGTCGTGGGTGCAACATAGACGGAGCTGGAGCTAGGTGCTGAGTACAAGCTTGGGGTAACGTAGACAGAGCTGGAGCTGGGAGCAACATAGACTGAGCTGCTAGTCGCATCCGCAGAAGAGGACGATCGGTGCCAGGTAGGGTACTTCTGAGCCTGAGACTGAGAGTTTGCATCCGCGATCGAGGAAGAAGAGGACGAAGAGCTGCTGGCAGAGCTCGAGCTGGCGCTGGAGACGGACGCGGCGGAGTAGACTGGAGCGCTGGCGCTGTAGGAAGCCGAGCTGGAGTTGGAGCTGACTATCGGACCGGATGCACTAGCGTAGATGGTGCTGTGGACAGTGACGTGAGAAGTCACTTGACCGTTGTTGGTGGAGAGATCGGTGGCAGATACCGCAACACTGGAAGATGAAGAAGACCCGTCACCAGCAGTGACAGTTACGTAAGTGCGCTCGGTGGTAGTGATTGTGACATCAGTTGTGCAGGTCGTCGTAGAGTCGGACGCAGCATTGTAATATGTAGCAAGGCTGGAAGATGAGCTGGACGCAGCCGGGACGGGCGAAACGTAGACGGTTGGAGGGCCGCCGCTGGTAGCCGATGCACTGTCTGGTGCAGCTGTGCCAGTAGACAGACCAGTGCCGGTGGTACCCCAAAGGCCGGTAGCGTTGGCCTCAGGGTAAGGGAACAACATACCACTGCCGCTGGCCGAGCCAGAACGGGAAGGGTGGCTGTGTATACCGTGATGGCCGTGGACAGCAAAGGCGCCTGCCGCGAAGGCCAGGACACTGAATTGAGTGACTGGAGACATTGTAGGATCGGAATGAGTTCGTGAGATATGTTCTTAGTGATGCTTTTGAGTCGGGGTGGTTGGACTGCTGCTGCTGGAGCGCGAAGTGTGTGATGCCGACCAGGGCAAAGATGCTAGAACGTAGAGACCGTGATTGTCACCGTGGACAATGTAAGTGAGTGTGATGAGCTTGGGCTCGGGAAAGAAGGACAAGTCCAGCAAATTCGTTCCTGTGAAGGTGAGGTTCGGATAGCGAGCAGGAGTGAGAGAAAGGGCTGAGAGGAGCGACGAAACAATAAAGAGAGCAGATCACCTTGTTAGCGGCCGACATGCACGACAGAATCCAATGTCCGATTCTGCCGCTCGTGTGCCTGGCGACACGCACCGCTGATCGCAGCTGTTGTGGGTAAGAAACTGTTTCAAACTACTACCGGCAAGCCTGTCAGAACGATGAGGGTGGAGACGTATGCGCAGGGGTGGGCGCGGCGCTGGTGGGAAGCACATGCGTCGTAGCGGCAAGTCGTGCACTGGACTCAACCGTATCTTCCACGGCTTCACGATCGCGCGCGAAGAGCGGTGTGGCATCGCGGTAGGGATGTGACCATTCAGATGTGCCGCATGAGTCTGCGACAACCAGCAAAACTCAGCGCGTCGTGAAGACGACGAGCAAGACAAATCGCAAAGTGGCACCGTTGTCCAGATTGGTCGAACGTTTTGATTAAAGGGATCCATAAAAGTGTCGTGGTCGGAAGGCTTCGCGGGTAGGCAGTCTTCCCGCTGCCACTAGCTTCAGGAACCGAAGCCAAAAGATTCGCGTCCTGGGGCCTCGGGACAATGTTCTTTTCCTAGCTTCTCTTCCGTTGTCCGAACAGAATGGTGAGGACGCCACGAGGTTGGTGCTGTACGGCGATGACGATGGGGTAGAGTATAGATGCAGCAGTTCGCGCCGAGGAACGCAGATGCTTGAGATGGACTGTTTCCTCTCCGGGATCGAAGAGCGGTTGACGCGTTTCAGAGCCAAGCCACGCTGTGTGACTGAGCAGAAGTGTATACTCAGTCTGCCAAATGGAATGCATCTTCGTTGTCAAGGTCTAAGAGCTGCATAATCGTTCGTCTGCGACGCCTATTTTCGTGCACGCACCGTAGATACAGGCACACCCGTTTGTCGTTGGGCCATGCTCGGCCACGTTGTCTGACAAGACGGCTCAGCGTTGAATATCCTGGGCGCCTGCAGGATATCCACAGCGGGTACAGGATGGGAGTCCACCAGAGAATTTTTCGGGCTTGGGCTGTGGATTACAATGCATGAAAGTTGTTCTAGAATGGTGAAGGCCTGGGAATCGTATCGAGTTGACATAATTGTGGAGAGAGAGGCGATGCGAGGTCGAATTTCGAATCTGTGAGGTGCAACGAATGTGACTTCCTTGGAATGCAAGAATTATCACGTGGCGAGCACGATTAGCAATGCTATCAGCTGCTATTAGCTGCTACTGCTGAACCTGTGAGATGCAAAGACATCTCATCCGCGCCCAAGGGTCAAGAATACAACTTTCTCACCAGCGCCTCGCTACCCAGCGTTAAGCGCTTTGCGTAAAATGGATCATCAAACATATTATCCAGCCACGCCATCGCTTCGCAGATGCCCTGACTAGACGTAAACTCCTCCATCCCTTAGCTCTCTGCGAGCCCAGTCCTCCATATCAGACCGCAGTAAAACTCAAGCCAAGTACCGATAACTAGGCACAGGCGCCTCGTCCATCCGCTCCAGATACTCCCTCTCAATCAGACCCTCGATACGCTTCTTGATCATGTTGACATCAGGCTTGAACTGATGCGAAAGCTGCGTGAGGGTCTCAGTGAGCAGCTGAGCATGAGCCAGCTCTTTCCGTTGTCTGCAAGAAAAGTCAGCATACTGTGTTCCTAATACGGAAAATGGTTGGGTGAACATACTTCATAATCCTCACAATCGCCGCCTCAATCTGGAACTTCCTATCCTCATTGTTCTTCTTCTCTGTCTCCTTACGCTCCCTATCACCCTCGACTTTGTTCCCAGCAGATACAACACCAACGCGAATACGTCGAACATTCGACACGAAGTTCTCATTATACCTGAATCGATCACCAGGCTTGATCTCGCGGCTCATAGGCGTCTTGACCAGGAACCGCGTCTTGGGCGCCACAGCCAGCGATTGCAAGTTGCGCTTCAGGTCATCCAGGGGTATATTTGTAGCAGCCTCGATCTCCTCAAACGACAAGGTCGAACCGTTTGGAAGGTCTTCAAAGAGGAGGAGGATCAACATGGCGTAGGTGGAGCACTCGACATCGTGGACCGTGGCTTTCGAATGCGGGAAGCGAGCCTTGAGTAGAGCATCGCCCATATTGTTGTGCCACGTCAGCTTCCGGCCGGAATGCTTCTGGCTGTAGAAGCGTTCGAAGCCTTCTTTCACTCGTCGGATCGCGGGTGGGTAGATGATCTGTGGTCTTATGCCATCGTTGTCGCCTTCTATGCCGCTGCGGAAAGCTTCCAGTGGCCAGGTCATGGAGGTGAGCACCTTGATACTGAGCTCGATGCCCTTGGAGTCGTTCAAGTCCGCCACGCCGGCCGCATGCTTTTTGTAACCATTCGACAACTCCTCGCTCAACGTCATATCCTTGAACATGGCCTCGAATTTAAGCGTAAAGCTATTGCCGAGCTCGACCTTCATGCGGGAGATCATCTGCTTCTCGACCTCCACACTGACGCTCTTCTTGAGTAGCAGTCGTTTGCATAGATGCTTCTTGTAGTACGTCTCGAAGATGTCCTTATCCTGTAGGTAACGCAAGACCATGATGGCCTTCTCCAGCATCAGATCAACCTCTGCTTCCGTCTTGTCTTTGATGCCGCGCTTCATGTTATCGTCGATGAATAATGAAATGTACTCGCTGCCACGGGAGAAGGCATTGATGACGTCTGCCATACTGCGATTTATGGCTGTTGACAGGGCCTGGTCGACACTCTGTGTCTTGAAGGACTCTTTGCAAATGTTGTCAAAGCGGTCCTTGAGCGCAAGAATCTCTTCCACCCATTTCAGCGCTGCTGCCGTTTGCTGATTCAGTGGTTTAACGGATGCAGTCCTCGCTTTGCCGTCATCTTCCTCTGCTGCTGGTGCTTCGGTCTGGACTTGAGGTGCTTCGGATGCTGCAATAGCTGCATTGTTAATGTTCGTGCCCATCTCTGCAATAATCTTTTGCATGGCCCTGGTGAGTTCAGGCTTCTTCGGGTCTACCCGCGCCTCTAGGTCGAAGACCAAATTCAGCTCATGTAGCTTCTCGTTGTCGACCATGAATGCAACGCCACTCTCCATTTCGATCAAGCCTTTCATTTTGTTCCGAATTAGCTCATCCTCCACGACGCGCACAATCTTTGGTGATGTCGATTCTGTTAGTGTGGAGCGGCACCGGTCGTTCTCCTCATCGATTCGACGTTTCGCATGTCTGCAATATGTGCCTGCATCGGACTCCTTCAACAGCCGAGCACCTTCCTCCCTATAGAACTCGGCACTTTGTTGTAGGAACTCAAGTTCGAATGATTTCAGATATAGCTTGTCGTCCTCCGCCTCCACATCTGATTCGTACAGCCCTTCGAGCATGTACACATTTGACTTGATTAGAAACGGATCAATGTTTTCGCCATCACGATCCATCTGAATTTGATCCAGAATGATTCGCGTGAGAACGTCTAGTAAGTTAGGCTGGTGCTGGCTGAGTGGTGTGCGCAAGATCTGGTCGCGGAACAGACCCATAGACTTCGCGAAGATTGAGGGTTGTCGATGGTCGGTGCAGTACACACGATCCTGCTGCTTGTCAGAACTGTCAATCCTAGGAAGTGATACCTCTTTCACTTACCATGTACATCAGTACATCCGTGAGCATGCCCATGCACACCTGATGGTCCTCCCATGACTGTTTCAGCCTTCTCAAGAACTTCTCGCCCGCTTGTCTCCGCTCATTTGCAGTCGCAAGTGTCCGCCCAGCACCCTCGTTGACCATGAGTGGTGCTGAGAGTGTCTGGACGATCTCCTTCCGTACAGTGCTGCCCAGCCACTGCTCCTCGAACTCTGCCACTCTCTTATACAGCTCCTCACCTTGCTTCTTCAACACTAGCTTGTAGGCGTTGCGATAGAGCTCTTCGAAGGACAGGGCGGAGGCGTTCTTCGTGTGGATCTCGCGGAAGGCTGTCTCCAATACGATCCACGTGGTCTGGAAGTCGACATCTGCACCGTTGAGGCCCTGTCGGTTTATGTCAGCCATGTTTGGTCCGTCAAGAGTTCTGTGCGAACGTGAGGCCACAGGAGGCAGGCACGAACGCAGAAGCCGAGACCACGCTGCAGAGAGCAGGTGAATGTCTGTGTCACATGCAGTAGCTGACTTACTCTTCTTGGTGCACGAATCTTCCCGCCACCTCTCCGCGACATGGCAGACGCCATGTTCGCTATTTCCCGCTTTACTCCCTGGGTCTGCTACCTCTTTGGCTCACACCATGCGGCTCTTGAGTATATGGTGGCTTTTGGAGGCTTTGGTGGGGCAAGACGTGCCTTTGTGTCGCGCTTGTGCTGAGTGGCTGAATATGTCGGAGAGAGATTGTGTGCGTCGAAGCTGTAGGAAGGATCCTGCTAAAGATAGTGTGCCGTGAAAATGATTGTATGAAGAGCGGAGGAGTGTCGGGTGGTATGTAAGTGTTCAGGTGTAAGATCGTCCGCAATTGGCAATTCACATGCAGGACGCTCGGAACAGCCATGACGAACGCGGCAGAAAGATGCATTCTTGACGATTCAGCCACATTTCTTCCATCATCCACTGAAATGAATCACGCAAACGTCCTACGATCAGCTGGGAGAGCAGTCCGACAGACTCTAGATGCGCCTTTCCGACAATTACATACAGCAAATGGGCAGCCTCTGCGACAACTCGCACGACCATCACCTCCGTCGCTCCTCCGCAAGCCCTTCGCAAATACGCGCATAGCAAACCAGCTTAGACGGGAGAGCACAACTCGGCCACCAAATCCACTCACAGATCGCCCAAGCGAGTTCGAAACCCAACATGCAGACGAACATGCCGCGCGAAAAGCGCAAGAGCCCGCTTATGAGATGCACTTCACATGCAAGAAGTGTTCACATCGCTCCTCGCATCGTATAACGAAGCAGGCGTATCATCACGGTACTACGCTAGTCACATGTCCCGGATGTAAGAACAGGCATTTGATCAGTGATCATTTGAGGATCTTCTCCGATAAGGGTGTCACGCTTGAGGATATAATGAAGGAGAAAGGGCACTTTTTGAGGAAGGGTAGGATTGGTGAGGATGGCGATATTGAGTTTTATGATGAAATTGGTCAGCAAGCACCAGACGAGGGCATTGGCAAGAAGAGATGAGAAATGCAACTCTGCTCGATCTCTGCATTTGCTTTGAGTGTTCTATCGCCATGATCGACGAGAGTATCTCCACTTCACAACACACAACGATACCGTCCGCTCGGCCAGTCGTAGGCGTACGTTGGAGGGCGCAACAGCACGATGTGGAGTCGAGGGACCATCAAGCAGCCTTGCGTGAATACTTCAATGTCTCTCTACTTGTCGCCTAGACTTCTTGAATCAGGCAATATCATCCGCCACAGTGCGACAGCCTTACCAATGCCACTCCCGTCCCTTCGATCGAGGTCTGCCGGATCGACTCCTACAGATCTGTGCCGGCTCTGTTCGACATCAACATTCGCGATACCGGACGGGCATCCATGTGTGTGGTCTGCATCGATGTGATAGCTCATGCAGCACGGGCTCACTTCGGGCGGAGGCAAAATGTCCTCCTATATGCATGAACCTACGTGACTCGAGAGAGTCCAGAGCTCATCCTGCACAGATACATATCTGCAACCACAAACTCTGTAATATATGTATACTAAGTTTCTCTGCTTGCTTTCATGCTTGCAAAGATATTCCCGTCTTTTCCGACGATGATGTTCATTCAGATATATGAGGCGCACGGACAGCGGCAAGCCCACGTTGTCGAGATAGAGATTGCGTCGATGGCGCTTGTTCCTGGCAGAATCCAGCCGTCTACCCATGTCATTGGTCGAAAATAAGAGGCGGAAGGTCGGCGCCTCGTGACCGGACATGCCTCCCATGCTTCTTCTCGGCAGCGCATGCATGTTGGCTCACGGCTCGGAAATGTGTGGCCGATGCAGAGAGTACAGTATGCGTGCTGCTCGTGACGTCTGGACTGGCCTCCGGGAGGCTTACTTCTTAGCTTGGGTCGACATATGGTTGGTTGTGGGGAGTAGAGTTGGATAGAGCCTTTTATACTCTACATGAATATTGCCGAAAGAAGGGTTGACCGTACGACATTATTGTCTGGTCGCACGAAGAGATTATTGGTTCACGGATCATAACAAAGTGCTACGACTTGCCATGGCGTGTTAGTAGGCGAGAGGGAAAAGCTCACCAGAGCAGCGTCGTCGTGTGACAAGTGGAGTCGGCCATTCATGGCCAGAGATGGATCGCAGCGCAGTCGCACGCAGGATGCGATACGATGCGCAACCACTACCGCAACCACCGACTCGAACACCTACGCAGATCACACGCGAGAAGCGGACGACTCAGCAGGAGAGAGCGCGTAGACCGACATCCGGGAAGATCAAGACGGCGAAGGACAGTAGTGAGATTATTCGAGTGCCGAGGAGGACGGAACCCTTGAGACGGGAATACGGTTCGGAGGAGGATCCAAATGCGAGACATTTTACCATTGCGAATGTTGGTGCGGGAGGAACTCTGTATCTCAAGCCGAGTCGCATGCCGCAGCAGCAGAGTTTCCCATCGGCACCTGCAACACCACCGCAGACTTCGTACGGTGATGATGGAAAGAATGACTGGTCGGCGGAGTATCAAAGTGATACATCGGGACAATGGACGCCACGACTGCGAGCCCAAGGGACGTACGATTATGCTATACCTGTGCCTCCACTGAGTATGGCCAATACGGCACAGAAGAGAAGACCGAGATCGCATTCCTTCTCTACTGTCAGCGAGCGAGAGCGCCTGCGGAGTCCCACAAACGAGAACGCCGACTTTCATCTCCTGGTCAATGGTAGAGATGCAGGAAGTGGTAGGCCGAAGAGTTCAGTCGACCTATCCGGTGGCTTCCTAGATTTGCATATTCCACACTACAAACTCGGCACGCCTCGGTTCAGTGATCGAGGGACAGCGTACTTGCACAGCTCCGTGTATACGAATACTACGGGTGGCACAGACGATATGAGATCTTCCATCATCTCGAGGCTGGAGTATGATAAGCTGTTTCCTGCGCCACCAGGCAGGACACACAGCAGTCCTGTATATCAGCGCAGTGACTCGGCAGCTCGGCTGCATCCATCTACAGCATACTCTGGCACTCCCACGAGAATGACTCCGACACTACCTACGCAGATACCGCAACTAGGCAAATTCGACACGAGTATCTTCGACCGCGTGGAAAGTGGTGCCAATGACCCGACTATCGTGCGGTATAACGCCCAGGGACGTATTGCGGCGGCGACGCCAGCAAGACTGATTGCGCAGATAACATCACCTGTGTTCCTGGACTACGAGCTGCTTTCGGACTTCTTCTTGACGTTTCGGAGCTTCATGCCATGTCGGGATCTGCTCGAGTATCTCTTGACCCGTCTACAATGGGCACTCGACAAGGACACAGACGCTGGACGAATCGTCCGAGTCCGAACATTCGTGGCACTTCGACATTGGATCTTGAACTATTTTGCAGATGACTTTGTACTGGATGTAATGTTCCGACAGCGATTCTGCGACCTAGTGAACGGCATCGCGCAGAATCTCCTACGGCGTGAAGATAGAGGTGGCAGCGATATAAACATCATTGGTGAGCTTAAGAAGTGCTGGAGAAGGACTTGTGCCATGTACTGGCCATCCGAGGATGCTTTGGAGAACTCACCCGAGGCAGAGATCGTGGCTGGTGGACCGCCGAGTAGTCGTGCCTTTCCTCCATCTCCTACCTCAACCACTCTTCCACTGAAGCCTAAGCCTTCTCGTGCAGACTTTAGGCGGGTATCCGTGCCTGTGCAGATACCTGCGGAAGTCCCGGTGGAAGAACCGACAAGCCGCATTAATGGCATGCAGACACCTATACTTGGTAGTCTGAGCACGATACGTACAGCGAGCATACCAGCATCACCAATGAGCGAGGTCAGTCTACAGGTACTCTCCTGCTCAGTACCATTTCTTCGGCATATGCGACCGGCTTTGACAGGACATCCATCTCGAAATGCTAGGCCAGTGGGTCCTCATCGTCATCCTCCGGTCTCCAAGACGAACCCTCGGCCAAGTAACCAGCATAAGCGAAGTGGTAGTTTCTCGGATGCTTTGAGGGATGAAAGAGCTCCATTAGCTTCCAGCAAGGTCGAAAGTGTGGATGTCAGGGCGATGGCCACCATGACGTTCACTGGAGGGTTGGTTAGAGGACTGCTGCTGCAGCCGTCGCCGGCCAAAGTGGAACTGTTGATACCAATAAGTCCTGATTTGGATGCGCATGGCAACCGCATTGGCCCTATGAACGATGACTACTTCCACGACCGCGGTGCACAGAATTTGGGCGTCAAGCGATTGGTCGGCGATGTTCGGAGGGCTCTCAGCAGTCGACATAGGAACGGCTCACCTCCACACAGCAACGGCAGCAGTCATCGATCCACAAACTCGTCTAGCTCGCGCACATCTGCGCCTATGGCTCAGCAGGACAAAGCTGCGAGCTCATCAGCTTGGCAGCAGCTCCGTGGTCCGCCAAGAGTGGACATACTTGCGGAAAGGATCGGCCGGTCTTATGAAGATGCCTTCCAGGAAGTGAATCTTCCGACCCCAGCTCATCAGCAGGTTCAACAGTCGCCGGTGCAGTTCCCCGACCGACAGTCTGGCATAGCACCGGATGATCGAGAACTCGAGGGCCCCCGGCCACGATTCGATCGATGGAACAGTCGTATCAGCAATGGCAGTCAGTCCATACTTATCATGGACGATACTGGAACTACTGGCTCACCTCAGATAGGAGGCACTATACCATCTGTCAGTTCATGGTCCTCTGATATGGCGCCGCCGGCATTGTTCCGTAGCACCACAGATGCACTTAATGACCCGCAGCAGAACGCTCAGGTCGACCATGCTGTACGACAGTCGGCATCATATCCGCCTGACGCGGCACGGCAGTCGTCTGATGTCCACATGCATGACTTGCTTGTCGTCCCAGAAAGCTGGGCTGCTGACAGCGCCGCACTATCGCCTACCACACGCATGCAGGCGCGCAAGTCGTCGGGTGTGCACTCACCTACTTTTGACGTATCACCGCCACATCAGCTCAGACGTCGTCCGGGAGGTGATCTGAAAGCAGCTGACCACGTCCATGAGCTTGAGCCACCGCCACGCGAGCCCACAGACTCATTCTCGATGCGGTCGGGTCCGAGCTCCGGTGTGCCCTCTCATGAGCTCTCCGGTACACACTTCTCTGGCCAAGACTTTGCCTCGTGGAAGATGCCTACTATGCCACCCAATAAGCAGAAAGATCCGGTCAGCTTGATGTCTCTAGAGCCGCATATGCGACCTTCTTTCGAAGCTGAAGTTTCCAAGTTGGCCAAGCTACCGGAGAAAAGGGTCAATGGTGGTGTAGAAGATACACTGCGACGTCTGGAAGGTCAGAATGCGAGCTTAAGGAACAGTACTGTCCCTGGAGCCGAAGCCAAAGCCACACAGTCGCAACCTGAGAAACAGAAGCCAGCAGCACTTCGCTTCACTGACGCAAGCCAAGCTATAAGTGATTCGACCTCTCCCATCGAAGGAGGACTACTCAGTCCCAAGACGCCGAGGACCGAGACGCAAGGCGCGAGTATCTATCACTTATCTGGCACAGATGCACCAGATGGTTTCCTATCCATGTCAGGCGACTCAACCAATGGCTACGATCAAGTTCCCAAGCATGACCTAGGCGCTCCTGTCCTTACAAAGCCTAACGTTGGCCGCTTCTACGTGCCTGATGTAGAGAGCATGCAGGATGTACCAAAAGCAATAGACATCAAGCAGGTACAACTTGCAAATCCACAAATCGTGGATGAGATCAAGAAAGGCCATGCGAAGTCAGGCAGTGCGCCAAAGTCAGCGGCATCCGGAGGCTCCTTTCTGTTGGATGACAATGAGAGTCTGAGCGATATCTCGACGGAAATAGCTGATCAGTCTGGTGAGGAGGATAACTTGGCTGTGAGGAGCTTCTTCTTCGACGACACCATGGATGAGGAAGATGAACTGCCCCAAATTCCACAAGCACCGCCAACGCCACCTTCGACCGTTGGAGCTGCTAGGGAGCATTCGCCTGAGCGCGGAGCAAGCGGAGATCTCGTGGTGCCGAAGAACAACGCTGCCGCGAGGGCGCTCAAGGAAGCGCAAAGTGCCCCGAAGCTGTTCTCGCCAAATTTGGACAGCTATCGCCTACCGCAACATCAGCCCATGGTATCTGCAGCAAGCCAGATGGAGCTTCGCAGAGTCCACACAGCGCCCGGCAATTTACCTGCTACGCATATGCCTTTCATCCTCGCCTTCGAAAGCGAAGTAGTAGCCGAACAACTCACCATCATCGAAAAAGACGCACTGGACGAAGTCGACTGGAAAGATCTCATAAGTCTCAACTGGGCCCAATCCCCACCCAACGTCCGCAACTGGGTCGAATACCTCAAATCCGACCACTCCACGGGCGTCGACATCGTAGTATCCCGCTTCAACCTAGTCGTGAAGTGGGTCGTCTCGGAAATCGTTCTCACAACCACACCCAGCGAACGAGCAAGGGCGGTGACGAAATACATCCACATAGCGACGCACTGCCATCGCTTCCGAAACTACGCCTCAATGTACCAAATCACTCTCGCCCTCCTCTCTGCCGACCTGGCTCGTCTCCAAACAACATGGTCCTTAGTAGCACCAGCCGAGAAGCAGAAACTCGAGCGCCTAGAACACCTCTGCCAGCCCGTCCGAAACTTCAACGCCCTAAGGGCAGAAATGGAGGCTTCCAGCGCAGAAAAAGGCTGTATACCCTTCATAGGCCTCTACACTCACGACTTAATGTTCAACGCGCAGAAGCCTGCTCGGATCAACCCTCCGCCTACATCGCAGCAGCAGCAGCAAGGGACCGGGAACGAGGCGTTGATAAATTTTGAGAGGTATCAGACTAGTGCTACGATTGTGAAGAGTTTGTTGCGGCTGATCGAGGCGAGCTCGAAGTATATTTTTCATCCGCATCCGGAGGTGCTGAGTCGGTGTTTATGGCTGGCTGCTTTGGAGGATGGGGAGATTACGAGGAGGAGTAAGGGACTGGAGCAGTGAGGATGAGGATGGGGTTTTGTGGGATGTTCTGTATTCAGTTGTTGGATTTGAGGACTGTATATGTGGGCATTTTGTGAGCGTTTTAGCGATGGCATATATCCCACAGCATGGCAACCTATTTGTTTGGAGCGGGCTCACCTCTTTACCATCTGTCAGATGTGAGTGAATGTGAGGTTCGCTAGGCAGCAGCTCCTTCCTTGTTCGGAGTGCCCATTTGCTCGCAACAAGATCTCAACGCTTCAGCCGGTGAAGGAAGGCAAACATACATTTAGCATCTTCAAGAGAAAATTACATATATGTGGCCTCCTTGCAGCGATGGCAGACAAGATCCAGACTGACAACACTCACGACATGTTCCAAGCACAAAGCACCATCGGGCAACCGACACCAGCCACCAGTATCGGGCTACAGCGTCTAGCATGGCACACCCTCCACCTCTGTAACGTCCTGCTGTCACAACTGGGCGCATACCTCTCGCTGGAAGCGCTGCATCGAGATACCTGCGTGGATGGACTGGTAGTGCCAATACCACATCTGCCGCTGTTGGCTGCGCAGGCCGAGATGATGGGAGATGTGATGCGGAATCTGAACGCAGCGGCTGATACGCTCGTGCGGCTGCCGTCACACCAGGAGATGAAGATGCAAGGTACTTATCGTTCGTTGCTCCATACGGCAGAAGCAATGGGGATGGCTGTTGGTGAGTGGAGCGCAAGCTTTGGATGTGATTTTAACGTCGCTGGTCAGCTAATGGTAGAATGGTCTGGTCAACAATGGTATCAAGTCGAAGGAAGATTTTGAAGCGTTAAGGTCGGCATATGATGAGATGCTAATGTTGTGCTATGGCGACGCGGCAAAGGGCATCCAAGGTTGGAAAGAGATGTGGAACCTGCTGTTTGAATGATACAGCGTACTCTTCTGGTTACTTTGAGCACGTGCTTGAGCAGAAGCATGGTACCTTCTGCGTACATGGCAAATTGCAATAGCTGGCATCTTTCGTACTCCACACGCTTCGCATTAGAATTGTCGAGTACAGAGGCAGCTATAGAGGTTTTCCCATTGTCTTCCTCAGGTCAGCTAGCACACAGGATATCAGTACAAAGTCATCGACATATATACGCTTCTTTTGTATGATGAGGAGGCAGACGGGAAGGATAAGACGACAGTCGCTACTAAGTACCGTGTATCGAAACATGGCCACTTCGCTGTCACTCACGCGTACACCATCACGTGTATCTAGTCATATGCCTTTCTGCCGTATGTTGAAAGATCAGGCGGGTTTTGTAGAATACCAAAAAGTGGAAGTAGAGTGACGTAAAATGTTGTCTTGTAGGGCGCAGAAAGATGGTTGCTTGCGCCGAAGCACGTGCCTCCGAGCGGGAGCTATCCGCACTCCACGCCAAGACTTACACTCTGGCGAATTTGTGCGAGAAAGTGGTACATAGGTTTGCGACGACAGGCAAGATCCGATTGCACAACGACAATACCGCCAACATGGGTGTAGATCTCGACAAGCACCACGGTACGATACCATCACCGCTCCGCTTCATTCACAACACAAACGCCTCGACCCTCTCCCCCCACGAACGAGCCATAGTCCAGAAATCACTAACATACTTTTCTCACAGTCAAAAGCGGCCACAGGCGCGCGCCCAAGAGCGAGAACCCATACCTCGTCCTCCTTGTCAAGCTCTACAAATTCCTCTCCCGCCGTACGTACATCAAATCATGAAAGAAAGAGACAGTAATGGCAATGCCGGAGCAAGAGCAAAAAAAAAGTGTCCAGGACGTGGACTAACACATACATACCACAGGCACGGACTCGGGCTTCAACAAGGTCGTCCTCCGCCGTCTGATGAGCTCGAAGATCAACAAGTGAGTATCTCCATACTCCGCTGGCAAGTCCTTCGTACAATTGTACGGAGGGCGCTTTTGAGCCTGCGCTGACCTTGAAACCGTCAGGCCACCGATCTCCCTCTCCAAGATCGTCGCCGTGTCCGCCAACAAGCACGCGGCCGAGGAGCACAAGGACAAGATCCGCGCCGTCGTCGGTCCCGTCACCGATGACAACCGCCTTTATGAGGTGCCCAAGATGAGCATCTGCGCTCTGCGCTTCACGGCTACGGCTCGTGCGCGCATTGAGAAGGCTGGCGGCGAATGCCTTACTTTTGATCAGCTCGCTACACGTGCGCCGACTGGCTCGAATGTCATTCTTCTCCGTGGTGCGAAGAATGCTCGTGAGGCTGTCAAGCACTTCGGCTTCGGTCCTCACAAGCACAAGGTTCGTAGAATAATATGTTTTGACACAAAGCTTCGTATCACTGACAACTACCACAGAAGCCATACATCGAGAGCAAGGGTCGCAAGTTCGAGAAGGCTCGTGGTCGCAGACGGTCCCGTGGTTTCAAGGTGTAAGGGAGCTGTGTATGAGGAGCTTCGTGCTGCTGCAATTCGTGTTGCCATTATGCCGTGGCGCATGTACCGCACTATGGCGCACACATGCAAAAATGACGTTGTGCAAGGGGTAATTCTCTGCATAGCAAGATCATGGCGTTACTACCGGATGGTCATAGGTAGCGAAATGAGACAATTCTGCGCATGACCGACGGTATTCCAGCGCTACCCGACTTTATCTCGTGCGTTTGGGAGGTTATCAATGCCACTATTCTGTGGACGGTTCTTGGGTGATACAGTGTTGCTGCGGTCAAATGCGGCTTGGGAGCCAACGGCGTTCAATCGTTGGAACTTGAGCCTCAGCAATGCGGATCGATTATAGGAGCGGCACAGTTGTATATCGCTGTAGTGATCACGTCGACTTCACATGTGTGGTGGATATTGTTTGCCCACGTGGTGGCAATGAAAATATAACGTACGCAAGCAAACGACGCCTCTTGTTCGCTGAGCCACGCACCCGCTCCTGCCGAGCGCCGCGCCCCAGAGCTTGCCCAGAACTCTCCTCATCATCCATCTGCATTCCACGTACCCTGCTCATTTGCTTTTTCGGCTCTACTTGATCGTAATCAGCATTGTCTTGACAATTAGGCGGGACAACCACACAGGTACGACGACCATTGTAGTGCAACGTACAAAGGCCGGCGCATCAGAAACTCCCTTGGTTATTCAGGACTCGAGCCGCCACCTACCCGGCATCCACCTACCGCGAGAGCAGGTACACATACACCAACATGGCTAACAAATACGTACGCCACACCACTCAATTATCTACAGCGCAATGACATAAGTACTAACACACCCACCCCAGTCCTCCCCCGAAGGCCCCCCACCCCAATACCCCCAGCAAGCACACTACGACGCCGGCCCAGCCGGCGGCGACCCCCGCGCCTTCGGCGGCTATGGCTCCCCTGCCCCTCAAGGCCAATACGGTCAACCTCAATACGGTGCTCCCGGTCCCTACGGCCAAGGTCCACCACAACAGGGTTACGGCCCGCCGATGCAGCAAGGGCCGTATGGACAACAGCAGCAGCCGATGTATTATCCGCAGCAGCAGGGTTACCCGCCTCAGCATCAGCAGCAGGGGGGTGGGAGTGGTGGGATCATGGCGGGGATTTTGGGGGCTTGTGCTTGTTGTTGTTGTTTGGATATGTGTTTGTTCTAAGCTTGAAGGGTGAGGAATGGGGATCGGGGATGCGCTTGAAAGAAAAGGGAGGGGGCAGGGCCACGTGCGTGTGGATGTGCACGTTGAGTCGTTGACACGGAGGACAAGGGACGCCAGTCGGGGAGTGGGATTCCTCGATCAAAGTGGATATGTTGGAGTAGCACGGCGTAGAGGCGTTTTGATTGGTTACATAGTATTCAAGTATTCCTCCTGCACTTCTTGCGGTCTGCATTTTAAGTGCAAACGCGTGCGGTGCTGCCGCAGTCGTCGTTCACTTCTTCACCCCTTCCTTCCCAGCCTCAGCCTGCGCAGCCTTCATCCTCTCCCTCTGACTCCGACTCCCACCCAGCTTCGGTCCATGAGCAGCACGATCATTCGCCTTCGCTTGCGCCAGCTTGCTGAAAGGCGGAGGGGCCGCTGGCTTTCGTCGATGGCGCTCTGCGAGATCTTGCAAATACTGTGCTTTGAAGGCCTCGGCAGCAGTGTCCTCGTTGTCAGTCTTCGGCTGAGAGGTGCGCTCGGGTGCTGCACGGTCGTAGTGAGACGATGAAGACTCTTTCATAATGTCGTCGATTAGACTGGCCCGTGCTATATCATTGGGGTCGCGTGGTCGTGGTTGCCGTGGCTTTCTGCGGCGGCCGTTGCGTTGTCTTTGTTGTGCTACGATTGATGTTGGGGCTTGAGTGGGATTGGCACCCGAGAGATGTCCATCCTCGTCAGCTGCAGGAGAGTCGACGTCGTTATCCTCATCATCTGTGGCGTTGGTCGAGAGTGCAGATCGCATTTCAGCCAGCTTGGAGTCTACGAATGCCGTCCTACGCTGTTAGTGCTGATCCCCGCTCGCACTTGGACATCACGGGTAAGGACGTACATATGCTTATCGTCTGTGACTTCGGTCTTGCCAGTTGGCTTGATGAAGCGATTGGCTCCGGGTACGACACTGGCATCACGGCTAGGGTGTATCGCCACGATCGCAATCTGGTCGTTGCTCTCCACCTCTGTAGACTGTGGGCGACTCTGGCTGGTGAAGGCTATGCCATGCTTCTTCGCCAAGGGCTTCTGCACTCTTTGAGCTGGCTCATGGTGGCCCTCCAATTCCCCATCTCCATTTACTTCAGGGGAAATTGATTCGAGGTTCTCGTCATCTTCTGCTCTCCTTCGAAGGACCTTTCTCCTCTTGTTGGACCGAAAGACGGGCTCGCTTCCATCTTCCATGACAATTCACAATGTATGTGATTTTGCTCAGAGGATGCTTCAGCGCTTGTTGTGACATTCAGGTTCCTCGGCTGGTACGCAGCGATAAGATAAGATTGATCTCCTCCAACAAATCTTAAAAACTTGAGCACAGTAGTACTACGCCACATCCACAATCACGATTTCACGAGTAAGGATCATGGCAAAGGCAGCGAGGAAAGGCGGCAATGGCGGCATCGCCAAATCAGATCCATATGCTGGTGCAGCGGCGCGAAAGGGCAAGGGCGGGAAGTCCGCCAACAACATCTTCAAGATGAACACAGACATCGGCCAGCATATCCTCAAGAACCCTGGTGTAGCCCAAGCGATCGTGGACAAGGCCGACCTCAAACAGTCAGATATCGTCCTTGAAGTCGGACCCGGAACCGGAAATTTGACAACCCGCATACTCGAGAAAGCAAAGCGAGTCATAGCCGTCGAGCAAGACCCTCGCATGGCGGCCGAAATCACCAAACGATTCCAAGGAACCCCTGCTGCAAAGCGACTGGAACTTATACTGGGAGATGTGATTAAGCTACCGGAACTCCCATACTTCGACGTCTGTATCTCGAATACACCATACCAGATCTCCTCACCCTTAACATTCAAGCTCCTGGCTACTTCGCCCTCGCCTCGATCATGCGTACTCATGTTTCAACGAGAATTTGCCATGCGACTGTTTGCAAAACCCGGCGAGAAGCTTTATTCGCGTCTGAGTGTGAATGCGCAGATGTGGGCCAAAGTCGATCATGTTATGAAAGTCGGACGAAACAACTTCAATCCTCCTCCGCAGGTAGAGAGTAATGTCGTGCGAATATCACCGAAGAATCCGCGGCCACAAATAAGCTATGACGAGTGGGATGGCTTGCTCAGAATTGTGTTCGTGAGGAAGAATCGAGTCCTGCGGTCTGGATTTCTGGGCACGAGCACGGTCATGGAGATGCTGGAGTCAAACTACAGGACTTTCTGCGCACAACACGATATTCCACTCGAGGATGGGCCTTCGGAAGCAGCTATGACGGAGGACATGGATGTGGAAGTGGAGGCGCAAGACGATGAGTGGGATGGTATCATGGATGTGGACGAGGACGAGGATTTGCCGGACTTCTTCAAGGAGGAGAGGGATAAGAAGGCTGAGAAGGCGCAGGGAAATCCCAATAGGAAGCGGAAGGGGAAGGTGGCAGAGCTGGTCAGGTCGAAGGTCAAGAAGGTGCTTGAGGTTGAGACGCAGTTGGCAGATAAGCGAGCACGATTGTGTGATGAGGGCGATTTCTTGCGGCTGTTGTATGCTTTCAACCAGGAGGGCATTCATTTCAGTTAGTAGCAGCAAGCTCACCGGTTTGTGTCAGCGATGGCGTTGGTGGTGTTTCGGGTTGGTCACTTGTTGCGGTTGCCTTGGGCATCAATCTCAACCACGATACGATGGCTTTCAGCACATCCATCCCCGTTCTTACAAAGTTGATTTGCTTGTTGCGCAGCCTTTGTCGATGATGCTGGCACCACCACGTCAGATCTTGATAACGTGGCACCACCAAACTAATGCACGAAGTGCATTCGATTCTTCAGCCAATAGGGACGAGTTTGGCATGTACAGCTGCGAGCTAGTACGCACATGGTCAAGCGACAACAAGGCACTGTCTGGTGGTGCCAGATTTGGTGGTATGAGAGCAAGGCTACAGCCTACATGACATGATGGTTGTCTTTGGTATAAGATAGATCGTATTTCCTGTCCCCTGACGAGGAACCATCAACATATGAAGAACTGACATCCGCCCGTTTGAGTCTACGCCTTTTCCCTCCGGTACCGTACCACCACCACACTTTCACATTGAGCATTCCGTTCACGATGAGCAGAAAGTTCAATAGCAGCAGTCGGCATGCGGACGACTTACCCTTCATGCAGATGTCCGAAATGCTTGAAGCTCTACGTTGGCATGGCCTTGGTATGGAACACCGACAATGTTTTGGCGCCAATCGATGGCAAGGCTGATGTTAAGATAGTCTCCAATACACTCGACACCAGCGACTCTCCCACGTCCAGTCTAACAAGAACAGCTCACTCGGCTTCAACAGCAGTGATACAGTCAAACTTGGCACCTCCACCCGATGTCGTCGCTCGTTACGCATTTGAAATTCTACCGATCGCACAAGCTCTTTTCCCGAAGTCTGCCCTAGAACTCCAGGAGCCCATGACTGTAGGGAAACTTTCGAGGATACATCTTCGCCTTCTCATATATGCTTTGAGCAACAACTATGCGGGCTTACGACCTCATACGCCCCTGAACATACTACACGAGTATATCAAAGAGCCCATGACCATTTGGCTAAATCAGACGCTGCAACCGGACTTTCGAATGGGTAGTCACCTGTCGATGGCACCACTGGCCGAAGGCATGTTCACTTGTGCTGTTGAGGCGGGGGACGTAGATGCCGTGGCTCGTCTCTTGTCACCTACGGGACCAGGATTGGATGTCAACGTACATTTTTGCAATGTGGACGGCGTAAGATATACGGCCATCGAGCGTTCCGCTGGTTTACAGCATCTAGCACTAACAAAATTGCTCTTGAAAGTTGGGGCTGATGTCAACAAAACGCTGAACGGGGCGACACTAACGTCTGGTCGACCTCGCTCGGGTTACTGGAGTGCATGGGATACCTTTTATTCGCGGTCTTCTCTTCCCAAGTTACCCAAGCCATGTGGAGCTCTTGAATGCGCGATTCGGGGATACAGCAAGGACTCTCAATTGGGCCATGATCTAGTTCTGTTGCTATCGGAAGCTCGGGCCCTTGTTGGATCAGAGACAATGTTTTTGATGGTCGATATTGGCGAGGACGACATCCTTGAAATCATACTATCCGCGGGTCTCGCGCCATCTTACGAGTCTTGGAGTTACGCAGGGTTCTTCTTCCAATTTGCAAAACGAGCTAGTACGCCACTGCTCGACTTGGTCTTACACGAGCTAGTCAAGAACAAAGTGGATCTTGACGTCGCTCTTGTGTCTGAAGAAGGCGATAACCACGCCGGCACATGTTGCCTTTGGGAAGAGGCCGGCTGGCCGCCGTTCTGGATCGATATCTTGGCGCGACGTGGAGAGCTCGACTTGGTGAAGTTGCTTTTCGAGAGCGGGACAAGCCTTACACCAAATGTGCTGGTTGCTGCTACCATCGGCCGTCACCCTTGTTTGATAGCATATGTGCTGCAGGCCGGTGCTTTATCCAGTACCTTCTCGCGGCACTATCGGACTACAGCTCTGGCGGAAGCAGTACGATCGCAGGACGAAGGCATCTATCAGCTTATGAGTCGACAGCCAGATGTTGATGTTCCGAATACAGACGATCAGTGGTGTGCTCTCCTTACTGCCTACGCTGAGGTCGCAGACGATGCGATGCTCACCTGCTTGATTCGGCAAAGATGCCATGGGCACGCCAACCATAGCAGCATGCTTGGCTATGCTTTAGTAATGGCGGCTCGCGCTAATAACCTACCAGGCGCTATATTGCTCCTCGAAGGTGGCGCATCCACGAGTCACCAGGAAATCTCCCTAGCCATGAATAACGCAGACTGCAAAGTCAATCACGCTATTGACCGCTCACAACAATTAACACTCTCACCACTTGTGTCAGCTTTGCAATGCCGCAATATTGCCCTTATCGAACAACTACTGGATCACGGCTGTCCTCTCACAGGCAGCGTCTGCGCAGCGTTCGCATGGGGTGACATCGATATGATCAAGACTCTGATTGCATCTGGGTTGCCCCATGTCCTGCACGATTACGAGTTCAAGTATGGCATACTCAATTCGGCACTGGTACAGGCAGTACAAACCCACCCAGAATGCGCCCTCCTGACGTTGCAAGCTGGTGCTATACTTCCACGTGGTATTATTCGTGGGATCATTGGTCTGGCTGATATGCTCCTGGTCAAGGAATTCTTGGAACATGGCTCTGTGGTGATTGATGCAGACGCTCTTGCATTTGCACTGAAAACGAGCACGGAAGTGTTCCTGATTGTACTAGAGGCGGTATCCGTACGCAGTCCCCAAGATCTTGGGATCCTCGGCCAACATGCCCTCGATATCGCGGCGCACAAAAGCCAGTATGATATGGCTGCAATTCTGCTTGGGCGTGGCGCAGCCCAAGTCCCTTACGACTGGGAATCAGATGCTTGGGACAGTTGGGTAGGAGGTACGTGTGGCTCCGCGCTTCTCACTGCCATATCTCAAAGGAACTCTCGAATGGTAGAGATGCTACTGCGCGCGAGACCTGCAGCAGCAAATGAAACGGTCGGTTCGCATCGTGGTCGTAGAACGCCTCTACTCGCCTCACTAGACACATGCGATGCCTCTATGGTTCGAGCACTTATCAAATACGGCGCTGACATCAATTTCCCAGCCACTCGAGGCATAAATCGAACCCCATTGCAAAGAGCTACTGAGCTTGGCTCATATGACCTCGTTTTCCTTCTCTTGCGACATGGAGCCGACGTCAATGCATTGCCAGCTGCACGCAAAGGTGCCACGGCTTTACAATTGGCTGCATCCGGTGGAAGTGTAGGCATAGCAAAACTGTTGCTCGAGCACGGTGCGGTCATGACAGCTGCAGGAAGCGTAGTGGATGGCCGGCTCGCCCTCGAGGGTGCCGCTGAGCACGGCCGCTTTGATATGGTCGTCTTTCTACTTCGAGAAGGCCAACACAAGGTGCCTCAGATGCGCAGCGCCAAAGAATATGCGCAGGAAGGTGGATACAGCGCCGTTGTCGAGCTCCTCGAGGATGCTATTGAAAAGGTGGAGACCGACACGCTGGCTAGTTGGCCAGGACTAATGGAGGAGCCGTACTTCGACAATGCTGTGGTGGCGGACCAAGAGGTTTATGAAATGGCAGAAGCTAGTGCTGACGACATCACGGACAACGAAGCTGATGATCTCACCCAGCAGCGCCATGCCTGCAACATATGCGGTGCATCGCTGAGCAATGCCTCAGCCCTACGAAGACACGAGCGTAGCCGCCATCGAGACATCGTCCAAGGACGTCAATGGGCGTGTGGACAGTGCGGTAAGAGCTTCAGCAGGAAAGACGTGTTGAAGCGACATGAAGCTTCCCATGACAAGACTGGGTACACAGAGTGTTTGGGGTGTGGTGAGAGCTTCAGGCCAGACTACCATATCAGGCATGCCATTGTCTGTCAAGGCTGAGCTGTCAAAGCGCCTATAGGCTCGGATTGAGCTCCCAAGAGCACTCTCATACATTGCGCCAAGCTATGCGGCTTTCGATGGCGAAGGTCTCCATAGAAGAGCGGTTGTGGCGAATCTTTCTAACTCTGCAGTGGCGTGCAGGGCGTGCTTGAAGTTGTCTTCCAGACGAATATAAGCGAGCGCGTCTTTGATGAGGGTGATCCTTCGTCCATACCAGCTAGAGCACTCTACCAGACTGGCGTACAAAAAGCCTCTAGTGAAGGTGTGTGCGATTTTCGTCTCAATTTTAGGCCTTTGGCATTTCTTGTTCAAGCAGTGACCACACGGTGCGCTAGCATGTCCGAGTACAAGTATACTACTGCATGGGATCATCAGTACCGGACAGCCTTTTCGTCTCGTGGTGCCGATCTTGGACTGATAAATGGTCCGGAGTGCTAGGCGCTCCGCGATGTACGTGCGCTGATACAGTATCTCGGGGCGATGCTTCACTTGGGAAACACGAGTATGGATCGCATAGATATAATGCAGGATCCAACCAGCTGAAGCGACGGCTTGCATGCGCATCATGCAGAAGAACGCACAGCTCAGCCCCATGCGCCTTATTGGCCCCATACTGGAGCTACATCTTCCAGACCTTCGGAATGCGACTGCACAGACGACGTGCACCTTACATTCTCAGGGCGTCCTGAACGTGAGCAACCTGCGTCGCAGTCATGTGGCTGATTAATACTCAGACTCAGCATCTGCAAAGCTTCACTGATGCCAATCGACCGCGTTACGCAATACTCTCGCACACTTGGGAGGATGATGAGGTCACCTTCCAAGACATGCGAAGTACAGATATCAGCCAGGCAAGAACCAGGCAGGGCTATCAAAAGATCGCCGCAACATGTTCTAAGGCGACCGACGAAGGTCTACAATGGGCTTGGGTAGACACATGTTGCATCGATAAGAGTAATAGTGCCGAGCTTAGCGAAGCCATCAACTCAATGTTTCGATGGTACAACGAAGCAGAGATGTGTTATGCATATCTTTCGGATGTGTATAGGAACCCCCCCGAACAGCCTGGGTACATTGACGAATCGTCGTTCCTTGCAGCGACGTCAAAGCCACGATGGTTCTCACGAGGATGGACTTTGCAAGAAATGATTGCACCCGCGACCGTCCAGTTTTACAATCTCGATTGGCAATACATCACTTCGCGGCACCAAGCTGGTCGATGTCTCACTCTTCTCACAGGTGTCGATGAAGCCATACTTCAATGGTCGTCACCCTTAAACTCGCGTGCCATCCATGGAGAGAAGGCCATCAGCACAGCCACCACAAAAGCGCAGCTGCGGGCATCGCTCGATAGCTTCAGTGCTGCCCAGCGTCTCTCATGGGCTGCTTCTCGGAGTACCACACGTGTTGAGGACAGAGCTTATTCGCTCCTAGGCATCTTCGATATCAACCTGCCCTTGATCTATGGCGAAGGCGAAAGAGCTTTTGTTAGAATCCAAGAAGAGATCTTGAGGGTATACGGTGATGACAGTATCCTTGCGTGGGACTATTCGCCAGATAGAAGACTTGCTGCTGATAACGTCCCGACTGACGATCCTGGTTGGCTTTTCGCACCCTCTCCCGAGTATTTCCAATGGGCACACAACATTACAAGATGCGACTGGGGCAGCCAGCAAAATTCTGACTCGCTTCAAATGACACCTAAAGGCCTCAGAACGGACTTTGTTGTGGTTCGATCTACTGCATCAGAAGCAGACGTGCTCCTCAACTGCAGCAGAGGGAACAATTTGAGCCCGCTTTGTCTCCACATTGTGCAGGAAGGCGCACAGTGGTTCGTCGCCACCAAGCATGTTGCAGGATCGATGATGCGGCTAGATCACACCACGTTGCATGAGCTACGTGAATCTGCTCGTCGCAAGTTACGGAGACCCGCGATAAGTACGGCTACAAGTGTCGTGGACTTGATCAAATCGCCCCTGACACCCTCGTATGGCCGCAAGTCGTGCGTGCTAGCCAGCTCCAGACCACAGTACCTAGCAGTCAACAGCAACTCCATACGGGTCCACGTCAGCCATCCTGGTTTCACCGTCACCTATGCGAATGTAGGCTTCGGCGAGCCTCGAAGGACAGGGAGCATGGACGACTGGTCAATAGACGCCACAATTCCACCCGTGCCTATCGCGGCGTTGCGTCTTACAGTCCATAGTCATCATACCAGGGGACCCTGCGCACCCAACAGCGCCTACGATGTTGTCTTCGGGCATCGACACACTAGCACCTCCGCACCTGGCGACTCGTCTATTCTAGAAGGTCAAGGCACGCGGCTTGCGGTGACTGTGATGCATGCCAGCCCTACCAGCAGCCTTGATGAGATCGTGTCTACTGTTGCAGTCAAAGGCATCGCAGACCAATCTGCGGCTTGCGTCAAGGCACATTCGAACTGGTTCCGCCAATCGGCCTCGCCAGGAAACATCACAGCCAGTGTCTCCAGCACGGGCACCGATCAATCGTGCTGGTTTGTGGATGTGCGGCTCAGGGAGAAACCTGCGGCCTACGCGTGGCTTTATGTTGCCGGTATCATTGCAGGGCTTGTTGCTTCCTTGGTCGTCGCGCTGGTCTTGGCCCTCTACTTTGCGCTAAACCAGAGACGACCATTTTCGTACGCTAGTTGATCGAGGCTTCCTGGTTGTCGCCCGGCGAATGACTGATCGCTCCAAGTGCGGCAGCAACTTCAGACCGGAGGCCTCCGGCGCCACCTTGTGTCATGAGAGCTCCAAGAGCAGAAAGAATAGGAACCCAGTCGTAGTGAAACTCCAGAGAATCTAATATGTTCGCGAAGGCCTGGACCATGTGGCCTCTAGGCTCAAAGGTATCTACAGTGGAGCGCAGGCATCTAGGAAATCCTGACTTCTCTCGTAGAATGACCGGGCGATGTTAACCCGAATTTCTTCCCTCTCGGAGGTCGTGACGCGAGACGCCGAGAGCGCGAACCGTATCTCGGAATGCACCTAGCATTCGCCTGTACTTAAGACCGTGGATACTCCAAGAATGTTAGAAAGTACAGACTCACCCCGGGAGATAGAGTCACAAGAGCATGTCTGGCGTGCGTCTTTCAGCGCCAACATTTGAGCACCATCATAGTGGCCTTGGCATCGAGCAAACGCGTCCACGGCTATCATGGCGATTCCATGTGGCGGAAGGTCTGACAACACCGCGGGATTGGAGACAGACGCAATACGAAGTCGAGTGTCTCATTGGCGATGCTCCAAAGTCCACTCCATATCATGTTCAAAGTGAACACTCTGTGCTGGTTCCATGGCCGGCACAAACATTAGCTCCACAGCAGTCGGCTAGGGTGCGGGTACGCTGCTCGGGAGTCTCTGGCACTGGCGAGGAACAGCTGACTGAGTGGTCTGATGCTGCAACGGTGGAGACGGCACTGGTAGAGCAGACTGCTTGGAAAGCTCGTTTCATTACATCTGCACAGAGAGGTTCGCCAGATGGGCCACTACGTCCACTGCGATTCCGCAAGAATCTCAGCTTACCCGTTCATCGTGGAAAGCCTAGCAAAGCTCGCCTGTACATTACAGCCCTGGGCATATTCGATGCATATATCGATGGCCAACGTGTGAGTGATGAGCTCCTTGCGCCAGGCTGGACCGACTACAAGCATCGCTTAAGCTACCGCGTGACCGACGTCACACATCTACTGGAGAACGATACCGATCATTCCTTGTGTGTGGAAGTGGCCGAAGGCTGGTACTGCGGGCGACTGGGCTTCGAAGGTGGCCACCGATGTTTGTATGGTGACACTCTGGCTGTTCTGGCCCAACTTGACATCTGGTACGAGGGTGATGGTGTGCCAGTCAGCTTTTGCTCCGACAGCTCTTGGATCTGTGCCGAGAGCGCTATTCAAAAGAGTGAGTTTTACGACGGAGAGACTTACGACGCAGCGGCCGAGTGGGACTGGACAAGTATCTCTGCAGAGGTAACGGGCAATCGATGGGGTTCAACAAAAGAGGTGACTTGGCCCAAGACACGATTGTATTGTCCTGACATGCCGCCGGTGCGCATCACTCAGACACTAGAACCAAAAGAGATCTTTACAGGTACCAGCGGAAAGACGGTCATTGATTTCGGGCAGAATCTTGTCGGCAAAGTCTTGATTAAATCAATCCAAATACCTCGTGGAGAGCAAGTAACCTTCAGGCACGCCGAAGTCATGGAGAAAGGGGAGCTTGGGACTCGGCCATTGAGAGAAGCCAAAGCAGAGGACATCTACATCTCTTCCGGACAAACGTGTAGTGAGTGGACGCCAGCTTTCGCCTTCCATGGTTTCCGCTATGTCCAGGTCGATGGTTGGGCACCGAACAATTCCGATATCGCTGCTCTCGTCATGCATACCGACATGAAGCGACGCGGACATTTCTCGTGCTCCAACCAATGGGTCAATAAACTGCACGAAAACGTGGATTGGTCCATGCGCGGCAACTTTGTCTCTATACCCACGGATTGTCCGCAGCGCGACGAGCGCCTTGGTTGGACGGGAGATATCCAAGTCTTCACTCCTACTGCCTCATTCTTATATGATACGACCAGCTTCTTGAGCAGCTGGCTTGAAGATGTGATGGCCGAACAGCTGGAAGAAGGTAAAGGAGGGATACCACCTTTTGTAGTCCCGATATTACCCTTGGGAAGCTGGCCACATATGCCAGCCGCCATCTGGGATGATGTCACCGTGCTCACTCCAAAGGACGTTTTCGACTACGGCAGCGATAATTCCATCCTTGCGAGACAGCTGCCTAGTATGCTTGCTTGGCTTGACGAAGCAGTCGATCGTGGCGAAGACGGCCTTTGGAAGCGTGAACGGTGGCAGCTAGCGGACTGGCTCGATCCGACTGCGCCACCTGAGGATCCCGGCGCCTCAAGGACTGACTGTGTGCTTGTCGCCGATGCGTACTTAGTCCATGTCACGAGGACGATGTCTAATGTGTGCAGCCATCTTAACAAAGTGGATCTGGCCAAGAAATATGCGTGCGATGCGGAACGCTTACGAGAGCGCTTTTGCCATCAGTACATCACACCCGCAGGCCATCTTATGAGCAACACACAGACAGGTCTTGCCCTGGCGATTCAATCGATTGTACCCAGACCCTGAAAAGCTTCAGGTGGCAGCACTCGAGCTTGCGAAGCAGGTGCAGTATGCGAAATTCCGTATTAGCACCGGGTTCGCTGGTACGCCTGTCATATGTTATGCCCTGACCTCGGTGTGTGAGCCACAACTAGCATATCGAATGCTACTCGAGAAGATGTGTCCGTCCTGGCTCTATCCCGTAAGTATGGGTGCGACAACAATATGGGAGCGCTGGAACTCCATGCTCCCAGATGGCTCGATCAATTCTGGTGACATGACGAGCTTCAACCACTACGCACTAGGCTCCGTGGCAAACTGGCTACACAAGACAGTCGGTGGCATATCCCCAGCTGAACCAGGCTGGAAGGTAGTTCGGGTACGACCTGTCCCTGGAGGGAATCTGACGCATGCTAATGTCTCGTTCGACGGGCCGTACGGGCTCGTGAGGTGTTCCTGGAAGCTCAGCGATTCGCAGTCAGATGGCTCTTGTGCGTTCCAGTTGGAGCTCACCATACCACCGAACTCGACTGCAATCGTCACGTTGCCCTCAGAGCTGAAGCAAACGCTTGACGCAACTGGAGAGGAGAGCAGAAGTCATTACGGCAGTGGCATACATGTCTTGGAGTGTCGGTGTACGCTGGCGACATGGCCGCCCCGAGCCAAGTATTCTTTGGACAGAGGAGAGGATGATCGACTGACGATCGCTGATGGGTTAATAGAGGCGCATTAAAATAAGTGTATAGACGATCCACAACTGAATTCCTGCTCAGCATCGCTCGTCAACCATAACCGCTCACAACGCGTCGCACTGCATGCATTGAACGGCTGGACACTTGCGACGCTCCATAGTGATGTCGACAGACTCTCCAAGTCTGCTGCAGTCGCTGATTGTATGGATGCACCTAGTGCTCAAGAGATCGAGAAAGCGACACTGTAATGCTGAGAGCGATTTGATCGTTACATCATGAGACAAGCTTCATGAAAGGACTCCTCGATGGTGATGCATTACATATGGTAAATCTGCCCTATGCTGGACGCGACAATGCGATCAACCTCCCGCTGCCTTGAGTCTCAAATGCTCGCACCTCTGCCCTCCTTCGCCTCGACGATGTCGTATGCTTCATACGCACGCTGCTCTGCAACCGTGACGTGCTTCTTGAACTTGCGTGCTGATACATGGCTCATGAACAGCTCATCCAGCTCTTCGTAGGTACGTCGGCGAGTCTCCGGGACATAAAAGTAGGCGGTGATGAGGAAGAAGACCATGCAAGCACCGAATATGAAGCCGATCTTGGCCTTGAGGTCGCCGTAACCAGGGTTGTAGATGTAAGGTGAGACGAACGACCAGAAGGTGTTGGATACTGCTGACGCGGAGATAGCGATGGCCAGTGTCTTTTGTCGGAGGACTGAAGTCGGAATTTCGCCAGCAAGCGTGTAGACTATCGATCCGACACCCGCGTTATAGACGAAGTTGAACATAGTCAAGAAGCCAACAGAAGCTGTTGCGGCCGCCACGTTGTTGATCGAGCCCGAGATCCCCATACAGATCAGCAATACGACAAGTGCAGCACAGCCGGTAATGTACATTGGTCGACGGCCAAAGAAGTCGCCGATGATCATGGCGGTCAGCGCACCAGAGATCGACAGGATCTGCGCGCCGATTTGTATCTTGAAGGATTCCGAGTCGGAGATGCCAAGATACTGATACATGAGAGCGCCTATATGAACATTAGCAAATGCCATGACAGGCATGCGCGGAAAGATGTGACAAACCATAGTTTCCAATAAACCCAAGCCCGGAATAGGCTTCGGATTGGAAGACAAGGATTGCGATCAGCGTGCGGCGGAGGTTCGTGCCACGGAAGCACTCAACGTACGACGCCTTCTTCTGAGCTTCAGCCTCTTCGATAGTGGCTTGGATGAGCTCGAAATGGCCTTCGGCATCGGAAGAGTCGGAGTACAGGCGCTGCAATGACTTCCTAGCAGAATCGACCTTGTTGGCTCGGATCAGGTAAACAGGCGATTCTGGTAGGAACCAAAGTGCAATGAAGGCGATGGTGCAGAAACCCCATTGTGCGCAGATGAGAGCCTTCCAGGACCAGGAAGAAGCCCAAGTGGATGTAAAGTTGGACATGATGGCGGAGATGAAGGGACCAATACACTGTGCCAGGTTGCAGAAGCCGATGCATGATGAGCGGATAGCAAGAGGAGCGATGTCTGCGACATAGGCAGTGCACAAGTTTAGGAACGCTCCGATGGCAATGAAGTTCAAGAGCTTGCCAGCCAGGTACATCCCGATGCTGATCGATGCAAATTCAATGCCAACCGAGACCATGTTTAGCGCTGCGAAGGCGAGGATGACAGGCTTCACGCCAAACTTATCGGCAAAATAGGAGGCGGCGAACGCGCCAATGATGGCGGCACCGTTGGCACCGCCGTTCAATGCCGATTGCTATATCGTCTGCACGAAGTACTGTCCCTTGTCATCTTGGACACCGAATTCTTGCTTGAACGCCGCGATGCTGATGACCGACCCAGAAGATTGATTCTCGAAGCCTCGGGTGATCAAGGTCCAGATCATGACGAAGATCCAGAAGAGTAGCTTGGGGTCTTTCCGAAGTGCTTGCGTGAAAGAGCGCGAGTGCTCTCGACCTGCCGTGGCGCGACCGTGAATCGTGTTGCTACTTTCTCCAGCATCGTGTGTGGCCATCTCAAGCTGCTCCGGCCGAAGCTTCTCAATAGTAGCCATATCTGGCTAGGTGTGACTAGGGCAGGCTGAGATGAAAAGATACGAACGATGTGGATGATTGACGAAGGTGAGGGTCTTATGAAACTGGAAGAGATTGGTACTCCCTGGCCGGCGTGTCCAATGAGTATATATATACCCATGCATACAAGATATGCTACAATCTGGGGACACTTTGTGGAGTTGTGGAGATGAGGCGAACCATTATGTCCTTCGGGTCATGCTCGACCGACGACCGGTTGATGTGCCAAAGGCGTTTCATGGCCAAGCGCATGGCGTACGTAGTTCACTCTACATGGGCGCCACGAGTCCGGCGCCATGTCGGCCAAGCTCCAGTACACTGCTTACTCCCAATCGTGCCACTCGTGACCCCATGCTGTTCTCCTTTCACTCGGTTCATCAGTACACCGCAGACGTTCAATACACCGAAGATGGAGAGTCTCGCATGACATTTTGATGGTCCAAACTCTGCTAGTCGAGGACAGGGAGTCGCTAAGCAAGATTACAGGCCTGGGCTCGGCGGCCAGCTGGACCGAGACATCCTGATCTGGCTTATTGAAACCACAGGTCGAGTCTGGAACCTATTGGACTCGTCCGGCCCTCGACCGCATGGGAAGCCCTTGCAGTCCCTGGGAAATGGAACGTCTGGCCAGATTCCACAGTGTCCAGTACGCAGAGACATGTCACTTCTTGCCAGGCCGGCGACTGAGCGTGATGATGCGAAGGCTGATGTTGGTACGTTCCTACTCGGAAAACTGTTAGACATCTTCGTAGCTGCAAGTGACTTAGATTGGGTTGCAGAAATTGGATTCCTGATACGAGATATCGTTCGGCGAGTATTCCATGAAGGCAAACGTAGGTCACGCGATCGAAAAAGACGTCTGGACGTCCGACATTCCGTGGTCTACTCCTCTGCGGGACGGCTCGGCGGTCAGAGTTGCTGCCGGACTATATCGTCGAAAATGTCAACAGACCTATACGTTTTACAGCCCGGCACCTAGCACATACGACCACAGGCCGCGGAGAACAGAGGATCCCGTCCGCTCTCCTGTACTTAAGCCGCGGACCGGTAGAGTAGTAGTACGGTCGGTGACGACGTGCGAATGCCTGCTGTTGTATGTTTTGCTCTTTTGCGCTGGAGATATGCTGGAGACATGAAGAGGTCGGCCTCAGACGTTGCAAGAAGCCTTATGCCGGTATTTCCGGGGTTTCATTGGTTGGTTACGGGACTCGCGTTCGACCCACCGTGCCCGAGGGCGACGCCGAGAGTCGTGGGCATTAGCTTTTGATCCTTGAGTCGTAATCGCGACTACGACTGCTGCTATGGTCTTGCTTCGACACAGAAATGATCTGGTGGAGCCATCATGGACGACCAGTACGATACTGTTGGGTCTCACGTTCCTTCTTCCAGCTCACTCAGTGGTGAGCTCTCCCTGCTACTGGCCTCCTTATCAACCTTCGCATCCTTCTTCTGGACTGGCTTCTTCTTGCTCGCCCTCTTCTCGGCAGCAACAACCTTCTTCTCCTTCTTCTCTTTCACCCTACCCATCTGCTCCAGCAACCTCTCCCTTTCCGGCTTCCCTTGCCTTGCCAATTCCTCCTCCAGCCTCAGGAACTCAGCGCTCTCAACATTCATGCCCACAAGATTCTCCAACAACTTGATCTCACGCGCCCAGATCCCCTTATCCTCCTTATCCTTCCCTCTCTCATCCTTCACCAGCTTCCCATCCGCATCCCGAACATCAATCGGCGTCTCGAGCACAAGCGGCAAGCCCGCAAATCGAGCTTCATTCGCCACATTATGAAACGCCCTCAGTCCCAGAAAGCCAGTCCCGATGTTCGCATGTAGATCCTTGAAAGAAGCGAAAGGCGCCTTGGAGTCATTGAGATGCATAGCACGCAGGTATTTGAAGCCCACAACTTTCTCGAATTCATCCATACACTGCTTGAAAGCTTCAGGGGTGCGAAGGTCGTAGCCTGCGGCGAAGATATGGCAGGTATCTATACATACTCCCACGCGCGTCTTATCGTCTACAAGCTGTATAATGTCGCGGAGGTCTTCGAAGGTACTGCCTATGGTATTGCCGCCGTGGGCCATGGTTTCGAGGAGTGTGACCACGGCCTTGGTCTCGGCGTGCGCGTGGTTGAGGTTCGAGGCTAGGTGGGCTATTGCGGCCGGTCTGTTGTTGTTTTGGTCATTGCCGGGGTGGAAGTTGTATAACGTTATCCCCAGTCTCTCGCAGCGTTTCAGGTCGTCGACGAATGCTGTATATGCTTGGTCTGTTCGTGTTTTGTCTGTATGTGCTAGATTGACCAGATAAGAGCCGTGTGGGACAATGTGGTTAGTATGGTCATATTTGTGTTCATTGCAGTGCGAGTGCCACGTTTTGCACTGGTCTTCTAGTAATGGTGGGTTCTCCCATTTCCGCTGTGACTTCAGAAACAGTGCGAAGGCGTTCGCGCCAATGTGGACGGAGTTCAGGACTGCTTGTTGGACGCCTATACAGCTATTTAGTACCTGGCACAATTGAGATGAACTACATTGGACTAACCTCCAGAAGCACTAACATGCGCCCCTATCAGGAGCTTATGGCCGATGGTTCGTGCAGCTAGAGGCATTTCTACCAGCTCACGTTCCTTTTCTGCCTTGCTCTTCCGCTTCGTCTTCACCTTGGATACCACGTTACCGTCCTCATCTACTGCGTTTTCTTCAACCTTGACCTCGGTCTTGCCTTTGCGCCGTTTCTTAGGTGCCGTCTCAGCTTCCTCGCCTTCCGCTTCGATTTTGACCTCCTGTTTAACCTCGACCTTGACTTTCTTGCTCTTTACCTCAGCTGCCTGCCTTGCCTTGTGCTTCTTCGTAGGCGGCTCCTTGTCAACGTCACCATTAGTCGAGACGACTGTTGCGTCAACGTCAAGCAAGCCTGCGGGAGGTGGCGACAGATCTGATTCCTCTGCTTCTTCTTGTACTGCTGCCCTGCGCTTAGGCATGATGAATACCTTCAAAGCCTTGGACGGTTATGTGTTGTGCTTGCGGCGTAGGAGAGGAACGAGACGAGCCAGAAGACATGCGATACACGAACGCGGCAACCAGTCCGTGCTTCATGCGCTAATGCAGGTACAGCGCCACGAGGTGAATGGAACCCGCTTGCGTCAGCGCCAACGTGGCTCTGTTAGGCTTCAATGTTTGTTTGGAGGAACATAGAAGCCTACCACAATTTACCATTCACAAAATCACTAAGCCAAAATGTCTATCACTCGTGGTATGGATGGATAGAGACGCCAAGATCAAGTATAGCACCTCTGACACCTCTGCAGAAGCCATCTGGGCAGCAGCGCCCTCCACCACTCGAGGTTCGCCGACACCGCTCAGCTCGGACTCGAAAGGACAACGGATAGCCTATGCCTCGAACAAATCTGTCTTCGTCCGAAGCATCGACAATCCTTCGGAAGCAAAGCAGTATACACAACACACGGCCCAAACCACCGTCGCCCGCTTCTCGCCTTCCGGCTACTATGTCGCCAGTGGAGACGTGACAGGCAGCGTACGAGTATGGGATGCTCATGGCGCCGAGAACAGCAAAGGTGAATATCACATCATCGCCGGACGGATCAACGATCTAGCATGGGATGGCGACAGTCAACGTATCATCGCTGTCGGGGATGGCAAGGAACGCTTCGGCCACTGCATAACAGCAGACTCTGGTAACAGTGTGGGTGAGATCAGTGGACATAGCAGTCAAATCAACTGCGTAAGCATACGGCAGCAGCGACCGCTACGAGCTGCTACGGGATCCGACGATACGAGTCTGTGCTTCTTCCATGGTGCTCCGTTCAAGTTCAATACCAGTGTAAGAGGAAAGCACGATAAGTTCATCTACGGTACGCAGTTTAGTCCAGATGGGGACTGGTTGGTCAGTGTTGGAAGCGACCGAAGGATATGGCTGTACGATGGCAAGACTGGTGAGGCTGTCAAGCAGATTGGTGAAGGTGAGCACAAAGGTAGCATTTTCGGCGTGAGCTGGGCGCCCGATAGCAAGAAGTTTGTCACGTGCAGTGGTGATCAGACTGTTCGGATATGGGACGTTGATTCCGAAAAGTGTCTTCAGACTTGGCGGATGGGTGACGAAGGGAGTGTATCGGTACAACACCAGCAGGTGGGTGTGACGTGGCCCGCAGGCAGAAGCGATGGTCTAATCATCTCGATTGATTTGGGTGGCAACCTCAATTACTTTCAGGAGGGCAAAGAGAAGCTCGTCAAGGTCGTACGCGGACATCAGAAAGCTATCACGGCGGCCGCGGTGTCGCAAGACAGTAAGACGTTATGGACAGGAAGCTATGATGGACGGGCTCAAGCTTGGGATCTCAATTCCGGCGCTGCTGAGCCAATAGACGGGGAGGCGCATTCTAACTATGTCGCCGGTATTGCTGCGTCTCAAGATGGTCGAATATACAGTGTCGGCTGGGACGATACACTACGCACTATCGATGCCGCTCAAAGATCTTCCCTTGGCAACGCAGTCAAGACTGGAGGACAGCCGAAAGGCGTGGCTGTAGCAATGGTTGGCGGCAAGCCACATACGCTCGTTGCGACAGTGAGCGGCCTCATCACGTACGCAAACGGCAGCGAAGTTGGCAAGCAATCACTACCTTCATCACCAACATGTCTCGCAGCATCAGGCGATCTCGTGGCCGTGGGCTGCGAAGACAAGCTTGTCCGCATCCTCAAGGCTTCATCTGCTTCAAAGTTCGAAGCAGTAGCCGAATTGAAGGAATCTACCCAGATAATCTCGACGGTGGCATTCGCACCAAGCGGGAAACATCTCGCAGTCGGTCTCTCAAATGGCAAGATCTTCGTCTACAGCAACAGCTCTGGCTCATGGGCACTGGAGACCAACAGATGGTCGGCACATACTGGTCGTGTGACGACAATCGCATGGTCACCTGACAGTAGAAAAGCTGCAAGTGGAAGTCTGGACACCAATGTTATGGTTTGGAGTCTAGCAGATCCTGGCAAGAGGGTGAAAGCACTGAATGCTCATCAAGAAGGTGTCGGTGGAGTGGCATGGGCAGATAACGAGCGCGTAGTTTCTTGCGGTGCCGATGCGGCTGTCAAGTTGTGGGCTGTGGATGGTGTACCTTAGATTCATCTACCTAAGCTCTATACAGCAGATACATATTAGATGATCTGCGGAGAATCTACGACAACCCAATCACCCAACCATCACCCTCCCTCTCACCCTTAGCATTGATACCACCCCAAACCACGATCCCCTTCCCATCCTCCATAACATCGCACCCGAAGAATCCTCTAGGTCCCGGATGCACCTTCCCCGAACTACCACCTTGCGGTGCGTCCAGATCCGCCGGCGGCAGTAGGACTTCCGTTTCCGCCCAGCTATGCCCACCTGTGTCGTAGCCAAGGGCACTCCTTATCGAGTCCTTGATCTTGGCGGGTTTGATGGCTTCGGAGATGGTTGTGGTTAGTTTGGCGGAGTGGGCGGTGGAAGGGAGTTGGTAGGTCCAGATATCGGAATGGTAGAGTTGTTCTCCTCCAGATGGAATGGCTTCTTTGGTGGTATCGGTGTTTGAGGGGGGTGGATGTGCGCCGAAGAGGTAGAGGAGGTAGTTGCGACCGTGTCCCGTGCTTACTGGGATGAGACCGGCCCCTACTCGTGGTTGGGGACCGGGTGTTAGTGGATTCGTTGGGAAGGGAACGGTATGCCAGCTCTTTTGCTCGACTTCTGCCAGGGGTTTGTCCTTTGGTGGGAGTTCGAGGAGAAGCAGGTCACTGCCCATTTTGTCGCCGTTGGCTATCACATGGAGCATTCCGTTGATCACCGCTGCTGAAGACGAGAATACTGGTGCGTCTGCCAATTGGCTCCAAGATGAGTGTACGTAATTGAAGAGCCAGACGTCCTTCAAAGTTTCTCCAGTCTTACTCCTGCCGCCGAACAAGACCAGATTGTTCTGATGGTTGAACAACTGAGCTTCGTTCCGAGAAGAAGGCGCGGGCGCACTAGTGTCTTTCGGTTGCAATGTCTCCCAGGCTGGCTTGGCGGTATTGAAGAGCCAGATATGCTGCTCATCAATCACTTCACCAGACTCATCTACACCACCGAATACCGCAACGCAGATATTGAAGCTGCATGCTGCATGCTTCTGTCGTGGAGATGGAATGTGAGTACTTCCGGTGTCGGCGATCGCAGGTATGACAGAGTAGTCTGGACTGCTCTTGTCGGACGTCAGGGTTATAGCATGAACGTCGGTGCTGGCGAGTTTGTTGGCAGCAGTTTGGCCACCGAAAATGTACGCTTTGTTGCCGACTACTGTCAATGAGTGTCCTGAGCGGCAGAGAGAGAGCCTATTGATGATCAGCAATGGGTTGTGGTTACTGCATAGGGTGATGAGCCTCACTTGGTCTCATCATCTGATGAAGTTGCTATTTGTGTAAAGGTCGCATGTAGTGGCATCGTAGGCTTCGACACCATGTACGCCCCGACACCGACTTGAACGGTCGTCGTAATAGCTTCTTCTACAGCCCATGCTGCCGCTGCTACTTCTGCCATTGCGAAAAGTTGTTCAATCAGTGATTGATGGGCGAGAACAGGACGAGGCACGAAGTGACCAATGGATCTCAAATAGAGTTTGGACGGACCACTCCCGTTGCATATGTTGTTCATGAGCATATGAGAATTGTCACATGGTATACACTTAGTAGACGTAGACTTAGATGTGCCAAGATCGTTCTTAGATGGTGGCAGGTGTTCATGGACGTGAGAAATATGGCACTACGCGCCTGAGACAGTCATGGCCCTTGGGCGCCTTACATTCAAATAAAGCATTCTCATAATCAGGATATATGCATACAAGAGTGCTCCGGAAACATTCACAGCTTCAAGGAACGCCATATCCACTACCGCCAACAGACATTACAGTATCGCCCAATCCCTCTAAGCACCTTGCCTGGCCTTCTCAGCACAGATCAATGCAATGATTCTGCTGAGCTCGGCACTCTGAGATGCGTGCTCCTTGATGATCTTCTCGTCGGCACCCTCCATACTGCTGAGCTCCGCGGAAGATTTGAGCATCCGGTTTTGTAGCTGCAACATCTTCTGCAATGTGTTGTCAAGGAAAGGTGCAGAAAAGGCAATTGAGTCGGCAGACCCGCCATTGAGACGCATCTCCAGCTTTCGTGGCTTCTTTTTGTCTTCTGGTGTCATTGGCTGTTGCTGTTGTTGTGGCTCGTTTGGCTTAGCCCTGTGACACGTGGTTTAGCCTTCATGGTCCCAAGAATGGTTCGTTAGTGAGCAAGTTGCTTACCTCTCGACGAATGTGATGCTCTCCGCCATCTCGGCGACTCTGTTCGCGATTCGGTTCGCCATAATGGCATATGCGGACGTCACGCCTCCTGCCGAGTTCTCACCACCTGCTACGGATGCAGCTTTGTTGTGTACTGGTGCTGCCTTGCCATATGTGGACTTGGCTCCGCCGCCAGCTTTACTGGCAGCAGGCTTTCGTACTGGCGCACGAGGAGTCGCGGGTTTCTTTGGCCCGCCATTGGCTTGCGCCGACTGTGTCTTCGTTGCTGTGACCATGTTGTCGAGCGGCTCGCAGATGATGCGATTGCGTTGTTTGACTTTAGGGTCTAGCGATGGCGTCAAATTGAGTTGTGGCGTGAATGGGCGGACGTTGACAGGACGTTGAGCAAAACGATGATCCAATAGTCAAAAAGGTCTATGGTAAGAAGAGGTTGTGATGTTTTGTGATTTCGCGCGATTCAAGCTCACCAGCAGGCCTGTTTACGTCGCCCAGGAGGCGGGACGCGAGGTCGACCAGGCACGTCATAATATGCGGAGACACCTGCCGTGGCGTCGTCTGTGCAACAGGTTTAGCAAGGTTCTTATGCGCCACTGATCTGCAAAGTGGCTAGGATCGTCGACGACAGTCTGTCATCGTGGCAGGGGTTGTGGCTCTAGACGCCTCGCTTTGGGATGATAGGTGTGGTACGGCAGGATAGGATCGATAACGCTTTCCTTCGGTCTGTCCATCGTGACCAGCACAACGCAAACTCACGCTCTCACTATAACGGGTCGAAGGACTGCACTTGAGCTGGAGATCGTATTCTGCAGCAAACATGGTCGCCAGAAGTGTGGCTTCCGAAGGAGGAGCTGGACTGACCCTCACCAAGTCAGGTGTGAACAATCCGAATCCTCTTCAACATGGCGGTATGGGACAGGCAGAGCGTGCCTTCAGCGCCGCGTCGACATTCCTCTCCGGTCTACTGGCTATATCAGCATCGCAGTTCATCGGTGCACCACTCAAGCTTGTTGATGAGAAATTTTACGATGGCTACATGGCCTGGACGAAGGAGTCCTTCGCAGTGCTCATGACCACGATCACGCAGTGGTGGGCACCGACTGTCGTCCGTATTAGTGGCGATGAAAGCATGAAAGGCCAGATCTACCAGATGGACGACGGGACATTGAAGTGCAACTTCCCGCATCGGCTTGTGTTGATGGCGAATCATCAGTTGTATACAGACTGGCTGTATCTGTGGTGGGTCGCATACACTAACAAGATGCATGGCCGTATCTACATCATCCTCAAGGAGAGTTTGAAACAGCTCCCAATCTTCGGCTGGGGAGCGCAATTCTATAATTTCATTTTTCTTAGCAGAAAATGGGAGACAGATCGATGGCGATTCAAGAAAGCTCTCAACCATCTGCAGAACCCTATGGACCCAATGTGGCTGCTTATCTTTCCAGAAGGAACCAATCTATCGGCTGTAACAAGGGAGAAGTCTGCCTCCTGGGCGAAGAAGTCAGGCGTGAAAGACATGAAGCATCAGCTATTACCACGGACTACAGGGTTGCAATTCTGTCTCCAGGAACTCAAACACTCGACAAACTGGCTCTACGACTGTACAATCGCTTACGAGGGTGTACCGAAGGGCATGTACGGTCAAGATATTTTCACTCTCCGATCATCGTTCTTTGAAGGCCGACCGCCGAAGAGCGTGAATATGTTTTGGCGGCGGTACAAGATCTCGGAGATTCCACTCGACAACGATGCGGCTTTTGGCCGATGGCTCAACAACCGTTGGCGCGAGAAGGACTATATACTGGAATACTTCTACAAATTCGGCCACTTCCCTGCCAATGATCCCGTGTCAGCTCTGGAAGCTGTAGCAGGCAAGAAAGAACCAAATCATGCGAAATTTATCAGCACTGAAGTCAAAGGTGGTGGTTGGGACGAATTCTTGAGCATATTCGGACCCATCACTACCGCTGCCGGAGCACTAAGCAATGTCGATATGACTGAGCCGTTGAACTTCGACGCACTTCTTGCAAAGGTTGCAGAACAACAACATCTTTTGCTTGACATTGGTAAATCACCTATTGCAGCGACTAGTCAGGAAGCGATCCGTAATGCTCTAAGGGCGGCGAACATGCAGAATGCACTTCCCCCGGGTGTCATGGAGAAGTTGATGCAGGCCGCTCCTCAGACGCAGGCAGGCATGCAACAGGCTCTGGCATACTCGGGCAACGCTAGAATAGCCAAGAAAGCAGCACAAGCACCAGCAGCAAAAGCCCAAATGTCTTCGAAAACACAACAGAACATCGCTCGGACGGCACGACAAGCGCAAGCTGCCATTGCACGAGCAGGCCGAGCGAACAGCGTCTCGACTATTCCTGTAGGGGGCGAAGCTTCTAATACTCGAAGGAAGTCAGCCACGCCCAACCCTGCAGCGACCATGCAGAAGGCACTCCCACTGGCCAACATGCACACTATGGTCACTCGACCCATCAGCACAATGGCCGTCCAGACTGCAGCAGCCACAGTGAGGAATGCGGCGGCTCAAAGGGCTCAGCAGAAAGGAGCCGCGCTACCGGGTCAGGCCCCCCCGAGAGCAGCGAAGGCAAGATCAGAACCGGGCGGTGTAAGCAAGCAAGCCAAAGTGATGCCGAAGAGAGCTCCCAAGCCATTGACGGCCGCGAACCTTGCAGCAGCCTCCAAGAAGCAGGCGGCAGGGTCAAAATCTGTCGGGATGCAGAAGTATGTTGATGGCAAGAGGGCTTAGACGTCGTTGATTGCACATTTGCCAGCAACCCTTGAGATCGGTATCTAGTCTAATTGTGTAGGGCATGAAAGCAAGTGATGGCTGTAATCGACGTCCCAAAGGACATGTTCCGCGTTGTCGTCTGAACCCGAAAGGCCTAGGCTGGTCTCATATGCAGGGTCTCTGCTGTGATTGTGGCGCAGCACGACGTCATACCTGTGCCACGAGGATACTCGCGTTGTCGACTTTCAGACAAGACGGCCGCGTCTAACGCTCGCGTGAACTGTATCTTTAACTAGGAGAAAGCACATCTATCAACAACCTGCTTCGATTGTCACTTACAAATTGTTGATTTGGATTCATTCTTGGAGTACGGTATGGCTTTCATCGGAAATTGGATAGCAGATAAAGCCGCTGGCTATTTGGCGACTGGTCTTCAAGCTGGTGGAACATTAGCTGGAAACACGGTCGGCAGCGTTGGTGGGCTCATCGAGAATAGTGGAAGGTCGTTCGGAGAAGGTAGTAAGTTGGCATTTGCCTCGACAATTGTTGTCTATAATAGTAGCAGTTTAGTCCAGTTGCTGACCATCTTATAGCCGTAGCAGGAGGTATCAAAGGCGTGGGCGGCTACATTAACAACTATGGCGAGACGATCAAAGGCTCCATGGCCGCGGACGGTCCTGTGAGCAGTGCCAACAAGAAAGTCGCAGTAAAGCCGGGCGACGGCGCGAAGAAAGCATTACCTGGTGCTGGTGCTGCACCCAAAGGATTGCCAGCAGCCAGGCCGAAGGCGGTTGGAGCACCAAAACCCGCCCCTCAAGCATTGCGACCCAAGCCAGCGACAGGCGCAGGGGCGGCGAGGCCACCGCCAGCAGATGGCAAGGTTCGAATTGATCCAGCCAGCCGGCCAAAGCCACCGCCGGGGGGTGTCACTAGATCGTGAGTTCATCACGTTTGATCGAGGCTCTCTCATACTAATAGTACGTTCCGTAGTCAACCCATTACACGTCCAGGCGCTGCGCCTAAGCCCACCGCGCAGAAGACGCCAGACGGGAAAGTTCGTATTTCAGCAGCAAGTCGTCCTAAACCAGTGGTCAAGTGACGAGAATCTGTATGTATTGGGTAGTATAGCTATTGAAGCGTCTGACTACACGGGTTTCGGAGAGTTCGTTGTTGTTCAGAACTTTCGAGGTGACTCGTCGCACGGCCAAGATGTGCTTTGTCGGCCCGTACAAGTCTGTAGAGCGCGAACGACCGGATCAGCCGTGCCAGCCGTGTAGTCGTCTTATCAGTAGATGATCAGGTGCAGATCGAGAACGCTCGTAGACGAGGTTGATGTCTTGGTGATACTTACTAACATTTTACGTTGGAGGATAGCTAAAGCCTCCTCTCGCCAAGTCATCTCAAGCAGCAACTCGCCCCACTTGAATTTTGCTCGTCTCGTGCCGCAGATTGAATTCTTTCTGGTCCACATACCACAGGTCGTGGTGTAGACAACAGCAATGAACGTATCGTTCTTCATACTGCTACTGGCGAACCAGTAGCGTTCCCCGACTTGCCAGCATGCACGGACTTAAGACACGATTTGTTGCTTCTGCATTGACGTTAATGACTCCTGATCCAAGATGGCAGCAATATATCTGACGACTTCATTGCTTGACACAAGAGATTCGTGGCCGTGGAAGCGGTGAGAGGCCACATAGTCGACTCCGCTCGTGAGGGAGAAGCTGGAGGACTGTCCGTCTACCGGCAAACGCTGGTCATGTGATACTGTCCGTTGGGCTTTGAAGATCCAGCACACCTGCAAGCACACCCACTCCGACGGTCGATCTGGCTTGTAACTCACCACGACAGATCCGCTGCCAACGGCCCACAAGTCCCTGAGACTGATACGTTCAGGGTTAGATGCTGAGCTGAAATGCATACTCCTGCCGAAATCGAATAAGCTTGGGATAAAAATCGCGCATTCTAGCCCTTCGCCACGGAGGACCAAATCTGATGAGCCACGCGATTCGTATCCACGCGATGAACACGAGTCAAAGTCAGTAACCTCAAAACATCGACATTTGTTCGTGCGAAAATTTCTACGTTGAATATAAATCGCCTGCCTACCTACCTGCGACTGACTGCGACTCCTTCGTGCTTGCCTTTATAACACTTCATCCTGCACACCACAGCCAATCACAGCAGCCACAGCGCCACGCGACGCCACGCCGACAAGCCAGTGAAACACAGTACCACGAACACGAAATTTTGGTTGAGGCTTGAGCTTGACCGAGTACTACTTCACTCTTCTCACTTCGAAGACCCAGCAACTTGAAATCGACTGCCGCATTTTGACGGTCACTTCTCGTGTAGACGGACCTGCATCGCAGGCGCCGCTCGTTCATTCACCATGACGAACACGAACACCACCATCCACTTTGACGATGATGTCGACCAAATCCGCCGCGCTCGATCCCGAGAAGTGACAAGTTCAGGTACCGACCTGAATGGCGGCATCGTACGTTCTACTTCTTGACAGCAATCGAGATGTCGCTGACACCTGCAGGTGTTCTCGCGCACCGTTTCTACGGGCAGACACTCTCGTTCGCGTGGTCCTTCAATGGATAAGATTCGTAGGACGAAAACGCTTGACGCCGAGAACCCAGAGGACTCTGGCCTGAACCGGCCTGGAGACTACAAACAAAAGCAAGTATTCCGCGGAAGTCAACTCGCTTTCCTGGCATATCAGAGTATCGGGGTCATCTACGGTGACATCGGAACGTCGCCACTATACGTTTTTTCGAGTGTCTTCGGCAGCCAAGCGCCTGCGAGGGACGACTTGATCGGAGTGCTGTCGCTTGTGATCTGGTCTCTGACCTTGATGGTGACAATCAAGTACATATGCATCATTTTGAACGCTGACAATCAGGGCGAGGGTACGTCGAGAGCTCCATAACATTTTCGAGATCGATACTAACACAAATCAGGCGGCACGTTCAGCTGTTACTCTTTGCTTTCGAGATATGCCAACATCACGAACCGCGATCCGAGGGAGGAGCCGCTGGTCAAGATCGAGCGCTACCAAACCAATGAGATGCACACGTCGAATCTGCAAGTCCGCAACACTCTCGAGAAGTCGAAGTTCCTGAAGGGCCTTCTCAAGACGATTGGCGTGTTGGCTGTGACCATGGTCATGTCTGATGGTGTACTGACACCAGCCCAGTCTGTTCTCGGCGCTGTGCAAGGTCTGAACGTAGTGGTGCCCAACATTACCAACGGCACGGTCGTGGGAGCGACATGCGGCATCCTTGTCCTGCTCTTCGTGATTCAGCCATTTGGCACGACCAAGATTGGTGCGACATTCGTAAGTACTTGAACGCCCGTAGCTATAATGTTGCTACATCTGCTAATCCTCGGGATTTGCTCTGCAGGCACCGATTATTATCATCTGGCTGGGCGTGCTCGCCTCCTTCGGTATTTATAACCTGGTCTTGTACGACGCTGGAGTGTTCAAGGCGTTCAACCCTGGTGAAGCATTCTCGTACCTCGTACGCCATGGTACTGATGGCTGGAAGTCTCTCGGAGGAGTTCTACTCGCCTTCACGGGAGTGGAGGCACTTTTCGCAGACCTTGGAGCCTTCTCCCTACGTGCGATACAGATCTCCTGGCTCGGCTGGTGTTACCCGTGCTTGCTGTTGGCGTACATCGGCCAAGCAGCGTACATCGCTGTTCATCCAGAGGCCTACGCATATCCAGTATTCTCGACTTGCCCACCAGGGACCTTGATCTTCGTCCTCGTACTCGCAATTGTAAGTGTGCCAGATCGAAATCGTGTGTAAGACATCCATGGGACCTCACTGACAACTGTTGCAGCTGGCCGCTATTGTCGCCTCTCAAGCCATCATCACTGCTACCTTTCAACTTCTCGCACAGTAAGTGCATATTCAATCCCGCGCCAAGCTCTTCATTGTGCTGACAATCTATTCAGGATCATAAAACTGTCTTACTTTCCGCAGATACAGGTCAAGCACACCTCTAAGGTCTATCACAACCAGCTATACGTACCTCTGGTCAACTACCTGCTCTGTATTGGGACTGTGGCCGTAACCGCGGCATACCAGAACACCACGTCCCTTGGTAACGCCTACGGAGTGTGTGTTATGTTTGTCACGTTCTTCGACACGTGCATGACCACTCTGGCCGCTCTGATCGTCTGGAGGATCCGGCCATACTATGTTATCCTACCCTGGCTCATCTTCGCCTGTTTCGATGGCAGTTTCCTCTCATCCTCGCTGTTGAAAGTCCCGGATGGCGCTTGGTTCACGCTCACCCTAGCTGCAGTGTTAGCAGCTATACTCATTCTCTGGCGATTTGGGAAGGAGCAGCAGTGGAGTGCCGAAAAGGAGGACCGTCAGCCCCTGGCGCACTTCGTGCGAGCTGACCAAGATGGTGTATACCGTCTGGTCGGCCACCAAGGAGGAAAAGGCGGTGAGCCTGTGTCCTTCAATCGCGGCTTCGGAATCTTTTTCGACAAGGGCGGCATCAACACTCCGACCGCTTTCAGCCAGTTTATAAACAAGCTCGTTTCTACGCCAGAGGTGATCGTCTTCTTTCATATGAGACCGCTGGAATACCCGACCGTACCGTCCGATGAGCGATTCGTAGTATCTCAGATCAAGTTCATGCCAAACTGCTACCGAGTCATCTGCCGACATGGTTACATGGACGAGATTGTAACGGAAGACTTGGCAGGCATCATCTATGGACATCTGCGAGCCTACGTCACAGACAAGAACAACAGACGTCCTTCGCTCGACCAGGCGCGCAGGACCTCGTCTGCCCGCGATGCTGGTGACGATGACGAGAACAAGGTGCAGCTCGACGATCACCTCGAGAAATATGGGCTTCATGAGCAAGATGCAGTTACACAGCAATCTGAGATACCGAGTCAGCTTACATTAAGCCAGCTGCAGGAAGCTTACGACCATCGAGTGCTGTATGTGATCGGAAAGGAGGAGATGCACGTCAAGCGCGGTACTAGCATCTGGCGTAAGCTTCTGCTGAAGACTTTCCTGTTCTTCCGTGATAACACTCGGAATAAGATGGCCAATTTGAAAGTACCAACTGACCGCCTGGTCGAGATCGGCTTCTTGAAAGACGTCTGAAAGGGAAGGAGAAAAGTGAACCGAGGGCAGCTTTCTATACATATCTGACAACGGTCTCGATACCCACTTAGCAGCAAACGATCACGATCACGATCACGATCACCATCACCATCACCATCACCATGACCATCTCCGTCACGTTCACGA